CGAAAAAAAAAAAAGGAAGAGAATCAAGATCTCTCACCTTTCATCTATCTCTGTCAACTCTTCATATATTCCTTCTCTCTTCTCTGGTTCGGGGGGTCAAGGGAGCCAATTACCAGAATTACCAGATTATGGCCGTGAGCCAGTCTACCTGCATTCAATACTAATCTCACTCGCCAATGGTTCAGGGTGGAACTCTCAATTCCACAATCTAACAACCGGTTGGTCCACATACCACTCTCCGTGTGTACCTGGCAGGCTCATCTCGGCACTTCCTACGAATATGTTCGGATCTCTCTGCAGATGGAACCCATGGAAAGGGGCGGGAATGATCCGATGTGTGTATCGTCAAAGGCATGGAAAAGCAAGGGTCATGACATTCCATGTCTCTCTGTCAGACACGTGGATCATGATCATGAAACTCGCAGGCAAAAATCAATGATCTGGGATAAAAAAGAAAACTAATTTCAACCAAACAAAATCACAGGTTACACCGCGAGATAATCCTAGGAATTTAGGAATGCACCAAACTATGCGAATCATGAAATGCTCCAATTTTTCTCCCCATTGGCGGCCAGAAGAAAAGAAAGGGTAACGATGCTATTCTCGAGAGCGATCTGCCCTTTTCTTTGTTATTTATGACGATCCAAATTTATACCCTTCTGATCTCCCCCCAACGCGTCTATTGAAACTATTCCGGACACGGGAACGAGGAATCCACGTTGTCCCAGCCGTTCTGGTAATAATCATCCGTTAGTGCCAGAAACTAGGGATTAGTTTTGTCTCCAACTCAACCACCGTGACTACCACACCAAAGCAATCCTCTGGAACTCCAGGTGAATCATGCATGGAATTGAAACTGGAAAAAAAAAAAAAAATACAAACCATCAAAGTGTACATGTAAAGACTTAAGACAAAATACATATATGAGAGAAAAAAAAAAAAAAAAAGAGTCCCCACCTGCAGCTTGACCCAGTAAAAATTAGAAATTAATCACCCTCAAAAAAAAGTTATAAACGAATAATAGAAATTCCGAACCAGTCCTTCCTGATCCTCTTCCAGCCCTAGACAATTCAACAAGTTCAGAGAGCGGATATGCGCCCAGGTGGATATGGTATGGATCTGGTCTCTGTTCCCCATTGCATCTCGTTGACCCAAACCAATTTCGAGGAGAAACGAGGAATTACCGCGCAGGCGAACAGGATGAAGCAACGATTGGAGGAAGTCCGAGGGGGAGGGTCTCGGGCCCCCGCCCCTCAAACTGTAAATGTTGAGACCTTCAAGTAACCAGTCAAGTTACAAGTCAAGTAACAAATCAAGTACCAAGTTCATTTGTGTCCTTTGTCTCCGGACCTGCCATTGTTCCGCAGACTAACCCGGGATCGTTGTCGAGGGAAAATGATGTCAATCGGATCCAGAGTTCAAGATGAACTGCAGAATATACATAGAGAGAAAGAGAGGGAAAGAGGGCGAGAGGGAAAGAAGAGAGTGAGGGGAAAAGAGCGGGGATCAATCGTACATGCCAGGACCAATTGTTATACAAAATCCCTTCCTACGTTGAGCCTAGATGGTAAAAGTCCTCGTGTGTTGCATACACAAGGCTTGACTTCAATGTTGAAAAAATCATTCCTGCTGCTACAAGTACATACTAGTATGGACTCTTTTCAAGTCCAAGCTTCAAATGTTGAGGGTAATATTCAATGTTTAGTGCGTGTATAACCCCAAAACGAGCTTATAAGCCCTGGGATGTACGTGTGTCCCAAAGAGGATCTGTCCGTGATAAATGTGATGCCACACATATACAGTGATATACTTACTAGTAGTGATATGCTATACCCCCCTCTCTCTCTCTGGGCGTTATACATGTACAGACAACTTACGGAGCCAATGTAGAACAACACGGGTCTCTAGTGGAACCCATCTCCGAGAAAAAGAACAAAAAGCAGGGAAATGGACATGCTACTTATTCCGAGAGACAGGAGTGGGGGTTAAATGGAGTTGAACGGTTTGCTCCCACCAAAGGTGCATAAGGCCATGCCCACATCTGCACAACGTCTTGGTGCTTCCCACTTTGGTGGATCCCGGTTTTCTCGGTTGCCTTTTCTATCTTACGGAGTATTATGTATATTATGTATTTCTTTCTGTAGAGTACATCAATACTACATAAATCAGATGATCAAATTCATATTCTAGACATAGATGACCCATGTCCCTCTAAATGAGACAGAAGGGACCTCTTTATTTTCTTCATTCTCATTTGAATTCAATCATCATACTCCAATACTTTTTAATATCATTGGGGGAATTCACATACTGTACTCGGGTATGTTTCGGCATGAATGACAAAGTACCTCGGAAACCACATCTGGTACCCAATTTTGGGTCGACCCATTGTTGGGAGAACATCAGTACATCAGGAGATGCATGTAGCCCTTGGAAATTTATACTCTCCCGTCTCTACAAGATTTTCTTCGTACACCACAAGCGCGAAAAAAAGGAAAAGAAAAGAAAAAAAGAGGCTCGACAAAAGTGTTTTACATTGGTCCGTCTATGATGCGAAAACATAACCACAACTCTTCGGTGCAGCCCTGCACCTCCAACCGCACAACCCCTCGCCATCCTGACTATCCAGCCCATGAAAAGGAACATCAACCCGAAGGAAAACAAGACATGAAACCACGGACCAAGAAAAAAAAGAAAAGGACATAGCCGAAGATGCGGGCATCAGATGTGGGTGGAGAAGAAAGTTATCGTTAAAAGAGAAACGGAGTGTGAATCTATACAAAAAAAAAAGGAACCAGGCGGAGGAGAAGCAAAAATCAAATGGAATGTCCATGGCGCCAAAACAACTGCCACCTTATACCAAGGGGGAGGGGACGTGATATGCCATTCCATTCCAAATATTTGGGGAGGAGGGAGAGGGCGAAGACTACTAAAACAGAGGATGAAAGGTGATTAACCCGGGGGGAACATGTGTTGTGGACACGAGACCCAAGGGGATGAGAGAAGAAGGATCAAGAAGTTTAGAAAGGAGGGGGGATCATGCTGGCGGCATCAGCAGTCTCCTGTTGCTCCATCAACTCCTCGCCGGCGATCTCAAGAGAGACGGCAAGGCCAACCTTGGCGGTTTGCTAGAGAAGAGAGTTAGCATCAAAAGTACCAAATGACAGGGTTAGATGTAGCCTTCAAAAACTTACCTTGGCCTGGTCAATCTCACCAGCGAAGCTGAGGGAGATGGGCATGGCAATACGCTTCTCAAGAAGGCAGCTGACCTTACCGGCGCTGTCGACCTGGGCACGGAAAGAAGAGGCACGGAAGTCGTACTTGGCACCAATGGCAGTGGTTCCTTCACGGCTGGGGCCACCCATCATCATGGCAGCAGCACTGGGGGCGAACTGGAGGTTCATGTCGACACCGGCCTCCACACGCTCAGAGAGCTTGCGCCAGTAAGTGGCAGCAAAGGTTCCCTGGGCCTGCAACTGAGCGGTACCGATCCAGTCATCACCCTTGTACTTGGCGCAGTAAGACAGAGCAGTCTCTGGGCGAGCGGTCATGCCCTGGCGCTGCCAGATGGCCTCGAAACCGAGGGCCAGAGCGGGTGTGATGGACTGGAGGTAGCTTCCAACAAAGATACCAGTAAGACCACCCTCAAGGGTAGAGGGGTTGAAGGCCTTCAGGGAGGCAGAGAAATCAGCGCCGGTGTAGTCATTATCGATCTGGAGCAGACCCTGGGAGCCGCCAGCCATAATCTGCGCGTTGGTCTTGGTGACCAGCGCCGGGTTCCAGCGGTAGTTGCAAACCGCGGCGAGGGTACCGTCACTTCCGAGGTTACCTTGCATGAAGACCTATTGATAGATAGATCCACGTCATTAGCGATTGATGTCACCGTGGCTGAGTAGATGAGGCCATAAAAGGCGAAAAAGGAAATTGATATGTCTTACCTTGGGGCTTCCGTACATGGTAGAGAAGTTGTAGGGAGGCATGTTACCGGATCCGCCCATCGCGAACGCGTGCGAGACACGGAACAGAGGGGACATGCCGAAAACCTTGGTCAAATCTGCACGGAGACCAGTGAACATGAAGTTGGTCAACAACACGTCCTTCTGAACCTCGCGGGCGAGGCCATCCACGGTGCCCGGGTTGGGCAGGTTGAGCAACGCCCTCCGATCGGAGAATGAGGTGTATGCATCCTTAATCGCCGCAGCCGCGGGGTTTTCCGTCAGGAAGGAGAGAGATGATGTGATATCGGACATTTTGAAGGTTGGGGAGGTGGAATTATAACCGGTGTCGTCACGCGATGCCGGTCAATGAGATTTCGCTGCGGACAAGGGCAATGGGAGTAAAAGAGAAAATAAAAATTAGCCCGGGAGATCTGGGACGAGTGAACGACACAGATCGAGGTGTGAGGAGATGGGAGGGCTGTATGGACTTTTTTTTGAGATGATTCACCGAGGAATCGGGGGTTATGAAGGAAACGGAGCTGAAGACTTGACCGTGAAAAATGCCAGATCGGTCGGCGTCTTTGGTTGCTGCCGTCCGCCCTGTATTATGTCATCCCCGGGGCCAATTGGATCGCATTTTCTATGTCGGAAAATCCCATGTGCCTGATTTTCAACATTCACGGTCTAAGTTCTTATTTATATTGATTCTTGGTGCCTTGAATTACTGAATTGAATGTACCGGGGTAACGGTGAAAGAAAACACCCACTATTTCTCAAGTATATCGAAGTTGGTAGCTGTCCACCCTTTAGAACACATACAAGAACCGATCCGAAGAGGTTCCACCCGATATCTACAACTCACCGTTATCGTATACCGCTTCTGCCCGAAGTCCAGACCTTCACTTCCAACTTTCTTCAACATCCTCAAAAGACCTTCACCTCCACGGGGGTATCTTTGCTGTAGTATTTTTCCTTCATCAATTTGATCGCGCAAGAAGATTCTACCCCGACGTCAAGTTTTCAAAAGCAATATTTGCGTCATTCAGGAGCAGCCCCGCGATTATGGACACCCTACTGTAAGTTTCTTTGCCCTGATGTTTTGAGGTCTGCTGGCTATAGACAAACAAACCAACCATATGCTGCTACTGCTGCTACTACCTCTTTATTCTTTTCTTAAACAAAGAAGCATCTCCCAGAGTTGAAGATATCAACCACACATCCTTTAATTATGTTTGGTGGTTGTAAAAAGTCGACTTGGGAGGGATTGATCTCTCGTCCTTGGAATTTCAGAACTGACGTCAAAACAGCACTGCAGAGATCGTGGCCAACTCGCCCCAGTTTCGGCGAAAGTCATCAATTTTTGTCGATGCAATTCATGATTTACCTGAAAAGGCTGATCTAGCCCCGGCACAGCTGTACAGCACGGAATCCGGTCGGCTTTTCCACTCGGGCCGGATCGTCATCATCACCGTGGGCTTACCCGCCAGAGGCAAGACGTATGTTCGCCTTGACCAACGCCATGCTTTAGAATAGATAAGCTAATATTGTCTCTGTCAAAAAAGACACATCTCTGTTGCACTGGCACGGTACCTCCGATGGTTGGTCCCCCCCTTGAAACTAGTATACAAAGCATCAGCGCCCTAGCTTGGCTGCCCGCCTGGAACATGCTAACCAAAAAAAACCCCCTCAGGCTTGGAGTTAAAACGAGAATCTTTCATTTGGGCGACTACCGCCGTGCTACGATTCCATTTGGAGAGGATATGCCCGATGATTACTTTTACGTGAACGGTAAGGGTAGTAAGCGATTATCAACGATCCAATCATACTAATAAGGCTTCTAGCAACCGCTTCGTCTGTTCTTCTCCGCCAAAAGATTGTCAGAAAGTGCCGAGAAGATATCTATCATTTCTTGAACCACGAGAATGGTCAGATTGCGATTTACGACTCCGTCAATCCATTAGCCTCGGGGCGGCGGTCACTTGCCAAAGAGTTTGCCAAACATGATATCGAGGTAAGTTCCACCTCCAATACAACGGGAATATTCAATTAATTAATATTGTTTGTTAAGACATTGTTCATTGAGTCTTGGTGCGATGATGAACGAATCATCGAGGAGAACGTCCGCCGGGTTAAGATTTCTTCTCCAGATGTGAGTCTGATGTCTACCATGGCAAAGTCGATGCCTAGTACTAACCATGCTTTAGTATGTTTCGTGGAGTCCAGAGGATGCGGTGAAGCACTATCTTACTAGAATCTCCTCCCGGATCCCCCAGTTCCAGACCATGGAAGAAAAGGATTTGAACTACATCAAAGTTTGTACTCCCCCCTCCTTCTTATAGCGTCATACCACTTGAGAGCCGCCTGCTTATGTCTCCCATAGATGATCAATGCCGGAGAAAGATTGATAGTGAACAACCGCAGCTTTGGGTACCTTTCTAACCGCATCGTATTTTACCTGCTGAACCTTCACATCAAGTCTAGACGCACATATTTTGCACGGGTACGTGGCTTTACTTCACCCATTGGGAGAATAAACTTGATTAACTTTGTACATAGGCTGGCGTATCAGTAGAAGCTGACTCCTACAAGGCCGACGCTTCTCTTTCGGAACAAGGGGAGGATTATGCCCAGAAAATGACTGAATGCTTGCTTGCTCATCGCGAGGCCGAGAATCGGACAACCCAAGGCGAGAATGGGGGCGAACCGCGTCCTCTGAAGGTTTGGACCTCAACAAGACGCCGTACTGTGGAGACCGCGAGATATCTCCACGAGAAAGGATACAAAGTCCGCCAGCGGTCTCAAATGAGCCAATTAAACCCGGGAGTCTGCGAAAAAATGTCAGAACGGCGCATCCGAGCGGAATATGCAGACGAGGTCTCAAAGCATGAGCTGGATCCTTACCATCACCGCTATCCTCGCGCCGAGGTAAATTAGTTCTCCTGATGCCATATCCTGGAACAACACTAACATTCAGCAGTCTTACCATGACCTTGCTGTCCGCCTGGAGCCAATCATTCTTGAACTAGAGCGAGAGCAAAACGATCTTCTAATCATTGCCCACGAAAGTGTTTTGAGAGTCTTATACGGGTACCTCATGGCTTGCAACGCCGCCGATATTCCTTTCCTAGAATTCCCCCGTGACGAAATTATTGAGGTATTTCAGAAACGATTCCATTTTATTCTTAGATGGCTTACTTATTTTCTTTTACTAGATCATCCCGGAGAGCTACCAAAACGAGGCGCAAAGAATCCATATCCCCGACCTTCCTGAAGAAATTATTCCGGCTTCTCCAGAGGATCTGAAGATTCCAGTGCCCCCCAGCGGGGTTGTCTCTCCAATGCAAGGATTGGGAAGCCCACAGGATGGTCTGGCAACTCCCCAAAGCGGATATCGGACCCCAAGTGGGATTCGCACTCCCCGCGAGCCTGAAAGGCTCTCCCAGCAACATGTTGAAGATGTTGTTTAGGGTCAAAAGTGCATGTATGCTCAATTTGACTTGCCGGTTTTCCGGCCTTTGTCGTCCACACAGCCTGGTCACATTTCATAACACGATTCCATGATTATTTATCTCTCTTGATTGAACCATTAATCCTCTAGCCTCCGTGCAGCGTTGAGACAAACACAATGTTATCCCCTGCTTGTAATTCGTAGGCCTCTTCGCCTTCAAGTTCCCAGTCGGCATCGTTGATCAAGACTAGAATTCCCGGGCGACTACGCAAATATTAGTGTCTATTTGATAGATATACCAGAGAAGAAGAGGTTTCAAGTTCACTTACACATTATCCTCAATAACGAATAGTTCCTTTCTCTGGTCTTTCATCAGGTTGTCAACCAAGTGTCGAAGTAGATATGAGATATTTGGCAGGCTCCCATCCTCCAAGAGTCCAGGGACTATAACTTTGTGTTTGCGCTCATTGGAAAAGAGGATCTCCAACCCGCCACTTTAGAAAGCAATTAGTACCAATGAGAGATAGATCTGGGGATACGGATGAAGTACGTAAACTCGACAGTGATGGGAATCTGAGCTATGCTCCCATTTGTGGAGGTTGCCATTGTTTCTGTTGGAGTTGAGCTCTCGGGATATACAAAGACTTTCGGTAAGGTAAAAGTGTTTCCTTGAACAAAATTGACAAAACTCGAAGCCGAAGATTTAGAGGAAGAGAAAGAAGAAAGACGTGGAGGTGGAGGGGTTCCAGGCGGTAGCCTCTTATCGATAAGCTGCTTCCACAATTTATCTTTTGCGATAGCTCTTTTCTCCGCCATTGCCCACGTCTAACGCATACATATCTTGGGTCATTTGACTCTTTGCTAGCTATGGCGTCTGTCGCATCTGAATATATTAGCGTGGGTGGAAATCGCCACCCAGGAGCTGCGGACTGGGATGTCCAGTCGGGTGTGCTCGCCTTCGGAGCGGACAACAATGTCGCCTTGTGGGAGCCTCTAGTGAGTCTATTGAGATCCATTGTACCTGATTTTTATAGCCATTGCCATGCTGACAGCAATCAAAGGACAAATCTCACCGTGGTGTGTATTCGCTCCTTGTTGGACATTCCGACAAAGTCAGTGCGGTCAAATTTTACACCTGCCCCTCATCGGGGACGAGAATACTTCTCACCGGTTCCGTCGATCGCACAATCCGAGGTTGGCAGCAAGATGCCACTGAACCGCGCAGTTACAAACATGCCTTTACTCTCGAAGGTCACACCGGGTCGGTCAATGCGATAGCTGTCACTGCCGGAACGAACATTGTTGCATCTGGAGCCGCCGACGGGACTGTCCGGGTTTGGAAAATCAATGCAATGGAATTGAAGGGCGAGATGGTGGAAACAATTACCATGACACCTCGGTTCTTCCCATTGTGCTTGTCTCTACAAGTACTTGAAGGTGACAATCGCCCTCTGGTGCTGGCTGTAGCGGGAACTACAACGAAGGTGCAAGTATACGTTACGGAAGAGTCTGTCGATAAGCCAAACTTCCAACGCCGTGCCGTACTTGCAGGTCACGAAGCCTGGGTCAGATCTCTCTCGTTTACACTGGATAAAAAGAGCAACACCAAGGACATCCTGCTTGCATCAGCCAGTCAGGATAAATACATTCGTCTATGGCGATTGCGCCAGGGTGAAGCAAACGCTCCTCTACCTATCGATGACGCCGATCCTTTGCTGGGTGGCATGGAGCCTACGCTGTCTAACAAAGCTCATGAATTTGAGGCAGCCGGCTTGAAGTATTCCATTACATTTGAAGCACTTCTTTTCGGCAACGAGGACTGGATTTACACGACTGCATGGAACCCCGATCCAACCAGATTGCAGCTTCTCTCTGCCTCTGCGGATAACACCGTTACCATTTGGGAGCAGGACTCCATATCTGGAGTTTGGATGTCGATTGAAAGAATGGGAGAAATCAGTGTGCAAAAAGGATCTACTACTGCAACTGGAAGTGCTGGCGGATTTTGGATTGGACTTTGGTCGCCAGATGGAAATCAAGTGGTAAGCTTGGGTCGCACAGGCAGTTGGCGTGTGTGGCAGCATGACCTCGAAGCGGATATTTGGATGCAGAAGTTTGGTATTTCGGGTCACGTACGTGCAGCCAATGGTGTACAGTGGGATCCCAGCGGTGGCTATTTGCTCTCAACCAGTGCAGATCAAACCACCCGTCTTCATGCCAAATGGTTGCGCGAAGACAAATCCTCATGGCATGAATTCTCCCGCCCTCAAATTCATGGGTACGATCTCAATTGCATTGATACATTGGGGCCGTCTCAGTTTGTGTCTGGTGCCGATGAGAAACTTTTGCGGGTTTTCCGCGAGCCAAAGCAAATTGCAGATATTCTCGGGAAGCTTACAGGTTTTGAACAAACCATTGAGGGCGACCTACCAGATACAGCCGAAATTCCAGTTCTAGGCCTGTCGAACAAAGCTCAAGGAGATGAAGCACCAGTGAACGAAGATGATGAGCTCAGTGGGGCGAAAGCATCTGTACCCACAGTCAATCTGAACACAGATAGTCCGCCATTGGAAGATCAACTAGCCCGGTACACATTATGGCCCGAGCACGAAAAGCTCTATGGTCATGGTTATGAAATTTCAGCGGTGGCCGTAAGCCACGACCGCAAGCTCATTGCCACTGCCTGCAAAGCCACTAGTATCGATCACGCAGTTATTCGACTATATGATACATCGGACTGGCATGAGATCAAGCCTTCTCTCACCGCACACTCTTTAACCATCACCGATCTCTCGTTTTCCGAAGACGACCAATATTTGCTGAGCGTAGGCCGAGACCGACAATGGGCCGTTTTTGCACGGAGCGAACAAGACCCAACCACATTCACCAGCTTTAGCTCGAATCCCAAGGGTCATTCTCGAATGATTCTGGGAGCTGCTTGGGCTCCAGGGACCACAGACCACGTCTTTGCCACCGCGGGACGAGACAAATCCGTCAAGATTTGGCAAAGGACTGACGATACCTTTACTTGCAAGACTGTCCTTGCCTTAACATCCGCTGTCTCAGCAATCTCTCTATTGGCTGCTCCATACAGAAACTCTTTCATTTTGGCCGCGGGAGAAGATAGTGGTGCCGTCTCTATCCATCGAATCAACATCGATACTCTGGAAGCACAGCTTGTTGTGGCTATTGACCAGACCATAACACCATCCAAGGCGATCACACAACTGTCATGGCGACCCGTGTTGGCCGGAGAAACCGATACCAAAACTCAGTTTGAGCTTGCCGTGGGCAGTGAAGACACCTCCACACGGATATACGCCATTTCAAACATGGCAGTGTAACCCCTGTGGGTCACGACATGACTAGATCACTGAATAATGCCCAAAATGAACGTGTTGTTTGATTGTACATAGATTTGAGGACTCCTGAGTGAAGTATGGAAGTATAAAATACAGAATCAGTTCAAGTGTATACATAGACAGTAGCTACTGCATGGTTGATCGCCAGGATTCAAATGCTGGTGAAAGTATACCACCATGCCCTGACTCTTCAACTTTGATCACCTCGATGACTGGAGACTTCTCACGTTTCCGAATCTTCCAAATCCCGTCCTCCTGAATAGTTTGCTTGAGCCCTAAGAAAAAAAATATCTGTTAGCTAGAGAATTGGACGCAGAAAGTGAGACAAAGTGCCCATACAGTCCAAGAATGCAGCAGCAAAGTTGATACAAATGTTCCCATCCCAGGAACCTTTTCCGATTTTCTTGACCTTGCCAGGAATACTGGCTGTATCTAGCTCCTCTAGGCGGCGCAAGATGCCGTCTTGATCCCGAAATCCAACGATGATCGTAGGCACACCGAGCAAGAAGGACTGCGCCCAGAATTTCAACAACTTTCGCTCATATTTAAGCATGTCTCGCTCGTTACGAATCTCTGCTGATGTTTTCAGCTCGACCCAGTGAATAGGATCTTCCTTTCTCTCTGGTTTACAGTCCCACACTGGAAGGGTCGTATTAGTTAGATACTCCTTGGAATTTCCTCTCGGGTCCTTCGATAATGACTCACCGGCATCGACTTCACCCCCAAGAATCATGCGTGTGTTCCCAATTCCAGTTTTGACGACCGAGCAGTACTGCGCGCTGTTATTGACAACCTCATTTGGTCGCGTTTCGATCTCTTCACGAGTGTTCGAATCCCATGGGCGTGGGAGAACAGACAAGACCTCAAATTTATAACCTGTAATTTTCAGCGACCGCTGTTGAAGAGCAATGAAAGATAACAATCCTTACCCCAGTACATCATCATTTCCTGCGATGCCATGCCTGGTGGCATTCTTTGTTTTCGCTGAATTTCTTTCTGTTCATTCTTGTATGCGTTGTTTTCTTCGATAAAGCTGGAATTGTTCCGTCAATATCGGTAGGTCTCCAAGGTTATGATAACTTTAAAACACGCACATTGTACCCTATATCATTGTTAGACAGAGTATAATGTTAATGATGAAGTACATAGTAGATCATACCTGGAAGCATGTAGCGTTCATCTCAAAGCTACGGTAAATATAATATCAGCAAGGAGAACGTTTTAGCCACGACAGCCAAGTACCAATTGCACATACCCATTCATCATATCATAAGGAGCTGCCAATATCTTGCAGGTATTAGTGTCACATGGATATCACCGAAATATTTTTCTTCCTTTGCCGTGGGATTCAGCTTCTTCACAGCACCTACCTTGGTCATCATTCCTCGCCAGGTGACGATATCAGCCTCACATTTCTTTTGCGTATCTTTCTCTAGTGCAGTGATGGTATCTAGCAATGCATCGAGATGCTCATCACCAGCGTCATTGAGCTTTTGGAATGTATTATATCCCAGATTCAAATCAGCTGGCAGACTTGGCGGGTAATAATACTGCAGAGATGATTCTCCTAAAGAGAATTGGCGTTCTCGATCATAGGAGAAGCATGTGATTTCCTGTCGATTGATCTGTTACTTGGAGTCACATATGATTCAAATGTATGGTAATCTTACTTTGGGCCGTCGGATGGTAGTATTTGAACCGACAAAGCGGTTCAATGGTTGGATGTCAAAAGTGAACTGGCTCATGGTGATAAGATACAGACAATCTGTAAGTATAGAAGGCCTTGTCTGCAATATAATTCCTGGGGAAATGAAGAAACAATTTGCCCTTGCTCACAGGAATAGCTTCGTTAGCTTAGTAGGCAAAGTGGTATATCAACAACCCTTGTGTCCGCCTTCAGAGTGCTGCAAGGGACTCTTTCTCTCCCACTGTTAATTGGAAATGAAGAACACCAGTAAGCAAGTCTTGACTGGCAACAAATAGAGAAAAGCGCAAAATGGCTCTCAAAATCAGTAGAGAAGCTCAAGGAAAGACGAGAGAGTTGTGAGGAGGGAAATGGATCCCAGCGATATGCCAATGGTGAAGGAGCCGCGTTCCCCACTAAACTTTGGGAAGTTTGGACTCTGCGAACAGCTTTCCCGTTCCCCTCCTATATCGTCTCAAGCTTGGACCTTACCCTCTTTCCCCTCGGTTCTCAATAAAAATCCACCTGAAAATGACTTCCAGGATTGATAAGACTATTGCTCGCCAGCAAGAAAAGTGAGATTTGACTCTGATCGCCAGAGCGCCGGAAGGATTAGCTGACAACCCACTTTCTGCATAGGATCGCGGCCGGTGCCTACTACGAAGCCCACCAACAACTACGTGTCATCGCAGCTCGTTACATTAAAGCCTCTAACTGGGATGCCGCCGCGGAAATCTTAGCTGGTGGTTCAACTGCTCTGCTGAGGGCTGGTGCCCAGCAGGGTGCCGCGGCAAGTGGTGGAGACTTGGCGATCATGCTGGTGGTCGAGGTATACAACAAGGCAGAATGGGAGATCTCAGGACGTGCCGACGATGGAGAGAGTCGGAGCCGCAAGAGTGAGTCTTTGAGATCAGATTGTCTCCTTACTGAGAACATGGCTGACTGGTTGTGATGACAGAGCGCCTTATCGAGCTTCTGCGCGAGTTCCCGTCAGAAGAGCCTACCAGAAAGCGATTTATACAAGAGATTATTGGATGGAGTGCGCGATTTGGGCCACTGGAACGTGGTGATCCGGACCTGCATCATGCAGCAGGCTCGGTGTATGCAGAAGGTTGGTTCATTTCATGTATTGGTGTTTGTCTTGCTTACTCCCATCTAACCTATCGCCTTTTGTTTTAGACAACCAGCCATACGAAGCCGAGAAACATCTGATCCTAGGAACTTCGGAATCGGCGGAGACTTTGGCAAAACTTGAATATGAGTGGTACACCCATGACGAACCACACACCGCAGCTTTGTATGCGTCGCGCGCTATCTTCCCATACCTCACGACAGGCAACCTCCGCAGTGCCAACAAGGCATTGCTTATCTTCACCTCACGCCTGTCAACATTAAACTCGTCCCTTGGCGTGCAAGATGTGAGCAGCGCCAGCTCCGACATTCGGGTCTACCCTGCCCTCCCATTGCTCAACTTCCTGAGCATGTTACTTCTGACTATTCAGCGTGGAAGTGCCGATCTCTTCCGACAGCTCACCGCACACTATGCGACACAGATTCGGGATGTAGGCATTTGGGACGACACTCTGGCCCAGATTGGTGAGCAATACTTTGGAATCAAGATCCCTCGCCAGGGCAACCCCCTGCTTGATATGATGAGCGGTATGTTGTTTGGTGGTCAAGGCCAAGGCAACGCAGGCTCGTCTCGGCCCGCTGTGAAGAAGGTTGAGGCGCCACCGGCCAATATGGATCTTGACTAGGGAGTTAAAGAAATCGAACTCAAGGACCGATGGTGATCTCATGTGATGCATGGCCAAGTGAACCTGTGGAAATAAAGAATGACAACGAGAGTAAATTTAGTACGTTTTCATATTGATCTTTCTATAGTCGTGTCTCGAATTCTGGCTCAAACATCCAATTGTCGTCGTCCAAGGAACTAGCCTTTTTGATCAAGCTTTGATGAACAATATTTAGAATTTCTGTAACAATTATTATGACTTGGTTCAAGAAAAAAACAAAACAAAAAAATGCACACAGCAACTTACCATCCGGCTCACCACTTGACTGTCTGTTGCGATGGCGGATCATCATCTCGACTATTGCAGCCTCATAATCTAAACAGTCGTCAGAAAATAGTCTAGAACAAACATAAACTCCAAATCAACAAGCAAGCGTACTTTCTTTCTCCCGTTCAATCTCCAATGAATCGAAACTAGTTTCGCCAGGTTCAAGCCCATCGTGCTCTTCCCCGTTGTCACCAGCTAGCCGCCTGGGCAGAGCAGGCATGTCAAGCTTATATCCTCCATTCTTATCTCTAACCACGATGTCTCTATTTTCGGCCAGTTTTGTGCTTCGAGAAGAGGAATCGGAGATGGTTGGTTTTAACCTATTGGAGGGGCGGTTTGAAAGGCCATTGGTATTCATCGAGGGCGCGGTTCCATTGGGAGGTCCTGCAGATGCAGGGCGACGGCTCAGATTTTGATGGAAGAGATTTCGACGGACGGATGTTCCCGTATTCATTATTGTGTATTTAACAGAGCCGAAAGGGCTCTTAGCTGCGATGCGCGGTTTGTTTGTTTTGAGGGGGTCGTAGGTGGTCTCCAAGACACAAGTTTCACAGGGGTTCCAAGGAGGTGAAGATGATAAGTGGCGTATTTGTATGTTTCATTTGAGTCTTAAAGGAGTGTGTAAAGGAAAGAATATGGCCCTGTGGTTAGTAAAAATGGAGGGAGTTGGAGATGTGAGGAAGAACGCCGGAGACGGGTGGAAGTTATGCGGCTACAAAGGACCTGAACATACTCTAGAACATACTCTCCATATGTTATAAAAGAAGATACCACCAGAGAACAGTAAAATTGAAATTCTATGGTACTAGTAGCTATGTTTGATTTCTTCATTTTTTGAAGACCCTTTTCTTTAGCATAATTACTAAAAATCCCATATCTTTCATAATCCAAAGATGGAGCTTTAGTGCACAGGCCAATAGATAAGTTATCGCGGAACGCGTGCAGTTCACATTTCGCGTCGTCCAACTTCCACCCCACGAATTACCTACAAACCACTCGCCCAACATGGTTCAAGCTGAATCTTCTTCAAGCGCCGCCCGGAATGGAGCCAGAGCCTCGACTGCAGGCGCTCCTGCAAACTACGAGCTTCCTTGGTCAGGATTCTATCCTTTTTGCATTGCAAGACTTGGTCACTGACTTTTCCTATGACACTACAGGGTCGAGAAGTACCGCCCCGTTTTCCTAGATGACGTTGTCGGCAACACCGAAACAATTGAACGATTAAAGATCATCGCCAAGGATGGAAATATGCCTCACGTTATCATTTCTGGCATGCCGGGAATCGGAAAGACGACCTCCGTGCTATGCTTAGCTCGACAATTGCTGGGAGATTCATATAAAGAGGCGGTGTTGGAGCTGAACGCAAGTGACGAGCGAGGTCAGTGATAGATTGGGTCTGGTCAACGAACTTGGATAGTATATGCTGATGGTGAATCTGCTTCAGGTATCGACGTGGTGCGCAACCGGATCAAGGGCTTTGCTCAGAAGAAGGTCACTTTGCCCCCAGGCCGTCACAAGCTGGTTATCCTCGACGAAGCGGACAGGTGAATATTTCTCGGATTCTTCCTATTCAAGGAAATCAATTGGGCTAAACATCGTATAGCATGACCCCTGGTGCTCAGCAAGCACTCCGACGTACGATGGAGATTTACTCTACTACAACTCGATTCGCTTTCGCCTGCAACCAATCGAACAAGATTATCGAACCCTTGCAGTCTCGTTGTGCCATTCTCCGTTATGCCCGATTGACCGATGCCCAAGTTGTCAAACGACTGATGCAGATCTGTGAGGCGGAGAAGGTTCAGCACTCCGAGGATGGCATTGCCGCTTTGGTATTCAGCGCCGAAGGTGATATGCGTCAAGCGATCAACAACGTGCAAAGTACGTGGTCTGGTTTCGGCTTCGTGAGCGGAGACAATGTATTCCGTGTCGTCGATAGTCCTCACCCGGTCAAGGTCCAGGCCATGATCAAGGCCTGCTGGGAAGGCAATGTGGACGCTGCCCTGGAAGGCCTGAAAGAATTATGGTAGGTTGATGTTTAATTCTTGTGTGTGATTTTAACGTAAACTGACATTGAATAGGACACTGGGCTATTCTTCTCATGACATTATTAGCACCATGTTCCGGGTCACCAAAACTATTCCTACCCTCTCAGAGCATTCAAAGTTGGAATTTATTCGCGAGATTGGCTTTACACACATGCGCATCCTGGACGGAGTGCAGTCGTTGTTGCAGCTGAGCGGTTGCATCTCCAAGCTCTGCAAGATTAACATGAAGCCTGAGCTCTTCGAACTCCCAAAGGCGTGATCTCAAAAAAGACAGTGGTATTCCACAGCATAATTTATGGCGTTGACGGTGTTCTACTAGCTAGTTTAGGAAATCAAGCTGCCCGGTTACGAATTACGCTTTCTTTCCCTTTCCTCGTCTTCTTTTGGCTCGAAGAAGCACATCTCCTGGATATATACTATTTATGTACTGTACTTCGTACAAATATGTCCTCTTCAAGCTTGGCTGGCAATTTGGCCCTTCCAGATGTTTTCCACGGCAGTGACGGCTCCCAACACCTTCTCTTCTTCCAATTTCTTGCCAATGATCTGCAGATTCACGGGATACCCATCCACCTGATCCGCATCGTATAGTAACCAATTCCACTCATCTAATGCATTCCTTGGCACATAAGGCTCGGCTGGCAACTGATCTCGATCCGCTCTCACCCCGTCTACGGGAAATGTCACTGCTGGATAGTCCAGAAAATTCCAGATCTTGGTATATCCCACCCATCGAAACTTCCTGTGGGGAACACTTGTATGTGGCAATGTTGGACTCAGCAGGATATCGACAGGTCTCCCAGATGCAGATCGCACGGCATTCCATTTATCGAGGTATTTCTTCTGCGCAGCAAACTTCCGCTTGTTCAGCTGCCAATATTCGTATACGGAGATTGGTTTGCCACGGTTGATTAGGGCTTCCACGTGGGGGATATAGGGTTCACCGGCGGCACCGACAGCCCTACGGATATCTTCTCCTCCGTCAGCGGTATAGTAGAGATCCATGACCTCGATACATTCTGCGTGGTCTGATGTATCCCAGGGTACAACTTCGTGGCCCGCGGATTTCAATTTGACCGTCAACTCTTTTAGAGCCCGGGCAATCGGCGGGTGGACTTTGACGACACCATCATCCATGATGAGTCCAATGACCATGGGACGAGTCTGAATCTCGTGGAACACAGCGTCATTCCAAGGCAGAGGTGTACATCGAGGATCTAAATCCCATGGCCGGCTGTTCGTCACGAGCTTAGTGATGTAGTAAAGGGATTGAAGATCTCTAGTCATCGGTCCCACAGCTGACGGAACATGCTCTTGGCCTTCTGTCGACACCGGGACGCCTTCGTAAGGAAATCGGCTGCTCTGTACAGATTGTGTCAGCGGCGCAAATAGGCAAGCTGATAGAAATTACTTAGTCTTGTATACTTACCGAGGGCTTCAAGCCATACAGACCGGCTATGCTTTGAGGAATTCGCACACTACCTCCAATGTCTGTACCAAAGCCCATCAAAGATCCATGCAAGGCCAGAAGGGAGCCTTCACCACCAGTGGAGCCCCCTGGGGAGAAGGTAGGGTTACGAGGGTTGGTGGTCAGTCCCCACAGTGGGTTTTCGGTTTCTGCCCACTAGGAATATCAAGGAATTCTTAGTTGGAACTATTTGTAGATAGAGATGTCTAAATAGAAGCGAATAAAGGTTGGTGACACTTACCATGATACTCTGGGGCAAGTTAGTCTTTGCGATGACAATTGCACCCATATTCTTCAAGATTCGAACTAGAACGGCATCCTGCTGGGCTGGATCGAAAGATCGGCCCACATAACCCAAGGTGGTATCCACATCTTTGATATTGAACTGGTCTTTGACGGTAAATGGGATTCCATGCAGAGGACCCTTGATTTGATGGGTTATCTGGAAGTCTTCATCGAGTTTCTTGGCTTGCTGCAATGCATCATCAAATACCACCTCTGTTAGACAGTTGGTCTTGTTGTTCATTAGTTTTTGGAATTGCTTGATGGAAGTTTTGATAATTGGACTTACCAACTGATGTGCGACCACGGCCCTAATGAGAAAATATTAGTCTAAATCTTCCAAGGTTGAAGTGCAGTACATTGATACTATGTCAAAGTAGTAAGTACCGAGTACTGGGATACTTACCGTTGTATGTATGCCTTGACAATCTGCTCGGCAGAAAAATCACCTTTTTGCATCCTCTGCAATACTTCTTCCACATTATCAATGTCCGTGATGGCTTCAACTTCTCCCTCCACTCGACTGCGCTCATGAACATTATCCACTTGAACCTGTCGATCTTTTATGCTGGTCAGATACGGGACCAGTAGTTTATCTCTGATCGCCCGTTTCTTAGAGATAATCTGCTCCCATAACGGTTCGACAGTCATTGCGATGGTTTTTTTTTTCTTGTCCAAGTTGTTAACCCAGGGCCCCCTTTACCCCTCATCCTCTCTTTATATATTCTCCAAAATAACAATCAAGTGACTTCGGCAAGATGGCCGTGATTCCGTTATCAACATTAGCTGAGTGGGGACGGGAAAAGCGGAGTGCAGTCTAATCGAATAGCTGCATCTCTAGTAGTCGGATCGGAGACATGCGACATTTCCTATGGAGAATTTGGAGTCATCGTCAATTCGAATTTGATCTCTTGAGGAAAAACCAATGGTAATATATGCAATTTTTCGTCTTTTAGTATACTGCGCACCAAGTTGGCAATCCCCCCAAAAAGAGGCCGTTCACGGTAAAAGCTCAAGCGGGGATTTCCCAACTGAATGTGGGTCGCGGATCCCTCAACCTCGACCCATTCAGAACCAAACCAAAGTCTTTCTCTTCCCCATTAATCTTCAAGCTTGATGGCGCAACCGAGGCATCCTGGCCATGGATTCCACAACAGGGTCGCCGAGCTCTGGTCCGCCTGGTGCCATTCGCACACGCAATAAACCTCTGGCTAATCTCACCAAGAGAGCCTGCGACCAATGCAAGTTCCGCAAGATTAAGGTAAAATGCGATTCCGAGTTCTTGGGCCCCTCTTCCGCGCAGGGGGAGGAGGGAAATGGAAAATCAAATAAAAAAAACGGGCGCTAACCCGCCACAGTGCAGCTTGTCTCAACCCTGCAAGGCTTGTCAGTCTATGGGATTCGACTGTACATTCCTACAACCACAAAAGAAACGCGGCCCAACCGGACAGTAAGTCATCATCGATCAATCGCATCTCCAGAAAGTGATCCAATTTAACCTCTCGCCCCAATTTTCATAGTCGCGTGTCGCAAATTCGACAGCAGCAAACCCATCTCGTCCCGACTGGTCCACAGGACAACCAAATTGGTAAACCGGATGCCTTCCAATATCATGTTCCAGCTTCATCGGTCGAACCTAGCCAGCCCGTTTCTTTGGCGGGACCATCCTGGACATCGAACCCCGACATTCCGATACCGGTGAACGGCGCCGCGGGCCTGGCGCCATCGTCGGTTGTTGATACTTGGGGTTCAGAGAACACATCTTTGGATTCTCATGGTAGTAGCGCAGTTGGCTGGAATGACCAGCAGGATGTGGAATACTGGCTGCCCGATAATCTGGGTGCTCAGGTGCCAGTCTTTGAATTCCCAGGAAGCAACATTTACCTCAAGCCATCCCTGCCATCGATCATACAGACACCACCAGATATCTCTGCGATGAATCTCCATCCACAAGATCAGCATAATATCTATTCCCCAGCGGTTGGGTCGGTGGGCTCAATACCCTCGGAGAACCCGGAGGTAGAAGACTTCTGGCCGCCCTCCATCAACGAAGCGAACATGATTCCTTGGATCGATGTCTACTTTGACCGATTACATCCCACCGTTCCAGTACTAAGCCGAGCTTCCTTATTCACCCGCATGATGTCTCGAGAGCACCGCAAAAACCCCCAGTTTGGAGCCATGACATTATCTCTATGCGCATTCTCACTCACTCAGCCCATTGAAATCAATGAGCGCCCGACTGCCTCCCGCGCCACTCAGGCACGGCTGATGATGCACGAAGCCACCAAGATGCGAAGTTGTTCCGACTTTGGTGAGAATCCTACAATCGAGGCTGTTCTAACGAGCTTTTTCCTTTTTGGCTGTCTATTTGGAAGCAATCAGCACAATGCCGCTTGGCTTCGGATGCGTGAAGCTTTGGATCTTGCCTCCACCCTTGGTTTGAATGATCCTATTTCATACCGTGATCTTCCTGGTGAAGAGAAAGGCCAACATTTAAGGACTTATCTCGTGTTGTCCATTACGGAAAGGTTGGTCTGAAAGTTCCGTGAAATGTAAGCGTATAGTCAAGTGCTAATAAAACAACTTACAGAGCATATGCCCTTCAAAGGCTTCACCCGGTGACATTTTCGGGGAAACCTGGTTTCAGCATGCGTTCTGTGCACGAATTCTTGCACAGTGCCACCCATAGTCTTGTTTCGGGCATAATTGTTCACAATGAGAAAGATGCCGAGGGTATGATGGGCCTTGCAAGAATGATGGAATTGTTTGACGCTATCGATGAAGATTTCATTCACTGTTGGAATAGACGATGCGACATTAATACAGGATTTTGCGCCAAGTTTACTGAAGCCAAGGCATTATCAATGCATGATAGTCTTTCGCGGGTCAGCCAGACCGAAAGATACAAGGGATATGATTGGTTTGAACGAGCAAAGGGAGATCATAACGACGGCAATGCTCTCTTGGCAATCGGTCTACGAGAAACCCAAGCTGCAGATGTATTCATTACGCAGAAATGGATTCATAATCGTGTTTGGCTTCTATGTCTGTATCACGGCCTCCTCAGAGCGAACCCGGATCGACCTGAAATGAGCTTTGGATACGCAGTCACCATCGCAGAATCGGCACTTCAAACATGCCGATCTTTAAGACTAAGCTCTATGGAAGCCCATGGAATTGGCCTGGTAAGTAAAATCGGACCTTGGCTGAAACTTGAATGGTCGTTTTTGTGCTAATGATTCTCAGACTGAGAAATTGTACGATGTCGCTATTGGAGCCACCGACATTCTTTGTAACATCACCCCTCCCTATGGTACAGGAATGACGCCCCTCGGCGCCTATCCTGAATCAATCTCCCCAAACTCCACACCACAGTCTCTGGCAGAAGACTTCCTCCTTCTTTTCCGAAGCTTCCGGGGTGGAAACCACCCGTATTTGGAGAAGTACCAATCCCACTTACACTCGCTACACATTCCTGCGAGCAAAGTCACAGGCTGGGCTCAGCAATGAACCTGAGTTCCTTCTCTTGTTTTTCTTTCTACATTGTGTAAATAAGGAACTGGATATGTAGACCCCTTTGTTATGATGAATCTCAAAACTCTGATATTATTCTCTCTCTGTATTGACCATGATACTTACTACCGGGTAGCTTCCAAACATGTCACTATATTACTATTATTTAACACGATTTAATCCCAAGTCCATCCCAAACATCTGCCTCTAGAAGTACCGCAGATGATTCCTCATCTCTATCATCGGTTGGTCCTGCAAAGAACCTGACACCGAAGCATCGGTCTGAAGGATGATAGATTCGGGTTGTGATGACCGTTCTCCCGTTCACAAACACTTCTAATACATTCTGATCAAAGAATGCGTGGATTCTTAGAGCCTCCTCCACCTCTTCTCCATCATTAAGATAGGAGAAAAGAGTATGAGGAGCAGATTCCTGGCCATGGTTGATTTCCGGATCAACTCTGGGTCGGTCAATAGTGAATGTTTCACTGTAGGAGTCCCAGGCAAGAACTGTACAATCTTCAAAATCTAGATTGATACTTTATCAGTAAAACAGACAGAGCCAAGCGGGAAAAAAACGAGTTTCACTTACCAGCACTGTGTGCAATCTCGACCCCAACCCGTTTGCATGACTGGCCAACTGAAAATGCAGCCTGTAACTCCCATCTATTTGTGTTCAACGACAAACAATTCGCAAGATCTTTAGCAGCGGAATTTGATAAGGATGATTCCGCAAGGTGACTTTGAGTAGCTCTGTGCCGAAGACGGGAAAGTCGCGAGTCCGGGCTGATTCCCAAAGTATGAATCGTGAAGGTACTTCCTTCTGATTTTACCGTTTCAATTGACGTTATCGACTCTAGCGGGGAGTGTCGTGCTTTTACGACATGATGCAATGTCATGAGAGTTGCCACTCGAGGCAGCGAGGTCACACCACTCCATCCCTGGCGATGACGAAGACTATCAGGGAGATCATCTTCCGTCACCCAGCCATAGACGATTCGCTGGGAAGTCTCTGGATCCCAGAAAGAATTGGCCGCGTACAAGCAACCGTGATCGAAGAATCCAGCGAACGCGTAGGATGTGAGCGCATCGGTGGTAATGCTTTCATCCTTTGCGGATGATTTGACAGACATCCACATGAGACCTCTCGGATCCCGTTTATGGCGAGCTTCTCCAGCATTTTGGCTTGTTACCTCCGGGCGCAAACAACCCTCAACACCCATGATCACAAAGTCACGGGAATCGCGGGCATCGTTTGTCAAGGTCATTAGATTCGCGACCTCCCAATTGACCCCGAAATCACCGGACCATCGCGAGGGACGGAAGTTAAGCCCAACATTCACCAAAGAGCCGATATAATTCCACTGTCGCAGATCATCAGGCTGGACAGTATAGACGAAAACGGCGGGGTTTTGAGCCTTGATACCACCGGAAATAAACCCATGGAGACTAGGCTGAGGCTGTGACTCTTGTGAGTCAACAGCACGCCCTCTTGCCCAGGTGGCCAGGAAGGGATCTCTCCACCCAGTGACTGGGAGGTTATCAGGCGGTCCCGGAAGGATAGGATTGCAGTCCTGGCGTTCCCAAGTCCTTCCGGCATCTTTCGAGACGGCCAAGCTCAGAGACTCACATCCCGTGGCATAAGGGAGTGTGTAATGGATGGGAAGATGGCTGACAGAGGTGTAGAGGACTGTCAAAGCCCCGGGGCTTCCGTGGATATCAGATGCCTGAAAACAGCCGGTGAAAATACCGCACTTGTCATAGCTCGCAGATGGTATTAAAGCGGGAGTCGGCGATATTTCCCAAGAAACAAAATCGGTTGAAGTGGCATGACCCCAGGACATGTTGCCCCAGTCGTTGCCTAATGGGTTCCATTGGAAGAAGGCGTGGTAGAGGCCTGTGGCAGGGTCGTATCCCAAACCACATGGATCATTCTGCCAACCATTTGGAGCGCTCAGATGAAATGATGGCTTCTGTCCTGACCTTGAAGCCTGGGTGTGCTGGGCGTGATTTTCCAAAGACGATTGGCAATGCTTTCTTTGAAGTAGTTGGTCGACCTCTGGCGAGCCCAGAATGGCGGACATGCTGTATATACTTGGTGATTCTTTTGGTGATAATTCTTTTTGTTTGATTCTTTCTTTCTTATGTTGAAGAGGTTTGGAGGAAATCCTGAAAGTACATTTAAAATAATAAATCCTAAACTGTTATATCATCAGGATCTTTGGATATGATTCAATAGCTCATGAGCTCGGCAACTGGGGAGACAACTCGGAGAAACCAGTTGACCCACCAGCTCGGCAAATCTGAGATTTCGATATTGATTTGATAAAGAGAATTCCGTGACTGGATAACGTCAAGTATTTTTTTCTCCGGGGCACTTCGGAGATGCGCTCGGCATCAGACATCGGATTATCGTCGGCGAAACTGCTAAATGGAACAAAACGAACTAAAGAACCCCACGATCGGCAGTCTGACAACAGCGGAGCCCCGCTATCATACATGTTCGGTCTTTTTGAATATAACGGAGCTAACATTTGAACATTTGAAAGTGATCAACACGAAAAAAATGCATTCTCGTCGATACAAAGGTGAAAACGAGTTTGGGATGTTGCTTCTGCTGCACTGGGAAACCTCGGAGAAACTCCCAAATCTTAGTAACTGAAACTTGAAAGCACGGTCTTCGAAATGTTTGGGAAAATTGATCCATCCACGCATTCTGCGGGGAAATGTTATGACATAACATTGAACTTGATTAGATCTGCATTGATATATAGACATCTGGAGGCCATATGAATGCTTTCAATATCGGCTCCAAGCGCCCTCTCGCACTGGTTTTACATCCTCCGCAGAGCCATGTCGACCGATAAAGACGAGATCGCTTCGTCCGAGATCGAGAATATCGGTCCTCAAAATGATCAGAAGAGTACGGTCAATACCCTTCTTGTGGTAGCCTGTATAGTCTTTGGTGCCGCGTCATTCATGTTTGGATATGATGATAAAGTCATCTCGCCTATGATTGCATTGCCAGCATTTGTGAGTCTAGGGCTTAGGCATTGTCCCCCATCCCGACCCCTTCCAATGTTCGAATGTTTTGGAGACTAATCTTCCTTCAGGTCGAAAGATTTCAAGGAGGTGATAGCCTCAGCGGCAGTCTCGTTCTGTCCGCTCGCAATCAAAACTTGGTGATTTCTGTTCCATTGGTGGGCGATGTGGTTGGAAGTCTGTTCGCTCCGTCTTTGACATTTCACTTTGGTCGAAAATGGCCATTGGTGGCGGCGTATACCATCTCCCTAGGGGGCAGTCTTCTCCAACTCTTTGCTCCGAATCTTGGGGCCTTTGTAGCGGGCCGATCTGTGAATGGGATTGCGATTGGCATCGCTATTGCCACCGCCCCTCTATATCTCTCCGAGGTAAGAGACATCAAAGGATTCTGAATGGACATCTTACTTGATGATACTAACTCTAGTAGGTGGTCCCTGCATCTATGCGAGGAAGATGCGTCAGCTCCATCAACATCCTAAACCTCATAGCCGGGGTCATCGGCACTATCGTGGTCTGGGCTACGGAAAGGATCGGTGGCCATTTATCATACCAGATCCCGCTTGCTATCCAGTGTGCCATTCCCGTCATTCTAATCGTGCTGACTTTGCCAATCCCCGAAAGCCCGGAATGGCTTGTTTCAAAGGGAAATATGGAACGGGCACGATATAATCTACGAAAGCTGCGTGGCTTTAGCGATGGACAGGTAGACGACGAGCTCCACCTCATGCAGCTATGCGAAAAGAATCATCGTGAGATCCGATCCGATGTCAAATTCTGGCATATTTTCCGCCGAGATCACCTCCGACGAACTTTGGTGGCAGGTTCTTTCTATTCATTGAACCAGATCTCCGGCATCATTCTGTCCACGACCTATTCGACCGTCTTTCTCGAAGAGATTGGAGCCGGAAACGCATTTTCTTTAACCATCATTGCATCCTGCTGTACACTAGCTGGAACCCTTGCAGCCCCACTGGTGATTGACCGTGCCGGTCGACGGCCCACCGCGTTCGTTGGCATGAGTATCTTGTTTGTGATTGATGTCATAGCCGGCGGCCTTGCCTTTGACACCGGCAAAAAGCAATTCATCGTGACTATCTCCGCACTAGGTTTTATTTTCAACTTCTTCTGGGCATCGTCATTCTACTCCCTATCCAACGTGATGCCCTCTGAGATGGCCACTACCAAGCTGCGCCACTATGTTATGTCCTATACCATTGCCTGTCAGGGGATTACGGCTGTCATAACTACCCTCGTTGTCCCACGGCTTACCTCTGCTGATGCAGCAGGCCTTGGAGCCAAGACATATCTTATATTTGCGGGGTGCATGGCCGCCATCATCGTCTACACCTACTTCCTAATGCCGGAAACAAGAGGCCGCACCTTTGCGGAAATCGATGAAATGTACGCTGCCAAAGTTCCTGCATGGAAATGGCGGTCCTACCAGACGACACTGGAAGCAAGAACAGGAGTGTCGAGAATTTCTGGAGAGAAGCCTGTGAATTTGTGAATGATAGATATTAGAAAGAAGAGCACATATACATACACTTTGTAAGTTTATACTATACAAACAAACACTACAAACATGTTATCAACCACACGTGATGATACTCCGATGTCGGCTTTGAACATATTGTAATTTCCAACTCGCGCAATTATAAGAATTATAAGCCCAAAGATTTATAATTAGGCAATTAAGTACACAGCTTGCAATTGACAAAGAAACGATTGTCTCAAGAGACAGACTGTATTATCTGTGGGTATTTCTGGTCGGTTGTGGCTGTTTTTGGTGTAGAAGATCCACCCCGCCATGAGCTCATGTAGAGATATGATCTTCATACACCAACAGCTACCTACTTCAGAGCCTTCGATGTTAGTTACAGACCACTTGATGAGTAAAAATACACCAATCTCTCTTGCAAGTGTTTCTGTTATTTTACAGAGTATTCTATCTACAAAATAGATCAAATCTCCCAAACCTATTCCTTGCATATACAACCTTAGGAAGCATACCCCGCCATTGCCGCCAAAAAAAAAGAAGAAATGTCGCAGGAGCTGAAGCGAATGATTGAAGAAGAAAACGCCCTGTAAAAGCAAGGAATTTCAATTAATTTGTAATATAAGAAACAAATAAGAATTGAAATTAGCTAGCGTTATTCAATAATCATGACTCTGACTTGACAGCGATGACTCTTAAGGTTGATTGATCCACCTGGTCCACTTGCGCGATCTTTTTTTCTCTTCCCTTTCCTTTCCTCTAGATACCCATTCCCCTCACACCCAAAACCAAATCACAAAAATGCCTTCCCGACAAGAAGTCGCCTACTTCGGAGCTGGCCCAGCTCCCCTGCCCACCTCGGTCGTCGAGGCCGGCGCAAAGGCATTCGTCAACTTCAACGACTCCGGACTCGGACTCGGTGAGATCTCCCACCGTTCCGCCGCCGCCAACAAGATCCTCGATGACGCCAAGGCCAACCTGACCGCCCTCCTCGATATCCCCGATAACTATGAGATCCTCTTCATGCAAGCCGGCGGCAGTGGCGAGTTCAGCGCTGTCGTCCAAAACCTCGTCCCGGTCTGGATTGAGCGTCGTCGCCGCCGCGCCGAAGCCGATGTGCTGAAGGCCAACCCCGGTGCCGAGAAGGCCCAGGTTGACGAATTGGTGTTCGAAAGACTGCAGAAGGAGGTTGATGAGGAGCTGAAACTGGATTACCTGGTTACCGGATCTTGGTCGCTTAAGGCTTCGCAAGAGGCCGCTAGACTGGTTGGCAGCAAGTACGTCAACATTGCTCTGGATTCCCGCAAAGCCAATGGTGGCAAGTTCGGTACAATTCCCGCCGAGGAGACTTGGTCATTGACCCCTACCAAGCGGGAAGGTGGAAAGGGCTCCGCATTTGTCTACTTCTGTGACAACGAGACCGTGGATGGAGTCGAGTTCCAGGAATTCCCCAAGTCATTGGAAGCACAGGGTCAGGATGAGGAAGATGAGCGCTTGGTTATTGCTGACATGAGCTCCAACTTCATCAGCCGCAAGGTTGATGTTAGCAAATATGCCGTGATTTTCGTGAGTGTAGCCCCCCTCACCCAGACGATCAATAGTAGGCAGGGCAAGCTTTGGACTAAACAATTCTACAGGGCGGCGCGCAAAAGAACATCGGTGTCACTGGTATCACTCTCGCTATCGTTCGCAAGGATCTGCTCCCTCCTCACACTGCCACCCCTCCCCCTGCTCTCCTCCACCGCTTGAAGATCGGTGGCCTGCCCGGCCCCGTCGTGCTGGACTACGCTACTATCGCCAAGAACAACTCCCTCTACAACACTCTCCCCATCTTCAACCTCTGGATCGCCGGTCAGGTCATGGCCGACTTGGTGGGCATTTTCGGTGCTCAAAAGGTTAGCGGACAGGAGGAGATCGCCAACCAGAAGGCACAGCTCATCTACGGAGCCTTGGACAAGTACCCGCAAGTGTATCAGGTTGTTCCCGATAAGAGCATTCGCAGCCGAATGAACATCTGCTTCCGCGTTCACGGTGGAGATGATGCTAAGGAGAAGGAGTTCCTGGCTGGCGCTGAGAAGCGTCTTCTCCAGGGCCTGAAGGGTCACCGCAGTGTAGGTGGTATGCGGGCCAGCAACTACAATGCCGTTCCCCTTGAGAATGTGCAGAAGCTGGCCAAGTACCTTGAGGATTTCGCCACAGGCAACTAGACTGCCTCCGTGGCGCCTTCTTTATTTCTTTTTCATTTCCTTTTTTTTATTGACGTATAAACGGGTTCAACCTGAGCATTCGAAGCGGAAAAGCTATGGGTCATTTTGGAGTGAGACGCCCAAACGTGATAGAAAAAGCTTTTCACTATTCAACATAACTCCTCAAAATATGGTATATGCTTATATGCTAGGAACAAAACATAATGATACAGATGACCGAAAAAAAAACAAGTGCTTATAGCTTCCAAACGGCCCAATCATTTAGATCGAGTTCTTTAATTACTCCCTGGACTGGACCTTGAAGCTCCTGTCCTTGGGCCCAAACCTTGGGACCAGCCATATAACTGATGAATCCCTCGGGACCTGATACCACTATCAATTTCTTCTGCGGACCATCAGACGGCCCACTAGATTTCACAACATCAGAGATGTCGTTTACCCGAATAAATCGGTTTTCCTCGTCTAAATAATAGTCCACTTTGACCTGACCGGGGTATTGCGATTTGAGAGCCTCGAGATCTTTCACAACAAGAGAAGTCTTCCTCTCCTCGAGCGGAAGAACTGTCGCTCCCTGGTCAGGAACGTCGGTCTTGGAACCAAACCACGAGAACCAAGAGCCGCGAGACGGCAAACTTCTAGGCGTGTCGCTGTCACCCCCAAGACAGTCTTCCTTCAACCGACTAGCCCACAGGATGTGAATCTTCGGCCGGGATTCATCATTTCGGCGACTGAGAAGCGAGTATCCCGCCTGCAACGCAGGCGCAATCCCAGTACCGCCAGCGATGAAGATAATCTCCTGCGTCTCATCCGGGATTGCGCACTCAATCTGGGGACCTCGCATTTCAATATCGGCCCCTATACTCAGGGTATGCAGGTATCGGGAGACCTCGCCGAACGGATCTTTCCGTATAAAGAACTGCAGGTACCCTTCATTTTCCTCATCCACGGTCAAAGTCGTCGCAGATGTCGGAGGGAGAGGTGTATAGTCACGGCCGATTTGTAGTTGGGGCTGCTTGAACATCACACTCCATACACCGATGCGCCATGCGCTTTCGTAGACATCGTAGTTGCTGCCGCTGGGGTATCGGGGTCGAAGGGTGAACAGGCTACTTGTGGCCGAAACCTGTTCTCTGGAGACAAGACTGTACTTGGTGAATGTTTCCTCATTCAGCGTCGTTGATCCAGGGCTTTGTGATCGAAGATAGGCGCCAGCGCCAGCTGCCGTAGCGGTCACGACGAGAACCCCCAACCAGCGGTTTTTTCGAGAAGCCGTCGCGGAGGCATTTGAGGTCGAGGCGTATCGGCGAGGTCGACTTGCGGACTGGATAGCTCTGAAGCTGCAGCGCTGGGAGGGGATTAACGACTTCATGGGACTTTGGGGGGTGTTTGGTATTAGATCTCAACAAGAGGAAAAGCGCGGGGGATTTGGCGGCGCAAAGGGGATTCCGATTGGGCGATCGTTCCCCATTTCAATGAATTGCACCCCTTGGCAACTCTCGCAATCTCTCTCCTTTGCCCACTCTCTTTTTCTCTTTCACGCTTTTTCTCTCCCCCTATTCTCCATATTCACACATTCAATACAGCGATCTTCTGTGGGGGGGATATGGAGAAAGTTATCAGCTTCTGACATCAGTCCAGTCGAATAGCGCTCGGCTTTAAGCAAACGGATCGCATCAGCCACACCTGCCCCAAGCATCTATAACAAAGGAGAGAGAGAGAAAACCGAGCACAGATAGAAAGAGGATGTCAAATCCATTCGCTCACGAGTCCAGAAATGGCAACCTCGCCGCTCCACGAGATTCACTAGAACTCGCATCCCTCGCCTCGTCTTCCCCCGCCTCGATAGACGGTTCGTCACGCTCATCGTCCCCGGACGGCATCTCGTCATCGCGCAAGCTCTCCCTCGAGGATGAAGATCCTTTGGCCGGCCCTGCAGAAGACGGCTACCTCGAATCAGGCCACACACGGGGTCTCCGATCATACTCGGTTTCCTCCGCGTTCGACTTTGGTGGCAACCTCTTCCCACTCTCACAAACACAAGGTGGCTATGCACCGTTAGGCACCCCGTCGCTAGATCGCCAAGGTCAAGACGGATCATTGGAACGGAATAAGACATTAACATACCTGAATGGTCTGTCACTAATTGTCGGTCTGATTATTGGCTCTGGAATCTTTTCGTCCCCGAGTCAAGTCAACGCCAACGCCGGGTCTCCGGGCGCCTCGCTCATAGTCTGGGCCGTGGCGGGCCTGCTCGCCTGGACGGGCGCTGCTAGTTATGCAGAGCTAGGAGGCGCAATCCCGCTGAATGGCGGTGCTCAGGTGTACCTGTCGAAGATCTTTGGAGATCTGATGGGCTTTTTGTTTACTTGGTGTGCGGTGTTGGTGCTGAAACCGGGGTCGGCAGCGATCATTGCGATCATTTTTGGAGAATATGTCGTGCGAGGATTTGTCGGAGCCGACGTGGTGATGGGCAATCCGTGGATCAACAAAGGTGTTGCGCTCGGCGGATTAATGCTTGTGACGGTGTTCAATTGCATCTCGACCAAGATCGCTACTCGCATCGGTGATCTTCTCATGTTCTTCAAGTTCATCGCTTTACTATTTGTAACCGTGACGGGAGTCGTGGTCGCCATCACGGGCTTCTCAGCCAAAGGAGATGCCAATGAGGAGTGGAAAACTCACGGATGGTTCGAGGGTACTAATACCGAGATCTCTGATTTTGCCGTCGCGCTGTATGCGGGTCTGTGGGCTTTTGATGGCTGGGACAATGTAAGATGCTTCCCCCCCCCTTTTAACCACCGAGTTGTCTGCTAACTTTCTTCAATCAAGACCAATTATGTGACCGGCGAATTCAAGAACCCGAATCGCGATCTACCCCGAGTTATTCATACGGCCATGCCATTGGTCATTCTCTCATATCTGCTAGCCAACGTCGCCTATTTCCTCGTCCTCCCACATGATACCATTGAAGCCAGCAACACCGTCGCCGTTCAATTCGGTAGTAAAGTATTTGGCCCCGTGGGTGGTCTGGTGTTGGCGCTCGTGGTATCAGCCAGTTGTTTCGGCACCCTGAATGCCACCACTTTCACCAGTGGTCGGCTGGTATATGCGGCGGGCAAGGAAGGTTATCTTCCCTCAATATTTGGCCGACTTGGATTCTCCGGCTCGGCTTCTCAAGGACCACCAGCTGGTAGCCGCCTTCGTAGCCGGTCATGGGCTCGGCGGTCAATTTCGCGTGTGCTGGGTGACGATGCGCGACTCGGCTTCACGCCCATCAACGCCATGGCTTTCAACGCCACCTTGACTGCCATCTATATTGTGGTGGGTGAGTTTGGAACGCTTGTGACCTTTTATGGAGTTGCAGGTTATACGTTTTATTTCCTGACGGTATTGGGATTGATTGTTTTGCGCATTCGTGAACCGCATCTGGAGCGCCCGTACCGGACGTGGATCACGACTCCCCTTATCTTCTGCTGTGTCAGTCTATTCCTCCTCAGTCGAGCCGTGATTGCCGAACCTCTCCAAACCCTTATTGTTGTGGCCTTTATCATCACCGGAGTCCCCGTCTACTATTGGCGCATCTACCAGCGAGATGGACGAAGTGGAATCTCTGGATGGAAGTTTTGGAAATGGCGCACCAAGTAATTGGGGGGGGAAGCTCTCTGCTCTTCTTTTATGACACTTTGATACCCCCATGCATATACTACATCTGGAGGTGTGCGTGTATGGCTTTGACCGTGGATTTTCTGTAATATTTTCAAGACTTGGTCATGGCGAATTCTGGAATTCTCTTTTGCACAGCCCGTGAATTTGGCGTACGACGTGACGATGGTTTTCCCGAAGACGTTCTTATTTTTGTTTTTTTTTTATTGTCCCTGTCAGAAAGAAAAAAGAGGACAAGCCCATAGATTTCCAATATAATCATTAATTTAATCAATTTCTTTTCCAATTGGACTTCGGCCTTCCCGTTCAATGACTCGTTCAGGCGTACCATTGAAATCCCAGCCTCTCCGCAGCTCTTGCCGCGTGACTCAAGCCCTAAAGTCATGTTCAGCTCTCTGCTAGGTTAAGGCGGCTACTCTTCTCTTGTGGCTATGTCCATCACATTCAAATGTTTCCATTTGGAGATTCCAAACCCTGAAACATTTTGAAGATTTGACTATGTCTCCCGAGACAATCATTTCCAAGGTTCTATATGCCGGATGTATCAGATTCAGATTCAGATTCAGATTCCGATTCAGATTCCGATTCAGACTCAGATGCATATGCATGGATTCTTCTAGAAGAACCTTGAAATTTCCCACTCTGACAAAAGAGAATTTGCATAACCTATACCATGTACGACCTCGTATAATGCTAGCTCCAACCAAGTAGAATATCACAGTCTCAATTGAAGCCCAATACCTCCCGATCTGTGTGACCGTGTACACTTTCCTGTTTAGGCTAAAGATGATTCCGATCTATATAGATGATTCTATACGAATCGCATCTAAACATAGAATCGTCAGAAACGGGGAATTAGAGAAAGAAATCAAGCCAAAAGACAGAGAAAGCCGAGAAAGCCGAGAAACCCGTTAGAACAAGACATGCACGATGAAGCCGGGCTTGGCCCCCAATCATCTATGTATACAGCCACAGCCACTACGGTGTTCGTGGCGGTTAACCACAGCGTTGGGCTCTTTCTTTCATGAATGCAACGAATCAGATGCTCTTGAATATCTTGCTAGCGATCGATCAAATCAGATGGTTTGTTTTTTTTCTTCTTCTTTGGCCCCCAAGTGCAAAAAGCAAGGTCCCCCAGCTTATCTTTAACAGCACATGGGAAAATGCAGGGGCGCAACGTGGGAATATCTTATTTTTCTTATTTTTATTTTTAGTTGCGGCTGTCAGGGATTATCATAGCTAATTATCATGATAGATTAATGGATTAGTAGATTCGGTAGAAATGGCATATTCTCTTTATGAATTCCCCTACAGAGTAGGTACTAAAGATGTCAAATGTTTCTATTCTTAGTAGGAATCTGACTTGATTTTTTCCCAAATTCCTCCAATTTCCTCCAATCACATATAACTTCTCTTTCTCTTAGTCTCTCTCTACTTCTCTCGCAGTCTCTCTAATTCCCCGAAATTCAGAATCAAATAATCACTTTAATAAGCACTTGTGCCGAGCCATGTTTCATGTTTCAGGAAATATCAGCTGAAAATGTACAAATCAGAATTAACTACCTAGTATGAATATTAATTATAATAGTTAAATCTCATTAATAAGTCATGTCGTCATTCTCTGATTTAAAATCAGCAAAAAAATATGTACTGTATTACACATAGTAGTATGTACTAGTAGACCCCCAAAAAAGGCCAAGTCTTTTACTAGTCAGATCCATGATTCCCATACGCGCCCAGAAAAACCTAGTATAGACACTAATAGTGTACATAATGGAATTTTAATATCAAAGTACTTTCTACTTACTCTATTTTCTACTCTTTTGCATATTATACTTCTGACTTTTGCTACCTGGACTGAATCAGAGTCTTAAAATCTCACTTTTCTGAGTATCGTCTACTTGGGTCTAACTGACTCGGGTTCATCTCTTCAAGACTAAATTAGATCACAAATCAAAATAAATCAAAATAAATCACAAATTAACTCGTGAGACTCAGTCCCTGAGTCAGACATTCGGGTTCTTTCGTCTAGAACATCGCCCGAATGGGGGTTGCTTCTGTCGAATGGGAACTAGATACTGGGGTGCCTGAATGATTCATTCAAGGCAGACAAGGTATAAATATCAGATGCTCAAGCTATGCTCTCTACATACTTTACCTCTGCAGAAACATCCTCACTTCAAAGACTTTCTATATATATCTTGAACCTATCCACTCGAGAAAGCCATCTATACAATCAAGTGCTCCCAAGCTCAATCAATTCTTTGGTATACTTCTATACATCAATCCACACTTCCATCAACACTACAAACAACCCACATCTGAGCCTCAACCAGAGATCAAACTTGACTCTCACTACCTTCTACAACCTCAATCTCCAACTTTAACTTCAATCTCAACTTTCAAAATGGGTCGTGGTGGATACAACACACCTTCTGACAAGACTCCTACGCCTGCGACGCCAGCCAAGTGACCACACTGCTATGTTCTATCAACCATGAACAAAAAGCCTCAAAAAACAAGAAAACAAAAAAAAAAAAAAAAACGGTCATCGCCAACTACTCAGCAAGACACACATATCGAATGGAGAAAGAGAACCCTCACTGCTCGGACCGACGAGCATCTTCTCTGATACCTATCATCCACTACGAACTGGGCAGACAGATCACCATCACGAAGGAAATGTACAAAATTAGAATCATGTTACACTGGAGTTAGCGGTACACGAAAGGCTGGCACCTTGGGATCAATTGATGGCATAGAATCGGTGGAATGTATCATACATATAAATGAGAAAACTAGTCCGTTCAAGCTTGCACATGTGGCGTTACATATACAATCTCCAAACATTTAGTTTTTGACATTTCAAAAGAAACATTCAATGTTTGAACCTGTCTTGACTGGAACATTTCCAACATCTGAAGAGAAGATGCGTAGATATACTTATGTACATACATCTAGGTTTAGCATCCGATTTGGATACACAGGAATAGACTTGTAGAATATCGAACACCATATGCGATTCGATGGGAAAGTTTTGTCTATCGATCATGACCATATCGCATGTTCATGACCAATAGAACGTGACACGAGGATGGAGGGATGAGAAAGAGGGAGAGAGGGAGAGAGAGAGAGGGAAAAAAGAGAATTATGTACAAAAAGAGATAGCCCACAGGTCGGGAAATGCAAAAATGCCCTCGACCGAATCAAAAAGAAGAATCGGAATAAAAAAAAAAAAAAAAAAGGAAAAAAGGAAAAATAGACACATGTAAAAAGAAAGATGAAAAAGAAAAGACAATGGTATCATGAAACCATGCTTGGCTCATCATCACAGGGCAAGTCAAAAGGAAATATGGCGGGATCAAGGAGTGGGAAAGGGTATTATACAGTCGAGGGTATGTGGGAGGAGATTTTGATGCAAAGTATGAGTGAGAAGAAAAAAGAGAAAAAGAGAAGAAGAGAAAACCCGGAGACGGCATGATGGAGAAGAAATCTATCAAACATTAGATTATGGGGGGAGTATTTGAGACAATTGTGTCTCAATCCGATAATTCAATCGGATGTTCAGGTGAATCATGAGGTTCTTCTGGTGACGAAGGTTCATGCTCATGCTGCTCCGAGATCACAATAGAAGGTGGGTCGGCAGGAGGACTTGGTAATGCATCTTCGTTGCCGATGGAACCAGTTTGTGAGGGAGATGAAGGTTCGGGGACCGTTTGCAGACCACCATCTGCACTATCTTTGCTTCCTGTCGTGGCTCCATTGCGTCGTCGCATGCGACGGTTACGCCGCTCTTCGTCGGCACTCTCTCTTCGTCGTCGTTGGCGTTCACCACTAGCATCGGAATTGCTTCTCAACCCCATAAGCATGCTAGCTGCGCGATCCGCAACATCTTCACCTTCCGAGATCTGAGTCTCCTTAGTGTCATCTTCTCCATCGGGGATCGGAGGGCTCAAAAGACCGGTCTCGTCAGTCTTGACTTCACCATCAGCGGTTTGATCCACGACTGCATCGCCTTCATCGGCACCAGATACGTCGGGTGCGTGTGTGCCCGAAGCCACACGAACCTGGTGACGTTCCTTGAGTCGAAGACGGCGACGGCGATCGCGCTGATCCTTGGCTTGAGGCGCAGCAGCACGGAGCTTCTCCAGTAATGAATCCATCGCGCCACTTGTGGCGGGGGAGTTAGGGGTCTCTGCGGGGGCGGCGCCATTGGCAAGGTTGACGTTGATCCGCTTGCGAGCAAGAGACGCCTCGGTACGCTTCCGAGATTCTTCGAGACCAATGTTCTTCTCCCGTGATTTCTTCCACTCAAGCAAGAACGAGGCCAATTTAGCAAAGAAGTCTCGTCGGGCATTTTCATCACTATTGTCTTCACCGTAGAACACCATGATATCATCATAGGACTTGACCATTTCATCCAAGTAAAGCTGCATTTGGTCAGCCTTGCGGCGAGCGTCCTTCATGCTTCGTTGAACAATCTGGCTAACGCGGTCTTGGGGATGGAACTTCTTCGAGTCACTCAGGTTGCCCGCATCCAAGCTAGATTGAACGTTCTTGATGTTGCTGATGTACTTCTTGGCATCGGTGCACAATTGGTCCACATTGATTTTCTGCAGGCCAACCACACCACTGATATCTTCATAGAAGCTCTCCCACTCGGGATACTGGTTGCGTACAATACGCTCGACCAGGTCGGCAAACGTGGTCTCGTTCTTATCATCCTTGACCATGCCCAATCGAGCAAGTGAGCTGAGCTTGAAGCCCTGGGCCTGCTTGTTGGCATCGTTCATGAAATTTCCAATATCCAAGATGAGACCAAGAACGTTCATTAGAGCAACAGAGTCCCGCAAGGATTCGCTGGCAGTGACAACATCCTGCATCTTAATCGAAAGGTATTCATACTCGTGTTCAAATGACCGAGTTAGCGCAAGAGCTCGCATTCTCGCTTTCCAGTAATGATTCAGCTCGTAGGATGTGGCCAGGTAGATTTGATCTTCACGAGTAAGCTCGGTAGGGTCCTGTTCACGCTCAGAGCTAGAAGCACCCGGGCCAGTCCAGTCTCGACTATATGGCGCCATGAGCTTGGAAACATTCTCCGGAATATTGCACATCTCTTCTCTTTGAAAGAAATCCATGACAACCAAGTTATCCAACATCTCTCGATCACAATGGATGATCATGCGAACCACTTCATCGGGAGGAAATTGGGAAAACTTTGAAAGAGCAATCTGGAAATTCTTGGACAGGTCATTGGAGATGATCTGCTTCTTGTCCTTGCGTTTCTTAGCTGCGGTGCTGGCTCCAAAGATCTTGGTTTCTTTCGCCATGAAAAGACGCTCAACCTCGTCCAATACACCCTTCTTAGCAAGGTCGGTGTATTTCTCTTCTTTATCTTCCGCTGTTGGAGCGTGGCCCGCCCAGACCGTCACTTGAGGAGTATCAACCTTGTCCCAATGCAAGGCCTTGAGTTTCTTCTTAGGACGAATAAATGGCATGTGAGTGGTACCAGGAACAGAGCCTCCAGCCATGTAGTGTGGTCTCCAGCCAGAACCCAGGGGAGCATTGGGCGGAGGAGGGGGAGGAGCAAAGCCACCACCTCCAGGGGGCGGGGGAGGCGGGGGTAGACCACCAGCAGCCCCTCCAGGAGGGGGTGGGGGAGGGGGTCCACGAATAGCGCCTCCTGGGGGAGGTGGGGGAGGTGCACCAGAGAATCCTCCTGGGGGAGGCGGAGGAGGAACACCAGAAAGCCCTCCAGGAGGAGGTGGAGGGGGTCCGCCAGAGAACCCACCTGGAGGAGGGGGAGGGGGAGGAAGTCCGGACTGGGCACCACCGGGGGGAGGAGGCGGAGGTGGGATGGAAATTCCCTTTGCACCACCAGGTGGCGGCGGGGGAGGTGGCACAACACTGCCTCCTGGTGGTGGTGGAGGTGGAGGGATCGAGAGTCCTGCGGCACCAGGGGGAGGGGGTGGTGGCGGAGGTGGAGGCATTGCCAGTTTGTCTGACTCTGCCTTAGCATCAGACCTGGGTGCTTCTGTTGGTGTGATATCTCCAGCTAGGGCTTCCTCTGCATCATTTGTTGCCTCGGGGCCTTCATCGTACCTGGGCACCTTGAGAGCTAGCTCACCCAATAACCCAGTAGCCTGTGCAGGGTTCATACGATGCTGGACGCCCATCATACCATGAGACTGATCATATGTTGCCTCGTCACCCTCCAGGATCGTTGGCACTGATCCATCCGGAAGCTGATCCATCTCGGGTACATGGCTTCGCTTGCGGTACACAGATCCCAGGGATCCGGGGTCCATAGTGCGACGAGTTTGCTCAGCAAACTCCTCGCTGGTATCTCCATCGCCGTCCATCTGCTCACGGAGTTCACGCAATCGGTCCGACGGGCCATTTTCAAGTTGACCCCAAACCTTGCCTTCGAGCTTGAACTGGGTCTTGGTTCTTTCAAGTTGGCGCTCCAAGCGTTCCATAAGGCGCTCCCGATCCATAATGCCGGGCATTTGCGATGGATCCGCTTCGCCTGTTTGATTGAGTTTCCGAGCATTTGATGCGGCAATATCTTGAGCATCCCGAAGCATGAGATAAAGCTCTCGAGTCTCCAATTCATTGCGTTGCAATTCCTGAGCACGTAGGCGCTGGACTTCTCCAACTTCGGCTTTCATTGACTCATTTTGGCGTGTTTGAAGGTCGATGATACCAGCCTGCTCCTCAATCTGCTTCTGTAGTTTCCGGACGAGACCATCCGCACCCAGCTCTACCTGGGCTTTCATCTCATCGCGCTCGGCGATGGCAGCCTCAGCGATTTGGCGGACTTCCAAAGACTCATCGTATACTCGCCTTGCCTCTGCATCTGTATGGAGTCGATCCAAGAGGCTTTGCACGGTGAAATTCAAGCCCTGCCGTAAGTCAAGATCGGGAAGCCTTCGGTCCATGGCAACATAGCTCATCATGGCATCTACGAGCTGGAACATCCGTAGGCCTTCTTCACCGGAATTCTCACGAATAAGAAGCATATGCTGCATAGCTGACAAAAAGTAGTCGTGGGACCGAGTGCCATTGATCTTTGTAGCAATGGCATCCGCGATCTGGAGAGGATCACTCATGTCCTTGACCTCGCCCTCGACGCTATCCTTCATACTGCTGCCCTCCCGTTGGAGTAGATCTTCATAGTCGATAGCCTCATTGTCACGGAAGCGTTCAATTTGCTTGTCAATCGCCTCATATTGGAATGCCTCCAGCTTCGTCAAAAGACGAACGATTCCACATGATGTAAATTGGGCACGAATATGACATCGCAATTGCAGGTCAGTCTGAGCGCCATCCACCAACATATTGATGAACATCATAGTCGAGACGGCATACTCCATTAAGAGGTTCTCCATGCCAATACCTCCACTGCGGTACTCCTCGCTGGCGCCGACCATACTTCCCATTTTACCACGGCCATCAATGGTAACTTCGACATTCCGCATCCAGGCATCGAAGCGACCGGTCTCATTGGCATCATGCTTGACTCTATCCATAGCCTGTAAGACCTTCTGGTGGCCTTCTCCCTCGGCCCAATGGGAAAGGAACGTGAGAACTTCGCTGACAAGCTTCCGAGTGTGGAGGCGAGGGGACGATAGAGAGCTGACAAGGGCAACAAGGACACCTTGATGCACAAGAGCATCATCAGCACCATACTTGTTATTCATGAGACCCTTCAAACATTTGGCGATATCATATTCTCGTTCAAGATCCTTTTCACCAATCGGGGTTGCGGGAACTGGACCAGAAGGCTTTCGTCGATTGATTTTTTGCAAAACATTTGTCAAGGCCACTTGGCCCTGGGCTTCAACGAAGGATTTGACCCAGCTAATCGGCTGTGTACGCAAACTGACACTCAGACTAGCGAGCTGTTTGGAAGTGATCGTGTCGTCCATCACCTTCTTCACATACCACTCTGGACTTCCTTCTTCATCGGCACGCTCCAGAAGACCAGATAATCCATCATGGCCGTGGGTTTGGCGGGCATTTTGCCTTCTCTTCTGTTCTCCTTGCAGCTCTGTCAATCGATCCTGGTGAACCAAAGTCCACTTTTTCGAGGCAGGATAGGACAGCATTTGCCGTTTGGCCTGTTCTGGGAGATTTTGCCAGCCTCGTTTATTCATGAGTTCCAGGAATAGCTGATCCACTATACGGTCATCTCTTGGCCGAGTAAGATACTCAGCAGGTGGTCGGGGTACGGCCGCGGGAACATTCTGCGGTTGCGAAGCTTGCCATGCAGCTTGTGCATTGGACAATCGACCAGAACTGCTGCTGGGAAGTATCGTGTTGCGATCACTTGAAGTAGACGCTGTGAGCGTGCGGCCAGAGCCATCGGAGGTAGAAAAGTAGTTGGAGCCGCGGGTATTGGAAGAATGGGATGAGTATAAGCTAGCCTGGTCAAGCGATGTTCGAGAATTCGATGAAGAATCGATGGATGAATTATGGCCCATGCCATTATTGGCGTTCGAGCTGCTCGGGCGTCCCCATTGTTGATATCTGGTCCCGCGCTCGCCTGACGAACTGCCTGTCATAGTCGTGTTCGTGCCATGTGGAGGCGGGCGGGGACCGGAGGGATGTGACGGAGATCCATTTGGCGCAGAGGTCGAGGTCCATACGGGGTATTGATGATAATCGCCGCCAGCCTTGCCGATATGGTTGGGTGAGGGTTCCTGGCGGGAATCTGGTCGGGCCATGTTGTCGATAGGAATGGGCGTTCTGGTATCGGAGGGAAGACTTTCGAAAGGGATGGAAGTGATGACACCGGCAGTTGGCGCGAGGCTGCTTGGGTCGAGATCGTGGGTCATGTCAACAGACTGGATTGAAGAGCGCTTGGAATATCGAGACGAGCGAGAGCCGGCGGCGCTTCCCGGCGGGGCCAGACTGTCATAGGAACCTCCGTATCCATCGTAGCGATCATCCGGTGCCTTGTCTTTGTACAGTTTTCTCCCAAAAAAGCTTTTTCCGGCCGAGGTCTGCCTGGACTTGTCGGCATTCGCGGGCATGTTGGTGGGAGTGTGAAGTGGCAGAGCGCAGCATCAAGGGCGCCCCTCGCACACTATCCAGAGGTCACGCGCAGTTGTTTCAAGTGAAATAAGTTGGGTTTTCGCGGGGGCGGGTCGCCAAAGATCTGGTGCACGAAGGCGAGAACATTCACGTCGGTTCGAGGTGATATCTGTTTTTGTCCCTCCCTTGGGCTTCTGTTAGTTAGTATACCCGCTTTGGTTGATATGGAGCTCGCGCGGATATGGATTGTTTATTAAATAATAAAGCAACCTTGTGGTGGGGAGGTAACTCACTAGAGAAGAATGAAAAGGGGAGAGGGGAACCGAAACTTGCAGGTATGCACCAGGCGAGTCCAGGGTCGATCAAAGCACGGGCACCTTTAATTGCAGATTAGGGGATTCATCTCATTAGGCATATTAGGGGCTTTACATCCTAGTTAGGCGCTTAGTCACTTGTCACTTCGGACAAACTCCCCGACCGGAAGTCACGTGCGGTCACGTGATGGGCTGTGGGGAAAGTCGCTTTCTTGTTCCTCTTACTCACTCTGTACAGATTTTATTTCGATTTTATATTTGAAATAAAACCTTCAGATCGCTGAGGGCATGTCAGAGGAGTCATAAAACCTGTTGAATTTTTGAATGTTGTTGTTAGTTGCGTTATACAAGTCCTTTTGTTTCGTGGGGTTTCTTCGATCTTCGGCCCCTGATACCAAACCGACCGGTAAACATCTCCGCTATCTTATCCCCGAAGTCAAGTGAGTAAAGTACTCAACCAAAGAATTCACGACTGTGTGCTGGGGGATTGAAAAAGATACATACGGGGGGCTTTTCCATTCATCGCAATGGGCTCTACATCAAATGTTGCCAAGGTCAGTATCGCATCTATCCCTTCTCCCGTGAGCAATTGCGGTCGTCGTCATCTTCAAGGCAACCACCAAAACAATATAACTAACAGCAGTGCTGCTTTGTAGACTATTTTGGTCCCTGCATCAATTGCACTGTCGTTCTATCTCCTATTCTCATTCCTAATTATTCCGTTCTTCCGGCGCTATCATCAACGGTACTCCCAATACCTCCCTCTTCATACTATTTCCGCACATACCCTGTCGGTCCGGGATCGTATGGCAGATGCAGTCATGCGCTGCTTTCTTCCATCATCATGGCGAAGAGGAGCTCATCTAGATGATCATGACAATATCGACATTGACGACGACGAAGGGGAGCTTATGGTTGGCATGGGCATGGACGCGGCCCGACGGGAAGCCTTGGAGCGCCATCGGAGCGCCGCTACAGAACCCCAGCCTCGACTTAGCCGAGAGCTAGAGGAAGGTTTTATGGATGATAGTGATAACGAGAGCAGTGAGGGCCGAGACAATGGGAGAAATCGAATTTAAGATTTCTCAGGCTAAGGCTTCAAGTGTTTTCTATTTACATATGGCTCGGTGGTCATTGGCGGCGTTCTTTTTCTTCGTTTGTATAACCAGCGACACTTGAAATATTCAAGACATACTACACACAAGGTTGTATAACCTTTCATATAGACATTTTATTATCCTTTACTTTGGACGCTTTGCCTTCAAATTTGCATTGGGACCTGGTACCTACCAGGCAAGTATTTAGTATAAACGAACTAGTGCCAAAAAGGCAAGGGAGGCTTAGGGAGCCGAAGGAACTAGATTTTGGGGGAAACCTTAAAAACAAGCCAACATTGAAACATGGCTCCTACTTTACTATGTGAGAACAAATTCAATATAATAATGTTTAAGTAAAGGCATTCAAATGTTGAAAGGATCCACTAGCCTGTCAGCTGGTTCTGTCGGATCTGTCAATCCGTTGAGATCGACAGTGGTCGCGCGCCCCACTCGATGATCACTGGGTACTGGCAGACTTTTCCTTGAACTTAAGCAAATGAGAATGAAGCACTGTGTTACATTGTTCAAAGAGATTTGATAAAAAAAGATATGTAATTTCATTGGTATCATAAATGCTATGTTTGTAGCATTACCTATGCCTTCAGAAGGGCAAGGTGAAAAGAATATGAACAATTGGAAGAAAAGAAACCATCAAGCGTCAAATCAAAGGGGAAAGTCCTTTTTATTCCCACAAGGAATTGGTCAGACAATTTACTTGCGCTGGCCATAAGCCTTGGTGGCGTAGTCACCCTTGTGGACGATCAAGTCCTGAGGGCGGTAATCCTCACGGCCGGAGAAGTAGCTGTCCAGGATGTCCTTGGTACCGTTGGCGTAACGGATCTGGGCATCAATGGAGGTACCGGACATGTGAGGGACCATGGCGTTACCGCCACCCCAGGGGTGCTCGGCGTAGCGGAGAGGGTGATCCTTGGGGGCGGGCTGGGGGAACCAGACGTCACCACCGTATCCGCGGAGGTGGCCAGACTTGAGAGCCTCGGCAACATCCTCCTTGACGACAATAGCACCACGGGCAGTGTTAACGAGCCAAGCACCTGATTATTCGTTAGTCATTTGCGAGGTCAATCACGTATTGCAATTGTCTTAACTTACCAGGCTTCATCTTGGAGATCAGCTCCTTGTTGAACAGACCACGGGTCTTCTCGTGCAGGGGGCAGTTAATAGTGACAACGTCACACTGAGCGAGCATCTCCTCGAGGTCCTCAACGCGGCGGCAGCCAATCTCCTTCTCGGCCTCGGCGCTCAGGGGCTGGTAGTCGTAGTAGAGCAGCTCCTTGCAGTCGAAGGGCTTCAGACGGCGGAGCACACGCTCACCAATACGGCCGACAGCGACGGTACCAACAACCTTACCCTCCAGGTCGAACTCGTTCTTGGCGACAGCGGCGACGTCCCACTCACCGTTGCGGATCTGGTCGTGGGCGGGAACGAAGTTGCGGACCAAGAGGAGAATAGTCATGACGACATGCTCGGCGACGGAGACAACGTTGGAGCCAGTGACCTCAGCGACGGTGATACCACCGTTGGTCTTGTTGGCAGCGTTGAGGTCAACGTGGTCGGAACCAATACCGGCAGTGATGGCCAGCTTGAGGTTCTTGGCCTTGGCCAGACGCTCAGCAGTGAGGTATCCGGGGTGGAAGCTATTCAGTTGTTAGCGGTTTGTTGCACAGTTGGATAAATTTTGTGGTGAAGGGTGACGAACGGAGTAGTGATGATGACTTCAGCGTCAACAAGCTCCTTGTCGAAGGTAGAGTCCTCGCCCTCCTTGTCGGAGGTGGTCACCAGGGTGTGACCCTGGTCCTCGAGCCACTTGCGGATACCGAGCTCATTCTCAGTGGTACCCAAAAGACGGGGCTGCTGCTTGGAGTGCTCGCCACCCTAGAAGTAATAATCAGTAAATGAGAATATATGAAAAGAGAGGGAGTTAGTTCCAAAAGGACCATTCACTTACGTCGTACAGAACCAAAAGAACTTTACCCTGAAGGGAGGTAGATGCGGTTAGCGTACGTGCATTGGCAAAAGCACCAGTCGGCCTCATAAAGGTGTTGGTGGTGGGCTTAAAAGCCCCCGAGAGCAATTGAGTGGCAGGCCGTCGCAATTGACGGGAAAGGGATCGAATAAATACCATTTTGAAAAAAGTGTTTTAAATTAAGGGATTTAAAATGTGAATGAAGAGAAGAAGAAGAAAATCTGAAGAAGTCAGCGAATGTATTACAAGTTAAATGGATGAAGTCAGAGAAGGTTTGGAGAAAACCGGCTATAGAGCGGGGGAAGAGTGGGGAAAGCTTTGCTGCATAGATGTTTTTGGAATTTTCTTACCCGTATATGAAGTGCGGATTTCGAGATGTTTTTTGGGATGAGATAGAGAAAGAAAAGAAATAGATCTTTGGGTTTGGACCAAGTGTTATATAGAATTTATTGCCCCTCTCTTCTACTCCAATTGAGCGCCCCTCTTTTTTTCCCTCATTGAACCTTCTTGGGATACATTACACCAAGTTCCATCTAAGCTAGAGCTGCCCAAACACGTCGTGCTGCAAAGGCGGGACCCGGGACGGGAGAGTAGCCGGATGGGGTACTCAACCACTCACGGTCCAAATTGTCTCCGCATGAGGGACAAGGAGGGACAAGGAGGTGGTGGGGGGACCTTGTGGTTCGTGGTCTCGCCAAAATTGTAACAGTGATCCTCGTGTTCCAAGTCATCCTTGCATTAGTGTGATACCTTGTTGGTTGTACCTACTCTAGTTGATTTGATTATGAAACTCATACATTTACTCCGTGATTACTATATTAACGTGCGGGGAACTTGAATTTTGGAAATCATAATGTATGGGCCCATAGAGATAGTACCTACTAGCTGTAAGGACCAAGTGGGTTCTTCTGTAAGAGACGGAAGCACTCCCGGGAGCCGTGTGTATTGCGACCGGTAGGAGTGCAAGAGACAAGTTAAAGATACAAGTTGATACAAGCCGAAGTATCTCCAACGATCTTGATCCGTGATGAAATCACGCTAATCCATATTCGCTTCTTCTCCGCAGCGGGGAAGCTGAGGTAATGAGGGGTAAGCTCTTCTAAGCTTATTCTCTACAAAAAAAAAGTAATAAAGTGGTTTTATTAATAAAACATTCCAAGAAAAAAAGAACATGAAACAATTACTCCACTCGATAACCATGCCCAAGCTTTCAATTCCGTGGGGCTACTAAAAGCTGCCATCTTTCCCTGTGATCCCCGAGCCATTTCCGTCTTTCTGCCGAATGTCGGCCTTTTGCACTTTTTCTCCAACTTTGAGACCCGCCCATACATAATCTTCCCTGCTTTGGTGAGGAGGGTGTCTTTGTTGGGGAATCTGCCCTCACGGATCCACCATCTGCTACGAGGCTGTGTCTACGGGATACATACTTCCGAGAATTTGGAGTCACGGAATGGGGAATTTCGAATTGCCTGTCTCCGTAACATGACTTGGACCGGCTCGCATGCTTGTCCGTGATCGCCTTCCCCTGAAGTACGAGGGGTCTAGGAATTGAGTGGCCAGAGAATCTTTTTTCACCCTATTTCTTCATCCCCTCGATCTGATCGACGCTTTCATGAGACAAGACCTTCAATTTGCCAAATTGCATCGCCAACTCGATCGCTTCCTCGAGAGTGTGAACCAGAAACCTCGATTTGCCGGTTAACGTGCTGTCTGCAATTGCCGCGAGGACAGAATCAATTGAAACAGACGTCAATCTCCATCGAAATGCACGAAACACTATGAAAATGGGGCCAGATGCTTTACTACTTGACCATCGTTCGCATTGGGCTGAAAGCTGCCTATCCTTGATCAATTCGCAGTTTTCCAACAATTCTGTGAAAAGAGTCACGGTGCTCAGTTGCTAAAGAAACTTATTTGTGAACTTTTCCCAAAAAGGATCATGGCTAATCTGTGGTGATCGACCCCTCTAGGCTATTTACATAGTTGTATTATTACCCCGCTGGCAAACCCCCGATCGGCAAAGCCTCGAAATCGCGAGACCACCTTGCAACCCTATTCCGGAGTCGGCCTATTTTCCAGCAAACGATTTGAAAGCTGATCAAGGAAAAGGGTTCAAGTTACAGAAGGGTTTGTTTATGGTGCGATTCCGATATGGTGATGTACAAACAATCGATCGGGTTACGTCGTTAGGACTCGTTCTGCGACCTCACAATTGCCACTCATATTCAACCAAGTAGGAAAATAGACGGATTGAGACTCATGAAGGGGCAGAAACAATTCCTATACATTGCAAACACTTGGAGGAGTTCTTGTTTCGTGAATATACACAGGACATGAAAATGGCGGGGCTATTGCCAATGGCAGAGCAGCATACATCAAAAACAAAGGTTCAATGAGCTCCTTGGTCAAGGCCACTTTGATTGAATCGGCTTTTAATCTCATGGAGTATCCGAAAATCATTATTAAGTTCCTAGCAGGAAATACAAGCGACTTTGGACAAGAAAGAAAACAAAGGCCTCGGGCAGCAAATCAAGCGCCGCGATTGCTAATCCCGCTAATCTCCGCTCCGTGCGCTCGGAGATTGTTGATTTCGGGATTTTTGGGCCTCGCGCGTTCTCTGTCACTAAATTAATTATAATTCTTTTCCCCAATGCAACACCTCTTTCATCCATAACCAACCCTTCACTATCAAATGAGATTAAAACCAGCAGTCCCTATGCAGTCGCTAGTACGCGGCTGCAGCGTGCGCACACACCAAAATCACAATCTCATCCGCCTGTTGTCCAGCACCTCATGCCGCTCAAGCAGGCTTCGCGCTCGCCTCGAGATTCCTCCCCCGTTCCCTGTTACAAAGACATGTCCCGAACCAACATGCAACTGCCCGTCTACGCCATCCATGCCGGAAGGACTGCCGATTGATCATGAGCAAGCATTGAACGGAACAATGGCGGCCTATGCGCAGCAGCTTTTGATCTGCACAGGGCAGAGAGACTGGACGAGCCGGATTGAAGATGATGGAAAGAATCAGAGCTGGGGCGATCTTGTCAGGGCTCTAAAGCGCCTGCTCGGTCGCGGTGGTCCATATCTCGATGTATGCGCATTTCCCAGCATGTCTACTTGAACCTTTCGCTAACCTTCATTTCCCTCAAACAGCCCTTCAATAATGTCCTCGTCACCAATTCTTCCATCCTCCCTGCTGTGAGCAGCCGTACCTCTGCTTCTGCATTTTTATTCCCCAGCTTCAAATACATTCCTTCGATCCCAATCGAAATCCTCGAGTCCCCAGATACGACCGACTTGACTACATTTGTTCGCGCATTTCTCCTCCCTGAGAAACTACACAATATGCACTCAGGTTTACCTGAAGCTAAGCAAACGGACATGACCCGGGTGCCTGTTTTGGCTTCGAAGTTCACAGGCATCGTCGATATTGAGCACTCACCTACTGTTTTGATTTGCGGACATGGAGGTCGCGATATGCGCTGTGGTGTCATGGCACCTGTACTCGAGGATGAATTCAAGCGTGTGCTTCAAGCACAAGGTTTTACATCAACAGGCAGTGATGGCACGACTATCGATGACCCTAAGCATGCCCATGTTGGATTGATCAGCCACGTTGGCGGTCACAAGTATGCCGGCAATGTGATTGTCTATATTCCACCAAACATGACGATCAAAGGCTCAGATCCCCACCCGCTGGCAGGTAAGGGGATCTGGTACGGTCGTGTGGAGCCCAAGCATGTGCAAGGCATTGTGAATGAAACTATCCTTGGGGGCAAAGTAGTGGCGGACCACTTTCGCGGCGGGATTGACCGAAATGGAGATATCCTGCGGTTGTAGGCCTAGAACACGGGCCTAGCATTTTCGCATACTGTACAGTACTAGTAACTTTATGGGATAAACAGATACCAAAATAGACCGTCACATCTCTGGATACGCTTTCCTTTTCAGTAAACTTGGCGAAATGTCAATATTGATCGGCTTTATCTGCAACTGGCGCTAGTCCCGATCGGGCTTAAAGCTGTGCGGGCCCGGGGAAGTTTTGAAGATGAAGACTAAGCGTCACTCACTCCAGCATTGAACTGGTACTGGTACTGAAGTACCTAAGCACGATTACATACGACCCTTACTGAAGCATAATGATAAATCTATCATTATGCAAACCCTCTCCCGAGTTCGATTAACACCTCTAGCCTCACAGGCGCGGAGGTGCGCCCGCCCTGGCCTACGCCCATTCGCTCTCTCGAATACCCTTGTTCGCCTCGCCTCAGTAACCACAAGGTCCCGAAGCCTTGATCTTCCTGCCCTAGACAAGAAGTGGCAAGCCAAATGGAAATCAGACGCGAATTCGGCGCCATGCAGCACCGAACAGTCATCCGAGCCCAAGCCCAAGTCCTACATCTTATCAATGTTCCCCTACCCCTCGGGCACGTTACATATGGGCCATCTTCGCGTATATACCATTTCAGATGTGCTGTCGCGGTTTTACAAGATGCGCGGGCATGATGTCCTGCACCCGATGGGGTGGGATGCCTTTGGATTGCCGGCCGAGAACGCGGCGATCGAACGCGGCGTGGATCCTGCGGAATGGACGGAGCAGAATATTAAAAAGATGAAGGCTCAGTTGGGGAGCATTTCGGCTGAGTTTGACTGGGACAGAGTAAGTCGTGCGATCGTGGGCGGGATTTGCTATGCGATCAACTAACTTTCGGGCTCTGATTAGGAACTTGCGACTTGCGCACCGGATTTCTACGAGCACACCCAACGGATATTTTTGATGCTGCATGAGAAAGGATTGGCATATCAAGCTGAGGCTCTGGTCAACTATGACCCTGTCGATAAGACTGTGCTTGCGAATGAACAAGTGGATGCCAATGGGTTCTCATGGCGATCTGGGGCCAAGGTCGAGAAATTGAATCTCAAACAGTGGTTCTTCCGGATCACGGATTTTAAAGAAATGCTATTGAAGGATCTAGACTCGCTTTCTGGGGGCTGGCCAGAACGTGTTCTTTCGATGCAGCGAAACTGGCTTGGAAAATCGAACGGCGCTAAGATCAGGTTCCCTATGGCTGTTGATGGTACAAATGTACATGTTGATGTCTTCACTACACGACCGGATACGCTATATGGTGTTGAATATTTGGCTCTTTCACTAGATCACCCTATCGTCTTGAATGCTGCCGAAAAGGACTCCTCGCTTCGAGAATTTCTGGACGAGGCAGCGGCACTTCCACCCGACTCGAAGGCCGGCTACCGTTTAAGTGACATTACAGCGTCTCATCCGTTACTGAAAATTGACAGCGAAAGCCCTCAGTTGGAGAGAAATCTTCCCGTCTTTGTTGCGCCCTATGTCCTCAGTGATTATGGCGAGGGTGCGGTGATGGGTGTGCCGGGCCATGACACCAGAGACATGGCATTCTTCAAGGAAAATGCAAACCCTGAGTCAATTCCTATCGTTATTGAGTCGGAGCCATCTCAAGGGAATGACACTGCTGTTCCAGCGCGTGGCGCGAAGGCCTTCACACAAGAGGGCTATCTTACCTCGCAATGTGGAAAGTATCAAGGCCTGCATTCCAAGGAAGCTGGGCAACAGATTGTCAACGATCTCAACAAAGAGGGACAGGCCAACTTCGTGGAAAGCTGGCGCCTGCGAGACTGGTTGATCAGTCGGCAGCGGTACTGGGGTGCACCTATTCCAATCATTCACTGCGGCGAGTGTGGCCCCGTCCCTGTGCCGAAAGAAGACCTCCCGGTCAAATTACCTAAGATTCAGGGAGATTGGTTGAAGGGTAAGAAGGGTAACCCTCTTGAATCATCCGAAGAATGGCTTCACACAGACTGCCCCAGCTGCGGAGGGCCAGCAAAGCGCGACACGGACACTATGGATACTTTTGTTGATTCATCTTGGTACTTCCTCCGGTTCCTGGACGCGGCAAACAAAGATGCCCCATTCTCGGCTTCTGTCGCGCGATCAGTAGATGTATACATTGGTGGCGTGGAGCATGCTATTTTACATTTGCTTTACGCCCGGTTCATCTACAAGTTCCTTGCTCAGTCGGAATTATTCCCAGCTGCCGCGCCTGGTGAGCAATCGGTAGCGGAGCCTTTCAAGATGCTTTTATCTCAGGGTATGGTTCATGGCAAGACCTTCACGGACCCATCGACCGGTCGATTCTTGCTCCCCCACGAAATTGATCTCACGAAACCTGAGAAGCCCTTGATCACAGGTACTCAAATCACCCCCAACATCTCATTTGAGAAAATGTCAAAAAGCAAGCACAACGGTGTAGATCCTACAGCCTGCGCATCCAAGTATGGAGCCGACGCCACTCGTGCCCATATTCTCTTCTCAGCGCCCGTCAGCGAAGTCCTGGAGTGGGATGAATCCAAAATTGTCGGCGTTGAGCGCTGGTTTGGCCGGCTCTGGAAGCTCGTGATGGATACACAGGAATCTCTAGCTTCGGCATCCTTCACTGTTCCCTCAACCGACATGAAATGTCCCGCTGGTCATGCCATTTCCCTGCCGTCTTCGCTCAAGGACCTGAGCGACTCCGATGCCGACGCTGTCCTAGCAACTCACAACACCATCTCATCTGTCACCAGCTGCATCGAGAGCAACCCCTACGGGCTGAATACCGTCATTTCGGATCTGACCAAATTGACCAACGCCCTATCATCAGCATCAACATCACCCTCCCCCCTCGCCCTCTACCTGTCCGTCTCTGCACTCCTCCGCCTCCTAGCACCGATCGCCCCCGCACTAGCCTCCGAGTGCTGGGAAGTATTGCACGACTCCATTGTGAAGCGATCTGACCCTACATCACCTGCTCCATCTATATTTTCGTCTTCCTGGCCTACCACTCTTCTGACCCCCGAGCAAGCTGAGGCTCTTTCTTCTCGTGGTGGCCAAACGATAGCTGTTCAGATCAACGGAAAGCTCCGCTGCGCCGTTACCATTCCACGCTGGCCGTCCTCCGACGAAGCCTCTCCATCCAAGGGCAAAGCCTCGGCTTCCTCCAAGGAAGAGCAGGACTGGATCATTGATCGAGTTTTGGAGAGCACCGAGGGTAACCTGTGGCTGCGTGAAAAGAACGACTGGGAGAAGAGACGACGGGTGATTGTTGTCAAGGGCAAGCTGATGAACGTCGTGTTCTAAAATCGTCGTTGGATTCAACTTTGTTCTTCGTGACTCTCCATTCTAAACTGTATTTATAATTTCAATAGACCTGTACAATACTCTATCCAGATCTCTACATCATCTGATCTGTTACTTTGGAACATTTGACTCATTCTGGATACTACCAAGAATTAGAATGATCAATTGTACAGAGGTGGCTTATACCTATTGACATCAATTACCAGACGTACTTTTAAATGATTGCCGTCAATGCTCCAACATCGAAGAGAATTCTTGAATTTCCGGTGCTTTGTTATTTATTTTGTTCTATTTGATCCAGGAACCTAACCACCCAGGCATATTATCTCACTTGAGCACTTGAGTGCTTGATCAGCGAATGTTCTTCGGGGTGGCGATCTGCATCACATGCAAGATACAGTTGTACCGTAGCACATAACTTCGAGAGCAAAGCAAAGTAACGGTATCTAAGTACCCACCATTTGTTGAAATCATTCAACTGTACTATTGCTTCCACTGAATGGTTGGAGTCTTCTGATTGGCGCCCTGAGGGGCTGGCGGGTGCGGGTCGGGCCATGCCCGCACTCCATTCAGTTCCACTTGAGTCCAATCAGCCCTGAAGCATGAGTTTACGGTGAATAAAAAACATCAAACCCAAAGGCGCTTGAAGCTTCTTTATACAAATGTATGAATTGTGAATGCATATATTAAAAAAGCGCGCACTGCTTAACTACTAGTTGAGTATGAGGATTTTCATCTAAAAAAAAAGCGCGCGCTACCTAATTACTAGTTAAGTATAAGATTTTCGTCTGAAAAAAGCGCGCATTGCCTAACTGCTGGTTTAGTATAAGGATTTTCATCTTAAAAAAGCGCGTATTACCTAACTAATTATTAAGTATAAGGATTTTTATCTGAAAAAAGCGCGCATTGCCTAACTACTAGTTGAGTATGAGGATTTTCATCTGAAAAAAGCGCGCGCTACCTACATATGTAACTAATAGTCAAGTCTCGGAAAGGGCTGTCAAACTGATATTAGCCATTGATTTTATCTGGGCGCATTGCATCAAGTGTGCATTAATATGTATCAATTGATGCATATGAACGTCCCGCAACTCCAGATTTATATATCATGTACTATGTATGTCTACTATGTATTGTATTCTACTTATACGTAATATTACTCAAAATTTTCTCCAAAGCACGAAACACTGCTACTTGAAACATAAGAAATGTAGCTCACGGGGAATACAAGGACATCTTTTGGGTTAAGTAGGACATTAGCATGTGAAATTGATATGTGGTCAGGTGTTTCTAAAAATAGAACCTATGTGGATTTCGCGCGTCCGCCTTAGTAAACAGCCATATTCGCGTGATCAAGAATTTCCGTTTGAAAGAATTGGCACAGACGCTCAGTAGCCCGATGATTGACCCCAAGTACAATGGTCCATTCAATTTTCAACTTCCGTTCCTATTACTATGATGATATAGGAGTTTATTTCAAACTGGATGCAGTATAATTTGAAAGCACTGTAGGTTACTAACATTGGAATCATAGCTACGTCTACCACCCCCACAGTCTAGACTGGTATTACATATGTTTAAGTAAATTTAGGATATGGCCTTGTTGTTTATTTAATTCCAACTATCAATTTTTCTGTTGAGAAAGTAAAAGTTTGTCCATTAATCTGCTGATAATAGTGTGCAGGAAGAAGTGCCCGGGTGGTAGGCTCGCGCAAGAAAGAAAATATGTCCTGGGCGCTTTAAACATGTATGAGCCAGGTTCAAGAACCACTCGAAAAAAAAAACTGATGTCGCCTGTATGATGGCCAACATGGGACCATGTATGGATACAAATAACAAAGAGTAACCTGGGTTCATTTACGCTCATAATTATTTCGTCGACGTCGAGGATGAGAAAGAGACCAATGCGTGGTAGGAGTTGGTCAAAGGCCAGAGGCATTGCACAAAAGCCACAGCACCCACAACCAGCAGCAGGTAGTAGGCAATTGTCCAACCGATGCTCAACTGACCATTACCCACGGCAGAGTGACCATCGGAATCCTCTTTGCCACGGGTGAATCGTGGACGAACAGGTTCCCCAGTCTCCACTCGACCCCAGAGACGTGGCAGACCGCACCAGTTACAGAAGCTGTGGATCAGGATGACAGCGAGCAGAGAAGAGGTACGCAGATAGACAAAAGTGGCATACCAACCAAAGACGGTGGTGAAGCCAAACTGGAAAAGAGATCGCAGCAGAGCGGCCAGCGCCGGGGTATCTGGGTGAGTAAGACGGAACTCATAGAAATGGTGGACGTGCGCAATACCAAAGTACAGCGGTGAGACGAACACAATGTATCCCGGGGAGACTTGAGCCAGCAAGTGCAGTGGGATGAGGGCCGAGCGAAACATGACTTCCTCGGTGACGGGACCCTGATATGGAGCGTTAGAATTACAAGAATAGAAAAGGCTCCCAAAAAGGTAAAAAGGAAAAAGAACATACGGCGATGTAATTTCTCCAACCAATCCAGCCTCCTAGGCTTTCAGAGAGTTTACTGTAGCGGAACCATGATCGCCATTCACCCTCCACGATCCCTCGCTCATAAAGCGGGCCAAGGAACAAAATGGCAGTTAGGAGCAGGCTGCGGGCAACATCGGCGACGCTGATCGGCCACCAACCCATGAAAGTCAGCGCAGCGCCGAGGGAACAGTTGCCCTGGTTAACGGCCAGGCAAAGGACGCCCAACGAAGCCAAGATGCAAGCCGCAGAAACGGTGCGAATGCGGGCCCGAATGACGGATGGGGCATCCCGGCTGAGGCTGGGAGATGGCCGGGTGGTCGGCGACAGATAGAGAGGCACCACATAGAGCAAAGTAAGGGTGACCTAGTAAAAACTGTTAGATGGTCTACTCATGATTAGGTTTTTTCATATATGAGGCGTTTTCATTTACCGACAGCAGAGCGACCGTCAGTACCGACAGGGACGGCTCATCTGGAGATCGGGGTTAGCTGACCTGTTCTAAAGTTTGCGGAGAAAACGAAAATGGGGAAATGACGAAAGACAAAAAGAAAAGGCTACAAAAAAAGAGAGAAAAAGAAGCGAGGGATGCATATTGAACTGACCTTGATGCTTAGTGTACAGACTTTTAAGACTTGCAAAGACGCTGACAGGAGCCATTGGCAAAACTCGATAAGGAAGATGAAGATATTTTGGGGCAAAAAGTTGGCATTTTTCTCCAAAGTCTCGACCGGTCTTTGTTGTCCAGAATGACAGAACGTGACAGAACAGAAGGGAAATAATACCTACTAGTACGTAGATAAAGGGAAGAAAAAGTGGGAAAGTGCGAAGAAATGGGAAAGAGTTGGGGGAGTCCGGTATTAAAGTGTATGGGGGTGTACGTAATGGTTAAATTACCAATATTGTGTGTATTTTGTTTTTGCTATTGAACCATGGAACACAACCAGGCAACGTCAGTCAAATAATCAAGTAAATAAACAGTATATTAGAGCATACATTGCTATATAACCCCATACACATTACGATATATTGCTATATCCTGGATGCGATCATTAATAAAGGGCATCTACAGCAGGGGTCCTTCACTCTAGAACACATGGACCAAGCGTCCACCTGGGCAACACGAGTCCCAATTGTGATACATCAGCTGCAGGATGTACCCCTACATAAGGTAAAGACTCTAGCTCATCTTCATTTCCTTGAGTCAATGCGAGGAGATCGTGGGCCTGTTAATTCTCCGATTTCTACAAGCGCCAATAGTAGGTCGGCAAAATCCTCCCGAATTAACGGTTGCATTTCCAGATGATGAGATTGAAAAATCTGGATTTCGGTGGACATTTTCCCCTCATTAGAAAATGGTCGTGGAGAGCGCTAAGATTAGGACTTGGACAACTCATCGGATCCACTGGGGCTGGACCCGCTGGAATCGTAACCAGTTTTTGGCTAGAATGATGCAGTACACGTTGAACCCCAGGAAGCAGAATAAGCAAACTGCTTGGTATCGGTCTTCAAATGCAGGGGTAAAGTTAACAAGGAGCACCCTCTTTTTTTCTTTTCTTCCCTCATAGTCGAATGGGCTGATGGACCGTGCAGTTCGTGCATAATATAGTGAGCGATGATAGGGTAAGGGGAGTGATTTGCTACTTGGGACTTTTTTTCTGTCCCTTTGGTGGGCGCTTCACCGCCGCTGGGCAACAAAATTCCTCCCCCTTGATCTTCCCAATGTCTCATGTCACTCCTGTTGTTGTGTTTTTCCGTCGTTGTGCGCCTGTCGTTGTTTTATGAAACTTGCTTAATGACCCTGTTCATGCTTGACGCTCTTTTAATGTGCTGAAACGACTTCCTTCTTTTCCACCGCTGATTATCACGACACTCATTACGTTCTTTTACTTGGTGCTATTACCAATCGACACTCTTTTATCCGGATAGAACCGGTACTTTCGATATCAGCTTGTCCACACATTCTTTACCATCCCAATTCAATCTAGGGAAACAGGAAAAAACAAACAGTCTTTTCGGGTTCAACGTCATTGTTTATTGCTTTTTACGGATTCCGATTGTGCAGCTTCAACTCGACTTTGCGCCTTTGAAGTCAACCGCCATAGTCTGATCTTCGACATTTTATAATCCTTTTTGGATAATGCTTTAATTGTTTCAACATGCCTTCACACGTCCAGTCAACCTCCCCTCCACCTCGAAGGCGGAGGGCTTTGGAAGAGCGGAGCTCCGCTCATACCAACGAAAGATCACCCACTCGATCCATACATAGGGTTCGAACTCAAGAAGATGTGAATGAGATGTATATGGCCACCCCATTTCCAACAAAACCAGAACAGATCTTACTACCCGTTCCTGGCAAAGGTCAACAGGAGTACATTTCAGATACCGGGCTTAGATATTCTAGTGCAGGCCCATCCTCAGCACCCTGGTCACCGACATTCAGTCATGACACGCGAAGCAGCATGCGAGAGCACTCCATTGGCGAGTGGGATACATCAACAGTGGACCCGGGCAACTCGCCGCCTGAAATGTGGGATGAAGATCCAACGTCCAGCAAGTCATCTTTGCCGGAATTTGCATCAGCCAAGCCGGAAGACTTTCACTCGGATGAATCAGAAGCTGAATTCTCAGACGACGACTTGATCGTGCTACCTACCGCGACTCCGACAATTAAAGCGGTTATATCTGAACCTCCTACGTCCCCAAAGTCTGAGCTAGCAGATGATAGTACCATGGGTTATTCGAGTCCCAATTTCCAGCCCATTGGAGCTCCATCTAGCCCCAACTTTGTCACCTTGGACAACTCAAGTGTCAACTTCCTGCCTCGAGGCCGTGGCTCAAATTCGAACTCCGATTCCGAACATCGAGCGGACTCATTATCATCATGGAACTCACGAGGAACTGCGGTGCGACACGCTGGTGCAGCGCAGTGGACGTTCGTAGCCTCATCAGAGCGACCAAGCCTTTCGAATTCGTCGTCCTTCCATTCAAGTCCTCCTACACAATCAGTTGCATCGTTCCAAGCCATCTCGCGCCGACTTTCAGAAAGCCGATCGCGGTCTGCCACTTCGTCCTCGCGCAGCCTCCGCTCGGTATCGGATATGGTCAATGATATCCAAGCCGCTATGGAAAGTGGTGTTCCTATTCAATATCCCAGGATTCGCGGCCCATCGTCAAGCTCTCGAGCGGAGACCTCCGAGTCGTCTGAACGTGACTTTACCCCGGGCCCGGTATCAGGCCGTTGGAATCCTCACCTATCTCGAGTATCATCAGTCTGGTCTGCAGAAGAATTTGCCGAAAAACAAGCCGAGGAGGAGACATCGAGCACCGCATCGGAGCTCGTTGTTTCATCTTCTGTGGCACTTGATTCCAAAGCTAGTAAATCTACTGTCTGGCTTGTGAACAACGCAGAAGATGATGAGCACTTGGACAGCTTGACCAATCTTCCCACTCGCCATGGATTCCCGCACAGCTTGTCCTCTGGCTCCAAGCACAGCAACAGCTTGCGAAGTAACAGTTTGCGAAGCAATAGCCTGCGAAGCAATAGCCTGCGAAGCAACAGCCTACGCAGCCTCAAGCGCCCGGGTACTGGCTCGAGTACTTTGATGCACATCCTCCCTACCTGGGCGAAGATCTACTACCGGGCCGATGCTCTCGGAATCCACCCGACCTTGTCAATGATGGAACCCAGCCGACCGACCACAGGTCGCCCAGGAACCAGCAACTCCAGTGTCTTCAACCTCGTACCTCATCCTCTCAACATCCCTCGCCCTCGTTCTCCGGATCGACCTCGTTCACCTGAACGAGTTCATTTCGCTCAACGACGTATCGACAGTGACCCACGGGACCCACGTGCCCACTGGGTCGCTTCCCCAGAGCCCGAGGATGGTGATGTAGTTGGAACACATCGTCACCGATTACGGCACAGTTGGTCACCGCATCTCTTTACTGATCGACGTACCGTTCAGCACTCTGCCAGTGCATGGACTACTCCCTCATTCGACTCGACAACCGAGCCCATCTTTGGTCGCAGGAACATTCAGGTCTACTCATTCTGTGTGGGATTTATCTTCCCCCTTGCCTGGATCATTGCCGCCTTTATTCCTTTGCCACCCAAACCCAAGATGGCATCGGAAATGATAGAGTCCGACGATGATGTGGAAATGGCCCTCGAGTCTCAGTTGATGGTTCTTCAACAACGACGATACAATAATGCGCGGTGGTGGCGTAATCTCAACCGGTGGATGATTTCCTTTGGTGTTGTGATCATCGTTATCATGGTAAGTGAAGATATAACGTTTCCCAGGGGTTTGATACACCAGTGCTAACAATATTTCAGATTACACTTGCTGCTATTGGTGCAACCACTGGCTTCTAATCTAAGTCAAGTCCCTCAGATTTGCTATACCTTCCCACATACCTCTCTTCCGCGATCGATCTTTCAATCTTCTACGCTCTTACGACCTGCACTATTTACTTTATCTGATGTTTTATTTTCATCCGATGTTTGCATTTGACACATTTCCCCCCGCATTCATCCAATTTCGGAGACAGGCGCTCAATCATATTCCCCCGTCGGTTTCGACTTCACTTCTTTACTGCTCCAATGATAACCCACAGACCTGCTTTGTTTTTCCCCCTACTTTTACTGTCACTTCTTGACTCGACCGTTTCAGACATTTTTGCAACTGCATCCTGATTTTATCAATTCTCTCCGCTGAACATTTATTTAACACGACTGTACGAAACGCCCGGACGCACATACATAATTCCCCCTTCGATGTCTGTGTATTTTTTACTTGAATCCTCATATCCTGAGACGTTTCATTTGCAGCAACCGCTGCCTGCATTTAAGCTTATTCTTTGCATTTCATGTTTCTCCATCTTATGGTACCTAGCACCTTTGATTGTCACATTGCACCTGGAAATTGTTCTCGTGTTTGTATTAGAAAGATTATGTTATTATTTTTTTTTCGATATTTTTATCGGCTGAAATTTCAAACTCATCAGTAAACGCGACTTGTAATGACCAATCAACAGTTGACTGAGCAAGATGTCTGGAACGACTTTTGTATAACCCGGAAATACATGTAAGTAAATCCACAATCTTAAAGACAAGAAAGACATGACAACTCAGTCTTGAATGCACAGAAATCAAAAATTCCTTGTCCAAAATTTACTCTATCTATCTGTGCAGATGCACTCCAACACGATGCACCTTACAGTTTACGTCCAATCTTTTGCTCAACAGCAATCTTAAGCTCCTCCCCAGTAGGCATGGTGACCACACTGCCCCGACGACGCCGAGACTCAATCTCCATCTTGACCTCCTGCACGGCCTCATCAAAGTCACGCTCAGGATCATTGGGGAGACCCAGCGTCGGAGGGCGCACAGTTTCTTGGCTGACAGACCGCATAACATGAGGCCGGTTGCGGCGCTTCAGATTGGAAACCAGCATGACCTTGACCGGGGAGAAGGACGCAAAGACAACCAGTGACAAAACGACCCAGACGATGCCGTAGAAGTAGACACGGGACCAGACGGCCATGGATTGATTGAAGCTGAGGATGATGAAGGGCATCACGGCGAAACCGAGGGTAAGCTGCGTAGCGGCCCAGCTGAAGAAGTCGTAGTAACGCTTGGTGGGCATGGGCTTGGAGCCATCAGGAGTCAGGAAAAAGGGACGGACGTAGCGGCGGAAATCTGAGAAGAATGTTAGTAAGATGCCAAAGTATACGAGGGGAGAGAGAAAAGGGATACACACTCTTTGCCACAGTCTGGACGAACGATCCGAGGACGAATGTCATGTAGTAGCCGGGGTAGAAGCCGTGCCAGAGAGCGCTAGTAGCAAAGGTTGCCATGCTAGCACGGAACCCAGGCTTCTTGCCCTTGGGAGTAACGCGCAGGTAAACATAGTTGCGCAGCCAGTGGTTCGTGTTCTTGTTCCAGCTACCAAGGTAGGCGTGTGAGTTCTGCGCTGTCTCCAGGCTCCAGGGATCGACGTTCTCCAAGCGGTTCCAGAACACCTTGCCAGACTTGGGGTCGAATCCGTTATAACCAAGACCGGACAAGATACAGGCGCCCTCGGTCAAAGACCAGACACCGTAGTACTTCAGACGGGAGGTGAAGCCAAGCAGATACACAGTGAGCATGCGACGCGGGAAACCGTACTGCAAGAACGCATCGGAAAGCACAAAGTCGGTGGTGAAGATACCGCCGAGGTACACGAATGCGCCAATCCAGAGTAGTCCAACCACAGCCTTCTTGAAGGCCGGGGTGCCGCTGCGAGGAATCTTGCGCTTCTTGCGGGTGGCAGGCACCTTGGATGGGTCGGTGCCTGGTGGGACATCAAACAAGGTGGTATCGAGCCAGCGACGGTAGTCCACATACTCAAAGGAGGGACCGGCGAATAGCGACGGGAAGAAGAGGACATAACCGGCGTAGTCCATCATGCTAGGGAATTCGGTGATGGCGGAGTACTTCTGGGGGTCGGACAGCACCTCCTGAGGCAGACGGCCGTCATGGATGTTCCAGCAGAAAGACGAAAGCTTCATCACGAGCACCATCTGCGCGCCCGTGATGTCAACCATTTGAGAGTCATCCGCGATTTGACGGTAGATGTGGCTGATCGACATGTGACCCATCAAGAAGATGAAGCCGATCCAGGGCATCAGCGAGCCATCTACATAGTAGGCGATGGCGTAGGTTCCGATCGCGCTGTAGAGGAGTGTTCGCAAGCCATCCCAGAGGCCAAAAAGTCCAATAATGTAGAAGAGCGAAGCGCCGACGATGAAGGCATTCTTTTTCCAGGGCTGGGCGTCGGGGATCCGTTTCAGCAGGGCAGCCAGTGGGTAGGAGAGTAGGAATGAGCCGATCAGCTTGACTGTAATTTCAAGTTAGAAGCTATAGATGGTTTTCTGTTGCTGAAGAAAATGACGTACGCTCATCGACCGATGCGCCTGTAAGCTGTGCAGGGATCTCGAACACTGCGGGGACAAGTTAGTCTAAGGTTCTGGGGGGAAGCTCTATAGCTCTCTCCAAGTCAAGGGGATGGATACAAACCGCTGTCTATATAGGACAACATGATCTCGACTCAAGTAGAAGACGTGAAGCCGTATCTACAAGCAGAAGCGTTCCTGCGGGATAAAAAAAAGCAAAAGGAGAATACAAGAAAAGAAAAGGAAAAGAAAACAAGAAAAAAAAAACGGTTAACAGATCAACGCCGAAAATGTCATGTGGGACTGGAACGGACAACACTCAACATTCAACAACTTCACTTCTCCACCTTCCGCCACGATAACACGGAAACAACAATCATCCGTTGTGATCCCACTCTCTTCAAGCTTTAAAGATAATAAAATCCGCCGATCTTTACATACTTCTTTTTCTATTTGCTGCCCACCCGGCGTCCGGGCGCATTCTCCCCACCATGGATGTTGTCGCAGCCGTCTCGGGCTACATCTCCAAGATGGTGACGGCTGGCGAGTCCACCTCAGGGTCTTCATCCACCAAGATGAAGATCCTGCTTCTCGATAGTGAGACAGTGGGCACAATTCACCAAAACTAGCTTCCTCGATTGATGATTACTGACCCCCTTGGCTATAGGTTCCCATTGTCTCGACCGCCATCACCCAATCAGCCCTCCTTAATCACGAAGTCTACCTCATTGATCGCCTGGATAATGCTGCGCGCGAGAAGATGCGACATCTGCGATGTCTGGTCTTTGTGCGCCCCTCTCCAAGCTCCATTCAGCTCCTTGTTGATGAGCTCCGAGACCCCAAATACGGTGAATATTACATCCACCTAAGCAACATCATCCGAAAGTCATCGCTGGAGCGCCTTGCCGAGGCCGATAGTCACGAGGTGGTCCAGTCCGTGCAGGAGCAATTTGCCGACTTTTTGGTGGTCAACCCGGACCTATGCTCCATGAACCTGGGGTTCCCCTTAAGCCGACTCTGGAGCCATTCGCCGGACCTATGGAACCCGGATTCGCTGCAAAGAGGCACGGAGGGAGTGCTGGCACTTTTGCTGTCCTTGAAAAAGAACCCATTGATCCGTTATGAGAAGAACAGTTTGATGGCCCGCAAATTAGCCACGGAAGTTCGGTACCACCTTACGCAGGAGGAGCAATTGTTCGACTTCCGCCGGACGGATACACCGCCAATCCTGCTCATCTTGGATCGTCGTGATGATCCCATCACCCCGCTCCTCACGCAATGGACATACCAAGCCATGGTGCATGAACAGCTGGGCATCAGGAATGGGCGTGTGGATCTGCAGGATGTGCCAGATATCCGACCGGAACTCAAGGAAATCGTGCTAGCTCAGGATCAGGACCCGTTCTTCAAGAAGAATATGTACCAGAATTTTGGTGACCTCGGTCAGAACATCAAGGAATATGTGGAGCAGTATCAGACTAAAACACAGAACAACATGAATATTGAATCTATCACCGACATGAAGCGGTTCGTGGAGGACTATCCGGAATTCCGCAAGCTCTCGGGCAATGTGAGCAAACATGTCACCCTGGTCGGCGAGTTAAGTCGTCGCGTAGGTGAAGAGAGCTTGCTGGACGTGAGTGAGTTGGAACAAAGCTTAGCTTGCAGTGATAATCACTCCAATGATCTAAAGGTATGTCTGACAGGACCATATGAGCTTACGAGAGGCTGTTGGCTAAACTGACTGTTTTTCATTCCAGTCCTTGCAACGTATTATTTCGTTGCAGAATGTGCCCGCCGAGAGTAAGCTCCGTCTGGTGGCTCTCTATGCACTCCGCTACGAGAAACAACCGAATAGTTCCCTACCTATCCTTCTTGACCTGCTCGTAACGGCCGGCGACGTCCCCTCTAACAAAGTCAACATTATTCCCAAACTTCTTGCCTACCACCACTCTCTACAAGCGCCGCCAGTGGCAGGTGGATTTTCAGATCTTTTCGAATCCACGTCATTCTTCTCTGGAGCTCGTGATCGGTTCAAGGGTCTAAAGGGTGTTGAAAATGTCTACACTCAACACTCGCCTCGATTGGAGGTGACTCTCCAGAATTTGATTAAGGGCCGCTTGAAGGAAATGCAATATCCATTCCTGGAGGGCAGCGGTCACACCCGTGACAAGCCTCAAGATATTATCATCTTTATGATTGGCGGCACCACGTACGAGGAGGCTAAAATGGTTGCTCAGGTCAATGCCAGTTCTCCTGGTATTCGTGTTGTTCTAAGTGGCACCATGGTTCACAATAGTACAACTTTCTTAGAAGAGGTCGACGATGCTGTCAGCAGCTGGCCAGAGCCTAGTCCCACGTCGGCTGCAGGACGGCTACGACGAGAGGTTGGGCGATAAGTGAGATAATAGGCGCTGGACGTATTGTTGGCAAAGAGCATTATACCTCGAAACATGTATTTCCTTATAACTTTTGAACAATAAATTTTTTGCACTGCAGCAGTAAGAAGGTATAGCTTCCGAGTATTCATTGGTCTATTGAAGCGAATGTTGTTCCATCAAGGTAATGTCTGTAGCGTTTCTGTCCCCAGAACTCAGGCTGCAACCTTATATATGGGTCCACCCCGGACAATGCGGAGACACGAGATTTGACCTTTCCAACTTTTGCTTCTTGCATATCCCTCCCCTACATACACCATGGATCAGTATTCCCCTCCAAAGGGAGGGGCGTCTTCTCCAGCTGCCTCTCGTGAACCTCGATTACATCTTCCCTCCACGACCGACCCTCCAGGCCCCCAGAACCCTCCCAAACCGCTCGTATGGCTGGTAGGTGATTTTACCTTTCCCCCCAACCCCACTTTGACTCCATGCGCCCAACCCGCAATATTGGAACAGAATACACCTGTGAATAAATTAATACTAGAATAAAATACTAATTCGCTTTGGATACTTCTAGATCTTCGGCGCCACAGGTCATATGGGCCGTTCACTCGTGAAAATCGCCCTATCGCGCAACGACCTAGTCTCAGCCGTAGGCCGCACCTACGAAAACAGCCCAGAAGCCATGAAAGAGCTCGAGGACGAACACGAGAACTGCCTCGGCCTCCTATGCGACGTCCGCGCGCGCGAAACCGTCAAATGTGTAATTGACCAAACCATCGCGCGCTTCGGCCGCATTGACGTAATCGCCAACTGCTCCGGATACGGCGTAATCGGCGCCTGCGAAGACCAAGACGAGTTCGACATTCGCAATCAATTCGAGACCAATTTTACAGGAACATTGAACATGATTCAGCTATCGCTCCCGCACTTCAGAGAGCGGCGGGCAGGCCGGTATCTCATTTTCAGCTCGACGTCTGGCGCGCTCGGCGTGCCGGGGCTGGGTCCGTACTGCGCGTCGAAGTATGCGGTTGAGGGCTTGATGGAGAGTATGTTGTATGAGGTGGATAGTTTCAATATTAAGGGGACGCTGGTTGAGCCGGGTCACATGCGCCGCGATGATATCGGGGATCTGGTCTCGCCCTCGTTTATGGCTGCTAACCCCACTGAACATAACCTCTCCTCGCCGCTGCCTTTGTACGGTCATTTTCTGGTCAAGCCGCCCAGTGAGCCGTATAATACGTCTACTTCGCCTGCAGCGCATGCGCGACGCATGCTGATGTGGCTTGGTGACAAGCAGCCTGCTTCTGCTGTGAAAGCGGCCCACCTTGTCTGGGAACTTGGGCACTGTTCTTACCCTCCCTTGAGATTGATTCTCGGTACCTACGCCGTCGAAAGTATTCGGGATAGATTAAAGTGCATTATTGAGGAGATTGAGGATTGGAAGCACCTGAGTTTTCCATTGGGGGAAACGCAACCTGGGCCGGGTGAAAGATCATCTACGCAGACTGAAGGCAATGATGCCGGCAGCAATGCGGGATGAGGCGAATGAGACGACCTTCAACTTCTAGTCTATCCAACTTAAACGAGATGGCAGTGGTTCCGCAGGCTGGTCACCCAAAGCTTTTGGCTTGCTGCATGTATGCGCTCCCAGCTTTGTGGCAGTCCGCTCCTACCCACGGGTTATGCTATTCGCCTATCATCTGAGAAGTGGCCTCATATCATTTGGGGGTTTGTCTTGGATACGCAAGTTCCAAATGGGAAAATATGTCTCTTCGCCGCAACCCCTCCATAAGACAGAGGTTGATGTCGTTCTTGCGAGACTTTGAAAAGAACGGTGTGTCTCACGCTCGGTCAACAGCCACAATAAGACCCTCGACATTACTTTGAGTGCGGACTATAATCAATAGCCAGCCTATATGTACATACGCATAATTTGAGTCACGAATGCACGATTCCCTACAAACATAGACTCGTATACTCAAGTTCATGAGCCTATTGCTCTCATCAAGTAATGAATATTGAATTCAGAGGAGAGTAGTATATACCTCACTTTTACTTCTATACAGAATGTAAAGTGCCACTAAGAAAATTGAAAACACATGCTATATGGCCCACCAGGTCAGCGGGGTCGAGGGTAGGGGGGACATGACATAGACATCAATCGTGCAATGGAATCTATGTATATCGTAAAATAAACAAACAAAAGAGGAAAGAAAAGGGGGCATGATCATAGAGACACAGTATGGCACATTGGGTGATGGGAGATAAATCAAGAGGCATGGATGACACAAGTCTCCATTGCATGCCAGATGCGGCGTCGTCTCACAACATCCGCACCAAACGTGTCCTTGACAACATCATCATGAGCATTAGAGTCATCCTCTCGCGTGCCCAAAGTATCAGAAGGCCACAGGATGCGCGCCTCCTCGACACTAGCACCAAACTCATACTCACCACGGCTGAGCACTGTCACGCCGATAGAGGCCACAGTTGACTGGCCACTTGGAAGAATTGGTAAGGATTGTTGGAGCATTCCAGTCCAAGCGAGACGGCGGGTGAGGTCTAGAGCGACATTGCTTGGTTGGTGGCGCAAGCTAGGTTGAAGGCGGAGGAGTGGATGAATGGGACGTGAGGACCGATTACGGATATTGACTGATAGGGTGAGCAGATCATCTGCTTCGGCTCGGAAACGCGAGCGGCCGGTCTGAGTGATCTTTGAAGAGGATTCAGGGCTGGAGGAATCTGTGCAGGACGAAGAGAGGGAAAATGTGATAGCGACGTCCTCAAGACGCATGGCTTCCACCATGCGGGCATTGAGGCGGATGTTCCGCAGGTCGATGGTGCCCTCGCGGCCTGTCGAGGCCTCCTTCCAGTGTCCAGACAGTCTCTTAAGAAGTTCTTCTCGGAACCAGAAAGCTTCGCGAGAGGCTGCCTCTGCTTCAAATGATAGCTTGTTGACGCTAACCACGAATTGGCGTCGAGTGCCTGTGTTGACAACGGGAATAGAGGCATGCGGGTTGTCTAGATAGACTCGAGGAAGCACGAGCACAAAACGGGAGGTTTGACCAGGTTGAAGATGTCCATCAACGGTATACTGGCCCGTGTGATTATCCTTTGACAAAGCTGTGTGTTCGCCGACTCGCAACCCCACAGAAACAGGACTGGGCCATGCATTTCGAAGATCAAGCAAGACTACGCAGTGATCTGGACCGTAGGCTCCATTTCCAAGACGAGCGAGAACCTGAGAGAATGGGTCATGATCGCTGGCAGACAACGGCGAATCCGGTTGTTGATTTGGGTCAGTAGGGGGGTCGAGGTGGTTTCGCCAGGCGAAATCACCACTGAAGGGTAAAATATCACAGCGAGCAACTTCCACGCTTGCATTGACCGTCACCGTCAAGGGCACAAACAGCTGCCTGGTGTAAAAGATATCAGGAAGATCAGCTTGTTTGGCCCCTACATACGAATAGTCGATTTGAACGGTGGTATCTTGTAAACCAGGCTTGCCCAGTACATCAACCGTGAAAGTAGCCTTTTGGCCCGCCAAGATGGAGCAGTCTTCCGAATTAGGTCCCTCGCGGCGCCATCGCAGGGCAGGCTGGGTCGTTAATTTCAGTTCCAATTCGTAAATCTCCACTGGCAGGAGATCTCTATTCTTAAGAGCCGATTGAAGTTGGCGGGTAGTGGAATCTTGGAAAGTGAACAAAACAAAGTCGACAGGGCATGAAGAGGTGTTCTGAAGGGTGATATCAAATGACTTGATTTCGCCTTCTAGAACCATCATTGCTGATTGAGAGAGCGACATTGATTCGATCAAAAGTGACGGCTGTTTGCCGATTACCTTAACCTGACATGTTGCCGCCTCGGGCCCCTTTTTAACTGATATTTTTCCATCTTTGGAGGTTTCCGAAGCCCAAGACACCGGTCGCTCCGAGAGGGGCTTCTTTGAAGACAGCCCTGTCCGTTTAGACTTGACCTCGGGATCAGGCTTCCAGAAGTTCTTGAATATGGGGAACCTCCGCATTCGACAATGTCGCGCTTTAACAATGCAACCAGTGATGGTGAGCTCTCCTTCTTCGCGAGCGGTACCCAGAACGACAATATCTTGGAGACAGAATGGAGGGAGAATGATGTTTTCAGACACAGCCTCAAAAGCCACACCTGTACTCTCCAGCTGCAAGTGCTCGATCTCAACCTCAAATTCGTAGGGATTTTGAAGGGTTACCCTGAACGAAGCAGGTTCATCTGTCACACTGAGCATCTCTAGGGCTTTGCTACTGGGTTTCGCGAAAGGATTGTATAAGAACGGATCCTTTTTCGATTTTTCAGATCCAGCAGTGACAGCATGAAGCTCTGACCTCAACCGTCGTACTGGCCTCCTGGGATCCGGGAGAGCTAGTAGTTGAACGTCACGTACTAGAAAGTCATCCCAATACTCTGCTGTCATATGAGAAGCACCGAGTCTGTTTGCAGCGCCAACAGTGCGTTTAATGTTGTTCAAGAGACGGACTTGCTCTTCTCGGGGGAGATATGGGGGCATTTGGTTTGTCTCTCCTATCATCAGATCCCCTCGAATGGTCTGGAGAAGCTCGACTGTGAAACGAAGTACACCCTCAAAGTCGGGTAAGGCTTCACAGCAGTTAATGCATGCTTTGAGAACATCAATCTTGAGATTGAGATCACCATATCTATCAAGAACCACATGTCGAAAAGATCGCTCTGCAATGCCAGCAACTGATTCATATTCAAGACATCCGTCCGATCCACCAATTGCGGATGATTGGCTCTGTCTCTTCTCCCACTCATAGAACGCCGATGGCTGCACGCCATATATCTCGCCAATGGTAGCAAGAAGAAGCCGCACGCTCTTTTCCATGTTCCCTGGGCCAATATCAAGGGCATTTACATCAAAGGCGGTATCACTAAGAGACGCTAATCCCGCGGCTGGGTGGATTCCCACCTCCGCAGCGCCAATTTTTCGCGCCTGCACGAGGCTAGGCACCATCACAGTGAGAAGCTCACGCATAATAAACGCTTTCTTCCGAGGCAGATCAAGAGCATTGAGAACAGAGACCACACCCACAATAATGGGGACCACATCAGTAGCAGGCAAGTCGGCACTAGGAGCGAGCGGTAGAGCTCGGTACAAGAAGTTTGCAAGGTCGGATTTGCGAAGCAATACTGTTCCACGTGGAAGTTCTGGATGAAGTATAGGAACGAGAGGCTCGTTCATGACGATATGTTTCAGGGCGTTGTCGTCGAGCGCGCCATCACGGACTCGAGCTGATACCAAGAGTCTTGATAACCGAATGACGGTTTCGGAGAAAACTAGTTGTGGAAGAGGTTCGTCTGTAATGTTGGCGGCTCGATTATAGAGATTCAGAATGGTATTTGAAAGATCGGGCAAAAGGTTCGCAAGGTTCTGAAGGGAGATAATGCGGTTGCCAGCTGAGGGAGCAGAAGTCGAATCCCGATGCGACTTTGAAGACTTGTCGGCAACAGGGTAGAGAACCGAGGGAATCTAGATTATAAGTGATAATTAGTGGCCTGGGTGACATCCATTTCGATATGTCTAGGTACGTACCTGGAAATCCATACCAGCCCACCCAAGCATAACAAGACAAAGAAGAATAGACTCCAATGCTTTACCGTGCCAAATATAATCGCTTCCTGCGCGTGCATTGTTGGTAGCTTCGATCAATTCCTTCAAAGCATCGTGCCATCTTCCTGCCTGCAGGAAAAGTGTACCAATCACGACACCAGCGCGTCCCTTGATACGATTTTTCGTTCTGTCAGTCGCACTAACTCCGCTAACCGACATTCGTTCGCGACTATGCTCTTTGGGCGACGCTACCGAGGGGCTCTTGCTGCCAGAATGAGTGCGAGTGATGTGAATTGATCGGGTTATCTCGTCGAAAGTCGTAGCAGTTTCGGAGTTGGGAGTTTGTGAGCCAGAATCAGACAATGGGGTATCTGGTGTACCATGGAGGTTTGGTGGCAGTTGTGCAGGCAGGGTCATTCGGTGTAGTAATCGGTCTACAGGTCGGGGGCGCAGCTCTGGATTACGGGATGGTCCCCATGAAGATGTACGAGGCGAATCAATCGTTGGGATGGCCTGAATCGTTTTCGCGAACTCGTCCAGTTCCGAAAGCAAGACCGAGGTTATGTCACACAGAACCGTTTTCATTGTCGTAGCTTTGGATGACTCGGGACGAGGCACCCAGAGTACATTATCCGGTCCATTTGTGAGTTTCTCCAATCCATCATAGTCAAAGATCAGGAGCTGGTTCACTAGTGCTCGTGGGCTCCTCTCCTTTGTTGCCTCGAGCTCTTCCAATAGTTGATCAAGTCCGTCCGGAGTGGGATGCTGCTTCGCCGATTCGGGACTCTGGGAGAGCTCGGTACCGTCTGCAATGGCAATGATGACCAAGGGTTCCCTGTATATCTCAAAGGGAAATAACTCGAGGTGCGACGTTGGGGGAACCGAGAAGGAGAGGTCGTATAGGATCAACCCCGTGGGAAATGCAAGCGGGGAGAACATGTCTTAGAAGAAGATCAGCTTTTGTTCCACATAGTTTTGGCGTTTGTCATATTCTTCCATGTGAGCATGGCGATTGCGTACTTCGATTTGGTCGAGCATCGGGACTAATGTCCCCTAACCGTACGACATTTTCGGCTTGGAGCCTGGCTGCGAAGCTCAGAAAGCGGGATCGCTTGATACGTCCAATTGGAAGTAGAAGCGCCCTCAAGCGCACTGGCGCAATTGGGGACAACGGGTCGACCCCCATGCTGTCATCTGAGATAGACCGGAGTACTGGCGGTGGGAGATCAGGCCCGCATCCACAAAGGTTCGACTCTAGACCTTGTTCCCTTTAGGGGGGCCAGTGGTAGAGACAGAGTCGAGAAAAGTGTGAGCTTTAGAGAAAGGGACCACTGTTAAAACATAAAAAAAACCAAAGCTCAAACCACGTAGATCAATTGCCCAGCTGCGCATGTTGCTCCTGAAGCCGCGATGGAAACATGGATGACATAAGCAGAAGCTGATCTAATCTACTGATAAGCGCCGATAAGGCGATGCCACCTCCGCGGACTCGAGTCTCGGGATCACTATTTGCTTATACACTTCAAGTTGCAACTACATATTCTGTCGTTTTCTTCCTTCTTCTCTTTGGAGTTACTGTTCTTTACGCCTATCTCTACGCAGCGTTTTATCCTCTATTTATTATCTCACAGTGCCTTTTGGCGCCCATGACAAGCCTGTAATATGATATAGGCTTCCGCGCTGATCTCCACGTTTTGACAGCTTTTGATTTAAACAAACCACAGATATGGCTCTGAATATCGATTTTAATGCGTTAAAGGCCCGGACTATGGGGTCCGGCGCCGATGAAGAAGCAGTAACCGTCGACACTCGAGGCCTGATCTCCAAAGTTCTGGCACGGTACTCGGGGAAATGGTAAGTCTTTTGACCTATGGGCTCCAAGATTATGGCATTTTACTCATGAATCTCACGTTTTCAGGACTGTTCTTAGAGAGATGATTCAGAATGCCGCCGATGCATCCGCAACTAAAGTGACAATCAAGTTTGAGACGCTACCCTCTACAACAATCCCGTCACCCTCATCAACCGACCCAACAGAGCAGATAAAGCACACTATTGCCAACCATACCCTCCGCCGTCTTCTGATATCTAATAATGGTCTTCCTTTCAGCGACAAAGACTGGGCCCGGTTGAAACGCATCGCAGATGGAAACCCTGACGAAACCAAGATTGGAGCATTTGGTGTGGGTTTCTACAGTGTTTTCGATGACTGCGAGGAGCCATTCGTGTCATCTGGTAGCCAGGCAATGGCATTCTACTGGAAGGGCAATGGTCTCTTTACACGACGACTGGATCTGGGGGAAACATCAAACAAAGACACCACTTTTGTACTGGACTATCGCAATGATTCTTCGCCTGTTCCGTCTTTGCTGCAATTATGCCAGTTCTTGTCGAGCAGTTTGACCTTTGTCGCTCTGCAGGAGATCGAGCTATTACTGGACGATTGGAGTCTCCTGCGATTATCGAAAAAGAATGCCCCGGGTGTCGATGTTCCCATTCCCAGAGACATCGAGACGAAAACAGCAGAAGGTCTCATGAAAATCACTGGCGTAACTCAGGAGATCGCACAAGTCGATGCGGCCTGGATGCGAATTGTAGAGTGGAATCCGAATGCCAGCCTGATCAGTCTTGATAATCTTCGGGATACCACCAGCTCTCTTCGCAGTTTTTTCTCAAAGTTTACAAGCCCAAGCGGATCTGATAAACCATCGCAATCTCAAAAGACACTTCAACCTGAGCAATCGGGTAACATGACTTCTTTGGTGAAAGCCACAGTATTCTTACACATCAATACCGCATCGATACAGCCTTCAGTCAGTTCTAGTCTGAGCAAAGAACTGGAACGGGCAACTCGAAAGCCACCACCTAAAAGGGCTACAATTGCAATTCTGACCCCATCATATGATGCGAACGTTGCATCAGGGGCTTCTTCATCCCAGTCGGAGATTCTTGCTTCTATCTTGCCATCGAAAGCAGGAAGAGTCTTCATTGGGTTCCCTACCGCGCAAACTACTGGTCTTAATGCTCATGTCTCGGCGCCATCTGTCATTCCTACAGTTGAGCGTGAAAGCATTGACCTCAATACTCGGTACATTAGCAAATGGAATCTTGAAATGCTGCGCGCTGTTGGAATCGTCTGCCGAATCGCATGGTCTGCAGAGATGAGTACCATAAAATCCAAATTGGCAGCCAAGGTTGGACCCTCACGTTCTTCGAAGATTCGCAAAGAAGATATCGTGGATGTCCTTCCCGAGGCAATCCATACTGCAAATCAATTTGTTTTCCGTGAATCGACACCGTCGTCAATGCTCGGCCAGACTATCGAAGATGCATTCTGGATGTGCAATAAGAATGCCTCGATCGAGGTTCTTTCGACGTGCGGCGTTATTCCCAGCCATCAGACACGCATTGCCCCGAAGGACCTCAGCTTCATGGACTCGATCCCCGCCCTACCCGACGCATTTGTCCTCCAAGCTAAAGATTTTGTTCAAAGGCTGACCGAGTTTGGATTGGTGACGGAAATTACTGTTTCTGATATCAAACGAGAACTGGAGGCGAGTACCCTAAGGTCTAACCAGATTGTTGAGTTTTTGACCTGGTTGGGTCGCAAATCTGTGACGGGACAGCTTGATAGACTTTCAGCTCAGAGTCTTCTCCGAGTTGCAGTGGCAAACGATGAAGATCAAGACGGAAAGCCCACAAGACTTATCGTTTTTGCCGACATCACCAGCTTTTTAAATCCCCAACGCATTTCCACCGATCTCCCTATACCATCAGCAGTGATGCCATTCCGCTTTACCAAGCTTTTGGGTAAACAGGAACTTGAGGCTTTGGGATGGGTCGAATTGCAACTTGTCCCTTGGCTTCGCTGGCTCGTGATTAATGCTGGGGATCGCAATCTCTTGTCACCGGAGCAAGACATCACACAAAGCGCCTCCTTTTCTAACCTGGTCCTCCCCCTTTTGTCTAAGCAATGGGAAAGCTTAGGCCAGGCTTCCAAACAGACTGTGATCAATACGCTCCAATCTCAGACTGTGATCCCGACCAAGCTTGGAATGAAACAACCGGAGCAAACATACTTTGCCTCCGTACGCCTTTTCGATGATCTTCCCGTTGTACATGGTTTGAATGGCGTCAAAGAAAAGTTCCTTGTATCTCTGGGAGTCCGCAAGACCGTTGAGTTGGGGGTTATTTTCGATCGTCTCATCAATAATCAGCCACCGTCCGGCGATGCTAAAGGCTCTTCGACACGGAAATGGAGTCATGTTGATTTGATTCGGTATCTCACGTCCGTTCGGGAAGACATCCCTTCTAATGACATCCAGAGACTCAAGGACACAAGTATCTGTACTGCCGAGTATCGAGAAGGTTCCAATGTGTCGCCCAGCACTCGCTACAAGATCTCTGAACTATATGAGCCAAAAGATTCGCTTCGGGCCATGGGTCTACCCGTAATCGAATGGCCAGGAATTTTCAACAACTCGAGCAATGAAGGAAAGTTCCTGTCAATGATGGGCTTGAAGCGACACCCAACAGGAGCTGAGCTTGTACGTCTCATGATCAGTAGTGACGCAGAGAAGAACAGCGCCCGAAAGACTAAGGCCCTGTCGTATTTCCTCAATGAGTATCATACCAACGGTTATGATGCTTTTGATATCAATGCAGTCACGGTGCCCTTTCTCCCTGTTGATGGCTCAGAGAGCCTCGCAGCGCCAAAGAAGTGCTTCACGAACGAGGGTGCCGCGCTGTTTGGCTTCCATATCCTCCAACAGCAGCTCCATCCGCATGCCTCCAAATTGGGCGTGAAACCGCACCCTCCTATGACGGAATGTCTTGGGATCTTGATTCGTCAACCCCCAGCTACTTCAAGGGAGGCTAGAATTGTTTTCAAGTATTTGGCTAGCAGAGCATCCGATATAAGTCCCCAGGATATCGAGCGAGTTGGATCGTCTCCGATTATCCCCATTTCGACAAAAGATCAATCAAACAAGGGCACTAAAACCCGCTTTGTTGCGCCTAAGCTCTGTTATCTTGGCGATGGAGAAGACTACAAGGATATTTTTGACTTTGTGGACTTTGGAAAGGAAGCCAATTTCTTCCTGTTAGCCGTTGGCTCCAGACGAGAACCGACAAAGACAGAAATCGCACGAATGCTAGTGAAAGAACCAGCTCGCATTTCGGCTGCATTCCAAAGCTCTGATAAATACCTCATGCTTCTAAGAACTCTTGCTGAGAACCTTCCCCTTCTCAAGAAAGACAAAGATCTGTTCACTGAAATGAAAACAGCAAGGTTCTTGTTGGCTAGTCGTGATATTCCACCTCAGTCTGCAAAAAAAGACAGCAAAGGAACCTCGACTGAACAAGAGATTGCTGATCCTGAGGAAGATTTAGATATCAGGGAGTGGAGTCTTTCATCTGCGAAAGAAATTGTTGTCGTGGATGATTTCCAGAGCTTCAATCTATTCAAAGAACATGTCCTTGCAGCGCCCCAAGAAGAATCATTAGAAAACTTCTACATCGCTCTCGGTGCTGTTCCGCTGAGCAAGCTTGTTGAGGAGCAAGCCAGATTTGGAGGTATTGCGGCTGATCAAACCCCAGCCGTGCAGTTACACAAGATAATCCTCGAGCGGGTACGGCTATTCTTGCATGACCAACCAGCAGACGCTATTCAACACGGAGCTCGCTGGTTAGAACATGATTTTAGTGTGCAGGTGGTCACATCCATCCAACTTACCCGATCTTTGAAGGGGAGGCGAGTGTCTCATACCCAAAAGCGTAAGGCCATCATGGCCCGATTGTCCAACAATTGGGGGTTGTGCATCTATGCTGGCAAATATGACCTTTATGAGATCAGTCAGTCTCTAGTCCACTTGATTCTCAAGCGACCAAAGCTTCATTCCACTTTGACTTTGGAAATGTTGTTGAAGACGGACCTCCTGGAGCTTCGTGCTCGAGGCTATAATGTGGAGCGCATTCTTAGACAGAAAGCCCACGAGGCTCGAATGGCAGGAGATAAACGACAGAAACAATTAGAAGAAGAGAGACAGGCCTTGCAAGAGAGAGAAGCTGCCTGGGCGGCCGAGCAAGCTCAAAAGGCGAAGCAAGTAAGGCCGGAGCCCCAGTCACAACAATCCCTTATGCCGGGGGTTTTTCCCGAATCACCAAACAGCAAACAGTCAGCCGAAGAAAGACAGATTGCGCCTTCTGAACCCACGATGCCAGAAAGGGCACCTCGTGGATTGTTTGCCAACCTCACCAAGCGATTTGGTCTAGACGGTCGTTCAGGATCAACACCTAATCCTGAGCAATCTCAATCTTTACTCCCCGAGTCGAATGATGCCGCTCCTCCACCTCCACCTTATTCCTCCAAAGATCCTCAACAGCCGCGCCCTGAGCAATCCGTTTCGGCTGATTCCCCGCATCGGTTACAACAAGAGCTTCTATCCGCCGTGCAGGCTTGTCGCCCTCATGGATCATCCAATGTATTCAGCCGGCCAGAGACCAACCAAATTTCGGCAAGTCAATCCTATTGTGATGAGCGACCAGGTCATGATTTGGAGTTTGTGGCAACGCTCCCCAGTGGTGTCAATGTCTTATTTGTCAAGACCATCACCGAGCGGTCCGCTTTCCTCGCGAACAACCGTACGAGCATCAACATTTTTGCCTCGGTTCTTCTTGATTCTGGTTCAATTTTTGCAATGCGTGCGGACAGCCTGAGCATATTTTATGATCCAGGTGGCAAGACCATTGCATTCAATCGGGCGGGCAGCATATTTTGCAATTACTTCTACTTCCAGAAGCTGCAAGAGCAAGCCTTGCTCCAGAGCTCGACACCTGATCGTACGGATGCCATTGTGTACTGGTGGGTGATTTTGTGTCATGAGCTGGCGCATAACCTGGTGGCCGACCACAGCTCTGCCCACAGCTACTACACTGAAGGATTTGTGGCCCAATATTTCCCCAAGGTGGCTGCCAAGCTCGCCACACTCCAACCTGGCTCAGGCGCAGCGTAATATTTCTGCTCTCTCTCTATCTCTCTCTCTGGACTATATTGCTTTTTGTTCGGTTTTGGATACCCTATGTAGATCGCTTCTATTGCTACTTCATTAGAAATGCATCGCTATTGTGACTTCGCATATTACCGTGTTGGTTCCAATCTCTGGTCCGGCGGTACCCGCTTTTTGCCTGCACATTCCCAACCTTAAAATTTCTTCCTCTTTACTTCCGAGGAACAATACATTGTAATAAAATTGTGTCGTATTTGCATTCTATCCAATTTCGATTTCTATTTCTATTTCAAATTACCCGGGCCAAAACGCCATGGATCCTTAAAAAGGTCAAAAATCCCCATTCGAACTTGACCGCGGGAAATCACAGATAACTTGATAAGCTTGGATTCCATCCGCCACTTTGCAAATCGAGGCAGGACTCTCGGTTTAAAAAGAAAAAAAAAGCATTCATGAAATAAGCCACTATCACGCAGAATATCCCCTCAACATCCCTTTTTTGATCTCTCTCATTTGTCAACAAAGTCATTATTGCGTTTCTAGGCCAATCCGCCACCCCGCAGTGAATCTGGTCATCCCGCCATGGCACCCCTACTAGGCGATTGGGAGAGGTCAGCCCTGTCAGCCTCTCCAAATGGACCAACTAAAAGCGTCTTATATGTCGATGCATACGACTCATTCTCATACAATGTGGTTGCAATGCTTGAAGAGACGTTGGCTGTGAAAGTCACTGTGATGACCATTGACTCCGACTGGCCCGATGGCAATATGCACGAGTTTCTTCGCCATTATGAGGCCATCGTGCTTGGCCCTGGACCGGGGAATCCCAATTTACCTAAAGATGTCGGTATCATGAGAGATATCTGGAACCTCCAGGAAGCCGAGGTGCTTCCGATCTTCGGCATCTGTCTCGGCTTCCAGAGTCTATGCTTGCACCATGGAGTTCCGATTGAACGCTTGCCGTATCCACTGCATGGTCAGGTGCATCATATCTCAACAAGCTCTAATGATATATTCCACCATCTTTCTGACATTGAGGTGACCTTGTATCACTCTCTTTATGCCAATCTCGACGCCGTGCATGCTTCTCGTGCTTCTTCTGTGAATGATTTGGACTTTTTGGCCTGGTTTACCCTTGAAAATGACTCGACCCAGGGTAAAAGAATACCAATGGCAGTTCGCCATCGACAGAAGCCTTTTTGGGGAGTTCAATTTCACCCCGAATCATGCAAATCAGAAAAGGAAGCCTGCAAACAACTGCTCCAAAACTGGTGGGCATTGGCTCTCAAATTCAACAAAGTGATTGGTCGTGAAGCATACAGTGCTTTGCCTGAGACTATCATTACTCCTCAAGATGAAACGTGCACATTTCCAGATGTTGCATACGATATGTTGAGATGGAGCTCGTCAACGTCACCTGTCTCGGCACATCGGTCTCTTGAGCGAGGAGACTGGACCGCAGAGACCATCAGTGAAGTCTTCAACAAGCCAGGCTCTCCGACAGTGGTCTTCCAATCCGATAATCGATATAGCATTGTCTCGATCCCTAGTCCCGGTTCCTGGCGACTGGAGTACAGTGTGGAGCTGCAAAAGTTGACTTTATATCAAGTACATGGCAACTACCAAGTACTTGAGAAGAGTCTAACCGTTATTCAGCTTTGGGATGCTCTCCGATACTTGATGGATATGAAGAAGGTCAGCTCCGGCAGTATCCATAGTCCCTTCTGGGGTGGATTCTTGGGTTACTTTTCTTATGAACTTGGCCTCTCCTGCCTTCCTCACCCCAAGGAATCTGCCCAAACATCTACGCCTTGCAATTCTTCATCAACTGGCTCCAATGTGGATGATCCTCCAGACGTCAGTTTGTTGTGGTGTGAAAGAAGTATTGTCGTTGACAATGAGACTGGCAACATTGTCGTACAATCTACCCGCACCTCGGATGACTCAACGAGTAGTTGGCTTGACGAGGCAGTTCAATTACTCAAGGGCCAGTCTCAAAGCCAGGATAATACTGAAGAATCCGACCTCGAGTTTCTAGATTCCATCCTCCATCATGGTGTCATTTCATTCCCCGATGAGACTGATTACAAAAAGCGAATCGCAGCTTGCAATGCCGAATTAGAGGCCGGCGAATCTTATGAGCTTTGCCTCACGGCTGAGACATCAATCACTCTGCCAGTTCCAGCATCAGAATCCGACCGCGTCGTGTTCCCCTGGAAACTATATAGACGACTGAAGAAGTACAATCCTGCTCGGTACAGCGGGTTCGCAAATCTTGGCCCAGTCAAGATAGTCAGCAGCAGCCCAGAATGTTTCCTTGACTGGGATCGCGTGTCTACTCTCGAGATGAAACCCATGAAAGGCACGGTTCGAAAGACCCCCGACATGACACTCGCCAAGGCGAAAGAAATCCTATCATCAACAAAGGAAATGGCCGAGAACCTCATGATTGCCGATTTGATTCGTCATGATCTATATGGTATTTGTGGGTCTGGTGGTGTGCATGTTGAGAAATTGCTTGAAGTGGAGGATTATGGTCACGTCTACTCCATGATCACACATGTCAAGGGCGAAGTTCGTCCCGATCAACCCGGGTATTCAGTCCGCCACATCCCGCAACTGAAGTCTTCCAATATGGCCGTTCATGGTCTTACCACTTTGCAGCGCTGCTTGCCCCCGGGCTCCATGACCGGTGCGCCCAAGGAACGCTCCTGCATGCACCTTAAAACGATTGAAGGACGCAGACGTGGGATTTACTCTGGCGTCATGGGCTACCTTGATCTCGGGGGTGGTGGAAGCTTTGCGGTCATGATTCGAACGGCCTTTACTTGCTCTTCTGATCAAGATAAAGAGCAAATCTGGCGAATCGGTGCCGGTGGTGCCATCACGACCCTCAGCACACCCGAGGGTGAATGGCAGGAAATGCTGACCAAGTTGCGTACCGTCGGCAATATTTTTGCTCCATTCGATGCCCGTTGAGGAAAGAATTGCTTTACTCTTCTCTGATCATCCTTGCTCTTTTCTCTGTTTAAATTAACTTGATCGCGGACCACATTCAACGTGTCTTCAACATCCGCATCTACACTACTATATTTGAGGGAGTCGGTTTTTTATTCCAAAATTCAACATAGAGCGCTGGAGCTGGGGTTATTTGCTTTTTTTTTCACTTGTGAAACTTGTTTGCTTTAAACTCGCTGTCTACAGATTAACTGTAAATGATGCATACTACATACTTGACATACTACTAGTAGTGCACCCATACATACATGACCCCTGTATAGAACAAATGCAAACAAGCAAAACATGTGATATCTCGTATCTAATCTCTAATCTCTGGATCTTCCGATCGTTAAATCTTTCCAATTGCTTTAAGCTCACTTCTATGCTTTGTTCCCCCAATTCCAAGGAATCTTTGGGTCCAACTTGTCTGCATTTGAGTAATTAATTGGACTCATTGGTGTTCGCCATGGCTAGCCAAGATACCGCAATGGAGGAAATCCTCTGGCGGTCTCCCCCGCACGTCCAGATGATGGGGGGTTACATCCACTCCAATAACAGTACGTCTAGAGCCTATATGAAGCCTCGATAGCTACTAATCAACTCGCGTTGCTCAGTTCTCTTCTACTTTGCCGAGTCCCCTTTCTTCGACCCAACCTCCAACAATGCCTCCCTCGCCATCCAAGCCAATTACAATGAGGCCTTCCGCAACTTCGTCGAAACGCGCGAAGCGTTCGAGGGCCGTCTGAAGACCATGTCCGGTCTAGAATTCATCGTCGCATATGACCCTCTGCAAGCGGCCGCGCAGTCTGACACGCGCTTTGCTCACGAACCATCTAATGTCTGGGTTATTCGAAAGCAAAACCGGCGGAAGCGGAATGGCATGGACGACGAGGTAGTCGTGATCTCGACATATTTCCTTGTCGGAGATTGTATCTACATGGCGCCATCAGTTGCTAGTGTGGTGGGAAACAGAATTGTACGTTCTTGCTGCCCTGCCTCTTTCAAACTCCCTTTACGCGCATCACGGCTAACCCTCCACTCTTTCTACTCGCAGCTTTCGGCCGTTACATCCCTATCACGGCTCATGAAGACTGCCTCCACCCTTCCGACATTCACCCCTTCTTACGGACACACATACCTCCCGCCCATGGCGCGGGCCACCGAGTCCGGCGCACAGGCATCACAGCAAAGCAAAGAAAACACGCCCATGCCGGAAGCTGCGCCACCTTCAACATCCGACACACAAGCAACAAGCAGAGCAGGGTTAGGGATCTCGAACACGAACTCCAGCTACCATGATACCCGCAGTCTTGCCGAATCGTTCAGCCTGTTCACTAAATATGGCGACGAGTTCATGGACGAGACCCCACTAGTAGGAGAACCGGGCTCTTTCATCATGTCACGAGTTGGCAATGAGAATGACCGCGCAACCAAGAATGCAGCTGCGCCTAAGTCATCCCTCGGTGTAACCGCGAACACACCGGGGGTACCTGGTCGAGTCTCAACCCCGCAGGTCCGGGTTGATACACCTGGCAAGGCGTCCGATAAGAGTAACTCACCACCTAGCTCTGGTGAGAATAAAGCCAAGCGGAAAAAGAACCGGGTTGTGAGCTGATTTTTCCTTTTATGATACCCCTTGCATGGTGGGAATCTGGGCATTTTCTCGGTAGATGTTGCAATTTCCAATATATTGTTCCAATTTCAAGCACCCATCTATACTGGAGTCAAATCAATGTTAGTTGATTGAACACATGTGTATTTGAATACATAATACTTAATTTGAGTGATGAAGCTTGCACATGTGTCTATTTTCAAGTTTTCTACATTATTGCTCGAGATCTACATATACATGTGTACATTGTATGTATGTAGTCCACGGGTGTTTGGCACATGTTACATACATAGGTAGATGTTCAACATTTGAATGCCTAGGGGTTTGGTGTTGATGTACGTGCGGATATGTATATGTAACATTTGAACCCGCAACCAGTTGAGATGCACATGTGTACATGTATGTATGACCTTCAATGTTGGAAGTATTATCTTTTAAGATGCACTGTTGTAGTACAGTGCATCCATATGTCAATATGTACTGGATCTGTTTGGAGCTGGGTAGGTAGTAGATCCGATATGTATCAATGCAGGTGCTTTGTATGATAGGACTAGTAGAGCTACTACAAGTGATTCCGTACGCTAGAGGCTCTCCGTGGAGACCCCCCACTTCAGAGTAATTCCCCAGTAAGCAGCTCACGAGTCACCATGAGTAAATATGAGTCATTGAAACAAAAAGGCCATTTTGAATGGTCGATCAATTACCAAGGAAAAAGAAAAAGGGGAAAGCATTGGGACAATTGGAACCAATAGAATGGTCAACGTGAAGTCACGCTCTCTTATCGTGGTGGAACCAGTTTCCAAGTTAACGCTTTCCAAGTACACTGTCTCCGCGGTCTCTGCCTTTTCCCTTTTCCCATTCTCTGAAACTCGAATAAATACAATACAACTTCAAATCTATACATATCAAGAACCTGTTATTCTCATCCATCATGGCACCAGCTAAGCAAGCGGTTATCTGCGTCTTGTGAGTCACAACCCCTCCCCCTCACCATTCCGTCTCCTCACCAAATCTCCTCCCCCTCATTCGAACAAAACCACCAACCAAATAGACAATGGGTCTCAGCTCCCTCCTTCAAAACAGCCAGACTAACCTCAACCCACCTACAGCTGCGGCGCCACACCAGGAAATGACCCAATCCACCTCGAAGCCGCCCGAACGCTCGCCCAAGAATTCCACAAGCACAACGTCCAGCTAGTCTACGGTGGCGGCACAACAGGACTAATGGGCGAGGTTGCCCGCACACTCGTCGCACTCTCAGGCCCGCAAGCAGTTCACGGCGTGATCCCCCGCGCGCTCGTGCGGGTCTCCACGAAGAGCAACGGCAACGGCGCAGCAACTCCGAACGGGGAGAGCGCCAACGGCGACGGTGGCGGCAAGGCCGCTGAGCGGGTAGTCTCGGAGTCAGAGCAGGCGGATGGAATCCCCGAATCAGAGTACGGAGTCACCACAATCGTACCGGACATGCACACTCGCAAGCGGTTGATGGCGACCAAGGTGCTGGAGGGAGGGCCTGGGTCCGGGTTTGTTTCGCTGGCGGGTGGGTTTGGAACAATCGAGGAGGTGATGGAGATGACTACATGGAACCAGCTTGGAATTCACAAGGTGGGTGTTGTGCTACTTAATATCAATGGGTACTGGGATGGTGTACTGGCTTGGGTACGGAATGCGGTCGAACAAGGCTTCATCAGTCCTGAGAATGGTAACATTCTTGCTGAGACGAAGGATGCCAAGGAGGTTTGGAACAAACTGTTGGAATATCAGATTAGCAGTCAACGCATGCAGTTGAACTGGGGTGAAGAGTAGTTTTGTGTTTTTGTCTCTTGTGGGGTCTTGTCCTTGAGCGTTATGTGTACCTAGGGAGTAGTAGGTGCAGCCTGGGGGTGTTGGAGTGATGTTCTGCGGGATCATTGATTTAAAGGACATGCATAGCATCCAGGATATACCCGGTAGAATCATCATAGAAATGAAACTCATGGTTGCAACATTTTTGAGAAGAAAGAAAAAAAAAGGGAAAACGTGTTAAAAAGTGCATACAGCATCAGGCAAGAGTATTCATGTCTATGCGCATCATTAAACATCACAGAATAATTTATGAATCAACCTCCATGGACTCGCCCTCGCCCTCACCAGCACCAGCTGATTCGGACCGCTCCAAGGCCTCCAAAAGAGGCAAAGTTTCCTGACCCTCGTACAGCTTGAAGCTTTCAATACGGCCCTTGGAACCCTCAGGAGCCACACCAACCACACCAACAGAGGTATTTTCGATCGTAAGCTCCTTATCCTGAGACAGGGTCTCCTTGAGAGCACGCAGACCGTGCGTAATCAACTCATCCCGGCTGCAATCCATAAACTTATCCAAGTTCTGCTCCAGGTATGTACGCGCCATTTGCGAACGAGCACCAATAGCACAAGCGGACATCTCATGGGTCAACCCGGAGGGCTGGAACTCGAACAGGTGCGGGCCAGCCTCGTCAACACCGGCAACCAGCAGGCCGACACCGTAAGGACGCTTTCCGTAATGCTGAGTGTTGGTCTGGGCGCGGTCTCCGATCTGCGCAACGATACGGTCCAACGGGATTGGGCGGCCGTAGGTCATCTTGGAACCTAGCGATTGCTGCTTCATGAAGTTGGAGAGGACGCGAGCGTCTGATGCAAGGCCGGCGATGGCAATGGCCATGTGCGAGTCGATCTCGATGACCTTCTTCTGATAGGAGGAGAGTTCTTCGGCATTTCGCTATTGTTGTTGTAATGGAGTCTTGGTCAGCTCGGGGTCAAGCTTGCGACGTAGTAGGGTTAGATAGAGTGACTGGAGCGAACCTTGAGGCCGACGAGCACGGAATGTGTCTTGTTCACCAATCCCACCACCACTGATCCTTGCTTCACTGCTTCTTGTGCATACTCCACCTGGAATATCCGACCTTGTGGGGAGCTTTTGTCATCGAGTTAGGGTCTGTAGGGTCTGATGTGGATTGCAGGTTGTAGCTGATCCGGGAGGGGACAACTTACAAGGTAACAGCGTCGTTGTCGTAGTTGTTTCGGAACATGATGAAAAGAGAGGTTGAATATAAGGGGAAACAGAGATAGAAGATCAGTCTTGATAGGCGGAGAACAAGAAAGATACAATCAAAAAGGCAAGTGAAACTGATTGGGGCAGATGGGGAAGCTGAAGCAGGCAGTTAAGGTGACGCGGTGTGAGAGCTCTCGGCGCCTGAGGCACCCACGTCCAGTGACCTTCAGGCCCCAACGTCACTCATCCCTCCAACAGCTCCCCCCTCCGCTCGATCTGTATGGCGCTATCCTTCCACACCTGCTGAGCTGCTTTTTGTCTGATATCCACACAAGCCACACTGCAATCCCACCCACATTCTCACTACCCCGAACTCGCAGGGACGGCTTCGACTCCGCAATCATGGCCGCCGGAATCAAGACCATTATCGCGCTTTCATTTGTACGCATAGAATACCCCAGACAATGATCATGCAGCTTTTGAAATGGTGTACTGACTACTACTTTCTCTAGGTGCTTGCGATCGGTTTCCTCCTCGTTATTCTCTCTTCCGCCTTATGGCACAAGTACTGGCCCCTCTTGGATGTCGCCATCTATGTGATTGCGCCGCTCCCCAATTGGATCTGTTCGCGATGTGCGAACCCAGATGATTTCATGGACAGCTCTTCCAATGCGGCGATGGACTTCGGGCGCTTCATGACCGGCTTCCTAGTTCTGACTGGTATTGGTAAGTGACACCTTCACCTTATCCCAGGGTATATCCATCTACTTGGGTATCCGCGCATCCCGATCCAACATGTCCATGGCTCTTTGTACCTAGATATGCTCTCTTTCGGTCAATTCCATGAGTTGGTTATAAGCACAACGCTAACGCTGCTCTTCTAGCGCTTCCCATTGTTCTTGCCCACAGTGGAGAAATCCAACTCCCAGCCATGATCATGTCGATTTTCGGTGGCCTTTTGATCTACGGAACCATCATCAGCTTCTCAATGTTCTTCCAAGAACAGGAAGAGTTCTGATCGAACGTGCCGGGTTTGGTATGAAGGTTCTGGTTAAGGTTCCGGGACGAGACTTGTTGAAAGACAGAAATTCCGTGGCCATCCAGGCTTCCTATATGACGAAATTTGGTTTCTTTTCTTCCACAACTAGTTTATTTTGTTTTTGACGTTATGCACGATATACTTCGAATGATTTGCTGAGGAGCGGTCTCAGCGTCGGGCTGCCATTGTTCAATGGATTTAGCATTTTCTTAGCTTTGATACTTGTGTATTATATCACGGTGAATATATGGATTCCCAACGGGCTGAAAGGAATCGTTTTCCCCCTTAGCTATTATCAATTTTTAGAAGCCCTTTCTTACAAGACTTTGTATGGAGCTTTGCTGCGACTGTTTAAATGGGACACGTGACCACGGGTCTGGACGCGTTCCCCACATCGCGCGCTATTGATATCCAACATTTGAAGACTGATGATCACATAATTGAAAGATAAACACAAAATGGAATGGTAAAGCCGACTCTCATTTTCCTGTTTTGAAAATGAATATCTGGAACGGGACCATTGATCTCAGTCCAGAACACCATTTAGAAGGTAAGTTGATTGCAACGCCTCATATGTTTCGCGCTGACCATCAGGGATCCGCTTGGTTGACCCGACCTCCCATTGGCAATCCGATCTTACCAAAAACACCAAACTCGGTCTCCGCAGCTTCGTCAATCCTGCTTTGATTCCTCTCCATGCGCGAGCTGGTCCTAGCCTCGAGTTACACACGACTAGCACGCAAACGTCGCAATGGCTACAACGCAAATTGTCCGGGACCATCTGGTTAAATGAAGATGAACTGGACCTCCCCCAATCACTTCAGTGTCCTGTCGGCCTGCTGGTCAGTGTCGATGGGACTTCATCCAAACGGTCTGGAGCCACCACCTCCGACCTCTTGGTCTATGGCGTGTTATCCAGCGCGACGTCATGCACGCGACCACCCACTCCTCCCCATTCATCACCAAATGAGACCAACGGCCGTGCCAACACCTCGACAACCAAACCATACCAATTGAGGATTTACGCAGCGCCCCTCTCCACGCAGCAAGTCACCCAAGCACACGCCTTCCCATCACCCCCGCCCAGTTATGACGGAGAGCGCGCGCCTGCGCCGGCGCAATTCCTTCCGGATTGCTTTTCACCGAGTCCCAAGCGGAAGCGAGTAGCCACACTATTTGAGTCGGCTGCACAACATCATCGCCGCGTACGACAGGGAGGTGGCGGGGCGGTCTCTCAGTTGATGGCATCTTCACGACCGTCGTCGTCATCACAGAATCTCCCATCACTCCGAGCCAAACGTGAGCCCGAGGACGAGACACCAAGTCTCCCAAGTCTCGACCGACTGGTCTCTGGAAGATCCCGATCGATGTCCCTTGGAACCAATTTGACTCGCCCTGGAAGTACACGCAGTGCTCGCGCAACCCCGGGTATTAGTGCAGATCCTCAAAAGCGCGCCCCAACACCAAATCCATTCTTGGACTCCCGCTCTCGGCGCGTTTCGCAGCAAATGCAGCCACAGTCTTTGCCCTCGGTATCCACCGAGGAAAATACCACCGTTCCAGCCTCTCCACCAAAGAACCCGGAATCTATCATTGCGGAAAACAAAAACGTTATCACACGTACTATTCTGACTTGCATGCGGCTCTATGGATTCCATCGCTCGAGTAAACGGCCGTCGGCCAGCAAGTCGACGTCTGAAGCAGTCGATCCAGATCTTGAAACCTCAAGTTCTACTGCAGCCCCCGAAGGTCTTCGTGCAGAGACTCCTGCTCCAGGTGCCTCGGCTGACGACGACGAATTCAAAGACATGTACCATGCGACCTACAAAGCTGCAGCTTTTGCGCTCCGGAAGTACGTGAAAGACTTGGCCTCTAGCGGGGGTAATGCGCCTCAAGTGCTAGAGAAAGAGAAAGCCATGACATGCATTGATGAGATTCTTCGAATCTTTTGCGAGGGCCATTAATTCATTTACCACCTACTTACGAGCAAGTACGTCGGTACGTACGTTACACTATGACTTCATGAACTTATGGTGCATCTTTTTATTTTGGATTGGGCGTTTTGTGATGCATATGGGCATATCTAAACATCATGTGTGCGAGGCATATTTTACTTGTTTTCTATTTGAGCAATCTTCGCTCTTGAGGTTATCCAAAAGTTAATTTCGAATGAGTGGAAGTCATAAATCTAGCCAAAATTCCATCATGCTAGTACCTAAAGAAGCTCCAGTCAGAAGCACCGGAGATGCGAATGTAAACACCCAAGCAGAATCAATCATAATACCAGCGCATAAAGTACAGAAAATCCAAGCCGCAAAGTCCATATATCAAGCCCAGCACAATTAAAGTGCGAGGTTGTAAGTATAGTCATCCTCCATGTTCTGCGACACCCAAAGAACAATAGAGCTGTGTTTATGTTAGCTCCATGACCAATGCAAAACCCAAGAAAAAGAGAACCCACCTCAACATAACCAATCCATTCGCAACAACATTGGCAATACCAAAGTAAAGTGTCTGGATAGGATAGTCCTTGATAAGGTACTTGAGAACCATAACCGTCTAGACACACGCACATTAGCCCCGCAAAACAAGCGCCCATGCCCCCTCCAAACCGGAGGCAACAGGAAAACAAAGCAAGACCAAGCAGCGCAAAACATACCACACTCCCCGCAAGACCACCAGCTAAAAGCGCAAAGCCCAGGAAAAGCACAAAGCGCGCCTTCCAGGCCACCCCGCTCCCACTGTAACTAAAGCTATCGGCCTGCAGCCGCGACTTCTCAATGGAGTTGATAACCAGCATACCCAGCGCGGAGCAAATGCCAGGAATCCAGTCGACGAATTTGATATGCACGTCCGAGCCATTACGGGCGCTATGCGAGAAGGAGGCTACGTCGATAAGGAAGAAGAAGCCTGCGGCGAACTGTAGAGTATATCGGATCAGTAAAATGGTCTGGATTTCAGTTTATATGGACCATGTGATCCCTGATTCTTAGTTGCGTGAATGACTGCGACGAACGCATCGATTGTGGAAGAGGATTGCGATGCGATCCGATTCGGGTTTGGGGGGGTTGGTCGGGTTGGGTTATTGGGTCGGGAAAGACACTCACCAGTGCGCCGGAGACGTAGACGCCTGTGTTGCGGACGGCGGCGTTGTTCAGCCATTCGGGCTTGGAGAAGCGGAAGAGTCGGTTGCTGGAGACGTCCATCTTGGGTGTGATTTCGAGTTGGTGTTGGTGATTGAGCTGGGGATTGGAGCTGTTAGCGGATCCAATGACGACTGGGGCCGGAAAAAATATCGGGCCGATGGTGGTGTATTGTAGGCTGCAGCAACAGTGATCTCAGAAGTCTGAAAGTAAAATGGGCTATGAAGTTCAGTTTTCTTTTGGTAGATCTATTAGTTTTTACTTTGCAATTATTTTGATTGCTTTGGTAATGTTTCTGGGTGCCTCTGACCGTCGTACAATCTACAGCATTTCGAAACACAAGTGCTTGGTACATATTGATGTATGTGTCTATATACATTATCGATTAGCGACTGGATTTTATTCAAGAATTCAATATGAAGGTTGCTTTTTGTGTCACTATATACATACGTACTTTCTACGTATGTTTGTACAATTTTTGGTCTGTTCTGCCTATTTTAGGCTGATGTAGGTATAATATATAGTAGTCAACAGTATGTACCTTGGTAGATTCGAGAGTCTGGAGAACGATCAGATGTGTAGTATATACTAATGTGTATACAAAATGCCAAGTATATGTGGGGTATTACCAATTGACTGTAAGCAGCGCTGGCGGTTCCAGGCAGCGAAGCAAATGAGTGGTATGTCAAACGGTCATGCACACGATTCCTGCTGGAGGTCCAAGGTTTATACGTACATAAATTATGTATGTACCTCTGCGGTGGGTCTGGCTTTGAAATACATCAATTGATTGATTGATACAGTACATGCCTAATGTATAAATGTGTGGATAATTCCTTCATTGGATACTTAGGCATCGAACATGACATTCAAATCAATATGTTGCCCAGGTGGATGGACGCGCGTTTCAAGGCTGTTGCTACCACTATTTAGCAGCCTACTGTCAATAAGGTTGTAAAATGTTATTTTTGAAACAAGAGAAATATTCAAAGGTGTATTTTTCGGGGTCTCATTAGATAAAAATATGGCAATCGCCTCTATGTACATATTGTATCAAGTCATTTCTGGTCTGCCCAGGTGCCTCCAGCCCTGGAGGTGGATGACGCGTCACATGTCAAGTTGAGATAATCGTACTTCATGTCCACGAGTTCATCCAAGAACAGACCGTATCTGCTAATTCCAGCTCTATGTAGTATATACGCTGGACGCATCGGTCGATACGGAAGCAAACCGCATTGTTCAGCAACACCGCGCTGGAGTTCATGGAGACCCTCATAGTGCTGAGGTCTAGTGTTGATGAATATTGGCGATTTCATCTTTTTTTTATTTAACCACAGCTTGGCAGTTGACTGGCTGCTCTTGTGATAGACATTTCCAGCGTGGGAAACAATTGCTCTGCGCAGTACTTCAGGTGGAGGAAACGGCGTGGGTCCGCAGCTTATCCATAATGATATCGATCGCATCCATGTCGCCAGCGTCAACCTTCTCAGGTGCGTAGCCTTCGGGGACGTGCTTAATCAGTTCGTTCATGGACGGTTGGTAGTTGCGGACGGCGGACGAAAGCGCGTAGACGGCCTTCTTGCGAGTAATGGGGTTGGAGTCGGTAGTGGCCACAGTCACGAGCTTGGGAATGGCGTTGAGAACAATGAGCTGTAGGATGAAAAAGGCAGGTTAGCTTTCATTTCTTTCTGCGGGAAAGACTTTTGCTTGGGATTTTGACATACCTTGTCCTGAGCCTTCTCATTGTTTTGAACAGCAGTTCCAATACACCAAGCGGCATACTTGCGGATTTCTGGCTCCTTATCATCCAGCAGCTGGACCAATGGGGTCCAGAGACCACAGGGCTCCAAGTTGTTGGCATTGTCAATACCCTCGATCAATTGCTCAAAGTTGTCGAAAGCAATAAGCTTGTTTTCCAAATCGGAATCGTCCGAGTGCAAGACCTCCATGGCAGCTTTCATCAGATCAGCCTCGGAAGGTCCACCCATCAGAGCGTTCAGCATTTGGGGGGTCAAAGTGCGGGCGGCTTCCTCGGTGGATGGAGGGGCATCTCCATTTTCTTGCTTAGAGTTCTGGACACTCCATTTGAGGAGCTTGTTCATTTCGGGATCCATGGCGAGTATGTTTTAAGAATCCAAGGGGATTTGTATTCACAAAATATAAAATGAAACAAGTATATGAGAAGAAAGCGTGTTGGTTAAGAAGTGTTGTAATGTAATGCTGGACTCAACGAGATAATTTACATTAAAGTTCAGAGATTATCGATAACGGAGCCTTACCTAATCCGAAGTCACTGGACTTTTCTAGTGGCATCGAGAACAAGTCAGGTGACTTGCCACACCGTCTTCTTGCTTTTCCCCTTAAGTCCGGAATTCCTTTCAAGTCTCACTGGTCAATCATGGTGCTTTCTCAGCTTTTGGCCCCAAATGGCGGTAACGAACTTGCTTAGCTGGTAGAACTACTCCGTAAAGAGAGAAAATTTAAAAAAAGGACACCTTGCACATGTGCTCCAAGCGTGGTAATCTAAGGGAATTGAGGGGCGTCATCAATGGAGCCACAATGGCTTGGTGAAGCGATGCGAATACGATAAGACTGTTTAATTCTCCGGGTCTTTCATTCCTGCTAAAAAAAAGGGAGAGATAACAATTTAAAGTACGAACTATGTATGGACTATGTACCCCCTTAGTACCCGGTGCGTGGCCGTCAGAGCCGTTCTATACTTAGAAGTGACTTAGCACTCACACACCGGCCTTCCTTACAACTCTTCCCCGCCACAAGGCGTCAGAGGGAAATGGTAAGAGACCCATAACTCTGTAGCCTGGATTCTGGGCCACATATGAGACGAAGAGGCAATTCCCATTCAATTCGTGATCACGATCAATTCTCTTTCAGGCATCTCCTTTACCAGGAAATCGGAATAATACCGGACCTTGAAAGAGGAATGTTCCATAAAAGGGTCTTGGAGGCTCGAAAGCAGACCAGTTGCCCCACGAACGCCTGGACATTTCATAGGGATCCAATGGGGACGGGGTCAGATAGAAAAACCAGGAGAAAAAATAAAAACAAAAAACGAAAGCAAATAATTAAATCACATCTGCCTTGAGAATCCAAGATATATATAAAGAATTAGAAAATCTTCAAAGTTGGATGATCACTTTGCTTTGGGGGGCTTAGTCGAGACCAAGTTGCGCACACACCAAGTGTCCCAAGTTCCAAAGTTCCCTTCCCAACCATCACAAACTCTCCCCTCCTCTCCACTTCTTCCCTTCTTCCTCCTTCCTCCCTTTCCACTACTCTTTCATATATCTTCCCCTTACTCCCATTTTCCTTTTTTTAATCTATCTCCCTTTTCTCCGTCACCATGGAAGGTTAGTTTTCCCCCTCTTCTTGGCTTCCGTCTTGTTGTGGCCACCTCAGCCATTTGGGCCTCCCTTTTACCCCCCAATCACCCAAGCTGGTCCCAGCTTGCATCATTTGAGGAAAAGCCCCCAACTTTTCATTAGATCCCATTGCTGACTCATTTCATCATCTACAGAGGAAGTCGCTGCTCTCGTTATTGACAATGGGTATGTGATGATGAATTGCTTGCTCGTTCAAGGGAGCTGGGGGGCTGTGTTTTGAGGGGGGGGAACGTCAACCGCCCCGGTCGCGGCGTCCATTCCATCACTTCCCCCCTATTCGCCGCCCCGGCAAATTGGCTTCCAATCGCAAGCCAACAACCCCTTCAGCGTCCCATTCGAACAGCAATGTGGTTATATTTCCAAGTTGAGGGGTGATTTACTGACGATTTGCGTAGTTCGGGTATGTGCAAGGCCGGTTTCGCCGGTGACGACGCACCCCGAGCTGTCTTCCGTAAGTCACAACCCCACAGAACGAGGCCTCTCCCCCTCCTTACAAGCCATCCCGCCAACCCTTGCGTCGGTATCTGCGGGTATTGATGCAATCTTGAAAAAAAAACATGGCCTTCGTCATTGATTTTTTTTCAAGATTGGGTTGGAGTTTTTTTCTCTAAAAAAATCATTGATTCTAACTGTTTTGATTAGCCTCCATTGTCGGTCGTCCCCGTCACCATGGGTAAATATTCCTTCCCCCTTTTCTCTGGATTCGTGGACTGTCACAACCATATTGGACAACCAAAATGCAGAAGAAAAAGAAGAAATAGAGAGCAATGAAACTAACGTGCATCCAGTATCATGATTGGTATGGGACAGAAGGACTCCTACGTTGGTGATGAGGCACAGTCCAAGCGTGGTATCCTTACCCTCCGCTACCCCATCGAGCACGGTGTTGTCACCAACTGGGACGACATGGAGAAGATTTGGCACCACACCTTCTACAACGAGCTCCGCGTTGCCCCCGAGGAGCACCCCATCCTCTTGACTGAGGCTCCCATCAACCCCAAGTCCAACCGTGAGAAGATGACCCAGATCGTGTTCGAGACCTTCAACGCCCCCGCTTTCTACGTCTCCATCCAGGCCGTTCTGTCCCTGTACGCCTCCGGTCGTACCACTGGTATCGTTCTCGACTCCGGTGACGGTGTCACCCACGTTGTCCCCATCTACGAAGGTTTCTCCCTGCCCCACGCCATTTCCCGTATCGACATGGCTGGTCGTGACTTGACCGACTACCTGATGAAGATCCTCGCTGAGCGTGGATACACTTTCTCCACCACTGCCGAGCGTGAAATTGTCCGTGACATCAAGGAGAAGCTCTGCTACGTTGCCCTTGACTTCGAGCAGGAGATCCAGACCGCTTCCCAGAGCTCCAGCCTCGAGAAGTCCTACGAGCTTCCCGATGGACAGGTTATCACCATTGGTAACGAGCGCTTCCGTGCTCCCGAGGCTCTGTTCCAGCCTAACGTTCTTGGTCTTGAGAGCGGCGGTATCCACGTCACCACTTTCAACTCCATCATGAAGTGTGATGTTGATGTCCGTAAGGATCTGTACGGTAACATTGTCATGGTACGTCGTCTTTGGATATTCCTCCCCAAATTCTCTTATTTCCCGCCAATGATTGATCGCTAACTTTTGATTTTCTTTTCTTTTTTTTTTTTAGTCTGGTGGTACCACCATGTACCCCGGTATCTCCGACCGTATGCAGAAGGAGATCACTGCTCTTGCTCCTTCTTCCATGAAGGTCAAGATCATTGCTCCCCCAGAGCGCAAGTACTCCGTCTGGATCGGTGGTTCCATTCTTGCTTCCCTGTCCACCTTCCAGCAGATGTGGATCTCCAAGCAGGAGTACGACGAGAGTGGACCTTCCATTGTTCACCGCAAGTGCTTCTAAGTTACTTGTCTACGTTGATCGTCTTCGCTCGTACTTTTCTGGTGTATCAAAAGGCCGGCTGGAGGCACTGGTGGATAGCAAGCGTTGTTGGACTCGCATTAACAAGCGGATAGCCTGAAAATGGAAATCTCGATTTTAGTGGAATAGAGTCGGTCGTTTTTTCCTGTTTCCTGCTCTCCCTTTTTCTATTGTTTTCCCATTTTTTTTACGAATTGAGCTTCTTTGTCGCGAGTCTCCTCTGGAACGCTCTTCTTTTCCTTTACCAAAACCCCCCGGGGGGCGCGGGTCCTCGGCGCCTCGGTCGGTGTAGCTGAGGATGTTTGTGTACATGAAGTTGTGGCACCGCGTTAGCCCTTTCTTTTCTGTTCTAGCCTTATGAGTTGTATCTCCGACCAAATTGTCTTGAAGCTGTCCTCGTCTCTCCTTAAACTACATTATGTTGCAAACAATTGTAACTCGTACATAAAATTACCAAGAACCCGAATACAAGCTTACATACAGTCAAAGTGATGGGCCAACCACCAACATGGGCAGACTCTGTGCATCAATGCCATTCCAAACCTATGCTCGGGTTCTATTGATATACTACTAGTAGGTACCTATGCAAATCAAGAAGACGCAGTCACATCAATGTCAAAAACACCAACCCACCGACACGACTTCTCAGGATACCCAGTACTTGTCGTACACTCCCACTCAGCACCAGAGACAGTACTCTGACCACTCTCCGTACCATCAAGACGAGCAACCCGCAACACAAAGTTCTCAACATCATAGATGCCGTCGGGAAAGTTAACCTGGTAAGCCGGGTTCGAGCAGCTGAACATCAGGGTTCCAGCCTGACCTTCAGACCTATAGATGCAAACGACAAAACGATGTAGTAGTCAGTAAAGCCATCCTTCCAATAAGACCCCAGTGCTCCCCAAGTGCTTCATTAGAGTACAGGTATTTCATCCACATACCACACAGCATCGCAATGCGTATCAATATTCGTGTTGGGATCACTGAGCGCAAAAACGATATCGTAGGTTGTAGGAAGTGTTTCGGAGTAAAGGTTTCCAGACAGGTTCGTCAGTTGCAGGGGTTGCAATGCTCGCTTGAGGGCACTCGGGGCTGCTAGGGTGGTGCTGGCTGTGGCCAGGAGAACAGTGCTGATAATGGCGGTGGTCTTCATCTTGTATCTTGTGCGATGTTGGCTGGAAGTTGGCTGGAAGAGATCTTCCAAATTTGATAGTGAATCTTTGACTCGTGAGAAAGTATACAGTATGTATCTACTATTAAGTATCGACGCTAGAGGTATTCAGAAAAGAAATGTGGACCCTTATATACCACATATTCCGCGCGATGGTTTCAGCCGCGTGGCGATCCATAGTACCTTGCTTTAGTCCCAAGTAACATTGTGTACTAGAAGAAACGAGGCGTTGTCTTGGATCTGATACGAAGTTACATCGATCTTCTGCAACGGGCCTGATCATCTAGCAAATCGGGTTGAGGCCCGGATTGAGAGCTGGACGCCTTTGCCGGACGCCTCGTTCGATGTATACAGTGAAAGACCACGCTGTAGTCTGGGTACTTCCGTGCCTACTGTGACTCCAAGCTGACCCATTGTAAAGAATACAGTAGACATCTACATAGCACGTAAGTTGAACGTAGAATGCCAACAAATAATGATGGGGTCGACAGTCAATTGACTGGTCTTACTAAAATCTTGGAATGTTATTTAGGCCCCCCAAGCCTGCCCAAGGTGTGAACTTGTTACACAGCCTTGTTCAAAGGTCTCAGGGTCCATGCTTATTTTTAGACTTCAAGCATGCTCGAAGATCTGCCGAAGAGAGAAGAATCATTTTCTAAATAATTTGCATTGCTTGATAGGATTCGGGGAGTATATATCATTTCATCCATCATATAGGACTAGCATAAGTCATTGGAGACTTATCCATTTTGTTGCCTTTCAAAGGCGTAAAAAAAAGAAAAAACATCAAAATAAGCATCAACCACTAGATAAAAACATGGGAAAAAGAAGAAAGGTTTAACCAAGAACTAGGCCAGGGGCAAATCAAGCCCAAGACTCCAGACCGGTCAAGACACAGCCCTCTTCACCCTCAGCACGGGCACGAAGGTGGCCAATGCTGTAAACAGATTCACCCTTGGCCTCAAGGGTTTGGCGAACGGCAGCCTCGGAAGCGGGGTCCACGGCAATGATCATACCAATACCGCAGTTGAAGGCACGGGCCATCTCGGCAGCAGAAACGTTGCCGGCACGCTGAAGCCAGGAGAAGACGGAAGGCTGAGCCCAGGTACGGACATCAATGTCGGCAGTCAGGGTAGCGGGAAGCATACGGGGAACGTTCTCGACAAGACCACCACCGGTGATGTGAGCAAGACCCTTGATGGCAGCTGGGTGGGCGGCAAGCGCGCTCAGAACGGACTTGACGTAGATGCGGGTAGGGGTGAGAAGGGCACGGCCAAGGGCGACCTCACCCTCGAGGCCGGGCATGGTGAAGGGAGCGGGGTCGGAGTAGCTCAGACCTGCACGCTCGACGATCTTGCGAACGAGCGAGTAACCGTTGGAGTGAGGACCGGAAGAACCCAAGGCAATGAGGACATCACCGGGACGCATGGAGTCAGTGTGGGGGAGGATCTGGCGAGCGTGCTCACCAGTGGTGTTGATGGCACCAACAGCGGCACCAACGGCATCGTAGGAGTCGTCAACAAAGAGGCCAGGCATCTCGGCGGTCTCACCACCAATCAAAGCACAACCGGCTTGCACACAGCCGTCGGCGACACCGGTGACAAAAGCGGTGGCAGTGGGCACATCCAGGTGACCGCAGGAGTAGCAGTCAAGGAAGAAGAGGGGCTCAGCACCCTGGACGACAAGGTCGTTCACGTTCATGGCCACAAGATCAACACCGACAGTGTCGTGGATGCCAACAGCGTGAGCAATCTTAAGCTTGGTACCGACACCATCGATGGCACCAATGAGAGTAGGTGAGTGGGCGTGGTATTCGGGGTTGGCAGCAGCCAAGGAGAAGAGACCACCGAAGCCACCGATAACAGCATCAGTACCGGGACGCTTGGTGCGACCGACGGAGCTCTTGATACGGTTCACCAGCTCGTTACCGGCATCAATGGACACACCAGCAGCCGCGTAGGTCAGCGAAGTGTTGGCAGTTTGACGGAAAGCGCGGTGAGCAATGTCCTTGCGGTAGAACATGCCATCGAATTGGACGGTGGAGATACCCTCGTAACTCTTCTTGACAGCCTCCTCGAGAGTGGAAGCAGTGGCAGTAGCGGCGATCACACGACCGCCGGCAGTCTGGAGCTCGTTGCCAGACAGAGCGGTACCAGCGTGGAAGATGAGAGTACCCTCGGGAGCAGGGCTCAGGGTAATGGGAGTACCCTTGGCGTACGAACCGGGGTAGCCACCGGCAACACCGATGACGGTAGTAGAGAAGTTGGGCTCGATCTTGATAGAGACACCATCCAGCCAGTGATCGGCACAGGCGACCATAATTTGGGCAAGATCGGTGTCAGCGCTCAGCAGAGGCAAGAGGGTCTGAGTCTCGGGATCTCCACCACGGACGTTGTATTCAAGGACCTTGGGACCGTCCTTGGTCATCATCAGACCAGTGAACAAGATACCAACGAAGGGGAAACCATCTTTACGCATGCCGTCAATAGAGGGCTGGATGATGGTCCGGTCAATCTCGTCCCGAACCTCCTTAGGCGCAATACGAGTGGGGGCATAGCATCCCATACCACCAGTGTTGGGGCCCTTGTCACCATCGAAGATACGCTTGTGATCCTGGGCAGGGGGCAGAGAGCGGATGGTGTAACCGTCACTGAAAGTGAGGATGCTCAGCTCGTCTCCCTCCAGGTACTCCTCAATCACGACCTCATCACCAGCATCGCCGAATTGGTGGTCCAGCATCATCTCGCGCAGGGCTTGGTGAGCCTCCTCCTTGGTAGTGGGAAGAGCGACACCCTTACCACCGGCCAATCCAGAAGCCTTGATCACGACATTGTGTGATACGGAATCGAGGTAGCGGCAAGCGGATTCGTAGTCGGAGAAGTTTCCAAAGGCGGCAGTGGGGATGTTGTGGCGCTGCATGAAGTCCTTGGAGAAGGTCTTGGAGCCCTCCATGCGAGCGGCGGCCTTGGAAGGTCCAAAGCATCGGATACCAACTAATTGAAGTCAAAACATATTAGCCAACAGTTTCCCTCGGAAAGAGATTGAAATCGAGACTTACCAGCCTGGAAGTATCCTTGGATGCCGTCCACGAGGGGGGCCTCAGGGCCTGGGACAACCAAGTTGACACCGTTCTTCTGAGCGAAAGCAACCAAGCCAGGGTAATCATCGCCCTTGACATTGGCATTGGTGATCTTGGAGGCACCCAGACCAGTACCGCCGTTTCCGGGAGCGACATACACAATGTCGACAAGAGGCGACTGGCTCAGCTTCCATGCGAAAGCATGCTCACGGCCACCATTGCCGACAATAAGGATACGCAATTGTTCTTGGGCCATTGTGACAGCAGTGTCTCGACTGACTATTGAAGAATTAGCGAACTGTGGGAGCCCACCGCGGGGTTAATACCCCTCCACAGGTGTGAATTGAGAGAGGGATTATGAGGCTGGGTCGGAGTAAGATGAACAAATGAATTGTCCGATAGAATAAAAAAAGAAATCCTATAGACTCACCTCTTCAGAGACCTGAGAAACAACTGCGGGGGGAGTAGATGATCAATCAAAAGTGTGACTCTTGCTGTGATACTTTTTTTTCTGCCGGCGGCGAACTTTCTCCGCCCAACGATAAACTTAAGTTTTACTTAGCCGCCGTAATCGGCCCGTATAGTATGTACTAGTAAAAAGTTGCATGTACTAGTGCCCACAATATAATTTGTCCAGTCTTTGAAACAACTGATTTTTGAAAGTAGAATGGTGTCCAGATGTCAGAGATGAAGTTGACGTATGGGAAACAGACATGCCTCAAGCACATAATTAAATGTAAAGTCGAGAATATGTACGATATTAAGCGGCCATGGTGACATAAATGAGAATTCAAGGCTTCAAACAAAATAAGTCGTACTTTCAAGCTAACAGCTTATGTATTGATCTCAATCAATGTCTCATTTAACTTGAGCTCGACATAATTGATACTTTGACCTTGGTTTCATTGGTGTTCTTTCTTGTTCCTGGATATTGAGACTTAATCTCGGCCTCAGGTGTCGACGATCATATTAAAGCGGTATCACTCAGCAGAAAAAAAACCAGGCGCGTGCCAAATTCGTTCAGGGACAGGTCCTTGAAACCTCCTAAACCTGTCTTATACCCAACGTCAATTGCTTGTTTTTTATGTTATTTCTCTCATAAATCAGCCCGCATGTTTCGGGCTTCTTTCCGGGCGGTCGCAGACCCTGTACGGGAGCACATTTGCTTGTCCTGCCGAATTCGCCGATATGACGCGCCATCTACCTTGCGCCGATTCCACAATACACCCACGCTGCGCTCAATAGCAAGCGGAGACAAGCCAGAGGATAGCAATGCAAATATACCAGTCGCCTCGGCGATTCAAATCCCTGGTTTGGATTGGGCGAAGAAGGTATTTATCTGTGCTTGCGCATTGTCATAAGTTGCCGTTGTTGAACTAACGTGTCGTCTACTTAGGATGATCCTCCGAAATCTCAAGACAAGCATCCCAAAAAATCTGGCGTGAAACAAACTCATCATAAAAAATCCTCAGAAAATAGGGATGATTCAGACCAAAGCCAATCTACCCGCGAATCAAAGGAAGAGAGCAAACCAAAGGATGGGGGCAAATTAAAGAAAGGCAACAAGAAAAAGAAAGGAAACAAGCCTAAGAAAAATGTTGAAGGGACGGAAGATGATCAGCCCAAGGAGAATTCACCAAAGAAAGGCAAAGGCAAATCCACCGAGCCACGTCCGTCAACCGGCCCTGGGCTCCAGCAAGTAAGGCATTTGGTTGAAGGGTCCAGAAGCAGATCGCGATCAAAACCGAAGCCAAATAGCGGTACGACGGAATTCGCACATCTTCAGGGATTCATTCAACAAAAGCACACTGGATATATAACACCGGAGAAGATTAAGGGTGAGTCTGGATTGTGGAAGCTTCTGTTCAGACGGAAAACTAACGGTATTGCGTAGCATTGGATATCCCTACGCCCCCCGTCCCTAAGCTATCATTCGGCCTTGATCGAGTTCTCTTTAAGTAAGACCCCATTCTGGTGCATTTTGTTCAACTTATTGATATCCTAACACCGAATAGCCCTGGTGTATACCATCTACAAGACCCTCGATCCCGCGTCTTCAACTTTGATCCCTACCTTGGTGAGATCATGCCAGTCACGGAATTTGACTTCAATACCCTCAAGGAATATATCACCTCGTCCAAAGATACAGCCCTGCGCGATGTTGCTGTGGAACACAAGAAGAAATACGTGGGGTCCTCGTCTAGCATGACCTCGGTTCTATCTCATTTCCACTACCTGCTTTCTAATTGGAGACCTGTGGATACCCGCACAATTTCTCAGGGATTCCCCGACAAGTTGCGCAGCTTCACTCGTCTGCTCCGGGCTCCGGCCGCCATGTTTCTTCACTACCAGGATGGTGTGTACGCTATCGATGCGGATAAGGAGTTTGATTCGGCCAACATTCTCATGAACCTGGGCAAGTCGATGGAGAAGTTGCTCACTATGCCCAAAGAAGAATTTGAGCGCTACCGCCGGTCCAGCGATAACAAGATCTCGGTTGAAGAGGAACTAGCGATTCCCGAATCCTATCATTTCTCCTCCTTGGGGGATTTTGTCATGCGTTCGCAGCTGGACGCTTACGACCCCCGATTGCCAGGAACTGGCATGTTTGATCTCAAGACACGCGCCGTGGTCTCAATCCGCATGGACGCAAGGAACTACCAACATGGCCTTGGCTACGAGATTAAGAGTCGTTTCGGTGAATTTGAGTCATATGAACGTGAATACTTCGACATGATCCGGGCTGCATTCTTGAAATACTCGCTGCAAGTGCGCATCGGCCGCATGGACGGTATCTTCGTGGCACACCACAATGTCGAGCGCATCTTCGGTTTCCAGTACATCAGTCTGGGTGAAATGGACCAGGCCTTGCATGGTCAATCGAAGACCGCACTTGGAGACGCTGAGTTCCAGCTTAGTCTGAAATTGTGGAATGAGATTCTTGACAAAGCGACCGAGCGCTTCCCCAAGCAATCTCTGCGTTTCCACTTCGAGACCCGGGATGCGATAACACCATTCATGTATGTCTTCGCCGAACCTGTCACTCCAGAGGAAATCAAAGATATCCAAAGCAGCAACGCCGCAGAAGTCGAAGCGTACCAGCAACGTCTTTTGCACCCCGAACTTTTTGAGCAGGAAGAAGCTTTCGAGGAACCTGAGGTAGAGCGACATATTACTTCCGTCATTTTCGACTCTGATGCCCCGCCAGAGCCGATGACTCGCCAAGCAGAGGAGCAGCCGAATGAAGAAGTACCTGTCCCAGAAGAGGAGAAGGCAAAGGAAGAAGTATCTGCCCCAGGAAAGGAGATCTTCGCCATGGCCTTGTCTGTTACAAACAGGATCAACGGCAAGGTTGTTGAACGGCCTAATAATTTCAATCATGCGGATGAATGGGAACTCGAGTACGAGCTCAAAGAGCTGTCTCCTACTCAGGGTGAAAGGCTGTACAGGATGTGCCAGGCCCGCCGCAAGAGCTGCCTGAATGTTACAGGAGAGGACACACAGGGTGCCGCTTCAAATGTGTACTCCCGAAGATTGAGGAACATTAGTGAAGATGGTAGGAAGTGGCGTGCCCGTCGCGATCAAAACGATAAAGAGCGTCCCACCATCGTTTACGCGGAAGAAGTGAACTAAGATCATTGCATTTTTTGGTTCAACTTGAGAGAGAGAGAGATGGCATTGGAAACTACTTCTGCTTCCTCTTTGTATATTACTAGATATTTGGTTGGATTTCTCCCCCGTTATGCTTTTTTGGCGTTCGCTTTCCCCCCCAAGTCTTTTTTTATCTTCAGTACTCCCCAGGGTTCATCAGTTTTACAATGCACATTTTCGGTGTGTTGGGCTGTTTAATCCTCATATATCCAAGGACTTCTTATTTTGCACAGAGTAATACTACTAATAACATTTGAATGATATGGTATAAGATTTAAGATATAACATTGAAGGTCAATGACCTGGTCAAACGAGCACACCACAGGGAATAACAAGCAGTATACATACATAAGCAAACATACTATAACTAGTAGTTACTACATAAAGTATCACATCTCCGTATAGTAGTTATCAAATACTCCATCTCATCATAACCTCATACATAGTCTATCAATATGTTGACTATATATACCGGATTTCCCCTGGCATGTAGGGATCTCCTATTTAGGTTGCCGCCGCTTTAATCAAGGCACTTTAAATTGACTCAGAGAAGATATCAGCATAAGCTCAGACATCTGGAGTCAGTGATGAGCTCAGAGCAGTCACATATAAGATGACCATTTTTCATAAATTACTTCACAACCACATCAAAAATATTTTTAAAAAGCTCCAATTCGCATAGCATACTCTCGACGTCATTAAAAAAATAGGCTACTCGATTTCAAAGAAAAATAATAAGAATTGGTGGAGTAAAGTCACGATCAAGGTTTTTGGAGAGGGCAATGTTTTGCTAGTTAAAAATGGACTCCGTTTTCAAATCCCTTTCCCACCACCAATACTTATTCAAATAAACTGAAACTCTCAAGAGCTCAAGAGTAGAGCATTTCTACCGCGTATTAATTATATCAATCAAAAATAATCCAAGGCGGCGGTGTTCTTGAAGTATGAAGATTTTGCCTATTAACTATTGTATAGAGCAATGCGCAAAAAAAGCGATAACCTTTTTTGGGTATCCCCTTTTGCACCATTTCGAGGAAATTGCTTCACCACCACGCCAAAAATAATTTTAAGCTCCTGGAATTCGCATGGATTCATCTCCAGGTAATTTGAAACTCAAATCCATGATCTCGAAGAAAAACAATCATTATTGGGGGTATAATGGCTATAAATCTATATAGGCTACCTGTGGGATTGTAAGCACGGCAACCTTTACGATAACTATTGATGGCCTGTCTTGAGTATATGAAGTTTAGTCCTGAGGTCGTCCAGCGCTCTACTTCGTTAGCGGATTAGAGCACTTTGGCACATGCTCAATTTTACATCAATATATACCGATACCAAAAAGCGACCAGAGGCTCGCACTATAATGGAAGGGGGAAGGCCTCAAGAGCCAGACATTATATATCCCTAAATAGTATGTACTGTACCAAGTGATCAATTAACCAAGTCTCCCCACCTACATACATCTACACCCAAACCAAACAACCCAAACAATCCAATCCACAATGATCCTCCCAGGCCTCAAAATCACAGCGCGCGGCCTAGTCCAAAACCTACGCAACCAAGCCACGCAACAACAACCCTGCGGCATCGACCTAACGCTCCGGCACATATCACGCTGGACATCAAGCGCAACGATCGACTTCGACAACAGCAAGCGCAGCGCAGCGGCAACGCAGCAGCTCCCGTTCAACTGCCTGGACCAAATCAAACTGGGGCCGGGCGCGTACCTGGTCGATTTTAACGAGTCGGTGCGAGTGCCGCTGGACTGCATGGGGAGTGTGTATGGTCGGTCGTCGTTGTGGCGGTCTGGGGTGAGCATTTCGGCGGGGGTGGTTGATGCTGGGTATGAGGGGGCGATGGGGGCTTTGATGGAGGTTTTGAATCCGCATGGGGTGTGTTTGTATCGGGGTGGGAGGCTTGCGCAGGTTGTTTTTGAGGAGATGGCGGGGAGGGTTGGGGGGTATAGGGGGGTTTATCAGGGGGCTGGGAGTAGTGTTGGGAGGGATGGGGTGGGGGAGGTGTGATGTGTATACTACTATGTAAGACATGGCAGTAGTTACTCGTCTTATATTTGGGTGTTAGACAATTAAGAGGGATGATAGTACTTGGGAATAAGATTTTGGATTAAAAGGTTCAAATGAATCTGATATGATTTGGCACTATACACTTCTATCCACATTAACCATTACCCGTTACCCATTCCACAGGGCTGTGGAGCACCCAAACACGTAGGATCAGAGAAGTATATCAAAGGAAACGAAACAAGGTAGAGCAAAGGGGTAGCAATGGTACTTCTCAACATTGGGATCATATTCAAGGCTCATGGGTAATGGGCCACTCCAATGGAGGTAGGAAAGAAGTAGCAATGAAGAAAGAGAAAAGAAAGAAACAGGAAAGAAGATCAAAGCCAAAAAATAAGAAGGGAAAAAAACACCGTCGCTCCCTGATGACAGACGCCTTATATGACCCAGTAACCAACCCAATTCCACTCTTAACCAAACCAGAATATGCGGGGCGCCATGTTGATGTTGATTGGGGATTTCTTCAAATAGGGTAGGGGGCTTTCAATGAGTATCAAGGTGATACTATGAACGAGACAAAGCAAGTAATCTCGGCAAAAGCGCGAGATGATTGTTCAAACAAGGTGCCAAACGCCTGGGAAAGCACGAGAAAAAAAAAGAAGAAGAAAAAAACATGAGAAACGATCTCAGGATATCAGTACCACTTTGTATGGTTCGAAAGGAGGGGGTATGAAATGAATAAAGGTGAAAAAGAGTCATCGGAAGAAACGAGGTGGGTGTACACTCGAAAGAAACCATTCCTGTATGTGACTCGTGAAGCGGTAAAAGGGAGAAAAAAGAAGGGGAAGGGGGAAGGGGGAAGGGGGGAGAACAAAAGGGGATGGGAGGAAAGGGCAAGAGAGGTATGGCCCATATCTGTACATCATAGTATGCCAAACCCCCGTTCAAGCAACAACAAGAACTACTCGAGTTCCTGCAAGTCCAGCTTGGGCGGTGACCAGTCCAGCTGTGGGGGTTTCTCACTTGAGACACACACAGGGCGCATCGATTCTACCCGGCGACGCTCCTTTGAGGCACTGCCTGTGAGAAAGCCTCGCAGAGTAGATGAGGCGATCCCGTAGGTGCTGCGCGCACTGCCGTTATTGGTTGAGACGGTGCTAGAGCTGCGTGCGCTGCGAACACTACTCGCTTTAGTGATCGCTGTAGGCATGGCGGGAACAGGGAAAGCCAAGCGAGATGATGAAGGGCCTGTTGAACCGTACTCTGGTGAGAATACCTGGGCACGGGCAGTATGGGGCCGGAGATCAGGTTCACTCTTCATTCGGCTAGCCTTGGCCGAGAGTTTCCGCCTAGGCGCTGGCTTGGCTTTGGGAGTAAGGTCTGGTCTTTCTACAATGACTTGAATCGACACAGGAGCTTCCTCCTCGGGAGGGGAGGCTTGCACTTCATCTGTCGATACAGCCATCTCGAACTTCAGGTTGTCCAGCATGGTCCCAAGGCTGGCTGCGGTTGCAGGTCGTCCATCGCTGGCACCATCATCAATTTCGGCGCCCTCAATTCCGTGAGAAAAGTTGTAATTGCGGAGAAGATATCTTTGCAAACGATCAATTTCCATGTCCCACTTGCGTTGCAGTGATGACAAAACCAAATCCACGTTGTGACTTGCGAATGCCGAGGTATCCAAAGAAGAGGATGGAGAATGTGCCGGTGTCGGGGGTGCTTTGGTCAATCGATGACCACTGGATCCACTAGACCGGACTCCCATTGCTGCATGTAGAGATCGACGAATGGAATTCGCCGTAGAGCTTTGGACGGGACTAGCGTCCCAACGGACATTGTCAACTTCTCGGCGTACCCTGTCAAGAGATAGAGCTCGATCCCGGTCCATTGAGGATAGATTAAGCAACGTGCGATTGCTTTGGAGTCCATTAACCAATACAGTGAAGGATTGCAGGTTGATATCGTTGTTCTCGCAATGCACCTCACGCAATGACTCGTTCTCTTCTAGGACTGAAGCCAATGTATTGGCACCCTGAAGACCCAGCTTCTGATGCTCGATGCGGAGAACTTTGAGTGATGTGTTCTTCTTCAAGCCGGTCAAAGCCAGATTGAGTCCGATGCCAAATCGAGCAACGTCCAGGTGTGCACTCTCGCCGCTGATATCTAAAGCCTCAAGAGTGTCGTTTTGCTCAAACATAAGTTGCAGTGCCTTGCAGGTCTCAGGGCCTGCGTCGTAAGGAAGAGATGCCTTGGAGATATCCAAGTACCGTATGGTCGTATTCTTTCGAAGAGCATCAACTAGTTGTCGAAAGTGCTCTTCTTTCTTGAAATCAATCATTTGCATGGAAACATGAGTAGGGGTGATATTCTTCGCAATGGCATCGAAGAGGAAAGAACAGCCATTGTCAAGTCTGTTTTCATTGACATGCAAATGAAGACTTCGCGGAGTGTCTGGTCCAGCAGACATTGAGTGCATGAACATGGCAACATCCTCTCCGCTTAGGCCACATTGGTCCAGACGAAGCATACGAAGATTCTGCGAACGATCACTTGCCAGGTAAGTAGCAATGGAGTCAACAGTCTCACGATTGACAGCCGTGCGACTGAGAATCAATTCTTCGAGCTGCCAGTTAAACAGCATTTCTGCAGTGATTAGAGGGTCCGAACCCGATGTGCGTGAAATGCGAGAAAGGTTAATCTTCCGGATCTGGCCAAAGTAGCCAATGTATTGTTGCAACACGTCCGGATTCAAGCGACCCTGGACCCCGGATATGTTGATTGCTTCGAGGGTGGTTTCTTGGGCCACCAGAGTCGACAATAAAAGATCCAAGTCGTGAACAGACAAACCACAGTCTCCAACTTCCAACGCACGCAAATGACTTTGGCTTTGAGAAGCGGCATCAACCAGATAATCCAAATCCGATTCGCCAAGCTTGATACCATTCAATACCACCCAGTCGACATTGGTCATCTCACGACGACAGACTGGGAAAATTGCCTCGGGAATTCCGCAGCCTGGATCCCGGCTGCCCTTGTCCAAAGTTGGGGTTCGGGTGAGACAGTAAGCAAAGTCCAGTCGACGGAGCCGAGCACTCTTGAGTGCCAATGCTCGTACCTCCTGCGATAGAACGCTCAAACTTCCTTGACCGGGGATATGCACCAATGACCCAGACCTATCGAGATGCACGTCGGGGTCCACGCCGTGCAGATCACGGATGCCTTGGAGCGCATCAAGGTTAATACCACGGAATGAGATAGATCGAAAGGACTCGTTATATCGCAGGGCACGCATAACCGCAATCAATTCCAGAGCGCTGTACCGAGAAGTTCGAGTCGAAGCTGGCCGGAGAAGGCGGAAGCATGGAGCATCCTCACATGCCAAGTCGATCGTGTAGCGAATGTTGGACGTATCAACATCGTAACTAGCGGAGTAGGCAACGAGTGTTCGATCAAAGCAGCCGTAATCTTCATCCAAAGGAACTAGAGGGAAATTCTCGGCGTTGTGCAAATCAGGTGGGACAACAAAGTCGTACGGCTGCCTTGTCCACAGCGGGCGCAGGAACTCGGTATGTTGCCGGATCCAACAAGCAACTTCCACAGAATGTACCGAAGCCAAGAACACATTGAACGATTTTCTCAAGGGGACCCTGGGTAAAATGTAAAGTCAGTTGCCCGTTTCTTATAAGATACGGCCATATGCAGCTTCAAAATTCCCTTACCGGAATGTCAAATGTAAACTATCATCTCCATATTCCATAGATAAGCCCGTTAAGTTCATAAGGCCAAACGAGGTGACAGTCTCCATGTCCGACAAGGATACCATTGAGCCCCGGTTGGCCGCCTTCTGCATAGGAATCAAATGGGCCTTATGCAATCCAATCACGAGGTAGCAGCCAGTCGGTGACAGTTTGGTTAGGTCCTCCGAGGACGAACGGGTGGGTGATTTACTCGAAGCGATCTGTATGACACGGAACATTCGGAAGGTGTCCGGATCATAGTCTCGTTCGTGTTCCAACATCTTGGTTACATACTCCACCGCATTGCGATCGAACGGCAGCGGGTCGTTGGAACGGGTCAACTGTGCGGCCTGGCGAATACCCACCATCCAAAGATTCAATTCCTGTTGATCGGGGGTTTGCATTTGAATCAAAGACGCTTTGTGCGTGCGCTCATCCAGGTAGGCCACCTCGACCGTGGGCGACAAGCGTGCATCTTCGAGCATGTAAACAGCAATGATACTGTTCAAGGGTATACCGACTGATGATTCGGCTGCGACCATCAATTGCATGTCCTGCAAAGAACTGATCGAGGCCACGGATTGGCGGTGCGTCGCCGGAGCACGAGGGTTGTAAGTCGGTGGAATTGAGGGAAAAGCATCGGCAGCCTTGCTCTGGTTCTTGAAGCGGACCAGATGCGTATCCGTTAGTACGAGGTATTGACTTTTCCGCTTCCACATGCCACCGGTCGTCTGGATTTCACCATAGTGAAGGATTGCCGAAGACCAAATCACATTCCGAGAGCTGAGGGCGTTTGGCTCCTCCACCGAGGCCACCGACGCGCTAAGTGGATCTTCATCCTCCAACGAGTGTAGCGACTTCAACGAACCAAAGACGGAAGCTCGTTTCTTTTGTAATGATTTTCGGCGAGGATGGGGGATCTCCAGTGTGGGGGTCGAATGCATGGCCGCAGCCCAAGCAGCCGTCTCTGCAGCAGCCGTGCCCGGGCGGCGGAGTACATTGGGGCCGCTACCGCTCGCTTTCCTGCTCGGACTCTGGGGCCGGCCAAAGAAGCCAGAATTGCGGCGGGATTTCTTATCTCTGGTCAAGGTGTCATCTGAGGGTGTTCGAGCATGGGGCGGTCGAGGCGCCGGTGTCGGGTTTGGAGTGGATGGACTGAACACGCTGACGCTCTTTCTTCGTTGTTTCTTGCCGAGGAATTCTGCCATGACTGGGGGGTCGTGTAGAAGATGGAGTTCACGAAGCGAATGTGCAATGATTTCGGGAATGGCGCAAATGTGGAGAGAGGGAAAAAAGGAAAGCAGGTTATCTCATCGACGACCCTTCGTCCTTCACACTGGCGACGACATTAGTCTCTCTCTCTCTCTCTCCAGCATTCAAAGATGCAACTGAATGTGGTGAGGGGTAAAGGAGATTGCTACAGAGCACGTAAAGGGTAACCCCGAGCAGTTCGTTTGTTGACGATAAAAAGCGGGGAGACGGGAGAGCAAGAGAACGCGCAACGTACAAGTGATCTTTATGGCGCCATGGGAAGCAATTGAAGAATAAGATGCTTAGTGCGAGCAAGCCAAATGCTCTAGTGGGGGGAATTTTTTTCCAGTTAGAAAAGGAAGTAGGGTACCAGTCCCGTTGGCTGTCAATAATATGGCGAGAGGGTTGATTTTGGTTGATTTTGGATGGTTGCACCGGGGAAGGTCGCCGGAAGGGGGGAATCCGGAGCTATCTCAAAACAAACTCAACGCCCCAAAAACGGCGATACCCGAACGATTGGCCCTTATAACGATGATCAATTGATCAATCCGACGATTCTCGGAGTCGTAATGAGGTCAGACGTGCCGATCAGTAGAGGACCTGCGCAGAAAAAAAAGGCAAAATTAAAGGGAAATAGTCGGAAAAGAAAAAAAGAAAAGAAAAAAAAAAAGGACTTTTGGAGGAAGAACTGGATTTCAAGGTTTGCAGTAGGCCCAAACGCAAACAGCAAAGGGAAAGTGATTCAATCTAATGAATCTAACGAATGACAGGAGAAGTAGTGGAGATCAAGAATCGAAGGTCGATAAAAAAGAAACTGTGGGGGAGAAAGAGGGAAAAGGAGGAAGTAGAGGGGAAAGTCAAGGAATGGACGGATGCAGTTACAACTTGACAACAATTGACGTTTCAGCTATTTTCTTCGTTTTTCTTCTTTTTCTTAATTCCAGTTGGATTTGAGATTTGATCAATTTGATATTCTTTAATTTAATTTCTATTTCTATTTCTTCTCTGATCATCTGCTTCAACGGTTACTAAACATAAACATCATAAACAAAGTACTTTTATAGAAACAGATATTATCAAGTGCGCGTCTTTAAAAGACATCTTTTGAGACATACAATGCAACCGCAAATCTAGAGCGATCGCATTCCAATGTGATCCTCGGCCACGTAAGAGGCGTGATCCACTTAGTCCAGGGTACAAGCTGCACACATTTACCAGCATCCCCAGGAACACTACTCTCTCTATAGCACTTGAATAGTCCAAAACTTATCCACCTAAAAGCTGCCTTGTCCCATTGAATCTTATACACCTTTTCAATATTTATACATATTATACAGTTTCCCAGAGCTTCCAAGATTCTGGAGATCTATCTGATGTCCCGGAGTAGACGGATCCTCGTCTCCACTCCATGATCGACAACTCGCGCGCTCCGCCATGAAAGCTCCAGGGGTAAAGTTGACGTCGAAAGGAAACCCAAGAGAAAAAGAACACACACTAAAAGCAAATAATAAGAAGAAAGAAACACCGATCAAAGCTGATCCTAATAAGATCGACAACGCCACTGCAGAAGCTTGGCCCTGAATGTTCACAACTAAAGGAATCAAAGGGAGATGGAGCGGGGACAAGACTGGATACATACAGTAGTTTATACCCACCCAACCCCAGTCAAGATATCCGCATAATGCGTCATAGGGGAGCTGCCGTTGGTCCCAGGGGAAATAAAAAAAAAATAGAACAAAAATAAAAGCCCCATGAAATCACGCTCATTTGTTTTCCCGCTGATCTCAATTTTTCTTCGTATCTGCGGATTGGGCAAGGCAGAGACGATCCATCCAAAACTCTCGGATGTAAAATGTAAGCAAATGCAACTTTCTACATTTACCGGCGTGTGCCTGACGCCCGCTCCGCCTCTTGTCTCTCAACCCGCTTGATTTGCCGAATCAGGTCAATATACTCGGACACACGTCGCTCAGCCCAGATGCTGCCGCCAAGAATCATGGCTGCCATCTGCAGGAAGATCTTGAATTGCGGTGTGAGGCCCCGGTACACACGGGCAGTCGGTGAGATCCATTCAGAGAAGCCTTCAAGAGGTCGGTGTAAGAGACGGGATCGAATGTATTCCTTGGAGAAGGGAGATTGGCGAGGACGGGGTTGACCTTGGGTGGTTGGAGGGGAGGGCGCAGGCGTGGAGAAGATGAAGGGGTGTGGAAGATTAAAGATCATATGGGCCAAGATCGAGACCGAACCGAACTATACAAGCATCGGAGTTGGTGAGTTTGAGGATTTGTTTTCGACACAAAGTATGGTGTACATACGCGGAAAACACCGGTCATAAAGCCTTGGGCAGCTACCCAAGTGATTTCCTCCGGGGGCTCAATGTCAGCTCGCTGATTTGAGGGAGGTGGCATGATGGCGTGCAATTGAGTTTTGTGGCAATATCAATAAATGCAAGGCGTTTTTGTTTGTAGTTGAGCAATTGCAGAAAAAAAAAACAAAGATGCGCCTTATGATTTGGAGCTCCGGAAGTGGGGGGAATTGGGGAAGAGCTTGGAGAGAAGTATATGAGGCCTTGTACTCTTCAAGACCTGAAACGATATATTGGTGGTTCAGATCCCAGAGAAGTTCACTGTCCAGGATAGCTTGCAACGGCGAAACAAAAAAAAAAAAAAAACTGTACAATGACTCTGGACCAGCCAGTGGTTGAATGATTTCATGAATGCAAACCCCGAATCCCCGAATCGACAACGGATCAACATTGTTCCCGATAGCGACTCAGATAAAGCAGAAATCGGATTATCAACCTCAACTCCAAATCCCGGGGCCCGCAATTACTCATAACTTTTAACATACTATACACGACTTCTTCCCAATTCCTCAATTCCTCAACCACACAGTCACAATGTCCGTGTCCGCCCGTACCGCCGTTGTGTCCCGGGTCACCAACGAGACCAAGATCCAAGTCTCGATCTCCCTGGACGGCGGGGTCCTCCCACCCTACGAACCCACCACCCACTTCGCGGCACCAACAGACCCCAAGGAAGCAGAGGCAGCCAAGACCGGCATCGTGCCCGAGCAAGGCTCCAGCCATGCAACCCAATTCACCCCAACACAGCAGATCACCATCTCCACCGGAATTGGATTCCTGGACCACATGCTGCACGCCCTGGCGAAGCACTCGGGCTGGAGTTTAGCAGTGCGGGCCAAGGGTGATCTCTACAGTACGTTTGAAAACACATATCCGCATATCATATATCCAATCCAATCCAATCCAATCCAATCCACTGACAAATTTCTTTTCTTCTCCAGTCGACGACCACCACACCACAGAAGATGCTTTCCTTGCTCTCGGCACAGCCTTCACCAAGGCGCTCGGCCCCCGTCAATCGCTCACGCGCTTCGGTCGCGGTGATGCGCCCCTCGACGAGGCTCTCGCGTGGGCTGTGATCGATCTTTCCAGCCGGCCGTGGCACGTCATTAATCTTGGCTTCAAGCGCGAGAAGATCGGCGATCTGAGCACTGAGATGATTACACACGGTCTGCAGAGTTTCGCCCAGGCCGCTGACGTGACTTTGCACGTTGGCTGTACCTACGGAGATAACGATCACCACCGCGCGGAGGCTGCGTTCAAGGCCTTGGCCGTTGCTATTCGCACGGCTTGCACGCGCCGGGTTGCTGGTGAGGTTGGCGCGGGTGACGTTGTCAGCACCAAGGGAGTACTCTAAGTTACCGACTTGCAGTGGTTGTAAATATTGAAAAGTTTGGCATAGATGATGAGGTTATGGTGCAATGAGATACACAGTGATTTATTTTATAGATTTGCCACTTCAAATGGACATGATAAGAAAACGTTGAATTTGTATGTAGTAAAGGCAAAATTAACAACATGTGCAGACCAGCAAAGTCACGAAAACCCCGATCACGAGCTCGTCACACCAAGCGTCTTGACAGCCCGCTGCCAGTACGCCTTCCTATCATCCGTAACCGAAGTGCCGACACACTCACTAATATACCTCTGCCACCCATTCTCATCACCAGCCTGCAAAGCCGTCCGCACATCCTTCGAGCACTGCGTAGTAAGGAACCAAGCCCCGGAACCAAAATCATACGTCTCGTTATCGCGAAGCAAATCCAACAGATCCGCAGGACTATTCTCAACTGCCGGGATCTGGTCCTTCAGCGCGGAGATCGAATCGGCGTATTTCTTGTTGTAGGCCGGTGATTGCATATTACGAGCTAGAAGAAGAAGCAGAAAACATCAATATATGTAATCCAGTGAAGGGATATGAGGGGGGTGTTTCAATGCATAATTCCAAATATAGGTGTATAGAAGCCAGCCAAACTTACTTCCCTGACCCGGCGTTCCGGGGAAGTGATTCTTATTGTACTTGAAATCACCACTTTCGAATGCCATGATACTGATGACGGCAGCTTGTTCAGCCTTGGAAGTGACCTGGTAGTCATCGAAAGACTGGGAAGCGAACTTGGCAGCTTGTTCGGCCGTGGCGCATTCGCCTTCAGCGGGCGGGTTGTCGCATGTTTTAGATGTGGGAGCGATATCGATTATTTGGGCTTCGGTCAGGGCTGCATCGTCGTGTTTGTGGTGGATGAATTTCCTGAATGGGAGGGGGGTTGCGGTTGAGAGGGTGAGAATTAGGGTCGTTGTTAGAGCGAGGGACCACATGGTGACTGGTGGTTGATTAGTTTGAAATAGAGATGGAGAAGGAATAGATGAGTAAGACAATTAAAACTTTGAGAAAGGAACTATATGAATATTGAAGATATAGAAGTGTTTGTATTGGAAAGTCGGTGTGATGAAAGGATATTCGGGCTTATAAGTATCCAACCTTGGGACTTGCATATCTGAATGAGGTGGGAATCTTGGAGCCTTCAATGTTGGAAGGAGGCGGGGATGCAAATGCGAACTTCAAGATGAATTCCATTGGAAAATGCTGCAAGTTGGAATAATGGAAAGGGATTTGCGCGGAGAATGTTGTGGAGTATGTGCTCCACGATATCGCGTCGGATCTGAAACATGCATTTACGAAACCTTGAGAGTAAAAATTGAACCCTGCTATTAAAAGAGCCAATCAGTTATTTCCCTTGATTATAAATAAGACATTCCAGGTTGTTTCAGGGTTGAAACCAGGGTTCGCGGCGAGTGTATCAGATTTAACATCAAGGGTCCACTGGGGTGATCTATCCACAAGCATAGTAGTAGTACTAGTATGTATTTAATGGTTTAACCTACATTTTCCAATATGAGTTTAATTTAGGAGTCTACCATGTACATTTTTTGCCAGTAACCTACATAATCTCCATCCGTGGATTTCTCATCAGTCTTGGTGGTCAGGTGGATGGAATGAAGCCGTACAAGCATCCAGCACAGTGGCGTCCCGGCCTCATTCAAGTATTGCTTAAGCCGATGCCCCTTTCGCGTCAATTTTCCACTTTACGGACTCATGAACTAAATATACGTATCTTTTACACTTGCCTATTATTGCATTTTTAAGAATTGAAGTTTAAATATTGGAAAGAGATCCCACTTGAATCGTCTCCTAGAAATAACAGCATGGAATGTCCGGGGGCCAGAGAGGAGGTGTCCAAATACTCGGGATAGTTGTCGTTGCATCAGCTATTCCCGGCGATATTTTCATATAGCTCTTTATCGCAATCACTTCAATGTTATGTATGACCAGAGACCTGTGTAAAGTGAGCTCCGTACTAGTGTTGATAGATAAGTAGCGGGTGGCGTGGTCCTCCGTGACTACGGTATTTCTTGTAAGTTGACATCAGGAAATCAGGACGGACAACTGTGATTGAGGGGCTTACTGAAATCATCGCTCTTCAAGGCACAGTAGTTATAGCCAGGTTGTAAGGCACAGGTGCTCTTATTGGTTGAAAGACTCAGGTTCCACCCCATTAGCTGGTCAACAGTGACTTGGTAGATCAACAAGATATTGATGCTTGCAGGAGCTGAGCGTCGTGATAATCATGTCCGTCAATCATGTCCGTTGTGTCCGTGTACTTGCGGTACGAGATACGGTTTGTAAACGTGCTGCGCAGTCGGGTAGTAGGTCGGAGTATATCTACTTGTAGATATATTCTGAACGGCTTGGGGGAGTAGGGGGGAGTAGCAACTAATATGCCAATAGAAGAGAAGGTAGCTAGGGAGCTTACCGTGGAGTGTGCCCATGAAAGAGGCAAGAGAAGGCCCACCCAGGTACTAATACTACTAGTCAATAGTACAGAGATGTGTATCTGCACGAACCCTGCCGTCACGCACTACTTCTGCATGTGAACTTTGAACATTTGAAGTATGGCCCCTAGAACATTTGAAAGGTTGGAACATTTGAAATAAAAATTGCCAAAAATTGCCTGAAAGGGCTTGACAGAGCCAAGCTTGAGGATCTCACCGTCTCATGTACAAATTTTGGAAATATATACTAGTGTTTCAAGTGTTTATTTCGGGTTCGAATTGGAGATAGTGTGTAGTGCTAGGATATCGAGCTCGGCATAGACTCCAAGTCACGATAAATCATTGAGCGCTCTGTATCTTTCTAACAAACAAGAGGTTCAAAAGTTAGTTCATAATATAATTTTATTCTTCTATTTCTATATTCGTACCTGGCAAATCTGCCACTCTTTTTCAAAGTAGTACATAGTATACTAACATCTACCTTTGCTATGGTACTATATAGGACTTATGTGCATACTGTATGAAACAATATTTTCTATGATAATAAACTTGCTAAGCATGAGTAGATGGGTGCCAGAGAAACTATGCTCTAGATCCGTCCACGGGCTATATCTATCTTTGCAAGGTTATCTAAGTCCACGCGTGTATCGGATGTATCGGAGATAGTAGGAAGGCCGGCTTGTATCGTGTATAAACTCGTTGAAATAAAAAAATCCGAGTGAGAGAACGAGTGAGAGAACGTACATAACGTTTGATCACATATCGTTTGATCACTTGGAGTCAAACAACTCGTCACTCCACTGACTCCCAAACCAGTCTTGACTCTTCCAGATGTCTTATAAAACGCGCGCTCCCCCACGTTCTCCAACTTTCTTTCTTCCAACTACTCTTCCCCAAACCTTCCTCGCTCCCTACTTCCCCGTGCTGTGCAATTATTGTTCAATTCAGAACAAAAATTGCCCATCACACTTGTGTCCACCCCAAAGCCAGTTCCCAACAAAAGTCCACTTCAGCTTCCTCCAAGTCCGAGAACGACAACAATATGGACCCCGACGCTGAAACGTCTAACGTCGAGCCAGACAAGAACAATACCAAGCCCAAGCTCCCTGGATCCAGCGAACAGACTTCAAGCACCTCCTCGCAGGATTCGTCTGCACTGGATCTTTCGACACTTGATCTTTCTAATCAATCACCTCCAATTGTTCCTAACGTGCCTCTTGTCACCTCCACCACCCCCTTTGTATCATTGAAAACCGTCATCAAGAGTTCAACCCTCATGGAGCCATTTGTGAACGATGTGATTGCCAAGACGCGAAAGCTACTAGACATTTTCGATGTCAACTGCTGGTTTAAGCTCAGTGGGAAATTTGACTGGGTCCGATGGGATACCCAACTGAATCGCGGTCTTTACTGTATCGATCAGCACCTTCCACTGATACTACACGGAGAACTAGTCAAGCCTATCGACCTAGACGATGACGACTCCGGCATGTTTGGCTTGACCACCGCCCAGAAGGAGTTTGCAGTCTACCACGCCTATGGAACCACTACCCCACTTGCTTATTTATCCTACAATGCACACATCGAGCGTCATATCCGCGAATGGGAAGATCTTGACCGGATTGGCGAAATGCTGATCAAACGTGCTCTTGCCCCCAATGCTCTCGCTTGGCTCGGAAAGGATATTCACGGAATGCTTCCTGTTTACCAAACCCTTAAGGAACAATATGGGCAGAATAAGTGGATGAAGAAACAGACAATGTAGCAAACGTGGAACGATCTGAGACCCGGCCAGATCGAATCTGCTTGCGGTTTCGTTTCTCGCTTCCAATGGTTCAAGCGGGCATATGAGATTGAGGATGGTGGTGTTGGTGTTCAACCTATGATTGTGTTTCACATTTTCACAAAAGCGATCTTGGTACGTCCGGACTTTGTTGCGTCTGTCGAGCGACTCGATTTTGAAGGTGAACCCGATATGGACAAGATTTATGCGGAGTTCGTCCTTTTACATGACCATGGCACACACCTTTGCACCTAATAATTTAGGTGCTGAAGAGGATTGCAGAATAGGTGCAATGATCAGTCACCCTGCCATCTCCTGATGGTCATTTCCTGCTGTCTGTTTATGTCAATACAGACCAAGAGAGCAGATGAAAGGTCATGTCAAAAAGAAGAAAGAATCGCAAGGCATTGAAAGGAAAGGCAGTGGAAGGAGAGGGATTAGAAGGAGCCGGAAACCAAAAAGAAACAAAAAGGGAGAAAATTTAAAAAAAATCTCAAGGTATTGAAAACGATCATGTAGGTTACAGGATTGAAAGAAATTGAAAAGAAAAAAGGAGAACAATGTGAAAAAATGGAACAATAACACCAAGAGACAAGGCAACTACCACGATGGCATGAGTGATCGGTGACTGGATGGATATCTGGTACTTATTATACACAAACACATGAAGGAAAGCAGATAGCCACCACGGAGTTTCTTTGAGCTCCAATATTAACAATCATTCAGATGTTCAAACAAGAGTCAAGATCTACTAAAAGAAGAAGTAAAGCATCAAAGCAGAAACTGGCTCAGTAAGGAGCCACTCATATTCATTACACTCGAAGTATCAGATCCGCAAAGATCCAAAATATCCAAGTCACCGATCCGACGAATCGAAATCTAGCTTGTTTACAAATTGATAAGGTAAATAAGGGACAATCAAAAGAGAAGAAGCAGAAAGAAGAAAAAAAGGCCCAGAGCAAGCAGGATAGATGGCGAGCCATCTCCAGCAATGAATAAAGACAGAATAAGACCCAAGTGCTCCAGGTGAAAGCGTCAACCCCGGTTCCCGCCACGGAATTGAGATCACCATGCATTCGCTCCCAAACGAAAAAAAGAAGAAATAAAAGGTTGTACAATAAATGCTGATGCAGATCGTGTTCAAGGCCGTATCAATACACAACAGATACAAGAAAAAAAAGAAGACCAGAAAATGATGTCGGAGATCATTTAGTCGTCACGACGACCAAGCTCGTATGAGGTTTCCGTGGCCCCAGCTTGCTCCTCGTCTTCCTTGAAACTGACCCGTCGGAGAAGGGTAGGCATCATGCTTCGCGCACGCCGGGTGGGCGAAGAGGAAAGACGGGATGGGCTGATGATTGAGGGCAGCTTGGTGTAGCGGTAACGGTATTGGGCTCCTAGGAGAGCCACGCGGCCGTAGGTCCACCAGAGGCAGATTCCGACAACACCAGCCAAAGCGAAACCCATAAAAGTTAGGAATACCCAGTGTTGACCCATCTAGATTCATATTAGCAAATTGGGAGGTTTTTTTTTAAAAAAAGGATTGGGAATTTTCGCGAGAAACATACCCAGAAGATCAGGCGGGCGTCCTTGCCGTGCCAGCTGTTTCCGGTGTGATGGGTGAAGAAGCTCCAAGAGAAGCGGTTGTACTCGTCTTGCATCAAAATGCGCACACGGCCCGACTCGCTGGGCTTATCCTGCATGTACTCCTTCCAGATGACGGACAAGAAAAGGGGACCGGTCGTGTACATGACCGTGATGTAGGGAAGCAGCCAGCTGCGGTCGTATTTTTGCAACAACTCAATTGTACGGAGGAAGAATGGGTGTTGTGGAACGGAACCCATGGCGTCGTTGGAGATACCAGTGGGCACAGTACGGCGGACCCAAGCCGGGTAGGCGAGGAGGGGGTCGAGGCGACGATTGCAACCCTAAGGAAAGTTAGTAATTGAGCCAAAACAATTGTTTTCTTCTTTCTTTCGAGGGATCCCGTCGCTGAATAGAATAACGTACGTCGTCTAGATCGATGTATGTACCGCCAAAGTGGGCCAGAACAAAGTAACGAATGGTATCCGCACGTTGAATGGGGTACTTGTAACCATCAAAGGTATCCAAGAACCAGGGGTATTCGGCAGCAATGAAATCGCGCGACTTCTCGTTGGTCCAAAGCTACAATCATTGTTAGCTTGCCCAGCTCATTTCTTTGACCGGGTCAATTCGCGAGGAACGTACAATGTACTCGTAGTCGGGGTGCAGGTCAATGCAACTCTGCTGGGCCTCGACCCAGACCTCGGGAATGGTCTCATTCTTGTAGGTCTGGTGAATAATCTTGGGAATTATCTGAGGGCGCGTTTCGATCAGACTGGAATTGGGCGATGGCAATTCGGAACGGTGAATGGCGTCTGCAGCGGCATCTTCGACCAGTAGTGACAAGAGTGTGGAGACACTGCGAATTAGGAGTGATAGGATAAGGAGGTTGACCAAAATAAAGATCATAAGTCCGCGCCGCATGATGAAATGTGTGGAGACGCAACCAAGCGTCAGACGAACGAGTATAAAGGCGACAAGCTATATTAATGGCACAGTGTGTCGAAGTCGTTATTAAAGAGGTAGTCGTTGGATCGTATTAAAATGTTCTCAGGAGCTCCGAAGTTGAAAAAGGAAAGCGGAACCTTTTTTTTTTTTTTTTGAGAAAAATCACAAGGCGTAGCAGATAAGAGGTAGCGGAGGAAGTGTCGTCTTAGTACTGGCGGATCATGAACGGTGGTTTGGCGACAATTGACGCGCAAAGGACTTGGGGAGGTTGACGGGGTGAGATTTGGGATGGATTTTTTGGCCCGTGCAAGTGTGTTGAAAGAGGAAGGGGGATCGCAGATGGGAATAAGGAGTGCAGTGGGGAAGAAAGCAAAGCTAAAAGTAGCGAAAGGAGCGGAATTGTTGAAAAAGGAAATGCTGAGGATGAAAAGGAAAGCACGTTGTACCCGTGGGGGAGTACCAGGGGACGGGCAGTATGGTACCAGTACAGAAAGGGGGCGAAGTGCTTAAGGAAAGTGGCTGAGCCGCTTACACATGGTACATTTGGGGTAATCTAACAGGCTGTTACCACATCATTACCAGACCCGGTCAGATCCAGTTGAATCTTTCGCCGCGCGTTAAGCTTTGCAGTACCTGGATTGGTGGAGTCGTAGTACCGGTGGGGGCAACTTACTACACCTGTACTGCTTTCTGACTCGCTCTTTCTTTTCTCCTGAATTACGCGGGCTTTGCCTTTTTTTTTTTTTTTTTTTTTTTTTTTCGCTTGATTTGGTGTACGAAAAAAAGTGGACTTCCTTTTTTTTAAGTTGTCACTGCTGATGGTAAACTTGCTGCCTATGTATACGAACAGAATACTCCATTTGGTTGTTCATGCCATCATAAAGATATCTTATGAAGAGGAAGTGGAACTTTGAATACTGTTGGTCTTGTTTTTTATGTATTGTACTGCAACGTGTATCAATGCCGAGGCTTGCCAAGTGTGCCGTACATCACTGTCCTTGGCCTGTACAAGTTGGTCTAGTTAAACTGTAAAAACACTCTATGGAATTTGCCTCTATAATGCAGTGCTCTCTATCAACTTTATTTAACATTTGCTACGTGTGGATTGCGTCAAAAAAAGACAGCCATCGTTCGGCCGAAATGCTATAGATTCGCCCCCAACTCAAACCCTCAATAACATTTGAAGTTAACGAGTACTTCCCGATTACCTAGTTTAAACCCCCAATATGCAGCTCTACGGGAAGAATCATCAACCTGCATGCGCTATTTATATTTTTATCCTAAACAGCCCACTATCGTACCCGTATCTACCTGATGTATCTACAATTGGCTGTACTTACATTTGGTTGCGGGGGGGATTTAGTACTAGTTTCTTAACTAGCGCACGGGTGCAGATACCAAGATGTTTAGTAGAAACCCAAAGAATAATACTAAAGAGAAGCCCAATTCCAAGAAGGCAGAGAGTAAAAAAAAAAACTCCAATCGTACTCGTATCATAATTTTTTTTATGCTCTTTCTGTTTTAGGGACCGAACTTGGGACAAGTGCAGTAACCAAAAGCGAACTACGAATAAAGACCCTGGCTCAGTTACCGTTCTAGCTTCTAACTGGCTCTAAGATGCAAAACGCCCACAACCCCCCACTTGTAAACTCGGAAACTGGATGGACCCCCTCCACAAGCCCCAAACAGTTCGACGTTGCCCCCATAGGCAAACGACAACGGTCTGGTATCAAGAAAAACCGGAATGCCCCAGGCAACCAGATTGAACGTGCGTCTGACCTGGAACCAAAGCCACTCAGCCACGTCCACGGTTCGGTCCAGTTAGGATCAGGCATAATCTTTACTCCGCGTCGCTATCTCGTCCTTACCTGAGATAACGAATTCCGTGCCCACTTTGACTCCATTCCGCACGGAATACGGATATCGGGATCCCGCTGCCCGATTCTCATTGCACAGTGTGCCGTATATGCGCAGAGTCCAATTTCCTAACAGGGTTGTTTTTTCTTCTCATTTCCCTTTTTTGTTCTTCGGTGATTGCTGGAAAACTCCAAGATTTTACCCGGATACTTTATCCAGATCCTCCGGATTCTGTTCGCCAAATCCAGATACGATCGGCGCCTCTCCATGAAAATGACGTTGTACACGGGACCCTGGCTCCAAGCACGTGTCGATCATCGATCGGCCATGTATCTTGCTTTCTGTGTAGAGGTGCCACGGTAGTTGTTGTACTGCTTTACCACACTACCGTACGGCATTTGTTCACTGGTACCTCCTACTCGTTGCAGAGTACATGAAGGGTTTGTACCTATCACCCACATGTCAAATGTTTGACACCAAGGGCCTCCAGCTCCTATCAGCCCTCAAGTGACCTGGTCGGCACTTTCTTCTGCATCTTCCATATCATTCTGGGGATCAGACCAATTGGAACTAGGACCACCAGGGCCTTGGAAGATGGGGGTCCAGAATGTAGATGTGGCGGTGGCCTAACACTTATCTACCGTCATCTGCCATCAGCACAGACGGGGCAATGGGCCGATCTCCAATCTTGGCAATTGAAATGTTGGGGGCGGGCGCAAGCTTGGAATAAGGTGATCTATCCTATCCACCCAATTACTACTCCGTAGTGCATACTGCTGCTTACTGCTTATGGTATACTCCAAAATACTGGGCATATACCGGTTGACTTGAACAATGCATGAACTCTAAGCTCTCTGTGAATCCTGTTCAAGTACATCCATAAGCATTAAGTTCCTCGCTGCGCATCATTTCCCGTACATAATTTGTACATTGTAATTTTAAATGTTGAACGACAACATTGGAAAGCAGCTGCCGAACTACGACCTCGGGAAGAGAATTATCATAAGCAAGGGGCCTGCATGCAAACGACTCCCCCTACCTAATTCTTATAATGACGTCGCTTGGGAAAACCCATTTTTTATGAAAAATTGAATATTCAATTGTAAACAGATCGGGTATCTATCGCAATGTAACGCTAATAAAGAAATCAAACGTCTATCCACCTCGACAATCCCGCGAGATATGGATTTTGCACACATACATTTTCAGATGCCATGACACAACACGAGTATAAGCACAAAGCAACCTCCGAGTCGTCCTGCCATCCACTCGGGTGACATGACATGCCTTGAACTGCCTCCACACAGGACAACCATTTTTACTCAGTACCTAGTCGGGAACAAACTGCAGGGCCCGGCCCTTGCTGAGTTCAACGCATGGTAACCAGTCGTGTCAACTTGTTTCTGAAAAGCAACTCCAGCCATCATCCAGCGTGGACCAGTTATCTTGTGCTCGGGCTATACTACCATCATCTCTGAAATGAAAAGATAAACGTCGCCAGATCAATTTGATTTTGAAACCATAAGAATCCATACGGCCCACGGGAATATTCAACGGCGCAGTATGTGAAGGCGAGATCCAGGGTACCGAAGAAGCCCATTTACCGCACTTCAGGCGCCGCAGCCGCTGCAAACTCTTGGTTTACATTTGTGGCATCAGTCGGCTGGTCCGCGGCCTGCTCAAAGAGCCGACGCCACCAAGCGGGCGGATCAAGAGGCCGGTGGCCACCATGCAGCGTCGGGTAGACATCATTGAAGAAGTACCAAATGTGACCCACCACAATGCCACAAATCTCATCCTTGGGCACAATGCGATGCACGATCAGACTGAACGCCATAAGGACCCACGGCAGGTAAGGAGCCGTAAAGACTAGCAAGCCCAAAAAGCTCAGACGAGTCTCTGGGTTGCGACGGGCCCAGATGTAAACCAAGCTCGACGATAAGGCCGTACCAAGGAATGGTAGTGACAGGAAGGGTGAAATAACGAGCAGTGAGGACATGGCGTAGAAGATGAGCCAAGCGAAGTGCGCCGGAGAGCGACCGGAGGATTCCTCCAGCAAGCGGGAGTAGCGTTGAAGGAAGAAAACATGAAATAAGAGGTCGAGATTGAGTGGACCGAAGTAGAGGAACGTTGATAAAAGGCGCCAGTACTGTGATTTAACGTAGACGGCGCGGAAGCTATAGAACAGCTGGAATGGAGTCACGATATGACACTGCACGAGCACCGAGGTTGCCACCGTGGCAACTGTCCACCATCGAGTGACGGGCGGCATCTCGTAGAACCACTGCTCCAGTGGGAATTGGCCCATCTGGCCGTTGTTCTCCCACAGCGCAGCCATATTTTCGAGGGTAGGTCGATATATGAACAGATGGGGTAAGGACAAGTGGAAGATGGGTCACCTTACGATCATTGATTGATAGACGCTTATCGGTGAGAACACGTGATTCGTGACGCGCGCGCGTAGAATAATGCGAGAATAATGCGAGGGCTGGGTCACGTTCCAAGTGTCATCGCGAAGCTAAGACTAATTAGTTCATATTGAACTTCCCAGCCCCCTTCAATATCACTCAATTTCTTCTTGCTACGGGGTACTCTTCTTTTCTCTTTCTTTTGCGTCTACTGTAATATTATCAATTCCTGCTGAATACCCTAATTCACCTAGCCCCGCTTCTTATTTCCTCCGACCACCCCCTGCAGGGAACCTTCATTCCTTGACGCGTGCCCCCATCCGTGCCAGTGGGAAAGATCAATCGCACCGAATCCACCCCACCAAAACCATCAATTGCGCCCCAAGCTCATCACCACAACACCCAAAATGCCCACCAAGTCAAGCAAACAAATAGCTCCCAGAAGCCCGGGCAGGCCTCGCAAAGCGGCCCCTGCCGCAGAACCAGCCACCACAAGAGCTGAACCAGCGGAAGCATCATCACCTGCCACATCACCAACTACATCACGGAAGTCAACGGGCGGCAAAGCAGCCAGCAAGGGAGTCGCCAAAGGAACGGAAAGCGGAGTAAAGAAGTCTAAAGCAGCAAAGAAAACCTCAAATGTCCAACGTACGTTATCAACAAATAGCCAATTACCCTACCTCCACAAGCTCCCTTGATTTCAATTCAAAGGCCAAACAAAAACTGACGAAAACTTCCAGCCGGTGATCCCACACCCACAGGCCGCCGCCGCCGCTACAAGCCCGGCACCGTCGCATTGAAAGAAATCCGCCGCTACCAACGTTCCTTCGACCTTCTCATCGCCAAGCTTCCTTTCGCACGTCTGGTCCGCGAAGTTGCGCTCGATCTCCTCCCCGCAGAAGTAGGCGCCTCGTTGCGCTGGCAATCGCAAGCTATTATGGCGTTGCAGGAGGCCGCCGAAGCTTTCCTTGTGCATTTGTTCGAGGATACAAACCTTTGCGCCTTGCACGCGAAGCGAGTCACCATCATGCAAAAGGACATCCAGCTTGCGCGTCGGATTCGGGGCGTTTGGGCTGGTCTTGGCTAAGACTTCCGTTTCCCCCTTCCATTCTTCTTTTTCCTTTTTCAAAAACTCCTTCTATTGTCATTTATGACAAGTCTCACGAGAGACTTTCCTTTCTGGCCTGATCTTTTTTTTTTCCGTCCCCGGCTGGGATTCATTTGTGGTGCCTTTAATCTTATCTTTTGGGGTTAAGCAGAACCTAAGGCCGGCATATTTGTGTTTCGAGTCCCGGATCTTAGCGTGACCTGCTGGCGTATTACATGGAGTCGACTATCGATGTCTTTTTCCCTTTTATTTGTTATCGTGTTTTTTTAATGTCTTTCTTTCACTGACGAGAGGAAGTCGCATCCGGCTTTTTGTTGTGATGCCTCGTGCTATTTGTTGGGTTTGATTATACCAGGGAGTTTGTACATTAGCATGCATACCAGGGGCTGTGGTTACCTTATAGGTAGCGTGTCGCAGTAGAGTTATCAAATAAGGGCCTGTTGGCAGTGATGAGCTGCAACCAAGCTCATTAATCTGATCTGATCTAATCCACACGCCTCCTTCCTACTCGGCGCCCAAAGCCTGTCCACTTCTACTCAAGGAACATTCAAAAATTTCGAATATCAATATTAGTATGCCGTCCTGGATTCTCCGAGGAGCTACCCAAGTTGTTATCGAGATGATGCAAGACAAGAACTCATGTGTGATGAATTCGGAATTCATCACGCTGGAACATGACCCAATGAGAGAAAAAAAAAACGCCTTCTCCATTATTCATGGAATGGTATCACATAAAGCAAATGCTTGTCCAATAAAATCGTAAGAATAAGAGAAACAAGAAGAATCGATCATCACATACAACGCAAATAGCGCCCAACATAAATAGACAAACAAAAAGGCCGAGCAAATCAAGTTGGTCGTTTCAAGCCAGGTGGAAGTCCCATGATAAGTCTTTGACCTTCCTCACGCACACCAAGGGCCTCATCACTTTTACCCTGTCGCTCAAGAGTATCAGCCAACATCTCATCAGTGACACTAGCCCAAAGACGATCATTGGCTCTTTTAGCCATGGCCCGGCCCGCCCGCGCACTCTTCTCAGCTTGTTCACCAACCACCCCACGGAAATACTTCCAGCTCATGAAAGTGAGAGTCATGCAGGTGATTTGGCTGTTGCTGATAGCTGTTGCGGACTGCAGCGCCTGCTGGAGGTACTGCTTGGTCTGAATTGTGGATTCGGTATGGACAGTAGCGCAGACTAGGAAGTAGGCTGCCTGGATGTACTTGTTGGGACTATTAGAGCAGAAAGACTCAAGGGTGGTCATCACAGTGGAAAGTCGTGAATGCGATGGATGTGCAGGGTCACGGATGAGGAGGACGGTGTTGAGCGCTGCAAGAATACAGGTATCGCGGCAAGGATCATTGCGTGTGGTCTTGCTGGCTGAGGGCGAGAGTGACAAGAGATCAGATTGGAAGATGCGGAGGGCGCTTGCGAGATCACCAGTAGACTGAGCAATGGTACCAGCGGCATATTCCATCAAGCACTCGATAGGCCTGGGGATATTAGGCCCCATCTCTTGGACAACCTGTCGTAAGTCATTGAGGGACGTGCTTGCCATTTCCCAGTCGGTTCGGGAGCAGGCTAAGAAAACACGCTGCAAGAGGGAATTGCAGTACAAAGACCGGCGCCATTCAACACGTCGCGCTGCAGTCACCATAGACTCTGAGATCTCTTGGGGAGTGGTGAATGACCCTGCAAGACAAAAAAATGTTAGATTATTGCACCAAAAGTCTAAACAGTATCTCAAAATCTAAATAGTTTATCGTACCTTGAATCATTCGAATCCCCTCATCGAGATACTTCTCTGCCTTGCGTCCGTCATAAGAATTCTTTGCACTTAAAGTGATTGAGCTGAGGAAGTAAGATAGAGCATAGAGATCATGCTGAGGAAGCCAATTAAAGCTGAGAAGAAGCGTCCCATTCTCAACCTGAAGAATGTCTCCTGTGTCAATAGAAGATGGCCCAGCAGATTTGCCATTTAGCGGAACAGAAAATGAGCCATCGGTACGCCAGTTGGAGTTGTTGAGTGTTTCATCCACCAAGGACTGCATGACCTTTAACTTTTGAGCAGACTGATTGACATCATATTCGAGAACGCTGCAGCAGATATCGACCATCTGGATCAGAGTGACAAGCTGAGGGATGTGACGGAGCTCATCATTCAACTGGTGACTCCGTGCTACTGCTACGGCACGCTGTGCCTGTTCGATGGAATCGGAGCTTCCTCCTTGTTGCAAATGTGCTAGAGCTTCAATAACAGCTGCCATCGCTGACACAGCCTTGTCCCCGTTACGAGAGGCCATGGTTGCAATCTTATTCAGGTGTTGAAGAGCCTGAACAGAGTCTTGATGGGACGGAGATGACAGGGATAAGGAAACTCGTAGAAACCTAAACGCATACTCCCAGGCCGCATGACGGTAGCTGCGAACGTTAGCAGAATTTTTTTTAAAAATGTCAAGAGTTGACTTACGCTTCGACATCTTGAATCATGCCATCGACAGCTTTGAGCGAAGCTTTGGGATTGGACTTGTGGAGCATGCGTGCTAACAGATGCTGCATACTATATTTCAAATCCAGCATGCGGTTCTGCGACCGTTAGTACAATGTAACAAACAATTAAGGGGGTCACAAAACTTACCCGCTCACATAAGTCAATTCCTTTGCTTAAAGCTGTCTCAGCCTCAATATCATTATCTGTCTCCTCAAATAACGTGCGCGCATAGCGAAGTCGCACAAGAGCTTCTTTGCGAGGTGGCAATCTCCAATTCTGGTCTTGAGGTCAGTTTATGAAGAAAAATCTGTCAACTTGAAGAAAAACTAACCTTTAAGACAGCTTCTAAGCATCCAAGCCCGGTAGAAACTAGCTTGTAATACTCTTCCACATCCGCGGGGTGAGATACCAAGGCAGTTTGGGTCCCATGTCGATGAGCAGCATTCAAATACTCATCAGCCAGAGACAGTAGCAAGACTTGATAATCAACTGGGGGCTTATTGGACTTGGTTATCTTATCAGTGACTTTCTGGGCAGGCTGCTTTTTTTGTTGTGGAGTATTTTGAGCTTGCTGAATTTGCACACTTGGCTTGGAAGCCGAGGACGGTGCTGGAAGCACGACTTGTGGGATCGCATGGATAGCTGGCGAGGGGGTAGGATTGGGAAAAGTTAGCTCAGATGGGGCCGCTGTCTTCGGTGTCGCTGGCAGCTTTGATGCAGGCGGTTGGACCTTATCAGCCCTAATCTTCTCGGCCTTGATCTTCTCCGCCTTGACCTTTTCAACCTTGATTTTGGGAGAAGGCTGATGTAGGGGCCTTTGATCAGCCTTAATGGGTTGCAGAATCTGGAAGCTAGACTCTCCTTGGATAGGTGGCGGGTTATCCCGAGGATTCGCTGGAGGGGCGCTCTGAGCTGGCGGATCTTTATGGGCCAACGGAGTACTCTGCTTGGTCAAAGGGACACTTTTAGATGATGGAGCACTTTGAGCCAATAAAGCACTTTGAGTTGAAGGTGTCTGAGCGAGCGATGGTGAAGAAGTAGCGGGTAATGGGATTGAAGGTGGATCATCGGCAGTGGAACTGGTTGACAGGGCGGCTGGATCAAGATATTGAGATACACTGTACCAAGATCGTGGGGCGGTAGGTAGAGGCGGCTCGACAAATAAATTGGCTGGATTGACAAACTGATGTTCAGGCTCGATCGGTGGCAGGGGTGGAGGTTGCTGCACATGAGACTGTTGTAGCGGTGGCTGTTGTGCCTGTAATTGCTGTACCGGCGGTTGTTGTACCTGTGATTGCTGTACCGGCGGTTGTTGTACTGGCGGCTGTTGTACTGGCGGCTGTTGTACTTGCGGCTGTTGTACTTGCGGCTGTTGTACTTGCGGCTGTTGTACTTGCGGCTGTTGTACCGGTGATCGTTGCACTGGTAGTTGCGATGTCTGGGATTGCGGTGCTGGTACTTGCTGCACACGAGGCTGCTGTGCCTGTGGCTGCTGTACGGGAGAACGTTGTACAGATGGGGCCTTGATAGGAGTCGGGCGTGATATGCTCTGCTGGCGTTGGGGTATTTGAGCGGGGGACTGTGCTGGCCTCGGGTGAGGAGATGGTAGTTGTTCAGGTTGCTGGAGGCTCGGAGACTGATGTGGTTGGATGTAAGGTTGCTGATGCTGCTGTCGTGGAGATGGCAGCGTTTGAGGTTGTTGAAGGATAGGGGATTGATGCGGTTGAATGTAAGAATGATGGTGGTGCTGCTGATGCTGTTGCTGCAGTTGCTGTCTCGGAGATTGTAATTGGCGAGGCTGTTGAAGGATCGGGGATTGATGCGGCTGAGTGTAAGACTGCTGCTGCGGTCGTGGATGAGGAGACTGATGTTGCGCGTGAGATATCATAGGTGATTGCGATTGACTGTGAGGAAGCAAGGGCGGTTGTGCCCGCGGACGAGGGGATTGTTGCTGCTGATGCTGAGGAATCCGCGACTGGACTTGGGATTGAGGCGGTAGTTGCTGTTGCTGTTGCTGGTGGATGAGGGGGGATTGTTGCAACTGCGGCTGTTGCATATGTTGATGCTGTTGTGGCTGATGTTGCTGAAGAAACTCCTGGTATGCCGAAGGATACGGCATCATCCCCGGAGGATAAGCCGGCGGCTTGCCATAGCCATTGTACGGCGATGGTGAAGGAGCCACAGCATTGTTGTATAGCACCTGCTGTTGAGGGACGTGGCCGGACTGGTATTGCGGATGAGGGATGTAAGGATATTGACCGGAATTGGGTGGTGGATAGCTCATCGCCCCGATTTACGCTGTCACTAAGTGAAGCTGTGTCCGAAGTCTCCAACGCGCGGGATGAAAGGTCATTGACGCTTTCCGCGTCGGGGCGGAGAAACTCGCGGCGGTCAGCTGATAAGCGTTGCGTTATCGTGTATCTTATCAAAACTTTACGTTGCTTCAAAATGGCTTGAGGGAAATATTTGAGTCGTTTCTTTCTGTACTAGTATGTCTGTGGTCTGGAATATGCTTTACACTTAAAAAAGGGGGAATCATATCCTGGGTCCCTAATACTCCGGATGGCGCCATGATGCGAACTCAAAAGAACAAAGAACAAAAAACGTAACCCCCAAAAACCAGGGCTTCAAAAAGATCCATGATGCTCCACGCACTAACGCCATGACAAAAAAAAAAGAAATACTTCATAACATGCGAATTGACGAATACAATGAGTCCATGGGATGCTCATCTGTGGCTGGCGATAGGACTTCTTCACTTATACTTGGCGTGTAAGTGAGAGGGGGATGTTCTCGCACCGTCCAGGGACAGAGCTCATTGCAATTCTCCACGCTTATGGATTGTTCGGCTGGATGGATTCTCTGAGCAGCCCAGGCAGAATCAGGCTCCGATGCAGTACCTCCCAGGGACCTTTGAGTATAGAAGTAATACGTCACATTGCCCGATGTTTCCGTTTGAAATGGATGTTTTCGAGAACACCTCAGGGTGGTATTGCAGCTGGCGCAAACCGAGATCCGTCGACAGGAGGTGCATAATGTGTCGAAGAGTCGGCATATGGTTGACTGATAGACACTGGAGAGCCAGAGATCGACAGATCGGTGAGCGCAGCCGAAGCGAGGGGTCATGTATTCCTCCTTGCCCACCTGGCCCGATTCGGTAGTGAGTTGGTACTCTGTGCGCATGACTAATTCATCCTCCTCATTGAGCTCAGGGAAAAGTGACACTTTAAGCTCCGTTGGACCATAATCCTCAGTGCATGTGTGCCAACAGTATCGGGTTGAGGCTGTACTTCCATATTCGGTTCCCAGAGCATCTAGCGTGGCATTTCGTATTCGCAAGTTATCCGCAAGGTCCAATTTGTCGCGGAATGTCAGTTTCTTGCATGGACATAGATCGACAATGCCTGCTAACTCTCCCAAGTTACATGTGCGATTATCGGGCTTGTGCCTTAGTTCCCTGGATGAGAAGGCGGATCGAGGGTGCAATTTCAAGCATTTGGAGCACAGTCTCCAACGAGAATCCTCCAGCAAGGTCATAAACTGCCATCGTGGAGTAACAAAGTTGTGGCCGTTACGGTAATGGTGAAAGAGGGGCGCAAAGTCACGAGTAAATCGTAATGATTTTGAAGATAGAATGTCGCCAGAGATGGCGAACATGCGCTTGCAGGTTAAGGCAAGGGCGGCTTCTGGAATCAGAGTCAAGTGGGAAATAATTTCCAGTAATAGCTCGGTTGGCAGTTCCATCAGATATGAGTGACCTCCTTCCGCCTTTTGCTGCCTCCGTGAACGAGTTGCCGGCCAGGTCGTCATTTTCATAAGAAGTTTGAACTTGTTGGTTGCTCGTACAAAGCGGTCTGGCATTCCAGAGGAAGACAAAATCAAAGCCATGAATGATGACTGTATCAAAGCTCAGAGCACTTGGACGAGGGCCTTTCGAGGGGGTTTTTAATATCTGTGATATCTGGTCGTATGAGATATTTGGTGACTTATTATAACGCTGAATGATGGATCGTCAGTGTAGTGCGCTGAACTACCATGGTGTAAAAACGACATGTATCGTGTGACGAGACAATAGGGCAGCGCCTTTCAAGAGGAAAAAGGAAAAAGGAAAATAAAATAAAAAACCAGTTGGATCTGTTGACCTTAAAAGAAGAACTTCGGAGTTGATAAAGTTGCACGAAAACGGACCATGGGATTGGACTATAGAAGCTTGCGGGCCCCATGTTATCAGCATTACATATGGTTAGTATAGGGCTGACAAGATCAAACCCGTCTGATGATCCCTGATGCAGCCTAACCCTCAGAACCGTCTTTTGTTTACTTTACTCCTTTTTCTCCTTTTTGTCTTTTTTTCTGTGTTATTTGTCCCTGAATTTACAAAGCCGGAATAAGTCTCACATATGTACAATCCTATTGTCCAAGGGTTTAAAAAGCCCACTATTTTTCGCCGCTCAAAGCTAGAGTGTCGCCGCAAGCGGAAAGAGGTTTGCCGCATTAAGCATCATCGCATCATCACTTCTGTATTTTTAGGCCAAGGAATGTTTTCCTATTTCCAGGAGATTATTCTCCGCATCCATGCGCATTCAATGATGACCTTGTCAAATGACGAAATACTCTTAGGCCGAATCCCATGACACCCCCACGCCTGAAGATGCCTGATCTATGCATATCGTGCATATCTATGCACCTTACCAGATTAGGCAAGCACGGCTGACTCATGATGCATATATCACATGACTCATGCATGCATTTTCAGCCGAGGTTCTTTCCTTATCAGGCGTCAGGCGTAATCAAATTGAGAGACTCCGATAGAAAAAAAAAATCAAGTTCTCAAGTGCTGAAAAGATCTATTTGCATCAGTTCCTTTTTTTTTTTTTTTTTTTTTTGCGACTCATTTATTCATCTGCAATTAAACTTGATACTCGCGCCGACAGTCCTTGTCTGAATTTTGATCAGCGCTTCTTTTGAATATCATTTTCTCTAACTAATCGTTCTCTTATCGGGTTATTCAGCCATGGGGCCCCTGTCATGGGTTCGCCCAAGCGGTCGGATCTCCTTTTATCACGCCAAGGACAATAACCTTCTGTTATCCAGGGTCGGGAAATCAGGCGCTAAAGAACAAACTTCCCTCGTGGATATCTGCCGCGATGCGACTCCTGACACCTGTCATCTCAATCCGTTGCTCTTCAACGGCCACCTGCAGACCGGCTGGACCGTGTTGAAACATGATAATGTTCCGGTTTACTATAAGCGGAAGATGTTCGAATCAGAAACTCCGATGTTCACGGGACAATATGCGATCGACTTTGTCGTAAAGCCCTATGACATGCCTGCCGAGGGTGAGCTGACTGACAAGGAGAGGAAGTATACACAGCCCTCTGGCCTGCCGCCTCGCACATCTTTCTATTCTCAGGCCGAAGTCGCCGATCTTCCATCGGATGACACCAAACCGATGCTGGTCGTTCTGCATGGCTTGAGTGGTGGTTCTCATGAAATTTACCTGCGAAGCGTCCTAAAGCCCCTTGTTGAGGATGGCTCGTGGGAAGCTTGTGTGGTCAACTCAAGAGGTTGTTCGCATACAAAAATTAGCACGGGTGTTCTCTACAATGCGAGAGCAACCTGGGATGTCCGTCAGTCTGTGAAGTGGCTTCGCAAGACATTCCCTAATCGCCCACTCTATGCTATCGGTTTCTCACTTGGGGCTAACATTCTCGCCAATGTACGTACCTACCTCAAAAATCATGATGCACGAAATATATATGCTAACATATCATAGTATCTCGGAGAGGAAGGCGATGATTGTGAAATCAAAGCAGCTGTGATCTGTGCCAGTCCATGGAACTTGGATATCAGCTCAGCTACCCTGCAGCAGACCTGGATCGGCCGGGAAGTATACAGCAAGACCATGGGGACTAGTATGAAAACGCTATTTGAACAGTCAGTCACCTCCTGAAACAAGTATGACCACAGTTGAACTGATGGAATAATAGACACGTTGACCAAATCTCTCACAACCCGCGTGTCGATATTGAGGCTGTGAGGAACACCACTTACTTGCATGAATTTGATCGGTAAGGATGCGCCTTACCTCTCTATGTTTCCTTTCTAATGTGACAGTTCAGAGCCTTGCAATGCCCGACTTGGGGTTATCCTACCGAAGGCGCATACTACCGTGACGCAGCATCGACGGATATGATGCTTAATATTCGTATCCCATTTATGTGTATCCAGGCAGAAGATGATCCTGTAAGCTACGAACTGTATCTTCTGTGCAAGTATGTACTAACAATAACCAGATTGCTTCACGCGAGGCATTGCCATTCCAAGAAATGACCCAGACCCCATATGGAGTCATGATGACCACCTCATGGGGTGGTCATCTAGGTTGGTTTGAACTTGGTGGATCTCGGTGGTTTGTTAAGCCAGTAAGTTGTCGAAACTCGAATTAATATGGCGACCAGATATACTGATTGCCTCGAACAGGTGAACAACTTCTTGAATAAGATGGCCAAAGAAATTGACCCCAATAGCCCCGGAGTAGTAGAGCACCCGGAGAGGCTACCTGGACGAATTGCAAACCACCCCGGCTTGGGTAAAGATGATGACCTGGCACCTAAGCCCGAATATAGCACTCTGCGCCGCAGGCTTGACATGAAGTTGGAGCTGCAAATTTAAGTGCATATCGAGTGATACACGCATCAGCAGACGTGATTGCGACGATTGATAGATTTCGGATATACATAGATTCTCTAATTTCACCATAGACTACACCTAACTTCATACATGCCCATCTATAGAGATCTTTCTTGAGAAAAAATCGGTTAATCCATGAAATTTTCATACATGAATTCACATGCATCAATCTTCGGAGGAACTCCTTTAATATGATCAACGCTAGCTAGTATTCACAATATTTTGGATCCGACAGATGTAAAGATAAAACCCCCGTACAAACGCCGAGCCCAGTCTAGGTACAATAATGGTATAGACAACATTTCCCTTAAGCAAAAGAAACACTTTTCCGGTTTGGCTTTGAGGACTTCGAGCCCTTTGATTTGGACGCTGAGGCATCGCTTGACTTATCGTCACCACCCTTGCCCTTCTTCTTGTCGTTGCGAATAGAGTCCTTGACTGCCTCCAACTTCTTGGACTTCTGTGCCTGTCGGGCCTCCATCTCCTTGTGTCTGGCCTCCCGAATCTCCTCCAACTTGCGTGCCTTCATCATCTTAGACTCGATTTGACCGTCCTTCTCGGCATTGACCATAGCAAGAATGGTCATCATACCCTCCTGTAGCAATCCGTTAGTCACAAAATCCCATGTAGTCCGGGAAAGTTAGGAGAGTGGCGTACCTGATCATCAACAAAGGTCTTTCCCTTCTTCTTGCCCTTGGGCTTTATGACACCAACCGGTGTGATGGTATTTAACTCGGGCAGGTTGAGCTCAGCCTCTGTGTAGACACGCTTCTTCTTCTTCTTCAAGTTTTCCTTCTCGGTGCGCGCCTTGGCCTTGACTTCCTTCGGCGGGGGACGCTTGACATTCTTAGACTTGCTCACGCGCGATGAGGAGGACATAGATGAGGGCTTAGAGCCCTTAGCACCACCCTTAGCACCACCGGAGGAGGCGCCCTTGGAAGAAGGCTTGGTAGGAGCCATTTTGAGGAGCGTGAGGAACGTTTAACGGTTAAGTTGACTTGAGATGGAAATGCGCCAAAGGCGATAGCGTATTGTGGGATGAAAATCAGAAATTCGGAGGAGAAACTAGAATCAGCACAGTCACGCCGAATTGAGATCCTATAAAGAATCAACGGCCAAAAGTGCAAGCGGTTAACAAAAAGCAGCAATCTTGGATTGAAACTCGCAGTTCAATCTTCAAATCTAAAAAAAGTTGTAGGAAAATTTTAGAAGGGGAAGGCGGTGAGACGCCCGGGCCACCACTCAACCTCGACTACGAAACCTCCGTCCCACCAGAGCTCACCAGCGACAGTTCAATTCTCTCTTTTTCGACGCCAGAGATTGTGCTCTCACTGGATTGAGGGGACACTCAGAGACTCGCCAACATGACCATCAACCCTACCTACCTTGCGCAACGGACGCGTTCCTGTATGTGCCCTCCCTTGGCGATCTCCCCGAGGAGTTCCGATCGCCCGCGAGCGGTCTCCTGCAATTGAAGCCCAGGAACGAGTGCAGTTTACTAACTAGCTTTTCTCAGCTCTGAACTTGAACGATGCGAAGTTCCGAGTCCTTAAGTCTTACCGGGAGTGGTTGCGCGCCGTCAGTTTACCCCAGATACCCAGACCCACGTCCCGACCAATCGTTGCGGGAGATATGGTCAGCACGATCTCATGTTGAACAATGCCAGCTAACATGATACCTCGACAAACTACAGTCCCCCGAAATCCAGACCATGTACTCTTTGAACATGCCCGTGTCCGTCATCCGTACCAAGATTCGCCAGGAATTTGAGAAGCACCGCTACGTCAGCCAGTTGAGCGTCATTGATGTTCTGCTCTACCAGAGCCACGCTGAGTTCCAGGTCAGTCAAGAAAACAAGAGGAAGGAGCTAGGGATTCAATTGCAGAGAAGTCATGCAACCGGGAATGAACGCATATGGCTTGTGTCTCGCACCTATGTTTGCATCTCCACTTATTGGATTCCCTAGCTCCAGAGTCATTCCGAGTAGTTTTAGTGCTAACATTGATGCAGGAAACCCTTAACTACTGGAAGCAGCTGTCTCACGTTATGAAGTACTTCCGCGCCGAAGAAGACCCTGGCGCCCGACTACCGCGCAACTTCGTTTCGGGCTTCTTGGAGGGCCGCAATTGAAAAGACTGTTTTACGTAACCCATACACTGCTTTTTTCCCTTTTTTTAAATGCCAATTCGTGTGGCAGTTCGTTGGACGCCATCAACGGAGACATGGCGTGTACATATTGTCTGAGTAGGTCGCCAAATTATTTCTCTTTACTTCAAAATGTTGGTCAAGGATGCAATTGAACGTAGATTTCGAGACGAATGAATAATATAGAACGAGATTTTTTATTAACAAAGGGCCTTTTTCAATCGCATCTAACTGGATTTCAACGAATCCGTCTCTTCTAACCTTGGTTGTCCATCAAACTACGCACCCATTCACTTCGCCCCAATCTCGCCCGCCGGCTAATCGGGGCGTCCGGGGCAAAGGTATCAAACCCATGCCAACACCCAGGCCACACATGCAACTCAGTCGACACACCCGCCTTCCACAACCTAGACGCATACTCAACACTCTCATCCCGAAACACATCCGCATCACCAACATCAATCCAAGTCGGCGGCAAGCCCCCGAGATCCTCCGCCCGCGACGGAACAGTATAAATAGTCGCCTGCTCCCGATCAACACCCAAAGCATAGTTACACGCATCAAGGCTATTCGATCTCGTCCACGGCGGCAGGTCCGCAAACTGCATCATCGAGTTGGTAGAGTTACTATCATCCAACCACGGGTACATCAACAGCTGGCCGCGGATCTGCGGCCCGGATCGATCACGCGCTAACAGAACGACGCCAGCAGCGAGATTGCCCCCAGCCGACCCGCCACATACAATGATCTGATCGCGATCGAATCCAAGCTCCTGGCTGTGTGCGCTCATCCAGTTCAGCGCTGCGAAGCTGTCTTCTACTTGGGCTGGCTGGGGATGTTCAGGCGCGAGACGATAGTCGGCTGAGACGAGCACGGCGCCGAACTCTTCTACCCAGTCGAGGGCGCTGTCGATGCCCAGGAAACGGCTTCCGGATATGTGGCCGCCGCCGTGTATGTAGAGGATTCCTGGGGTCTTTGGTTGTTTTGTCTGCTTTTGCTTTGGACGGAAGATTGACACTTTCAGTTGACCGGCTGGCCCGGTGAACTCTGTCTCCTTGTGGGAGATGGTTGTTTCTCGGCCTCGGAGTGTATATTCTAATGTGAAGTCGAGGGCTTTGCGGCGATTGGCAATTTGTTCGGGCGTGCTGATCTCATCGTCCTTGGGAAGTTGATTGTGGGCATTGGATAGGTCAGGATGGAGGGGCGGTCTTGTAATCAAGGACATGTTTATCTGGATATACGGTGTCGTTGGGTATGGATGTCTCGAAATTCAATGAGTCAAGTAGTAGTAGGTGCCAAGGATGTAGTTGTGAGAGCACTTCACATCTGGATGTCAACTGGTTTGATGAGAAACAAATTATCTGGGAACTCTGCAATACATGTCCTACTTATAAGTTAGACCAAATGAAATTGATCATCAATTGATCATCAATGCACGTAATCCAATGATTCTCAATCAATTGCTACATTAATTCAGGATATCATAACTAAACCCGCCGAGTTAGTCCGACAAGGCTCCGAATGCCGATTAGCGTAGTATAAATGTTCCCGATGAGGATCTCTCCGAACCGGAAGGATTTCAAGCCGATTAGGGACTCTTCTCAACTACTGCAATGCTAGCAGCTTTTGAAATTATTATATACAACATCTAAGGAAGTTAAAATTTTGTTTTTGAAATACTGAACATTTATCAAGGCTGGTCTCTAAATAATGTTCTTGACTCTTAATATAATATGTAAACCCTGGCATAATCTCCGAAACCTCTTAACAAATTCAACATTCGAAGTGAAATCAGTGCTATCATGCACCTTAAATCTACAGCTTCCTGCTCTCCCCCAGTCCCAAAAGAGCCTCACTAGGCCGACTATTCACCTGATTTGTGGCAGGCAGAGCTAACAAATGCTGCATAGTCTTTTTAAAGTTCTTCCCCAGATCCTCCCAGACAAATTCCGGGACAAGGGCCTTGATGAAAACGCGCATCGTTTGGACTGGAATATTCATCAAATAGCAAGCATCCTCAGAGGAGATATCCATATCCGTGCTCATAATCGCAGCCAGGCTGAGATCTTTTATCGATTCGAAATTCAACCCATCACCAGGTATCTCAATATCTGACATCTCGAACAACTCTGAGTTTTCTCCTGTCAAAACCGCTTGGATAAATTCCTCATTACGAGGCTCAACTTCATTGGCGGACTCTCCCTTCTGCCCGACTTGCCAAGGAGCGCGCAATCTCTCTGCATCACCCTGGACTTGCTTAATGAGTTGCCAATTTCTGCACATAGTAAGCATACCAATATTTTCTCCGAATTCCTGGTGTAGAAGGGCTTTGTAGACTTCGAAGTTTTGAACTTTCAAGGATTTAGCTTTGACACGCCAAAAGGAAGCGAGAGAATTGCGTTTGTCCACAATTTCTTGACAGAATTCCTTCATCTTTGACCATTCTTCCCTTTCGTGAGCCTCTAATACATTATTCTTGAGCTCGCCAAAGCAACCCGAGCGCAATATGTAAATGTTGGCAATAAACTGATCCTCTTTAGGAGTTCGCCAACCTCCCTTAGCAAGATACTCAAGGTAACTGATTATCCTTGGATAATCGCTACTCAGTCTCTTTAATCTCCTTGGTAAATGATCCAGTAGACGAGTAGTGATGGCTGCGATGTCCACATGCACATTCTCCACGTCAAATATTCGCATCAGCACAGTAATGATGGTGCGATAGTGACCGAGCTCAATGTTTCGGAGCTTGTGAGATCTGATCATCTCAGCTTTTCGGTCTCTTTTAAGTCTACCCACTTTGTCAGACTTGGAAACCACACATGCGCGGACGATAACCTTGTCAAGAAAGCGCGCCAGATTTATATAAAGTGGCTCAAGGGGCCAGCCTGTGTAAGGGCATAAAGCAACAGCTGTTTCATACCAACGCCATTCAAGATCGGTTGTGGGGATGACATATGACGAATCAACACTGAATAACTGCCAGACCATGCTAAGAGGACGGACACCTGACCCTATTGTTAGCAAATTGACAAAAAGACCTCTTATTAGTCTTGTTATAGTATCCTCGGCTTCCTCCCAAACAACTGGCACGCCATTTTCTACTATCGACACTTACTTTGTATATCAATTGAAGCAGAGATGGTGAAGTTGGCGCGTTTCACCGCTCCTGGGAAGCAAGGACTTACTAGCCTGTCACTCCTGCATGTCACATCATTATCTGTCGTTGCTTTTGGTAGTATCGAACAGATAAGGGAGTCTCCATCGCGCTTCACCACCAGTGGGCAACAAATAGTTGCGTTCCCAACTGTTGCTCGATCCAATGGTACGGGGATGATATAAAGCACCTGCTATCATGTTATTCAATGTCTCAAAGGGGTAGGTAGCGGTTATAGAATTACCTTATTCGCATGGTCGGCAACCAGCAAGGCAGGGTTAGCACCTCGATAGTAAGCTATCTGGTTATACACAAAGCCAGATATAAACACGCAGATCTCTTTATCTGTGAGAGATTCCTTATCCATCCGGACATAATCCAAGAGGTTTTCCACCCCAGAGTTGAAGGTGTAAATATCGCCACTATGGGTGATTCCTGGGAATGTTGTTTTTGAGCGGTAACAGCATGTGTTGTACGATGCATCTGCGAGACAAAAATCGAAGTAGACCGGGGTTGTTTCCGAGATAGCCAAGATGGCGATTTTTCCCGACACAATCGGGAGCTTGAACGATAAAGATGGGGCTTGAAGGATGAGATAGTCCGTGAGACCCTCTGCTGAATTTAGCTTCAAACCAGAAAGATTGGAAGGGGAGACATACCCAACTCCGACTTGAAGCCGGCCATTCGCTTCAAAAGAACTTCGCCCATTACACCCAGATCAACAGGATTAAAAAAGTAGCTGTCAAGGTAGGATGCGATATCGATTTCATCAATCCCATCATCTGTGCGGCAAAGGAGAAGGTGCTCGGGGCCGAATGGATGTGCGGAACCGACTGGTAGCTTTTCTAGTTCATCTCGAATTTGAGCCTTCGATGAGGCTAGGTCAAAGAAGATTCTCTTTACTCGCTCCATGATGATCAAATTGGTTGGCAAGATGCGACGTGTTTGGGCTGAGTGATAAAGAGATATGAAAAAGAGATGAATATTTTAGTTGGGGATAACCATTTGTACTTGCTCTGCAGTAGTCTCTTACAGCCTGCGGCGTCCGAAATAGGAAGTAACAATTAATTATCTATATTTGGCTTAGTAAATCAAAGCAGTAAAAACACAAAATATCCTTCATCGCCGTCTTTTGAACTTAGCTTAAATTCGAATATAATCCACCACGGGACTACGTACATGTATGCTACTCCGATCATATTTAGGGTAAAAACCTCGGCGACATGTTAAACTACTTATAATCGTGTAAGTCGCATCTTTCATATCTCTTTGGCTGTTATTTAATTTGACAGGGGAATTTTCTCAAAAAAAAATTCTTTTACGAAGCCCTCATATCATTCCAACGTTACCTTTAATGTTGACAAGTGGTGAGTGTTACCATTCGAATTCCTAGATATATCTTGTTAGTCAATTCCCTTGCTATTCGGTACTCTCGCTATGTATCTTACCTCACTATAGAATGTGACTGCTAATCGTTCATTACGCAGGTCATTATTAACAGCGTTTCGTGTTGTACTAATAAGCTCTTTAGGACCACAGGCACCAACGATAACACGGTCATCTGGGCTACCATGTGAAGTAGCAGCCTCATTGATAACACTAGCAATGTCCGGACGTCCAGGTCGAATGTAGTTTGTCGAGGAATATAAATTTATTCCAGAATCGCTTAAATGACCCTTCTCAAGGTCATTTGTTGCAATTATCGGACAGGGGACAGTTTGGGTTATGTCGTCCTTGACTGAGACTTTTTCTAAGATGGAACCTGCCACTGTGGGCGATGATAAACCAGATAGGTCAAAGGGTCCGGTGATGTGGATGATCAAATTCACATCCGGGCAGGAGTGAAGACGTTTCAGCTCTTGAGAAAACCACTCGAGACTCTCTGGAAGATTGAAAAGTGGTGAGTTTCTGCAATGGACAGTGAAATTTAAATATGATTGTAAATAAGACTTACCATGATGCCTTACTACCCAAATAAAATCAATCGACTTGACCTTTTTGGTAGATGTCTCGATAAGGTCCAATGCAATAGCAAATGTGAAACTGGCACCACTGCCCCCGGCAATTAGAATGACTTTATCGAAGATCTTAAAGTCAGGCGCTTCTCCATATGGACCGTCTACAGAACAGCGTAGGGACTTCCCTGGTGCATGTTGAGCAGCTTTGTATAAGTCACGTGTAAATCCATCATACACTCGGATTACAAACTCAGACGGCGTTGATGAGAGCAGAGTGAACGGGTGGCTCTCAACCCAACGAATCGCAGGAACCCACAAGAATGCATGGGATCCTGGAGAAGCTCGCATACGGCGGTTCAATCTTACCCGAACAGCCTCATTTGGTAACGCTGTGATAGTTGCGGAATTTCCAAAGCTGTTCCAGACTATCTTTGCGCCGCGGATAATACGATCCATCACCCAGAGACAGGCAGTGAATATCACGATAATCACAGTCGAGCTTGAGAAGTCCGGGCGATGCATTCCAACGGTGATTATAATCAAGGCAAACATTATGATATGCAACATGTAGAACACTACTCACTGTAAGCAACGTATGCTATAAGAATGGTCGTTCGAATGACTCACGCTCATAATATCTCCGTGTGAAGTAGGTGATAGTTGAAAAGGCAATGATAACCATGGCTGTACCTGCAATGGCACCAGCATAATCTTTTCGTTCGCTCATTGTGGCCAATTTTCCAGTCTCTCCCCATGCAGATAGGTATACTATACCATGCAAGACGCTTGTGAAGATACAAGTATAACCAGCGACTTTGTGGAGTGGGCGAAGCTTCTCATAGGAATTTCCTGTTAAGGGAGCAAGAGGAGTGTTTTTCAGTGCCAGAAAGACTAAGAGCACCAAGTTCGCGACAGAAATCCTATTATTGAAATTATCAAGGTTAGTTTTGAATATCCGAGGAACGGCATGTATGTATTCAACGGCACGAACCAGCCGAATCGTTTCGCAACCTAAAGATTGGTTAACAAGAGCAGATATCCTGGAAAAAGCTCCAAGCTCTTACATATGTGATTTGAGTAAGGTCAACATTTGTCAGGGCGAGGATCAAGTTGATAGCCCAATATACAATATACAGAAGCAAACGTTCTATTCTTGTCCCGAAAATTGAGCTCGTAGACAGAAAGTGTCCGATTCGTCTATTATTTCCCAACATTGAAAGTGTTAGTATTCAGCTTACCAAATCAAGGGAATCAAGGAATGCACATACCTGTAAGTCCGAATCAACACAGGATATATTTTCTTTGGACCGTATCGAGCCTGGATAAAACCTGCCCAATAGTGCACAGCAAAGAGAAACATTATTGCACCGATAGCAATTGCGAAATATTTGTTGCTCCATTCATTGTTCGACTGCCTTAATACTTTCGCAGCAGCCTTGGCTGCTTTAGACTCGGCCATCGTTTGATGTTTGGTTAGAATATGCGCCCTTCACAGCTTGCGAGAGATTTCTGCAAGATTGACACGACCTGATCTGCAAGAAATATTTCCAGATATTAGGGAGGGGCTGTGATGACAGAGGTGCCATATTTAACTTCAAATGTTCCGATGAAACTTCGTCACGAAAATCCAGGTCAAAACATCACCCTGAGCCGAGACATACCCCACTGCTGTTCTCGGTGTACTTCCATTCCTGTCGTAATTGAGGATCCCTGGTGAAGTCTGAAGATCCATTTTTTCCAGTCAAGATGGGAAATTCTAGCGGGTATCATCTTGGCAGTCGCTATCTTCCCGTGTTGATAGGCTCAGAATGGAAATCACACGTTGGCCACTGGACCGGCATCAAGGCTGGCCAGCATTCTACTAGAATACATTCACTCTTGAATGATTGAGTCCTGTATTGAATTCTAGCAGAACAAGATAAAGTGTTACAGGTATTATCTATCCATGCTTGTTCGTCGCGTGGTGTAGAGACTGTTTGGGAAGAGCCGGAGAGAAAAAGTTATCTAATCAATCAGATAAACCTTATCCTGGATCTGATTAAAAATTTCGCCCATTAGTCAGCCTCATAGACTTCCCTGAACCCTGGAAACTTTATTAGAGGCTCACCGAAGCTTATTGTGGGACAAAGATGAATAATCGGTGTCAATCAGATTTAGGCATCACCTATCTTCATGATCAAAGATGTCTTATCACGCACGTTGACGCTCGCATGCAAACGATAGGGCGACGAGGAAGTACATCACGCGATCTAGATTGAGGCTTTCTTCTTCATCATGATTTATGGGGGCGTTGCTGTGCGTATCTCAATTGTAGCTTTTTTTTTTTTACGCTCATCAACGTCTGTGGATTGTACCATGGTACTGCCGAGATCGACGCATAACACTTGGACTTACTAGTAAAGCAAATTGGCTTAAGCAGCGAATCAGATGAACCATAGAATAATAGAGCGTTTTCACTACGAGAGATTTCCAATGCATGGGTGTTCCAACGTTCTATTGATTAGACACTAGCAATTTTCGATAGTAATACTTGAACATGCCCACACTCTATAGATCAGACAAGCTTGGAAGCCTTGGCACTTTCTGGAAAATCCATGTCGCTACTACTATGAGATGGGGTTTGAACCGTTTGAGTGGCTGGTGTTTGGCGCTGAATGAAAATCAAATCTTGGTAGCCCACGTGCATAGGCCTGATCAGGCAAATATGCAGGTGTGCCTGAACGATCCTCTGGCCTGCCCCTGGATCTTCCTGTTCTTTCTCCTTCCTTTCCCCATCCAAAACTGACGTTTCTTGTATGCAGTTCACGAGTCACACTATCGTCCTCATAACATAGCGAATGTTCGGACATTGATGATCTCGGGAGATTTTCAATTTTGCGTTCCCTATCTGACCAAGCCTTGAACACTCTATTTGGATACCGACCTTATAACCCCAACCAACATGCATCCTCTATCGCAGTTTTTGCTGGGGGAATTCTTCGAAGAACATAGCCCAATCACCAGGAACATCTGCGACGAAATTGCTACTACTATCTCTGGTGGCAGAAGTATCAGCCCTGCACCCTTGCAAGGTGGACAGAGCTACACAGTGAAAGTTGGAGATGGCATGGATTTATCTGTTATCCAGTTCCGTGGTCCTGACAACATTTTGGATCTCGAGCTTCTAGAAAGTGCGCAGAAGACCTACGGGCAATTCGTGCCTATCTGCGAATATCTTGCCGAACAATATCCTGAGAAGGTAGACCCCTTGAAGATCTACAAGATGAACTACATTCCTGGAGATGTGCTTCTTCAAGTGAACGCCTTTCTCCACCAGCCTGAGAATTTTGCTCTTCTCAAAATGACCGTACAGGACTTTGCTAGGTAGGCAGGCTTGCGGTATTCCATCTCGAGGTTTACGAATCTAAATACTAATGAGACCTTTCTTGTTTAGATTTTGTTCGTATGCGTGGAATAATCGGCCATCTATGCCCCAGGTCAACAAAGCCTCGATCCAGAACAAATACCTTTGCACCCTGGACCGCATGATAAAAGTTCTTCCCAGCCACTTCGAGCCTGTCATAAGTGAGCTAAAAACCCGAATCCCCTCTCTTTTTGCAGATGATTATCCTATGGTAATCAACCACTGGGACCTCCTTGAAAACAACATTCACGTGGACACTAAAACAGGAAACCTTACTGGCATTTCTGATTGGAAAGACGCAGAACCAGGTCCATTTGCCATGCAGCTCTGGGGACTAGAGAATATTCTAGGCATCCGGAAAATGACTGGGATGGCCTTTCATCCACAGCATATTCAACTCCGCCAACTATTCTGGAAGACACTTTATCAGGAGATAGGGGATGTTTCTGAAGAGACCAAGCTAGCAATTCAGACAGCGAGGATGGCTGGTATTTTCATTTCCAATGAGTTCACGAAAGCTTCCGAGGAACAAAAAAAGATGTATGTGGCTATTCTCGAATCTATGACATTGGACTTGTGTGATATTGGGCTCGGAACAGGAAATTAGATTCCATAGCTAGCGAAAATCTTAAGACTTCTTTCCATCACTTTTCATTTCGATCATTTCACAGTTCCTTTATCTGAGTATAATTGCTCTTTTTCCAAGGTCAATGTTCACTGCCAAGTGATCCTTGCAAGTAAGCATTTGCCCCACACCCACCTACAGGGAATGCCGATGTAAAGTTCAAGGGAGTTTCAATGTTTGTCGGCTGGGTCCATGGTAACCTGCGTACGTATCTGATAGGAAGATGAATGAAATTGCTATTTTGAACAGAAGCTTTGATTGAGCTATGGAGCCTGGCTCGATGTGGAATTAGCATATTACAGCAAATAAATCTCCGAAGCATGGACCATACTAGATACCCGCAAATTGATCACCGACCAGGGTTTTGACGATCCGTGGCCCGCACTGACGATCACAAAAATACGCGGCAATTCAAAGATTAGCAAGTTCGGTTTGCCGTTCGGCTTTCACCGTATCCACTCCTTGAAATCCTGTCCTGAACACGCGTAAAGAAAGACTGTCGTTTGACCAATCCATGCACTCGGTACTTAGACACATAAAAGCCACAATTCTTTTTGCCCCACTGATTTCTTGGATATAGAGAAGCATCACAAATCAAGCTTGGTAATAGTAGCCGCACTACCTGCCCATTCTATTCGCCCACTGCAATTTTAGGCCTCACCGAGGGTAGTAAGTGGTTAGTAAGGGTCATCGGAGAGAAGTGCCAGAGTGGATTGAATTTGGACATGCCACCGATCTCAATGGATCCCGGCTCTCGATTGACTCGATTGAAACCCCTTGTCTTGAAGAATTACGTTCTTGACCATGTATGGTGCGTTTTCCTACTTCATAGAGCCCTTAATGCTCAGCTAAGAAAAAAAAACCCGCGCACTCATATCATTTGATTAGCCCATTTGGAACAATACATTGAATCTGATATCTCATGCTTATCAATCAACCAAATTTCCTCAGAGGGGTCCATAAAATATGCTTTATGTTGATGGATTGATTTATGTACAGTTGAGTGCTAAATCTGGGTTGAAAAATTGAGAGAGTAGCGGATTGAGAAGCAAAATAAGCTATTTCGGCCTTTCATTCCTCAAAGTTTCAAACATTGAATGTTCTTTCCCACAATAAAATAAAAGAGCCCTAAATTCAACTACTGCGTTATGGTTTTTTGGTCTATATCCATGGGGATAGTTTGGATTTCTCAACCTTCCTCTCGCACACGAAATATTGATTTGCAAGACGGGTATATAACATTGAAGGAATGGATAGGAAATACGAGCAGGAACTTCCAAGTTCTCTTTTGAATGGAACATTTGAATCAATGAGATAGGTACTCTACTACTCACTAAATACTCAGTACGTGCCCGTGGGAGGTACATGTAGTTCAAAGTAAATCCAGATGTCGCGCACGCGATCAGATGCTCAATACTTTTCAAATCCTAACTGGAAGATATAACCGATAATGCAAGGTCATATAATATTTTTTGCCTTGAAATGCAACGGCGTAGTATGTACATCAAAAATTCCGTGCGTATATACATGTCATAGATATATCGTTTGTATCATGGATGGAAGAGCGTCCACAAGGCGTGCATGCAAGTGACTCAGAGCCAGAATATAAGATGAAGGTTCGTGCAGTTTGCAATTTTGATAGCAACGCCATCGGCCACCGTGCACCATCCATATCCCATGCCACCGAGTACTTACAGACTTGTCAGCTGCTTCTGCTGCAAGTAGTACTCGCCCAACAAACCACCGCTGATAGCCACACCGACAGACCAGAAGCCCTGGCTAAACCACCACCAGCAGCTCTGCGAGCTCTTGAGATCGACCTTGAAAAGCATCAAGGAAAGCGAGCCAACAGCACCACCCACACTGACAACATAGTAGAACGCTCCCAACTCGCTCGCCCGTCCACACATGACAAGCAGGGTAGCCATGGCAGCCAGAAGGGGCCAGAGCAAACGCTTAGTCTCGCCATTAAGCAGCACAGCCAGACTCTTAATGCCAGCCTTCTTATCAGCCTGCAGATCCTGCTGGGCATAGAGAGTATCGTAGATAATGGCCCAAATCAGCGACGCCGAGACCAGGTACACAGTTGCCCAGTCGATCTGCGGCGCACTGATATCGTGGACGTAGGGGTAAAGACCCAGTCCAAGCCCACCCATCACAGTACCCCAAGCCAGCCAGATGCCCAGCACCAGCTGCGGGACGTGGGTGTGTCTCTTTGCCAGCGGGTAATAGGCGGCAACGACGATATTGGGGAGGGCATACGCCAAGGTCTCCATGAAGCCGCCGGGGAATCCAGCCAGCAGGACACCGGCAAGGAGTGTTTGGGATACGGTGAAGATGAAGGCGGCGCGCTTGGACACGGCTCCGCGGGGGATAGGGCGGTTTCGGGTGCGTTCGACTTGGGCGTCGAGATCGGCGTCGAGGAGATCATTCCAGATGTGGATGGCGTTGGAGAAGAAGAAGCTGCCGACTAGCAGCAGGCCGTTGGCCTGCTGGACGGCGAGTGGGGGAGCCTGAGTTCTGATGGCGGCGTGCAACAGGCCGAACAGATGGGGGAAGTAGATCAAGAAGATGCCGGCTGGGGGGAAGAGGCGAGCAAGTTGGATATAAGGGTACCAGGATTCAGGGATGACGGCAATGGGAGGTTTGGCGTTTCCTCCATATTGGTATGCCAATGCGGCAGCGGCGCCCTTCTTGGGCGAGGGGGTATCCATTTTGTATTTCGTAAGGGTATGGGCGTATATCGGTTGGTTTGGAGGGAATATGATCGGGGTTGTGAAGCTGAGGCCCCGGAGATTGATGTATTGTCTCTCGTACGTCAGAGGAGCAGAGGAGAATGACTGGGCTCGCTCTGCACGTTCAATGTTTGATTTACCTCGTGTGCAAGCGGCCAGGGGGCTGTAGATATTTAACTCATATTTGGTACCAAGGAACTGTGTGGCGCATGTACTAGTCCATTGTATCGTGTGGACTGCATAAGCGATTGTAGTCCGTACTGTCGTTCATATGGCCTAGCGTGTTACGTTGAGGTGGATAAACTGAGACCCGCCGCACGGCCAGGTACTCCGTATAGCACGCCAAATCGACAGTTTTGAGGAACGTGCATGATCTACTCCACTCCGTACTCCAGACTAGACTTTGGAATCACACGAGACAGGAACTGGATTTCAGGACAAAATCTTCTATTTCAATTTGAAATCGATATAAAGTACTAGTAGGGGTTGAAGAAGAGGTTAAAATGGACTATGCAGGAAAAAAGTACTGTGCAGAAGCAGGGTTTCTGCAGGCACTCTAAAGAACCACTGAAAAGCACTAGGCCCATTTGGGCTCATTTGGTCTCAGGCCAATATTGAATTATAAGGTTCTCGTAGAGTTTCTCGGGATCTGTTCGGATTGTGGGAAATTAAGGGGAAACAGCATTTAGAAACTGAAAGGAGAGTTTTTGCTAAAAAAAAGAAAAATTGAGTCTGGCAATTCTCGTCATGCTGGCCACGGGTTTCTTGATTTTATGGTTTGTTTTGGTTTTGCCGTTCATGAAAATTTCCAATGTGGCAATTCTTCTCCGGTGACTTCCGGGAACCTTATGAGTATTAAGAAGCTTACTCGGTACCTTTCTTATCTATACCGCTTCTTCATATCCCCTAGTCCTCGACTCATTAACGCCACGCTCCATATTCCCGAATCGAAAACAAACCCCCGAAGAATTTAGGTTGGGCACGTTCCCTCTAATTTCCCACCCGCGACCCCTTCCCTATCCAAGACAAAGACATGTTCCCAATGTCAGGGGCCGGCGGGACAGTATTTACAAATGCGAATCATTCACATAACCCAACTTAGCCTGACGACTAGGTTAGTTAGTACTTGGCTATCAGTAAACGCGGGAATTATTGTGGATTGTTCCAAGGTTGTCCACAACAACGCAGCAAATCCCATGCATGGTCCAGGGCTTCAAGGATCTAGGGAGTAAATTTTTTTCCCCACATGCAACACGTTTACATGAGTTCTATGCAGTCGTACCTATTGGGATGCATTGGCGCTGATAGCGGATTTCGCGGGTGCGGATGTTATCCACGACCTTGGCCCCAGATGGCAAGATTTTCATAAAGACGTGTACTAGCCACCGCTTTTGTTGAGATACGGGACCAGGCTCGGTAGAGTGTGGATCCATCTCTTGAGCGCTGACCGTCCGTGGCGGATACCCGGCGGAAGTTTACAAGCTGGGTCCGATTTGCTTCGAAACATTTGAAAGTGGTACCTACGCGCATCACTCAGGGGGAACCCTGTTTACCTGATGCCAGTACAGCCTGCTGCATAGAATGTATGGATGAAGATTTTGTTGAATGAATATTTGTTGTGCAGTGATCAAGTAAAGTAAAGTATCGTGACTTCGAATATGATAATCAGTGCAAGTCAATTCATAAATGGGCAAGCGTAGAAGCTTTGGGCCAGGAAGAGAAGTCAGAGCTTTGAAGTGGGATTATGTGTGTTGCCGTCTGATTAGCTGAGGATATGTAGAGCGATGTGCTTTGATTGGCTGGAAGAGGACTATGGACCTCGGGAGGAACCGAGGAATACAGGACAGTACATAAACAGTCAAAACTGCCAGAAGTTCCCACCAATCAGGGAGCCCGATTTCCAAGATTCTCTTACACGTGGGTATCCGTACCCACGAAATATTCAGCATCCTGCCAAGTATGTAGGACTTCGAGAAAGTAAAAAAGTAAAAAAAAAAAAAAAAATATGAGTTCACTTTAGCCTCGAATTGCTGCTGAATTATTGCAAAGCTGGGGAAATTGAAAACCATCCATGCCCAAGTAATTGGTGAACGTCCGAATAAATTCCTAAGAGAAAATCAAGCGAGTGTACTCCGTGTGGACTCTGTGGAGTATGGATACGGCTATCGAGCGCACGGGCGAGAGAAAATCGAAAATTTTTCACTACTCCGTACTCCGTATCGTGTACTCCGCACATTCTCCGTAGGAAAGATTCCAATGTTCGATTTATTTCTAGTTTCATCCAACACCCAGGTGCACATGCACAAGCTTTTCCCCCAAGACGATATGTTATCCATGCCTCAAACTATCTGCCATCTCTGGCATATTCAAGATCCAATGCGCCCAAGATCTTACATGTGAATGCTCTCATGATAATTCAATTAGGCCGCGCGGTTTTACCATTGAAACTTGGAGGTGGATCAGTTGGTCCAAATTGGGCCTAGTGTCTCATAAATTTGCATATCTGTTTTCTGCTCCGTCTCTTTTCAAATGTTCAGTCGCTGTCGTATTGTAAAAAATATTGTATGTCTTACAAGGTCATGGACTCTTTTTCTTCTTTCCATGTATGTAGCTACCGTCGCAAAACATCGTCTACAATTGCGGCTTGTGGTCCGTAATGATTTGGCTGCCGGGAACAGCTCCGTTCCATTCCAAGGTTTATTGTAACCTTCTTCATGACCTTCGGGAGACGGCCCGTCGCTATGCCACCTGCGAAAACCCATGGACCAGTTAACGCCGTGCCCGCGTTTTATACGCCCTGTTATCTTCATGAATATGCCATCATTCGAAAGGTGGCTTCGAATGTTCGCCAAGCCTACGTGAGACATCAACATTTGAAGTAGTAAATACATCTAATCTACTATAGCCCTGGAGATAATTTTCACTACTTGATTTTCCCGATGATCGGCTAAAGACGCCTACTAGTACGTTCTACGGGTAGTAACATGGTGGATCTATAATTATGGTTGTTGTTATGAAACTTTCCCCGCAGCACTTATACCCGGATTAGGCTATATAGACCTTCGACTTTAATAAGTATACATTGGGGGATTCTTAGGCGTGGACCCTGCATCCGGGTGAAGAACCTTGAACATGCAGGCTTAAAGGCTAATTGTTGAAGAAAACCTAATTTTGCTTTGTGTAACGGGCCAGGTCCCGTCAATACTCACGTGTATTTGAGAGCCATTTCATCATTCTCTTGCAAGTGGCTTTGCTTCGGCACTTCTTACTTTGTCGCGTTCCATGCAGTGCATTCAAATGTTACACCTTCAACATTGGAAAGCAAGATGACCTGAAATGAGTTAGCCTCCAAGGTTGCAGACTCTCCACGTTCCAACTTCCGCGTCGTTTTGAGATTTTGTCCAGACATTCCGTGGCTGTTTCAGTACTGATGCTCAGCACCATGGGGTAATGATTCTTGATCCCTGTCAATTTTGGTGACGGGTCAGGGTATATATTAGACTGAAAATTTCAAAATGATTCACGGATTCTGGATTTCTCTACCATCAATCGAAGCCAGGTGACGAACACGAATACTTCCTTCAATATGCAGCGAGCACCAGGATTGGCGTTGTTTCTTTTTTTGAATATCGCCAATGCCCAACAATCTCTTTGGGGGCAATGTAAGAATCCAAAGCTATCGATATCTTGACCTTCCATTTGTCAAAAGTTAACTTTTTCTATAGGCGGCGGTAGTGGATGGACAGGATCAACAGTGTGCACCGCCCAAGCAACTTGCAGCACCGAAAATCCATGTATGCTTTCTGTTTCCCCCACCTTCCCCTCCTTCTCTCTTCCTCATTTCTTCTCAATCGAAATAACGATTAATTCAAAATACTAGACTATGCGCAGTGTGTCTCTGCAACCGCGACAACAGGAACAACCACCACATCCAAGACTACGTTGACTACCACCACTTCGACCACTAGTACTAAAGTATCCACCGGAACTACAACTACTGCCCCTACCACGACAACTACTAGTACTAGTACAGCCTCTACTGCTACAAACAGTGGTAACCCCTTCAGCGGCTACCAGCTCTATGCGAACCCTTACTACTCCGCGGAGGTTTTCACATCAGCCATTCCTTCCCTGACAAGCTCGCTCGCGGTGAAGGCCACAGCAGTGGCCAAGGTTCCATCTTTTGTTTGGCTGTAAGTCTTGTTAATTCACAAATGGGGGTTCTTCACTAATATTTTCCAAAGCGACGAGGCTGCCAAGGTGCCGACCATGGGAACTTATCTTGCCGATATCCAGTCACAGAATGCGGCCGGCGCCAGCCCACCCATTGCGGGAATCTTTGTGGTTTATGACTTGCCAGACCGTGACTGCGCCGCTCTTGCCAGCAATGGCGAGTACTCAATTGCCGACAACGGAGTAGCGAATTACAAAGCATACATTGACTCAATTAGGGCTCAGCTTGTGAAGTATTCTGATGTCCATACTATCTTGGTCATTGGTTAGTATCCTCTACTTTTCAAAAAATATGGAGTTCCTCTGCTAACTCTCACTAGAGCCTGATAGTCTCGCCAATCTCGTGACCAATTTGGCCGTGACCAAGTGTGCCAATGCCGAGAGTGCTTATCTGGAGTGCGTCAACTATGCATTGATTCAACTCAACTTGGCAAACGTAGCCATGTACATTGATGCTGGTATGTTTTCCCCCAGAATTGTGTCTATTCAAATCTACCGTGCAGAGACACTGGCTAACTTTAAATTCACAGGACACGCTGGCTGGCTGGGCTGGTCAGCTAATATCGGACCAGCGGCCACGCTCTTTGCCGAAGTATACAAGAACGCATCTTCACCCGCCGCTGTGCGTGGACTAGCTACCAATGTCGCCAACTATAATGCCTGGACAATCGCAACTTGCCCATCATACACCTCAGGAGATACTAACTGCGACGAGAAGCTTTATGTCAACGCCATTGCCCCGCTCCTGGAAGCTGCTGGTTTCTCTGCTCATTTCATCACCGACACCTGTGAGTGACATATTTGGATTCTCGATTACATTCAAGTTTTCTAACCCCCTACTAGCGCGAAATGGTGTACAGCCAACGGAGCAAAATGCCTGGGGTGACTGGTGCAACGTCATTGGCACTGGATTTGGTGTTCGTCCCACAACAGATACTGGAGATGTCCTCGAGGATGCATTTGTTTGGGTCAAGCCCGGGGGCGAATGTGACGGGACCTCAAACACCACATCTGCACGATATGATGCACACTGTGGGTACAGTGATGCCTTGCAGCCGGCGCCAGAGGCAGGAACTTGGTTCCAGGTGAGCTTTTATCCATTTTATGCATTTCAGTCACCATCATGATTGTTCGGTCGCTCATATTTTGCAGGCCTATTTCCAACAATTGCTTGTCAATGCCAATCCTTCCTTTTAATTGTTCGATGCAGGTCAGCTATATGGACTGGTTGATGGAAATTTCTTGATGCAAGCTTGAGTACAAAGCTATATGGCCTCTATTTAGTATACGAGGGATCTGTATGATCAGTCCTTCATAACTACTTTGTACCAAACCTTGATATTCAATACCAAATTCCACTGGCACAAAAAGGCTCATTGCATGAAATACTATTAAGCACTTGAGTATCTGGGCATCGAAGAGAATCCTTCGGAGAGGCCTGGGGTTGGGGGATGAGAAAAATGAATTACTCAAGTTGGACAGAAGCTAGGCCGGTATTGGCGATTTTTTCAAAATCATATATCCGAGTATGTACAGTCTGTTAGGGGTATTATCTTTTTGTATTCGTGTTATGATGTGTTTGAAATTGAATCCAAGTTTTGTTTAAGTTGCCCTGACTGGGTAAATAATTCAGTCTGTCATATACTAATCATCGCTCACATTAATACAGGAAAGCCTTCAACATAGCGGTGACAATAGTCAACTTGAGAAAATAGTATTCAAAATCTTGTCCTTAATTTGCCTCAGGTCCACGAGTCAGGACCAAAGTATCCCTTCGCAGGCAGGTCGGGAATCAAAGCCTGCTGGCCCGCGCCGCCGTCAATCGTCGCTCCAAGCACGTTATTACCCCACCAGTCGACCGACACCGGAACATATTGCACAGCGAAGAAGATAATGATGCCGGAGAACGCGACACCACCAGTGAGAGCTGCCGCGAGGACATAGTTGTACTTTTCCCACCACTGAGTCTTGTACCTCCTGAGGTAGAACATGAAAGCAGCAGAAAAGTAGAGACCACCCATGAAGTAAGAAAGGTTGACGGGAGCCCACCACAAGAAACCATTGAAGACGAGAGATGGGTGGACGTGCTTGAGCCACGAAATGGGTGTGAAAACCAACGTATTGATCGGGTTGAAGATACCGCTAGGCATTCTGGACTTGCACGCCTCCTGGAAATGTGATCCGAATCGCTTGACAACCCACCATGCAATGGCAAGGAGGAATCCAAACAGGAAAGTGTATTTCATAGTTGGGTAGAACTCGCTGAAGATTCTCTTCGGTCCAATAGCACCCTAAAAAGATATTAGCTTTATGATCTGGCATAAGAATAATGCAAAAAGTGTCTTACCCAGATAACGGATGATGAATAGTAAACTTCGGAGCCGTTTTCGCAGTTGAAATCGGAAACCTGGTCCGAAGTACAAATGCCCGCAATGTCGTTGTCGGCAAATTGCACAACGGCATAGGCGACAAGGGCCGTAATGATAGCGCTCATCACTTGACCGCGGTACATGGCCCGCGGCGGCACTTTGGCATAGAAGCCCATCTTCTGATCAGAGAGGTAGGTATCCGCTTGGCCGTTGATGTTGTATCCGAAAGCCTTCACGAACATGAGGGCCTCCGGGTGTCCAGGCAGCGCATATCCCACGATCAGCTCCGTAACGACGTTCAAGCCCTCCGTCGTACCCGAGAGTGCGTAGAGATAAGACATCGGGATCAGGAACACCAAGTTGAGACCAATCACAAAGAAGATAGTCCAGACAGGAGCGCCAAGCTCAGGCCAGTTAACCAGAATAACGATGGCAAAGATGAAAGCCACCAGGGAAATCATCAAGAACCACCAGTCAGGCACTTCGGGGTAGTTGCGCATCAGCTTAGTGAGCGGGTCATCGAAGCCGTCGTAGATTGAGCCCTCCTGATCGAAGATTTTGTACAGATGTTGACCTGCCTCGCGCACATTACCCTTGGCGAGAGATTTGGTTGCATTCTTGAGACCGATGATGAGGCTCCGAATGGATAATATGGCAGCCCTCGACATGGACTTGTAAGCCTTGACAAGTGGTCGCCAGGAATCCAGGACGATGAAAACCATGGTGAGTGGGTAGAAAGCAAAGAAGGCGCCGTACAGCAGGAGATTTCCAGCGCTGTAAAAGGCAGGAGAGTAGGCCTGGTAGGCAGCTTCATCGAGAACTCCTGTGCTGGTATTGATAACTCTTGTAATGTTATAAGAGGCTCCCGTGTTGTCGAAGATACCAGACGAGTTTGGAGGGAGATACGCCGACCAGTTCGTGTTGGACCAGTACAATCCGATGATGATGAAACCACCCAAAAGTGTGCCCAGGAACTGCTGAGAGTAGGAAAAGAACGGATAGGTGAGCGGATAGGAGTAGACAGAGATAAGATTCCAATCCAGTGACGAAATGGGGTTGAAGCCGAGACCGTTCATGGAGCCCGTTATCATGTTCAAGTTGAAGTTGTTTGGTGCGATCCAGGTCATCCATCCGAAGTAACTGAGAGCTGTGAAAATATAGCCTGGGAACCAGAACCAGACAAACATGCCGCTGAAGACCAGGAAGAAAAATTTATAACGTGAGATAGTCCACCCATTGATAGTTTCCTTCTTTTCAGGAACCAATAGGGCTCTGTTGAGAGCCAAGGTGGGCAAGATGTTGGGCCAAATAGCTTCGATTGGATAAACCACGAAGCGACGAAGCAGTCCAGAAAAGCCAAGTCCCATGAGTTGGGTTGACAGCAAGAGTAGAATTCCATATCCAGGGGTGAGCCACTTGTCCTGGTAGTAGACAGTTTGGGTCTGAATATTCCAGAAGCAGTAGGCAGAGGTCAGACCAACGTCGACGATGATAGTGGAAAGTACCTGTTCCTTGTATGTCCAGGGGCCAGGGTTGAGAGAAACTCTCTTGCCAGCATACGTGAAGCCCCAGTCGGGAAGAACCTTTGCAAGAAACAAACCACATGGGTACAGCAAGATTTGTGCCACGGAAGAACTCAGAGTGATGGCAGGATAACGGGAGTTGAAAAGCGAGTTGGTAAATTGAGCAATAATGGCCCAAATGTAGCCAAGCAAGTGAGCGCGAATGGTCTCGCATGGAATATCTGGATCATCCGTGGGCACAGTGACAGCTCGAACCTCGGGGTATGGCGAGTAAAAGTGATTCAAGGCAGTCTCAGTCTTCAGCTGCAGCTCCCATTCCTCGGGATCCTGGCCCTCGGAAGGTCCCTCGATCAGGCGTGCAAGCTTCTCTCGCAAAGCGTTACCGAGGTTATAGTCGTACTCATGGTACTTGAGAAGTTTCGTGATGATATCCTTGCACTCATCAACGGACAAAGTGTCGATCTTGTCCATCACGTACTCGATATCTTCAATCGGTGCCATTTCATCACTGCTGGCCACAAGCCTCTCGGCTAGGTCATGCACTTTCTCATCAACATTGACCATCGTGACCGGCACGGCCTTCTCATCACTGGCGATTTTCTCCGTCGAGACATCGTTCATTTCGTCGACAGACGACATGGCGGTCGACTTCCCAGCAGGGCTGGGGTAAGGTAATGGTCTAGCGGAGGCTGGAGGCAATGGCGAATCCCATAACCTTGGATATATTCAATTATAGAAGAATAGTCTGCTTCCGACTATTCCGGGAGAAAGCAGGAGGCACCTGGGGGTATAGAAAAGAAGTAGGGCATGACACTCCGATGAAACATAGCGGAAATGGAGCATTTATAGAGCAGCGCATATTGCAGGAACTTCGCCACCTAGGCGTTTTATTACGCCAATCGCGACTACGATCTAAATCGTATCATTCTTTGTAGTATGGCAGCATGATAAGGAAATTAATCTGAGGGTTCTATCGACCGGCTTCTCTCTCCCAGAATCATCGCGCCACCAAAAGGATCTGACCGTGTACGGAGTGAAATCCGCAGGCTAGTCCCCCTGTGAACTGATTGCATGCCGCCGTTGGCTTGGACTCACGCTAGCAAGCATGCGCTATCTTTGAGGCCAAAAGTTGATAAGCTTTCTTTCTAAGTTTTCTTTTCCTTTCTGCCCAGCTCATTTGATATCTTCCAGGGCTGAATATCCTTGCGGGAAATAATGGCCAGGTGTGGCAGGGGTCAAAGAGGCAAATGGAATAAGTTGGGCGCGTGTCAAATGATAATGACATTTTTCCAAGCCTCTAAGAATGCTAGTGCAAGCCATTTCCTAAGCGAGGCTAAGGTGCACGTACATGAGAATTTGCGATATTGCCACCCAATGAGCGGGTTGAAATTCGCTTAAGAGGTCCTGATGGTGCAATAAGCTCCAGGGGATTGCATGCAAAGGTTTGTTGTTTAAACCTAAATCTTCATATAAAGTATTGCAACATTGGAAGCCACCGACACAACATGAAAAGTTCGATAAATGACCACTTGATCTTTTCAATATTTGAGTTGGAAGGATACTATCCATGGACTCTCTATAGAATTCACTTCGGAGATAATCGGCGTCCAAGGTTTAAATTTTTACCAGGGAATATACGAGAATCTCCAACGTTTGAACGGAAGTCCTAGAAATATTAGCACCTACAGATTTGAAGATTCAATGACCAGTGCCTTTCTCGGCGACGCCCTCATAACACCCTGCATTAATTTACACCAAACGCAAGCCACGCTAATATTTGCACTCCAGCAAAGTTCGTTCAGCCTGGAAAGTGTGATTGTTGTTCTTATCTACTTTGGGGAATGCCCCGCTCGGTAGTAAAGGCTTATACGCGGGGCTTCCCGTCGGTTCTCCGCCCAGCGGCACTGGTGTACTCTCCGGGGTACGCGTCCTCTAGGGTTAAAAATGATCTGGTGACCATCCAATTAGCTAGCTTTGGCCTATCAAGCTCAGCCTGGAAGCGTCTGTTCACCATCCTTGTACCGATTAGGAAGGGCTATCCACGAATGATATGCAGTGCACATGCAGTACCCCAACATTCCAACACCCTCGACATCCTATATCTACTCGTCATGCTTGTATTCTTTCAAATGTTCTCTCTTTGCCACTCTCTTCGTTGGAAACCCAACGTCATTAATGATCATCTTTTTCCTCTGGGCAGTACTCCTCAGGACATCTTGCAACTCCCGAAATAATGATCCGTTGTGGAAATTAACGATCAAATAGGTACTAATGTCCATAATGTGGACATCAATTGCTTGGCTCTATGGGCTAGTCACCTGGGCATTATTCTTGGCTGGCAGATATCTCCTAGAACTTCAGTCCGACGGAGAAGCGCATGGCGGGAAAGATAAGATACGAATAAGAATTAAGATACTTGATCGAAATTCGAAATGGTTGATTTTGCGATTTCTGATTAGAGATAACCGAATCACGACTGATAAAGGTGGAAGGGCGGGGAAAGATAACACGTGGTGTGTAGGGCGATGGAATGAAGTACTGAGGTTAGTGCGGCAGGGGGAGGAGAAAGGAGGTTTCCCGGGCGAATCAAAAAAAAGAGGGGGGAAAACAGGTCAAAGTATATCTAAGGTTCTGATTCTCTTAACACGATTTAAGTGCGGGCGGCTCGCCGCTCTATTCAGCCGAGTCAGCCCTTGATAATGCGCGCTTAAATAATCAGCCGGTGCATGAAGAGTAGTACTTACGTATCGGAAATACAGATTACGCGTAAAATACCAACAGCTATCTAGGAGAGGTAAGGTTCATAATTGGATGTTATTGTATTTAAAATGTATAATTAGACGATGTGTGAAAGATGCCGGAAAAAAAACAGGAAATAGACATACATGTCACATTCCCAGGTTTGATTCGGACAGGCTGCGATTGTTGAAGTTGTTGTCACATAAATCGTCGAGGATTCAGGTGCTGTCTCGGTGACTTTTTCAACATCAGTCCCCGGAACAGGGTGAACTAGTATGCTAGTGGGAATAGTCCCTGTGACAACCCGCGTACTTTTATCGGTTATGGTTCAGTTCTTGGCATCATGTAGGTAGCCGGTGATACTGTATGTCGTTGTCGAAAAGACAGTTGACGTCGTCAAAGGATACACAGCGGTTCCCGCGACAATGGTCCGGGTAGCCGTGCGTGGGGCTCGATCGGTCGACGGCGGCTCGACAACGGTCTCCAGGCACTTTATGGTCGTAAAGGTCTCAGTTTTGTGGAACGTTTCCGATATATTTCGAGGCTACTGTCAGGAGAAGTGAACAATGTGACTTGAGGTCACATGGTCTGCTCCTCGTCATGCTGCAACGCGTGTTGTGTAGCTAGTGTTGGTGTTTCTGTTGGACTGGTTACTAGTCTGGGAGAGTGAGAGCTTCTCTCTCCTTTCCTCCTTCCTTCCTTCCTTTTCCCTCATCCCCCGTGGTCAGGAGAAATACAATTAAATCTTGGATTCTTCCCCCCTTTCTTTTTCCCAGGTCTACATTGTAGATCTGCCAGCTACTCAAAGAATTGATGGACATGAGTTCCTACGGTCCTTAGGTCAACTGATTTTGATATTTCGTCTCTACACCTACCAAAATCACTAATTTGCAGTCGAAAAAATCGAACCTGAAGATTAAAGTTCTGCAGCGCCAGAAAGCTACATTCAGTATATGTATATTCGTGAATTTGCGAGCCTGTGCAAGCTGCCTCACGACCACTGGCAACCATATGCACGAGATACTGCCGATCATTATACATACGGTCCTGGGCCCCAATGTCGTGCTTGTTTGACGTGCTAACGTACATACTCTTTAGAAGCGGTGATATCCAACATCTTTAACAAATGTCTGGTGCCAGTGTCCCTGTGACTTCAGCTCCGCAAGGCCAACATAGAACTCCCCATGGGCCTCTCCATCGATCCCGACGTATATAGGCGAGCCATCAATCTTCCGTTGATCAGCATAATAAAACCTACAGTTACCGGTTAGACTCAAATTGCCACGTGCGATTGATATTAACATTGAATAACAGGGCACATACTTATAGCCGTTAAAAGGGTAAGCCCCGGCAAGATATTCAATAAGATGCGCGGTAGCCGCCTTTCCGACGCCCAAACTCAACAACGGTGGAAAGACCTTCGTGTTCAAAATATTGCCTGTGAAAATAAAGGTTTTCGAAGCCTCAGCCGGAAGCTCTGCAAAGCCCTTTGCGGCCTGCTGGGCAGCGGCAAAGACGCTCGTCGTGTTGATGCTCAATTCCTGATTGAACTCGGCCAAGGGCATGGAAAGAGGGTCCTGGAGATCAGCCCGGGAAGCAGCAGCAGCTTTGAACATTGAGCTTGTTAATCTCACGTCATCCGAAAAAAGAGAGTTATTTTCGCACCATTGTATACCACAACGCTCGGCACACCTAGTGTTTCCTTCACCTTTGTGAAAACGGCAGAGATCGAGGTGGGGTCCGATAGGTCGCAGGAAATGTAAAGCTCGTCCTGACTGCTTTCTTCTTCCTTCGCCTTCCGAGAGGCGAGAGCGACCTTGTAGCCTTTGGCAGCAAAGGCTTTAGCCACGGCTGCGCCCACGTTGGGTCCTGCACCGAGGACCAGGAGAACCGGGGACAACGTAGACATTGTGTTGGATATGTCGATCGAATGGGATAATACTTGTTGGTAATAATGATGGGTTGATTAGTCGTGGGTTGTTCAAACCATCTTATAGAGTTCCTCGTGTTCTTCATCGGTCTTACTTCCTCCGTGTCCGGGGCTGGGCCGGGCTGTCAGCATTCAAGCGTGAACGCTGCATTTCTAATCATTTCTCGTCCCGGGGCGCGTCAACCCGAGGATTTGTAACCACAAACACTCCATTTTCCCCAGGTCGATGATCAGATTAGATGATTAGTCTGGGGAAAGTGAGAGCTTCTCTCTCCTTTCCTCTCTCGTTTCTTTTCTCCCCAGCCCCCCGAAGAAGAAATACAACATACTTTTGATTCTTCCCCATTAAACTTTCCTTCGTTTCCCCCAGATCTAAATAGTAGTTTTGCTAAGTATTTGAACCCGCCCATTTCATTCGGTCCTGGATCGAGTAAGGGGCATGAGCTAATATTTGATGGTAGAGAAATCTCTCGGTCGCGAGCATGCCGCTTTGCGCTCGTTGTGCAGGACCCACATGAAGTGGTATATCCAATGAGGTTACAACTATGATAGTCTATATTACGTCGGTTATCCTTTATCCGCTTCTTTGCTCATATTCGAAAGTGATTGAGGCAGTATGAAGATGGAGCTATGGACAGGTAGTATAGAAGTAGTGGTATGCTGTAGATGTAGACAAGTAGCACAGATCATATTCCTAGTACACTAATACGTTGCGTACGTTCTCGTGACGTAATATGTAGCATCTTACATCAGATGCTTCCATATCTCATTTGGTTAGAGCGCTATGCTACTGACGCAGATGTCGAGGACCATCTTTTTTCCAGACCCCCGATTCTTTCTAACTTGCTTTATTTATGAAATCCGAACTTGATAGGTAACTGTAATATGTGTGAAAAGTCATTTTGAAGCTAACTAAATCTCCACTTCTTCAATGTTCAATCCAGTTGTCCTCCCGCTTCAATCTTCTCCCACACCCTCCCGCGTCGTATAGTCGATTCCTGAGCCGCAAGAGCCATTTGCAGCAGATGACCCTTGGTGTCTTCTTTTTTCAACTCAGGCACAATATAGATCTCCTGGCATGCCTCATTCCAGTCTTGAATCTTCTGTTCCTCATATCCTCTGTGACGAAGCCATGCGCTTTCGAAGCCCATGGAACGTTCAACGCATGTGAAGTATCGATAGCAGTCGTAGTCTGTCCACCGATTTTGCCGCCACTGGTCGTAAATTGCTTTTTGAATAGGTTGTAGACCGGCAAGGTATTCTGACTGAGGTGGGTAAATAGGCTTGTTGGCTTCGATGTAGTATTTGTGCGGAAAGGGTAGGTCCGTGACCTGGATGTGATACTCTGGAGCCATGAGACGTTTTGTTTGTGCTCTGCTAAAGGATTTTGAAAAAGTTCAAGATAAAATGTCGTCCGAAAGGACAGAGGGAATCAAGAGGATGATTACTATGGAGGGTGGAAGAAGAGGAATTGGTAGAAAGTGAGTATTTAGAAGTACAGAACTAAATTCATTTAAACTTAAATTCTGCCCTTTAAAATTTGGTAGCTGTCTTACCTGGCGACATAATAGGCAACCGTAGGTATTTTAATTCCGTGGTCCGAAAATTTGTACACTAAATTTATTAGATAGAATGTCACATGTTGGTGTCACAGCTGGTACCTGAAGACAATATGCGCGTACTATTCGGCGATGGTTGTTCCAGCCTCTTGTTCGTTTCTTTGCTCTCGTTGTTTGTTCTTTTATCCCTACTAGTAATTACCTTTAGGCTTCAGGCATCCGTGTAGGAGTCAACCTTGGGTATCTAATGTTGCTCCTTTCTTTTCATTTCATCTTTTTTATCTATCTGTGTTTTTCTCGTGTTTTCAGGGCCATAGAAACAATTAAACTGTTCCCTTGCTGGCCGTGTTACATAGAAGCCCGTTAGAAAGTATACAGTGGATTGAAGACGGCCTCATAACGGTGGCTTCAAATGTTTGAATGGTATAACAAAGAAACATGCTGTACTAATTAGAAATTGAGACCTGTAATGGCACTTTCTGACCGAATTCATCAGCGGAAGTTCGGACCGTGGTCGAACAATTATACCGGTAATAATACATGTATTTACCAGAAAGTCTAAACCTCCTATTAGATACTAAGCCAGATCGGGGGTATGTTATCGATTAAATGATACCTCCAGGGCTAGGGAATAAAAAATCATACACGCGTAATGTCACTTCGCGCTCTGTCATTCATTTCGAGCCTACAATTTAGATATTTAGATTGGCACGAACTTTCAATTGATGCTTATCAGATTCAATATCCCCATGTATCTAACTCTCAGATTAGATACCATCAATTGATGTACATGACATCTGGAAGAGCCATTTCCCCATACGCCACTATAATAGATATGACGGCTCAGAGAGTGCATGCAGCAGCGTATGTATGTCCATCAGTGGCAATATTGCATTTGTGATGATCATGGAGGCACTAATCATTCAATGTTATATGTAAGTTCAGATTGCGGAAAAGGTTGAGCCAGGTGATTTTCTTACCGGGGATCTCTGGTCACAGTGGATACTTAGCTGATGTTTTGTCCTAGAATCGGTATAATAACACGTTTGAGATCGAACAAGGCATTCCTACAGCGATACCCATTTATAAGTTTATAAGCATTTCTCCGGTATCGGTTCTTTCGAAACATATCATCACTTTTCACATGTATTTATAGGATTGATGATCATAGTGCGTACGTAAAGATTGACTTACCCCCTCGTAAGGTTCATCTATGGCGCGCACATGCATATTCTCAGTAGTGAGAACATCAGAGTCCCCGGAGAGAGTCTCCAATGGTGATGCATATCCCATGGTCATAGCAAGGGAAAATATAATGACCGTCGGTAAGCGCATTGTTGGAAAATGAGCTGGGTGAAACGCCCAGGTGTATGTGGTATTCAAGACTGTAATAAGCCAGAAGGTAGATGTCAAATTTTGTGTAAAGAGCAAGATTAGGAGTCCTAATTCTTCAAACATTGAAACATTTGAATAATGTGAGCACCATCAATTATATATAAACTTCCTTGGGGTGTTCTTTTAGAACCTTGGAACAATTGATAAGTTCAAATGTTCATTCGGGGGAGCATTTGAAGAAAGTTGCCGGTCCAAGGAGTTGGAGGGTGTACTGTTGCAGGTTCTAATTCGTGAACATTGCAATCGACAGGACGATTCAAAGGTTTGACAACGGGATGTCATCAATATATTCATGTGATTATCATTTGTGGAAATGCCCCGTAGGGCAGATTATACGATATTTGCGCCTGGTCATCAATGTAACCAGCATGTGAGGCACACAGAAAGGTCATGGCTCACTGGAAGTGCCGATGTATCCTATCGTATACTTGAGACTGGCAGACCGGTGTAGAAAGTGCATTTGAGCCACTTGTGCACACCAAACATTCTGACATAAACCAGTAAATTGTGAACTTTGGTCGTCCACAGCTCGAATGCAACAATGACCGTAACAACCACAGCCATCTACCTGGCATCAAGGGATAGACCTCGGCCGATGCTTCAAAGATAAAATCTTACGTTTATTTCTCACCTGATCAGAGCAACTTGTGGATTTCGCCGTTAGGCAGTGAATCCTAGTTTTACCATAGAACTTAGTCACGCCCTTTGCAAAGGGTTTTCCCGAAGAAGACTTGGGAGCTTGTAGAACTCGCGTTTTATAATTACGTCGTTTATAGTAACGAAGGTCATGGTCACGAAGACACATCCTACGATTTAGAGGTCTAAAAATGAGGACTTCTGTCAAGAGTATCAATCGATTTAATCACAATATAAAAACGTTACAGTAGTCAACTAGGAGTCTTTTGTAGACAAACATGGACATGCCTGGGACTGCTAGCTATCCTGTTCTAATACTATCCTTCAAGAGGAAACCTCCGTACTGGAGCTTTTGAAGAACACCTTCAGGGTCGTACTTCGACGCAGTATCCTGCATCATCTTCGCATTATTCGAACCGTAGCTGCCTAGGACGTTCTGAGAAGCTGTGGCGAAGCTCATACAAAGGAAATCAAGCAAGAGCCCCTTCTCATTGGCCAAAAGTTTTACACTTTCAGCCATCGTGGCAACCGCATGATTCGCAGCAGCATCACCGGCGTTGCTACCTTCCTGAGGCCACTCACAAGTAAAAACCCACCCTATAAACTCGCAAAGTTGCACTGTATGAGCATATTTGATCCAAACATTCGTATAGAAAAATGATTAGGAAAAAGTCAACTTACAGCATTGTGCGACGCTTTCGTGTCCCATAATGTTTTCTCCGCGAGCTTTGCCTTCTTGTATGCCAGCCGTTCCCACTGGCTGAATGGTAAAATGTAGAACGCAGTCGGCTGGGAGACTCTTGCAAGTCTCGGACCAAGTCTCATAAACTTGTTCGTACAGCTTCTGGGAGACTTTGGTGGTTACCGTGCAAATGGCTCGCCTGTATTGGATGTTAGAATCCAGAACAACACAATACACCCCGCTGTCTGATATCCTCTTACTTTTTAGACTCTTGTGCATGGCCCATGGCCTGGGCTAGAGATAGAAGAGTGCCGTTCGTGGAAGGGAGAGCCGTATTTATAAGGCTCTTTAGGTTGTAAAAAGGCTCAAATACCGCAGGTCGCTCAGTAGAGGTATCTCCATAGATTAACCCCACAGCAACGAACCCATCGTTAAAGTTGGTGAATAGGCCAATCTTGGAGTCTCTTTCCATGCTCTCCTGTACAGCAATTGTTGCATTGATTATTTCCACGTAATCTTCCGGGTTGTAAAGGTTGATCGTGTATTGGACGTTGATGAGAGGGTGGGTTTCCAGGTCGAATCTTGTCACAATTCCTATTCAACCATTAGTGCACAAATAATTGACAATGATTTATGCCTTGAGTCCACTGAAGTCAATGAGTGAAGGAAAGAGAAGAATACCAAAGTTAGATCCGCCGCCCTTAAGGGCGCGCCAAAGATCCGGATTCTCCCCTGAATTTGCGTTCACGATACTTCCATCGGCCAAAAGAACCTAAACACACAGCTTTTAGTGGAAGGTACTTAGTGAAAAGGCCAAAGAAAGGACCTACTTCAAAGTTCTTAACACCATCCGCTCCAAGGCCATGGAGGTTAGGCAACGCACCCAAGCCACCTAGATTAATGCGTTAACCGTGTGGGAAGGTTGAGACCTCACAGTTCATCACTTACCTCCCAAGAGAAATCCTCCTAGCCCAACTTGGTGATCTCGGCCTCCAATCGCCGACAATTTCTGCTCTTCCAGCCAGGCATACACCTCCCCCCATGTATTTCCTGAGCCAACTCGAGCAATGGCATCTCCATTCGAGGTCAGCTCCTTCGATTGAAACTGACAAATGTCAAAAACAACAGCTGTCTGGTCTGCGCTACTGAAGCCAGCGTTAGGGTTGTGTCCAGTAGTGCGGATGGCGAATTTGGTTCCTGTTCTTTTCACGATAGCCAAAGCCTCGGAAAGCTCTTGGGTATTGCTTAGATAGACGTATCCGGCTGCTGGGGTCCAACAAGTTTGAGACCAGGGGCGCGTCGCTGCAGCTTCGAACTCAGATCCGGCATCCGCGGTTACCACCTTGCCAGGGAAAGCAGTCTTCAATTGATCAATGGTGACAGTGATGGCAGCCATGGTGATTGTTTGATCCGTCTCTTGGCTAAAAGAAAAAGAAGATATGTGTGGTGAAAGATTTTGCCATGGGTGAAGATCTTTTTGACCCCATATTTATGGTGTTTTGCCTTCTGCTCCGCTGAAGCCCAGTCATCTTTTGTGGTGAGCCATTTTACCCCTCCTCCAATCCCTGTCATTGACATCAACTAGTTTTCGAGCAAAACTTGGCCGAAGTTCTGGATTTGGCCCCCAAAATTGTAACAACGCGAACCGAGAGATCAGGTAACGGTGGACGGTTAGGGGCGAAAAGCTCAGGGTAATTTATTACTAAATTTGAGGCCAATGTCTACAACCCCTCAACCTTTGGATATACCACATTCAATTTATAAATATCATAAACCCCTAGAAAAATACACGATACTAGTATCTTAACAAAATAATTCAATGAGGCACCCCATATTGATATTAACAGATATCGTGAGGAGATCGCCTAAATGTTTAGTAAGGGCGGAAACGGTTCGGGACTTTGTCAATCGCTCACCAGCACCGATGAGGCCACCAGCAAGGCCTCGCCATCATCACCCCCTCTCGCCAGCATGGCCTCGTAGTCGCAGTCGCAGTCGCAGTTTGACGCCTGTACGCCGCAGCCAGCGCAGATTTGGGCGCTGTGATGCGTGATTGGTGTCTCTTTGTTCTGTGTTTTTCCTTGAATCTTACTCTTCCACTTCACAACTAACCTCCTAAACCGTGGAAGATCTTGAAATTTGCGTGGTACTAAAAGCGTGAATAATATAAAATGATAAAAGGGGAAAGAATGAAGACAACATCCAAATAGCTAGATCGGGTTTAGCTTGGCGGCTTCGGTGCTCGGCCTTCCGGCTTTGATTTGGATCCCGAACCCTTCCAATGACAAATTCACAGCGCATGTAGTTAACTAAGCGTTGTGGCCGATCATAACGTCGTTTCCTACTACATTCTGCAAGGCCTGTGAATTTAGTAGAGTATATAAATACAGGGATCATTCTCATTTCAGAAATATACTCAATATTTCAAAAATGCAATTCGGATTCCCCTAAGAAATTTACCCGCCAGAATCCCGTAAACGCTGCACATTGACCCACAATCATATTTCCAAGATCGCATTGATTGGATAAGAAATCCTAAAATGACTGCACCGTTTGTCGCGGTGGCTGGTGCCTCTGGCGGTCTGGGCCAGCTTGTTGTGAAGGAACTGATCAAACGGGGTGTGGCTGTGAAGGCCCTCGTCCGCCCCAACACCGACCCATCGCGCACCGACAACCTTCGGAAAGCCGGCGCCACCGTTGCGCCCATCGATCTCTCCGCCATCCCCGCTCTCACCCGTGAATTGAGTGGAGCGATTTGCGTTGTCTCCACACTGCAGGGACTCCGAGATGTTATTCAAATCACTCAGGGAAAGCTCCTCGAAGCCTCCGTGGCCGCCAAGGTGCCCAGATTCATCCCATCCGACTTCTCCCTTGACTTCACCAAAACAAAGCCAGGTTCAAACCGCAACTTGGACATTCGCCGCGAGTTCCACGCCCAGTTGAGAAAGTCGGGCATCGCATGGACTAGTATCCTTAATGGTGGCTTTATGGATCTCATGGTCGGTGACTCGCCAATGATCAACCACAAGAAACATATAGTTGCGTATATCGGATCCACGACGCAGCTTCTTGATTTCACGACCATGGTGGATACGGCTGCGTATACGGCGGCTGTGGCCATCGACCCGAATCCTGCGCCGAACTTCCTTCGAATCGCTAGTGATACCATTACCGTGGAGGATATCGCTCAGGCACAAAGCAATGTTGAAGGTGTGACCTATAAGCCGTCTTGGATCGGTACTGTGGGCTCTATGGAAGTCATGATTCGTGTTATGCGATTCTTTGGCGGCGAAAACGATATCTTCCCTGCTTGGCAGGGTATGCAGTACATGGTGAACATGTTCTCCGGTGCTGGAAAACTGGATCCTATTGACAACAGCCGGTATCCTGAATTGGTCTGGACCAAGGTCGAAGACTTCTTCCGGCAGAACAAGGACAAGAAGTGATGAAGCTATTCTGGAATTGAAGCAGCTTTTATGTGGGATATATTTGTGACGAAGGTTGGACTTCTTGCGGTTAGGCTGTGTATATTTACTGAATACCTTGTTAATTTTCTTTTTTTAAAAGCCTACTTCAAACTTGACCTGTTACATGTGTGCCCAGGGCTCTTACATGTTAATAATTATAATCGAATTTATTTATTCATACGTTCCATCGTTCAAGACCAACAGCATGGAGAAGAGCGATGTCTGTCAAACCTTCATTTAAACAGACCAACGCGAACATCTCAAAATTTGTGGATCACTCAGACACTGGATCCACGTATGTCAAAAACTACCTATGGAAACGGGTGATCAAAGTATCCAAATTGAAGACCTTCTCACCATTTCTCCACATATGGTCTCAGGTCAATTTCCTGGGTAAAAGCGCTCTTGGGCTGCGTGTGCAAAAACCAGTATGAATCCGCAATCTGCCATTAATTGTCAGTGCAAGACATGATATTTGAATTAAGTAAAACATATTGGCTTACTCCCTGCGGATCAATTTTAGCATCCGGAATATCCTGACCATATCCTTTGGTCTTCTCCGTATCGATGATTCCATCAATAATGGCATGGGAGACATGCACACCTTTGGGCCCGAACTCACGGGCCAGGGACTGTGACAAAGCACGAGTTCCAAACTTGCTCATAGCGAACGACGAAAGTCCAGAGCCTCCCTTAAGCGAAGCCGTAGCGCCTTCTACCATTAGTTCACCATCCCCCTCTCACGGGATAAAAGGAATATCATACCGGTGAAAATAAGTGTGGGGGGGTATTTCCCTTTGTCGCCATTCAACATCAAGGGCAGTGTAGCTTGCGCAAAGTTAAATGCGCCCCTGTTAGATGGCTCCAAGCTTGCGAAAAATTCCTCTGGGGCTTGGTCGAGGAAAGGCTTCATCACGAATTTGCTGGCAACGTTATAGATCGCTGCCGCGATCGTGAGATCCGAGCCAAATTTACTCTTGATTTGGTCAATTGTCGAACTCATGCTGGAGGCACTTGTCACGTCGGTGGGAATCCCAAGCGCCGAGCCACCGTTGTTTGTGATGTCGGTTACCAAGGGGTCTAGCGATACTTGCGACCGAGCAAGTAGAACCACGGGATAAAATTGGGCAAAACGCCGCGCGACGGCACTGCCTGTTCCAGGGCCTGCCCCCGCAATTATCGCAATTGACTTGGACATTTTACAATATTTTCGGGGTATTACAGATGAAATGAATTGCAAGGAGGCGAGGAATCCCTTTATAAGCTTTGCAGTATATGATGACGTCATCGCTATCGATATTGACTGTACTCTGTAGACTGTGGCAATTCATTCGTGTTGAAAATAGGCACTATTCTACAGGCTTGAATTTAGCAATTCGAATTAGATAGGACTCATAGGAGTGAAACCAGGATTTGAAGGATTAATGAAATTGTTGCAAATTCTAACACTGATGGAGCTTATCTTGAATCACTTAACGGTTGATAATTCACAGGCAATACTGAGATAACTCATACTGTTGATATGATGTGAGAGTCGGAGTCCCTGCCCAGTGCCGAGGACTGGCTGACTGATCTATCCTTTCGGAGCTTCGATGAAAACCGAGATTACATAATTCAATCTTAGCCCTTCAGAGGGAAACATGAGGCTATGTATACAACGAGTAAATCAAGTTGATTTCCAATTAACTTGGTTCTTCGTACATATACCTAATTCGGGATTAATCATGATGGCTCGGCTTGGTTCCCTGATCCGCAGCCTCATATCACAACAGTAATCACTCATCACCTTCCAGAACCTCTAGGCTGGAAGTCTTTAGAGTCGCCAAGACCCTTGTTGGCCAACACTGAATGTGATAGGTCATACTACGGTAGCCCCTGTCAATGGCCGAAATTCAAATGTTACTACCCCGGCTCTTAAAGTTCGGTCCTAACGCGCATCACTTTCCGTGATCATTGATGTGATGTCTCAATCTCCACCGCTGGGGTAGAAGAGATGGGGAAAAACCATGGAAGCTGACGGGGGAGCGGGATTGGCGAGCTGTCTCGCGTAATCTGACATTCTTGGCTGAGGCGTTTGCCCAGCATGTCGTTTTCTGTTTTCTGTTTTGCCGTTGGTTCAAAGGCCCGAGGTTAATATTGGAGAGAGTTTGGGCTTATTGCTTAGGATCATGAACATGAATGGGCCGATCCACAGGAGATCAAAAAACGTATTTCATTTTTGATTTTCAGTCATGGGTTTCGGCTCGTACCGTCTATGTTGTAGATGAATAAAGAAAATTCCAGGATAACTCATCTGAAATTTTCCACATGTGATGGGAAAAAAATAAAATTGTCACAGTTGGTCCAAGCTTCTGCGTAGTGGGGGAAGAAATTAGAATGGGAACTTCAACTGGGGGAACCCTATCGGGCGAAACGTTCCATCACCAATTACTGTTTACTGTTTTTGCCCGAAACACATCAGCTTGTGGAAATTCCTCCCAACTGACCCGACAAAGCAGAACAGTCACGAAGCACCGGCAACAAGACCCTTGGCGGTCTTGGATGCCGATATTAGCCCGTGTGCAAACCTTTCTCGTATCCGGGGTCCATAGGGTATGCGCCAAATGGTGGGGATCTGCGGGGCATTTGTGCCATTGGCCGCCACGAGACCAAGTCGTTTCACGGGAGTTGACAGTCCCGCTTATTCTTTCCCCCACCAAACGCGCCCCACGATGCCAGCCATACAGGGTCTCGGGGTCAAGCCTGATTCGGGTTCTGGGTCCGCGGGGTAAACGACGCTGATAGGATGAGCCTTTTGTCAACAATGCCATAAGGTTCGAGTCTTTCTTTTTCTTCTTTCCATCTTCCATCGCCTGGCGTCCAATTTGTACTAGCGCCTGTGCCACAGTGTTCTGCAGTGCGTGATCTCTTCAAAATCCTTCCACCCTCAGTCTCATTTTGAGTCTCGTGAGCTGACTATGAAAACAAACCATGTCCGTGAACAGCCACTCGAATACTCACGTTGGGAAAGCAAATCCTGAGCAGTCTGCGCATTTCGGACATGAGCGCGGCTGTAATTTCTCTGTGTCGCAACATGAATTCCGTTAGCGAAGCCATTCTTCCTCTTGGCATCGGTCAGGCCCGAGCTAGGAACTAACCAACCAGCCCGTAGAGTTCCTCTATCCGAAAATTCAATCAAACTTTTCCACTGTTCCTCTGCCCACATGACAGGGCCCCTTTATTCGGAAGTAACATAGACGCCTGCGTAGGGCTTCATTGGAATCAGCCATGGTGCGATCCAAGCGCATTTCTCGATACCGGAAGGGTCCAGGAGCCATGGCCCACTAGGAACTCGCATCTAGCCCGAGCCGTCGAGGGCCTTGACCGTGCTCCATCGTGCCGAGAGTGGCCAAAATGTGGAGTCGAGTTCGGTACAGGGTTGCATTAGTTCGGGTTGATACTTTATTTTTTCTTTTAATTGCCCCCTGCTGTTTTTGACTCTGGGGGACGCGACCTGACAGGCCTTGGCCCGTATGTTATAAATCTCCATCATTTCCCACTCTTTGTCCATTTGCTCATCTCCCTATCCATCTCGGTTGAACGTTAGCTTTCTCGCTTACTTCTCGAGTGATTGTCTCTCCTACAACACTCCTCATCAATCTATCACACAACCTCGCTCCGATGGCCGGTGGTGCAGCTCTCGGCGTGGGCGGCGTCGATGCCCTGCGGGTCGAGGCGCCCGTTACCATCAAAACTTACTTGATGTGTGCCTTCGCTGCCTTTGGTGGTATTTTCTTCGGTTATGATTCCGGATACATTGGCAGTGTTCTCAGTATGGATTACTTTATCGAGACCTTTGAGCATCTGGTAAGTTCACTTTGATTATGGACATATTTAGAAGACACACGCTTATATTTGAAACAGGACAAAGCTACAACCCCTGCCGCCCAATTCGTCATTCCCTCTTGGAAGAAGTCCCTCATCGTCTCCATTCTCTCAGCCGGTACATTCTTTGGTGCACTGATTGCTGGTGATATCGCAGACTGGTATGGTCGTCGCACAGCCATTATCTCTGGTTGCGGTGTGTTCATTATCGGTGTGGTTCTCCAAACTGCCTCCAGCAGCTTGGGCCTGTTAGTTCCTGGTCGTCTGATTGCTGGATTCGGTGTCGGTTTTGTTTCGGCCATCATTATTCTATATATGTCGGAGATTGCCCCCCGTAAAGTACGTGGTACTATCGTCTCGGGTTACCAATTCTGCGTCACTATCGGTCTGATGCTGGCGTCTGTCATCGACTATGGCACCTCAAATCGCAAAGACTCCGGCGCATACCGTATTCCTATTGCCCTCCAACTCCTTTGGGCTATCATCCTCGCCACTGGTCTCTTCTTCTTGCCTGAGTCACCTCGTTACTATATTCGCAAGGGCGACAAAGAGAAGGCTCGCGAGGTTCTTTCTCGCGTTCGCGGCCAGCCTATTGACTCTGAGTATATCAGCCTTGAGTTGACGGAGATCGATGCCAACTTCCAGTACGAGCAGCAGGTGATTCCTGATGGAGGCTACTTTGCTAGCTGGAAGAACTGCTTTACTGGTAGTCTTTTCAAGGCCAACAGCAATATTCGCCTTACTATTCTGGGTACTTCTTTACAGATGATGCAACAGTAAGTCAATCTCCTACTAGGTTGATATTATTTCATATTCCTAACATGGCTTAAAGGTGGACTGGTGTCAACTTCGTGTTCTACTTTGGAACTACTTTTTTCACCCAATTAGGCACGATTTCAAACCCCTTCTTGATTAGCATGATCACCACCATTGTCAACGTGCTCTCGACTCCTATCTCTTTCTACATTATTGAGAAGTTCGGTCGTCGCACTATCCTCCTGTGGGGTGCCCTGGGTATGGTCATTTGTCAGTTCATCGTCGCTATCGTCGGTACAGTCGATGGACAAAACCACTCGGCCGTTAGCGCTATGATTGCATTCATTTGTATCTACGTCTTCTTTTTCGCTATCACCTGGGGTCCTGGTGCCTGGGTTGTGATCGGCGAGATCTTCCCTCTCCCTATCCGTTCCCGTGGTGTGGCCCTTTCTACCGCCTCCAACTGGCTCTGGAACTGCGTAAGCATCTCCCGGTCCTTCACCATATTTATACTCCTACTAATTCTTCTCGCAGATCATTGCCGTCATTACTCCCTACCTGGTTGACGCTGACAAGGCTAACTTGGGCCCCAAGGTCTTCTTCCTCTGGGGTTCCCTCTGCTTCTGCGCCTTCGTCTACACCTACTTCCTCATTCCCGAGACCAAGGGCCTGTCCCTGGAGCAAGTCGATAAGATGATGTCGGAGACCAACCCCCGTACCTCCGCCGGCTGGCAGCCACACTCCACCTTCGCCGATGAGATGGGTCTCACCGACATGAAGGGTAGCATTGGCCACACAGTCACCCAGGTGGAAGCCTAGGCGATGTCTTCAAACATTTGAATAGAAGGAGTGGTGGTTCCGTAGCCATCTGTCACTCACTCTTCTTGGTTCGCATGGGCTAGTCCCTTTCTTTGGTGGAAACACCGAGGTGTTATTCATTCACTCAAGTCTCGGGTATCACCCTGCGTGCAGTTGAGTTGACCGACAGATGCATATATACGTTTTAATTGAAAGAATGAGATATGTATTGATTCTGAGACGAGCAGTCACTGCAATAATTTTTACTAAATTCCTTCCCCCTTCCTTGAATACCCTAAATTGCACACTTCACGCCTATGGAACTGGTGGGACTTCTGCCAAGACCCAGTTATTAGCGCGTACATAGGTGTTTTGAATTGTGAAAAAAGAAATCATATGTTCAAAGCTGACCATCATATCCACACTGCGGGTTGGGCTCTGCTCCATACTTGATTCTTAAAGGTATGGTCGATGAATATTAGCATGGGTGGAGTTACTGGAGTATGTCATTCCAAGCCGATCTTTGCTGCCGGAAATAGCTATCGGACTCAAATGCTAGGGCGGCCAGATGAGCTCCCGACGCGCCTTCCAGATATCTGCTTGTATTTTTCTCGAGTTTTTAAAACTGGGTGTATCTTTCAATTTCGTCCAAGCTTAAAAGCTTCCTTAAGTCATAATAGTTGTACATTTTAACTCTCTGTTTTACAATACAACATCGCGATACATAGTAAGAAGACGCAAAATATGTAGGCTTGACAAGAATCAAATCTTTCCATCCTTTGCCAATTGCCGCAAAACAGCAATCGTTCCATTAACAGCCATCTTGCTCATATTCTTCTCTTTCTCCAAGAAGCCCGCAAGTTCCGCAGAAGAGGCGCCAGGATGTCTCCATTCAAAAGTGTACGTCATGTACAAGTCTCCATTCGCATCTTCGCTAACCAAATTGTTGATTGTGCTTCCGTCCGGCTGAACAAAGGCCACTCGAGAGGGCTTGTAGGCGGTAACGACTTCTCTCACTTGGCGTTCATTTTCGCGAAACACGACATCCCGAACTGTGACTGGGTTTTCCGTCGAGGGATCAATTGACTCGGAGACGACAGTGGTGGATTGAATAGCGTTGGGCACAAAGGTCTCAGCCGATCGAATTTTGAGAAGCAAGCCAGTCCAAACTTGTTCTTGAGTGAGGATTGGGGTAGCTCCAGTGGGATTGAGCTGCGCAGTGAAAGCAATGTTGTTTGTAGACATTTTGTGATTGGTGTGGTCAAATGCTGATCTGATGCACGAGAAGGAAAGTTGAGATGTGGTTTTTTCAATATACGAAAAATTTGAACATTTAGATACGACCTGAAATTCCGTGGCCCGTGGTTACAAATGCGAATGAGCGAAGACCGAGCAAGCTCCCGGGGCCCAAGCCCGGATTTCGAACAGTCAGCAAGTGATGACAAAATCACTCGATGTACCCCCGACTCCCCCGAGACCGCAATCGGGAATGTGGGGGCTCATTCACGGTCCGTCGTCTCTTGATTGGTCAACCCTAAATCCTTCCATTGTTCAGGCCAGAATGGTCTGTCAGGTTTTCTGTCAGCTTCGCGCTTTTGCATAATCAAATCGACCGAGCTCTCGAGGGATATCTACTTCCTGAAAATTAATATACTTTTCGCATCAAGACTCACCAGAATAATGTCAACTTTGGCATTTTGATTTCATCACGCGTCGACTTCTTCCGAAAATCCCCTCCAAACATTTCAACAACTGCGCGGTCTTTATTAATGTTCCAAAGAAGAAAGCAATTTGAATCCCTGTAGTTGCCAATTTGGAGTCTTAGACCTCAATAGGAAGGGGGCTTGGCAGTACAGTTCTCGATACGTCACATGAGTGGGGTGTGGGGGAGCGAGATTTTCCCGCGTCAACGAACTTCATTTTTATTCCAACCCACATCTCCACATGGCTCAAGAACGTGGCAATGTCAGTGGTCATCTTTCGCGTGATGGAGGATCAACACTACTCCATCGGAGTTGCAATGACTGTAATCGGAGAAAAGTGCGCTGTAACAAGTTGTTTCCATGCGATAACTGTGTGAGACTTGGCGTTGAGTGTACATTTCCACCACCTGGTCGCAAACCCCGAAAAGCACCACGAAAGTCAAACAGGGCGGAATTGATTTCACGATTAAGCCTTCTGGAGCAAGAGGTCCAGAAACTTGGTGGGCAAAGTAATAATGAAGGTGTTTCCGCGGATGAAGAAAGGGAGCCACCGCAGGAGACGTACGAGTCTGTCCCGAGGAAATCTGAAACTCCCGAGTCACCAAAAGTCTCCTCAGACGCTCTGGAGGGTCAATTTGGACGACTAGTCGTGGATCGAAGTCATGGGACCAGTCGATACGTGAACCATCAGGCTCTGACGGATCTTGCAACCCAGGTAAACTTTCCCCTTCATTGTAACCTTTATGATGTTCTAGAATAAACTTGCTGAATTTATTTGATGCTTTATTCAAAGATCAAAGAAGTTCGCGATCTGTTTGATTCACCAGCATCACCGACATCATCCGAGGAAGATGCGTTGTCGCCTGAAACGCCAGTTTCGTCTCTCGGATACCCTGAAATTCAAAGTCCGTTTATATTTGGCTACCATTCCGTGGCCAACTCACTGCGCAATTACCATCCGCCACCTACAATCAGTCATCTACTCTTCTCAGTATATGAAGAAAATGTGGCACCTATAATTATGATCATCCACAAGTCAGTGCGGATGGAATTAAATCGACTAACAAGTACCAATCCCGAGAATTTGGACAAGGAATCTGAGGCCTTGGTATTTTCTATTTACTTTGCTGCAATCTCTAGCTTGACGCCAGATGAATGCTTGTCCCAGCTAGGGGCGAATCACACCACTCTGACTAAACAATATCGATTCGCTGTTGAGCAAGCGCTGGTGCGAGCAGGGTTCCTCCACACTCGAAAGCTAATAGTTTTACAAGCAGCGGTTCTCTTCTTGAGCTGTGCTTGCTCTCCGAAGGATGCGCATTTCGTTTGGACCATGATCGCTGTGATTGCTCGTCTTGGCCTGGGGCTCGGGCTGCATCGTGACAGCAGTCACTTTGGATTAGGCGTATTCGAGACGGAAATGCGCCGCCGGCTCTGGTGGTACATATATCTTCTGGATATTAGGTTATCCGACTCTCAAGCAACCAGTCCTCAAATCCGAGAAGGGGACTATGATACGCGATTACCGTTGAATATCAATGATGACGACCTGTCACCCGATATTGTTGAAGCCCCTCAAGAACGGGTTGGCTTTACAGAAATGACTTTGACCTTGGTTCGCTGTGAGATCCTCATCTCTCATCGTAAGTTGATGCAGATCAGCAGCTTTGGGGTCGGTGGTCATAACACCTTATTCCAAACCCGTCTTTCTGCAATCGAGGAAGCTCGGCGATCTCTTGACGAGCGATATCTCCAGTTCTGTGACCTTCAAATCCCCATCCATTGGGTCACTGCGACGATCGCGCGAATTGCAATTGCGCGTTTGTGGCTTGTGTCGCACTTTTCGCTGATGACTGCCGACGGGTTCGAGCCAGATCTGTGGCCCGCGCAATGTGACCTCCTGATTCTCACTGCAATCGAGGTACTCGAATTCGTTCATTTACTCGAAACTCATGAAAATACGAGCAAATGGTCTTGGTTGTTCCAGGGCTACGTGCAGTGGCAGTCATATGCTTTTGTCCTATCAGAGCTCTGTGTGCGACCGAGCTCCCCTTTATCGGGTCGGGCATGGGCAGCTGTTGACCGTGTTTTTGAGGGGTGGAATGGGCCAGCGGGCAATCGGCTCGGGTTGATGATGCGACCGTTGGAACGTTTGAGGAATCGAGCCGCTGCTCTAAGAAACTTGGGCACAGATCAAACAAGAACAGATATTTTGGAAACCAACGCTGTTAATCTCGATATTCCGGATGCCGTGATGTCGAGCCACATCGAAGAATTTCCTCACGACTTAGATTCCGGCCATGCCGAGTTTCTAGACATTTTCAGGGACGTGGTGCACAACATAAGCATGTAATCCTGCGCGCGGATACCGCTATTTTTTACAACATATTAGGAGAAAGAAAATAAAAGAACAAATTCCACCTTCTGATTGGGAACCTCCAGTGCTTGTAATTCAAGTTAATAATACACGCTCACACGTCACTTGGCCACGGCGCAAAATGTGTAGCGCGTGTTTGGTTATTTAGGATTACCGATCTTCTCTGTCTCAATAGACGGTGACGGAAATTTAGAAATCATCACCATATCGGACCTTCGCTTTTCAGATCTCGGGACTCGGTTGATCTTTTGAAGACCGAGCTAAGTGGAATTGTGGGGCCTTTGGTCAATGGTGGCAAAATACGTTAATAGCCGGGGCAGTGGCTCCACAACTTTAAACACCGAATCTCAATAATTCAAAATGATAATAATGATTATTCAGTAGGAAACATGAATTTCCACTTGGGGGTTCGTCCCTCGCAGATCAAGGTTTCCAAAATCGAACATTCAATATCTTTCCACCCGGCGGGAGATCGGTCTACAGTTTGATGCCGAGCTTATTCATGTCATAAGCCTTCGGAGCTTGGGGTTGCATAAAAGCTTCTGAGAATCCCCTTCATCATCCGTCCTCATCGATTTCAACTCAACAAAGATTGCAAAATCTACCCTCAACTTCTTCATCTTCCCAACACCTCATTTCTAAAACAAAAATCCCCCACCATGTCTAAGCTGATCACCGTCTTCGGCGCCACCGGGAACCAGGGTGGTTCTGTTATCGATGCCATTCTCGCCGACTCTGAACTCTCCAAGGAGTTCAAGATCCGCGGTATTACTCGCGACACTACCAAAAAGTCCGCCCAAGATCTTGTCAAGCGTGGTGTTGATGTTGTCACGGTAAGATGGAGCTTCTAGTCCAAAAAAAAGAAGGAAAAAAATAGAAAAAGAGGAGTGTAAAGCTAATTGGGTTCTTATGTTTTGCCCTAGGCCGATCTGGATTCCGTCGACTCTCTCACCGCTGCCCTGAAGGGCTCACACACCGTCTTCCTGGTCACCAACTACTGGGAGACCATGAACGCCGATATCGAATACACCCAGGGGAAGAATGTTGCCGACGTCTCCAAGGCCGTAGGTGTTTCGCACCTTATCTTCTCGTCTCTCCACCACGTGAAGGACGAAACTAAGGGACGCCTTACCCACGTTCCCCACTTCGACAGCAAGGCCAATGTCGAAAAGTACATCCGCGCTTCCGGGGTCGGATGCAGCTTTATTCTCCCGGGATACTACATGAGCAACTTCACCCAGATGCTTACCCAAGCCGAGGATGGCTCTTACCAGCTATTTTACCCTGTTGGTAACGAGGCTAAGTTCCCGCTGTTCGATGCCGCTCAGGATACCGGTAAGCCTTGCTCTTTTATACTGGAACTATTATATCTAGGATTAGAACTGATTGTTGCTATTATAGGTCTTTTTGTAAAGGCCGCTCTCAAGCATGCGGATAAGCTAAAGAACAAGCAGGTTCTGGCTGCTGCCAAGTACTACACTCCTCAGGAAATCGTGGATATCTTCTCCAAGGTCTCTGGCAAAAAGGCAGTCTTCATTCAGGTTAATGCCGAGCAGTATAAGGCGTCCTTGCCTCCTGCTATTGCTGATGAATATCTTGAGAACCAACTATTTGTGGAAGAACCGGGTTATTACCTGGGCGAGTCTCTCGAGCCTAGCTTGAACCTTCTCGACTCCAAGCCCACTAAATGGGATGAGTTTGTGAAAAAGAACCTTTCTGCCTGGAAATAAATTCGGCTGTTTGTACATGACATGGCAAGTTCCTATGTCCGGATGGTTTGATGATGTCGTGCCTTTGCTACATTCAATGTTGTAAATGATTCAATACTATCTGCCAATATTCATTCTTCTCAAATACTAGAATCTCACAAATGGACCTTATGATTTTTGGTTTTATTTTATTTTTTGAAATGGGGCTCAATTTGGCGAAGTACTAATTCGGGCCAGCTTGTGGTCCGGATTTATTGCCACGTCGATTTATTATTTCCGGGGAGATTAATCAGATTTGATTTGTCTTGGCAGATCAAGAGCGCGCGTAACTCAACAAATCTCCTAAGCCGCGTGTGGCAATATCGAAAAACGGTGTGGTATCAATGAAACCATAGTAAGTTCCCAAAAGAGCCAAAACAAAGAGCCTCCAAGCTACTTATTCTAAATAAATCAAGCCATTAATATGATTATCATTGTAGACTTTGATTTGGAGAAGGGGATCTACCAACGAAAAGCATCCCCTGATAATGCACCCTTTTGGCCCTTGAAGCCTTTAGTATCCTGAACCCCGGTCCCGGTAATAATGCTGCTCGGTTTCCACCGTAACATTCTCCGTTCTCAGTACCGCTCCCTTCCCTTGAAGCTCATTTACGGGTGCCCAGGTGGACGTTGACGACCGGAAGAAATCTCATGCCCGCAACTGCGGCCGCATGACGCGAAATGCGCAGGAGAAGCAGACTAAAGGAGTAGCACCGGCTTGTAGAAGAATTAGAACATTGAAGCTTGTGTGACTGATTTTCTAACCTCCAGTCGTTTGAATATACCACATTTAGGTCAGTCACATCACATCACATCGCTAGCCTGCCGAGTCGAGCCCTCCTCTATATGCATCGCATGTCCATTTCCATCTACGCGATACCTAGCTAGCCTTGGGGGCTAGCACAGCCTCAATAATGCTATCCTGGAGGCTAGCCGTGTAGGTGTGTATCTTGATGATACCCAGCCCTGTCCCTTCCACCAGTTGATGCCACTGCTCCTGTGTCCGTTCCCGCGCCCCCATCGATGCCATCATCAGGATATCCAGTTGTGCCTGCTGCCAGTGTACACCGGTGTTTGGAAGAACCATGTCATCGACCAAGAGATATGAGTCCGGCGCCATGGCCTCAAGGGTATTGTTCAATATTTCCCGACATTTATGGTCGGGCCAGTCATGGAATATATTTCGCAGATAATAGAATTTGGCTCCTATATTTTTCAAAGTAGTTGACGAGTTAGAAAGTCCCGTACGTCAATGATCAATGGGATAGGGAAGATGGCTGAGCGCTGAATGGTACGTACCTTGGACAATCTGCGGATTGAAGAAGTCGTACGGCATTTTCTCTATCTCAGGATGTGCCAGTGCACGTTCCAAGGTCGGGGCAAGGTCCTGGACGATCACCCGGCCTTGTAGTTGAGGGTAAAGTTGCCTAAAAGCAACCGCCTGATGGCCAACACCTCCACCGATATCGACAAATAAGGCCCGCTCAGGACCAAGGTTGGTGGCTCTGTCAAGAACGGGGTAAACGTCTAGAAAAGTCGGCATACCAGCTCGATTCGTCTTCATGTACTCGTTAAAATATGCGAGGTTCTCCGGCTGCTGTTGTAACCAGATAAATGCAGGCTGATCCGTCTTCATTGCCTTCTGGAAGGGGGTTTTCAAGCTATCCTGAATATCCGGGTAGTGATTCTCCTTCAACCAGGCAGGAAGCTCCTGGATGATCGGACCACAAGTGTTGAACCTACAAAGGGATATGTTAGGGATCGGCCGAGGACGTGAGAGGATAACACATACATGTGGCCAATCCCGGCCTGGAAGCCAGAATCAGCAAATGTTTTGGACATACGTGACGCGGTGAACGTATCTTTCGACACTTCCTCGACTGCATAGTATGAGGCCAAGTACCGCAGGATCCGGCCTTTGGGATATGGGTCAATTTAAAACGAATGGAAATGGGGAAGATTCAAATTCACCCAAAAGAACTGGGTTGGCACCCGTCTTCTTGCTTAGGTCGTCGACGGTAAGTGGAGTCTCGGACTGGGTGAGCACTTCGAATAGCTTTAGATCAATCCCGATGCGAATCCCCGCCAGTTGCATGTTCTTGACGCGTGTTAGCTTGAGTGGTGACCGCGTAGTCAAAAATTGATAAACATACGTAGAAAGTGATTCGCTGTCCTGTGTCGTCGGGGGATTCAATCGAAGCACTCAACTTGCTTAGTGCATCCAACACGTCCTTGCGGGTTTTTTCGTCGCCAGACTTGACCAGTCTGCGAACCTCCTCGGTTAGGGCCTCCATTTGAGAATATTTTCCGAATGAGATACTCTGGGAAAACAATAGTACAAAAGACACAGGATCATCTTTCGAAAGCTACTCAGAGATTTAAATACCTGTGTGCACCAGGAGTTGGCCCCGCGGTCTCCATCAGCGACTCACAGACCTCCAAGCTAACATTTGAATTACTGCATGTGGTGTGATCTCAGCCTCCAACTCACCTGCAGTACACCAACCACGTTCTATTCTTCTCCCGCTCACGTCACTCCTCGGACTGCACTCCCTTTTTGTATTTGGCCCCATCCAAAATCCCCGACGAGGGTGTACTGTTACCGCCATCGCTTGAATGCGCTAGACTATTTTGAATTCAGTATGGCAGAAAGTTTACAAAAATCTCCATTTTGAAGCTTCCACCATCCTATCCTACCTGATACAAAAATCAGGGTAGAGTAAGTAAGCAAATTATAATTCAGTCACTATTCACCAGTCACTTGTGTCGATCTAGACATAAATACTCTGTACTGAGTTCGACAAAAAGAGAAAGTGGGGCGAGCCGGGATTGAACCGGCGACCTCACGATTGACTTTATCAGTCAGACTGCAGTGAACTTCAGTCGTGCGCTCTCCCAACTGAGCTATCACCCCTTTCATGGAAAGCGAGTCCAGGTTTGCCGTTATGACCACCGTTATGACCAAAAATATAAAAGTCCCCTACCACCACCACATAAAATGAAGACTATTCAGTTTGTAGTAGATGGGATTGTTCAAATCCACATGAATAAGGCCATAAGAATTACAAGTCCTGCTAGGCTGTGCGTCAGATCGATCAAACAATCGATGAATCAATCAATAATAATCTCGACATACAGGGCGGAGTATAAGGCCGTCAGGATAAGGGGCATTTTATACTGGGGGGAACGGTAAACGGCACCCCGCCAACATTGAATCCAAATGGGGTGAAAACATGAAATATCAGCTCAGCGCAAAGCATTTTGAGGCAGAATCAAGGAAATCGCCCTCCTTTTTACAGGCCTAGATGCCCAAACTATGCTTTCTCATTTTACCAATAATCAATGGATGTATTGACCTATCTTGATTCCATTGTGCTCTCAAAGAATGTACGGGCCGGCCGCATGCTCGCTTGTTTCAGACACCAAAACAGACTTTAATCAGTCGCAGATGGCGCTTAACATAAGGTATCTAATCACTCGTCATCAACCTGCAACAGGAGTGCCTGCAAATCAATAGGATTTCGTCAATCTGACTTTCATTGCATATCAGGCGTATCATTCATGCCTCGCAATGAGGCCAGTTGCTGCGCAATCTTTGGCCATGCTCCATCGCGCAAAATAAATATCAGCCACCAATTTCCAGCATGGTCTTTCCCAATAATTGAGCATGAATTCCTTAACGGCATTTCCTTCGTCGTCGCAAAGGGACTGACGTAAGAAGGCATGCCTAGCGGGTTCGCTCGTGTGTTCAAGTTGATCCCCGGCTTGATGACTGCGGATGAGAAATCAACCTCGAAAAGTCTCGCCTTGTGCCAATTCGTCCACGCTATCAACTGCGAAGTAGAATCGCCGAACACAGGCAACCGGTCACTTTTGTCAACTTCTTTCTTTTGAAGTGTCATCGTTGCCTGTAGCTGTTCCTTTGTTCGTTGTTGTTCGAGTGACTGTCGAATGCGGGAAGCGACAAAGTGCAAGGGTTTATCGAGTATTTCCTGTACTGAAAGGAAGGTGTGTGCGGGATAGACGGCATTGGTAATCAATGCTACACCTGTTGATGGAATATGGCCGATCTTGCTTAAGATTTCTCGACAGGAAAATATGTTGAAAATCGTTACCGTTCGGTTGGATGCAGTTCCAATTGCCCGAAGTATCGCTCGAGTGCCCCACGAGACAAGGATATCACCCTCGCTAAGAAATGGGTTTTTGGAGTCGATAACTTCTTTGGCAAGAGATGCTCTCGCTTCGTCCCGCATTCGATCAATGTAATTTCCAGGGATCATCAAAATCCGTTCACTGTCTTTGCGGTACCAAAGAAGATCAAAAATGAAGCGAATGACGAAAATGAAGAAACCCAGCCCCTTAAGTAGCTTATCGGCAATTACGGATTGGACGGGTGAGACTCGATCTTCGGTCAGAGGCGCTAGAGGATCATCTCTGAACCCTGCAAATATCGGGACCTTGTCATACTCGCCATTCAGAACGACTGACCAGGCAGATAAAAGAGCAGAAAGCCCCATGGCATCCATGAGGGTGTGCATAAATGTCACCGATAGGAACGTTGCATCCTCAAACTGGACAAGATGGATGGCCAACTGCGGGAGATCCGAGTAAAGCCAGCCATCCAGAGTTGTCGGCGACTTCGGGCTGCAAAAAAACGACCGGAAGTCTTGAGTTCCCCCGTATAAGCATGGCGTTGAAGCTGCAGTAGGTAATCGTGATACAACAGAGTGTTCCGATGCTGAAATGTTATATTGGTCTGTTGTGAAAATAAATGCAGGTCGTGTTTCATCGAACTCTGCAGGTATATGGTATTCTAACTTGCCAGCGGCCTACATTGAACGTCAGTGACAGAATATCGAAAGAGCAAATATAGGAAAAAGAAAAACATTACATTCTGACGGAGGCGGGCACCTAATTTTCTCCAGTCGCCAAATGTCAATAAGTGGGCGAGCGAAGAACGGACTTTTTCCGGATCGAGTACATCGTCAAATCGTAATGTCACGTCCACGCAGATTGATTTTGTATGTGGTTGAGTATCCCAGTAGTGTAGAGGGGTAAAGGTGTCGGTTGGTACTATTGGTGGTGAAGGGGGCTTTCTGGTGAAAAACGGCATAATGAATAACCGATTAAGCGTCGGGCCAGTGTAAGTTTTTTTATTTATTTTTGACTAATTATTCTTGCGATTGATTAAATATCCGAAGTGGATCGGTCGGGATTCGGGAGGAGGTTGGGGTCAAGGTTCAAGAATTAATATGATCAGGCAGATCAGCACTTGATGGAAAATGCAGTCACATGATGATCAGCGCTAGTGTCGGACTTGAGATCACAGGACCCTGAAGGGTCCAGTTCAGGGCCCAGTCCAACTTCTGGATTGATTCTAACGAAAATCCCATCCTGAGTGGTCGCACGACGCTAAAACGGCCCATTATTGTGGAAATGTAACCCCAGGCTGGCGGGTACATCGGCTGGAGCTGCTGGATGCCTATCTAGGCTACCTTCAATGTTGGTGGTAATATCTACATGTATCTAACATTGAAGTATTATTCTGAAACTTGGCGAATGCGCACCGACCTACCTTACTAGCTCCTCCGGCCAGCTTGAAGTCAAGAACCCAACATCCCCTCTTCCATTTTTGTTAATACAATATGTTGACAATAATCACAATAATGTGGACCATTACAAAGATCCTATTCCCCTGTCTCATTATTTCGGTTATATTCCTCGCATGTTGGCCGTTTCTCCCCCATCAACTCCAAACAACAATACAAGCTCGCACTCAAGAACAACAACCACAAATGTCGAGGATTGATTGTGTGGATGATGAGCCTGAAGGTCGCTTCTGGCTATCCTATGGCTCCGGCTTCGGGGCAAAGGTCTTCGGGTACCCCTCCAAGGGTGGTGTCTATATCTTGCGGGTCGGTTTTGGTATTGAGCTGGACTTTCTTGGGCTCGACCGGTTTAATAACACCGAACGCCCATCCAAGTTAGATCCCGATTGGCAAGCGAAAGAGGACGCACACTGCGATATGAGTGAGTTACCGACCTCCTTTTCCCTTATATTATCTTTTTCTTTAAATTTCTTGTTATATGTCTAATGTTTAAAAGTGCGTCGCCTCGGGGCAACCTGGTGGCGAAGAGAATCCGATGAATTTTTGAAGCATGGACTGGAGCCCCCGAAGCCTACGGATGGCTATCTCCGAGTGGGCTGGCCGGCTGCAGGTGGTGTATGGGTATTACATACGACATTGGGTAACGCAGGGGGGATAGGGGCAGCGCGGATCCTTAACGCCCGTGATATGGAGGAACGGTGCAGGTGGATCGAAAAGCTAGGAGGTGTCTTCTACGCTGACCCCAAGGACTGCCCCCATCTTGATCTTCCTTAACTTCTTTTTCTTTAAGAAGCATTTTTGTTTCAGCTTCTTTGTTTGTTGTTTTTTGCCAGGAAACAACCTTAAGTCCTTGAATACTTCAAGTTGCTCCTTCTTCCTATTTCTTTTCCTTTCTTTCTTTCTATCTTATCTGTCTTTTCCCTGTTCATAGGACCTTAGAAAAAGTTCATTATCTTCTTGCTCACCACATTACAAGACATGGATTTGTGGGAATGGGAAAATGCATGAAACAGTGAGTAAACATAGCTCAGCGAGCAGCTAATTTCCTTAGCCTTGTTGATGGCGTGATAACTTCTGCACGTTGTTTTGTACTAGCATTGTTTGTTATTCTAGCGGATTGTTGAGGGTGATAGCGGGCGGCCCGGGGCGGGGGCAACTAAGTAAGGTAGTCTCATTTAGTCCTCTTTCGATACCGCCACAAATACTACCTCAAAGGCTGCAATTTCTTTTCTATCTACCTACCGTCAGAATTTTGGCGAAGATGTGAGTCTGACCTAGTAATGAGCAAAAATACGGAAAAAGCAAGTATGCAAAGACTTTTGGGATGAACCTCCGTAATTATCGGAATGTCGGCAAGGTTGTAGCTCTTTACGGAAAGGTGGACTTGTATTGCTGAAATTTTTATCTCCGCCAGATGTCGTGCCCGTTTGGTGGGAGGCGACATCATTGAGGCTTGATAGAAAATTCAAGAATAGGATATAGGGTATAAGGGCTGAGTCCTGACTTAGTAGTTCTTTAGAAGAAAAATGTTATATAACTTAGGCTGATACCTACATAATTGATACTTTTTTTTTGTAAGGATATATGTATTTTTTAAATATATGTATGATTTTTTTCTACCAAAGCATAGCTGGGAGAAAAAAAATCTATCAACCTGATTAGGCTTAGTAGGTTATATAGGGGTGTATTTGCATAAGAAAAGGGTGTGTTTATGTTAGATTAACATTGAAACTCCAATATATATATTCAATGTTATGTAATTTAACTCCTTAATTCTCACAGTATAAAATACCGAATACTAATTTGACCAAAGTAAAGCTAATTTATAATCAGAGCCATCCAAAGATCATATAAATTACAGATATATCATCTCTTAATCTAGTTGACTTGGCAAAAACTTATGGAAAGCTGGTATATTATATAGTGCCTCGCACTCATGACCTGAGTTTCACAATAGTCGTGTCAACCGCAGCATCTATAGTAAATGGCCACCGACGAAATTGCATTGAAATCTCGGACTGTGTCTCTTCAATATCCGCTGATATTTTGCGTATCCGGTTCTGTTCTGGGACATTGATGTCGTCCACGAGGAAACCGGCCCCCTGTTCTTCGATCTCGATGATTCGTTGCGCGCAAAGACCCGAATATCGATCTTGCCACGCGCCATGATAGAACGGGGACTGGATCATCAAACCCATAGCCCGTCGACGAACAAGCGGGTGGCGGCAACGGGAAGCAACAAGGAACATCGGCGGAGTGATGCCAAGATCAAAGCTAAACAACAAACTGAAGCCTTGCAATTCATTGCCTTCCATGTCGGTGATTTCCTCCGCAAGCTCAACGGCCCTTTGAAAGTGATCAGTGTACCTGTCGAAGATGGTTTCATCCTTAGAGCTATAAGTGTCTGCGATAACGATCGACACATGGTAGTAGAGATTCAAGAGTTTCTCCGTGCACTCCTGCAATGCTGGAGACTCTTTAGAAAAATCAGAGAAGTCTAGAGCATTCTTCCACTGCCGCAAAAGCGTATTAAGAGCTGGCTTTGGGGATTCACCACCAGTGGTATCGTCACGCTCCAAGGAAGAAAAAATATGGTTCATCACTCGGTCGTAGTCTTTTCGGGCGGAATCGAGGGAAGGGTAGGACGATGGGATTGTTGGAAATGGTAGGCAGAGTGGGACCCCTAGATCCTTCAGCGTGTGGCGGGAGTCCATACATAGAGAGAACTGCACACGCAAACGTTGCAAGGTTGGTGTTATCTTATTATTCATGAGGTCTAGAGTTGGCCTAGAGTACGCGTGCAGCTTGCTGTAGGTGGTAGTACTATTTCTCCACCAGTATAGTAATCTGAAGCCTGCACGTAAGTGAAGCAGACAGGCAGCATCGCCGCTTCGAAATTGCTCGAAACATACGAATAGGATACAGAGAATGAGCACCGTATCCGGCCGAGAAAATGAATGTGGTGATTCTGTCTGCACGGATTTAATGGCGGATGTATAATGTTTAAGCGCCAACATTCGTGAAGACAGTTGAGCATTTTTCTCAGAATGGCGGATGGAGATGCAAGTATTCCCAGGCTCCATGCTCTCATGCAGCGATGCCAATGCGGTCAGGGCATGCTTGACTGGAGCTTCCTTGTGGCCAAGTTGGAGTATAGTCTGAAGCCAAATTTCCGCATCGTGATGCCCAAAGATTCGGTGGGCAGTTCTATTGCGAAAAAAGAGGAAGGCTCGACGCTCTTCATCCGTCAAAGAGTCGAACGAGAGGCTGTGTTGAGGGGGGGTTGGATACCCGTCGCATATCCGTTTCGTCGAAATACATCGCCAGCAAGATGGCTTGGTCTCGTCACATTTGACGCGTCTTCACAGTTGATTAGTGGAGTTTAGAATATCGCTCGATGGGTTATGTTCACGAACCGAGATCTATGAAGACATGGAGTCAGCGGTTGGATGGCGAGAAGAAATAGCAACGATGGCTTCTAAGTTCTGACCTACTTGCACGTAAAGCAGCCATTGCGCGTCTTGCGTTTTGCCACTGCGGTGGAGTCGGCGGTCTTCATTTCAGCTCCAGGGGCCCTGCAGGTCAGTTAGTAAAATGCAAGCCTCAGGACGATTAATCTCCACCACCACCCGTGGCAGTTCTAGTCCCTAGTCCGGATAGCGACACGAGAGAATCCTGGGGCTCGTGTGAGCGGAGCGGTGACTCGGCAAGGCCCCACGCAGAAAAAGATTGTTGCAGTGGAGCCTGACTTCGCATGTGTCAACTACATGATTCTACATCTGCCTTTGCATCACTGCAGCTCAGTGGGGTCCGTAGAAACATTAATCCCAGAGTGGCTAGGGCAATTACGGAGAACAGCGGCCGATAGGGACCACCCTTGTGCCATAACCAATTTCAAATTCCAACTTCACCGCCCTTCGCCCTGTCTCCCGCCCGTATTGTATTTATCATATACAGGAATATCTCAATCCCAAACCCCTCGAGCTTCATTTATGGATATTAAATGCTGTTATTACGGTGTACAAGAACATTAGGGCGATGTTTCTAAGGCTCCTGGCATAAATCTTACTTAATCTCACTTAAATATTCAAATATCAGCTTTAATATTAATCATAAGGTCACCAGAAGCCCTTTATAGCATAAGCAAACATCCCGGCATTTAGTAAGATAACCAAAGCCTCATAAATAGTAGAAGGAGGAGATGGTACCAAATTAGGACAGTCAAAGTCAGATAACAGGAGTTAGAAGTCATAGCCAAGGTATTAAAACATAGAGGGTGGGTTTGAGTGAGTTGATTCAGTCAAAGTTCGAGAAATTTAGGGAGAGTTGCAGAGAGACAGTTGCGGAGAAAGTTGCGGAGAGAGTTGCGGAGAGAGTAAGAGCAAGTTACGCTGTTATTTAGACTACAATTCAGTCAGTCATTCCAAGTTAATATAAGGCCTGCTTAAAGCACACTTTTCATACACTTTTTACTATGTAAATCAGAATATAAAGTAGGATTAAGTGAGTGCGCGGTAATCTGAGCAGACTTAGAAGTTCGAGATTAGAGGAATAAAACAAATATGAATTTGGAATTACGCGTCATTTACATTCTGCCGGTCAGAAAGTTGAGATTGAGCTATGGCACAAGGGTGGTTGGTCCCTATCGGCCTCCGCATACGGAGCATGATTGTCCGTCCCGTTTGTTCGGTGATTGAATATCCGGTTATCCGAGACTGCCTCACGGTCGTACGTTAGGATTCATCCGGGTATCATCTTTGCTACGTGAACAGTGTATTATTTATAGCACCAATAAAGAAAATTAAAGATTGCTTTTTTCCCCCGAATTGTTGGAAGTCATGAGGCAAGTTGCCCTGTGAAAACTATCCTTGACTAAACCGTCCCTTCCAACCACCCACCGCCACGATGATCATCTGCCAAGATGAGATTAGGGCCAGGTTTGCGTCTGCCCTCTCTGAGATGTATCAACGCGAGGTACCTCAGTATGGAACGCTCTTAGAGCTTGTCTCAAACATCAACCAGCGGCATAAGGGGCAAGGCGGCCAAGACATTCAACATCGCATAGAGGTCGAGCGCCACGGCGCAATTCGACTTGGAACGCCCGATGAACTAGGGACCATGAGAAGATTATTCCTAATTCTAGGCATGGAGCCAGTTGGATACTATGACCTTTCTGTAGCGGGACTACCTGTTCATGCAACATGCTTCCGGCCACTCACGAAGGAAAGCCTTTCTCAAAACCCCTTTCGTGTCTTCACTTCCTTGCTGCGCCCTGAGATGATTGGGGATCAGCAACTACGAGATCACGTCGAAGATATTCTGAAAGCCAGACATATTTTCTCACCTCGTTGTCTCGAGCTGATGAACGAATGGGAGAAAGCCCCATTTAGCTCTCAAGCACTAGTTGATGAGCTCATAAACGAGTCTCTTCAAACATTCCGTTGGCATGAGACGACCACAGTTGACAGAGAGACCTATGAGGCGCTTCAGGCTGCACACCCCTTGATTGCCGATGTCGTCTGCTTTCGAGGACCTCATATCAATCACCTGACGCCTCGGGTGGCTGACATTGATGAGGCGCAGCTTGAAATGCTGAGGCGAGGTCTTCAGCCAAAAAAAGTAATTGAGGGGCCTCCTGCCATGCGATGTCCAATCCTTTTACGACAAACGAGTTTCCTCGCATTGGAAGAGCGCATCTCATTCTCTAATTGGGACGAGGTAGACGGAAAGCACAAAGCGCGTTTTGGTGAAATTGAACAGCGAGGGATGGCTTTGACACCCAAAGGACGATCTTTGTACGACGAAATCACTCGGCCCAAAAGAACACTTCCCAAAGATTCTCTGGTCATTGATCATTGCGATTGCAGTATTGCTACATTCAAAGATTTCCCAGATGATTATTCCACGATTCGTCGGGAGAAATTGGGGTATTTTACATACCATGTTTCCAATGTCCCCTCAACCCCAGTGGAGACCCATGATTTGGATTCACTGATAAGTGCGGGAATCATCTCCTTCGAGCCAATCACATACGAAGACTTTTTGCCTATTAGTGCTGCAGGCATCTTCCAGTCAAACCTTGGCACAGGAAGTTTTTGCTCCTCGGAAGCACGCTCTGATAAAGCCCGCTTCGAGGCGAGCCTTGGGACTCCCGTCCTCAGTGAGTTTGACTTGTATGGGGAAATGGAGAGATTGTCTTTAGTGCAAGCATATGGGAAACTCAGTATTCCCTTTTTTGGGGTGTAATCATTTGCTAGATTTGATGACAGAGGCAATTGCATATAAGTCTATCTTTTATAACAGGCACCGACGGCAACCTGAACCATTACGATCTAAAATCTCAGTATTCATTTGAAAGAATGATTCACAGTAATCGTGTTACTTCTCATGGCTATGATCGTTTATTCATCAATACAAAATTGTGGCTACTTTGCATGTTTGTATTATCTTAGGAGAGACTCCCAGCGGCCGGTGTGCGCGTGGATAATGGGCATGCTAGTGGTGTTTCCACTGACACAAGTCAGAGCCACGTTGCTTTAGGACTAAATCTTGACAACATCTGTAGATACTACGTAGGGTTTTCGAGTGGGAAGAGCACTCGGAAATATTTTCAAATACCATTTTGAATCCTTGCTCCATCCATCATCCTAGTGTGCTATTGTGGGGCCGGAACATGGTTTCCCATATCTGGCGCAAATGTTAATTGACATGGCGAAAGAGAGTTGTTGGATCTGGTGGCTCTTCGGTCACTTGAATATCCGAATTTACGCTCAGCCTCGAACAATAAAAGCCAGACTTCATCTACCCCACTTGTTTTTCTCCATACCTGTCTACTAAGAAGCTTGCTTAAGCGACTCATTCTATATCTTTCTTTGATGCAATTTGTACTGCAGCATTTTCTCGCTAACCGTTCCGTCGGTGAATCTTACTAATAGAGCAGCCAACGGATTTAAAATCATCTCCTTGCTCTGTGCTGGAATTGAACATAGAGTGTCAGCATGTACATCTCGAGGACGTGGGAATCTCTATGGAGAGCGGGATCTTTACTGTGTCCGCTTCTAACATCTCGGAGAGAAATATTGTTGCTAAAATTTGAACATGAATCTTGGCGGCCATCATCGCCGCTCGATCGGAAGTGCTTGGCAGATTGGATTTGGCAACATCGGCGTCATCATAGCTATATTTGCCTTTCTGCCAAATGAAGGCCCTGCCTACAACATTGAAACCTGGCTATTCTACTTGTATTCAATGTTGCATTCTCCTTGTTTTCTCTGGTTTCATGCGCTGCTTATGCACATGTGGTCTTAGCTGTTTGATGGCAAACAAAAACCGCGACCTGGGTCAACCGCGCTCAGTGACCGCGCAAGAGAACATTTGGAAGCTCAGCTGGGAGATATGTCTCCAGATTCAAATGGTATACATATCTGCTGTGATATACCTAGCACTTGAGTACATAGATGCTTCTGAGTCCCCAGGTCGGATTACTTTGTCATCTCCCTCGCCATTTATATTCGGTCATTTGTAGATGCCCTCAAGTATCGGCGTCTCCTTCATCTCCTTGTTGAACATTGAATATTATTTTGCCAATATATCAGTATATATAAATGCTATTTATAGTTGCTGGTGGGGCTCATGAATTCTTTGTTTGCCCGCAAAATCAATAGATAGGCCTGGCCGCTTCAAACAAAGGTTATGCCATTAGCCTACAAGGAGCTAGGATTCAGACAAGCATCCTGAGCCGAAACCATGACAATTTAACCTTGTAGTTGACAAGCTTCTTGTCCAAGCCGGTTATATCGAAATGATGTCCAGCATCACATTTGAGCGATCAGTTGCCGTATAATTGGTGTTTTGAAACTGCTGATGGTTACTACCTAAGCGAAAAAACCGAACACCAAATCACCAGCCATTGATGCATCATCAGTGAGGGAATTCAGCCAGGAGCAGTCCCAATTATCTAGATCAAACCCATTTTGAGTTTCAATACAAGGGGGCGCATTGGCATCAAAGTCTTATAGATAAGATTGCAAGTCAGTAACCTGAAGGCAACCGGTAAGTTTAGAGATGTAACTCACTTGCAGTCTGGAAATTTACGTTTCCTTCCTCTGTCTCTAAATCTTCCATCGTCCGTTTCAGTCTCTGCATTAGAGATCGTAAAAGTTGTATTGGTCTTTTCAGTCCTTGATTGCATCCTTTTTGATATTCCCAAAGAGTCGTCCAGAAAAATCGAATACATTCATTATATTGGTGGCTTTCATGTTGTGTATGTTGAAGCATCACGAGAACGGCACAATACGTTGCGTAAGAGATGCCGTACTGAGCTCGCCGAAGGGTAAAGGTTCTTCTGTAAACCTCTACCAACTTCCAAATGTTCAGTGCTGCCTGAATGCATCTGTTTCTCGACTCATCCTCAATTTGAGGGTCCAAAGTGAAATCAAAATGGCCCCGACTCAGAAATGCTTGTTCTGTTAAAATAACTAGAGTCCAATGCAATGCGCTAGGATCTTTGTTAGCTCAGATGCAACGAGAAGATTCATATGATACCTACTGTGGTGTCATTTGATGTGGAGCAGGTATGGAATCCATATTGAGGTCGAATCGAAGCCAAGGGGAAAGTGTATCATTCCATTGACCGAGTTGTTCCAAGACACTATGTCTGGCCTGCAAAAGCATCCCCTTCGATGTCCTGGCGCTGTTCACGGAATAGAATATTTCAATGATCTGTGCTGCGATCTTGCAGAGTCGTAATAATGACTGGAACGTGCTTATCGCATATGATGGTTTTCCACAATAAGCGGGAGCTGGAACATCAACTGGCTGTGAAATATTATCATGGTATGGTCGCCACTCTTCCATTTCCTCGAATGAATCCAGAAAGTTGCTCGTCACATTAGCGGTGGCTTCGTGCATCATTGGTGGGCGGCCAAGGAATAGTGATTGAAATTTATCACTGACAAAAGCTCCCCAGTAGATCCGCTTTTTCATCTCTTGCTCAATAATTTTGGAATTGCCGCTAGTTTGATCACCGGGTGATGAAGAATATTCCATATGACACCCAAGGTCAACGACCATTTGGTACGCCATTCCGGATAGTGCCCAGCCTGCACTCTGCCTGCCATACGGCACAAGGCACGCGCCGCATGTTAAAAGAGCTACTACTGTCGGGATAGTAGGCGAATCAAGATATTGCGGTAGCAGGATTTTAAACCGCTCATAGAAGGCAAGCCCCCTCTCATTCGGATGCTGGAGCCCAGGTGGCAGTTGGCGGTCACTATACAAGCTGCTTTGCAGATAAATTGCATTCAGCAGCAGCTTGTTCATGTATGGTCCATTGTTAAACAAACTATCCATTACTGCAGGGCGATAGGTTAGCAAGTAGGACAAATGCTGACGGTTCCAGTGCAGATCCAAAAGGTGTAATGCCAAATCCATGGGAATCCCATCAAAGTCGATATTTGATGCTATACTAGGGGTATAGGTCAATCTGAGCTCTTCTTGTCGACGCAGGGCAGCATTTGAAATGAGCTGGGCTTCGATTATTTCCGTGGTCAGTTCATCTTGATCACCCGGTGGATGTCTTTGGTTTGCCAATAATGTCCTGGATGATTGGTCATGAAGCAGGCTTGTGGCACCATATACCTGAATGTCTTCCTCGCCTCTGTGTGGCTCAGGTGACCGTTCCTGATCATGCTCAATCGGACCTTGCAGTCGCGACCAGTTGGTTGCCAGAGGTGCTTTGGCCCTTTTCGATTCCAAGCAAATCATTCTCGACAATTATATGCGTATTGGTTTCTGGGATGCATGACATGCTCTCAGATGCTGGTGATTGTGATGTTTGAGACTCGTCGCTTTGCGCCGGCAGCAACTGAGTAGTATATCGTGGGCCCACATCACCATATAAATTCCGGGTTTCTTCCTCTGGTATGCCACTTGCGTTTGAAACGTTGCGATAGCGCTGCATTTGCTTTTTGAGATGTTGGATTTCCCTTTGTAAAGCCTTTACATCGGCTTTCTTGGCTCGGGCGGCTGTGCGTCTCGCATCCTGTGGATACATGCACTCAATCCCTCTAAGCTTACAAGCGCTGCATTGCGGTTGATGCCCGTCACACTTAACCTGAATTTTTATCAGCTGAGGGTCTCGTCGCAGAAGCGAAATTTAGGTTTAAAGAAGAGTTCGCTTTGCTAACTTTTTTCCGGCGACAAGTTCGACATGTGCTACAGATTGGAAATGAGTCACTTGTCATCTGTGAAGAAATCCGAGGAGGATCGTGATTCGGCACATCCGAGCTAGGCATGTTGCGACAAATTGCATCGGCAGTACATAAATTAGTTCACAGCAGCTGATTGCGGGGAATGGTAGGCTCAGGACTCAGGAGTCAGACCGAAAGGATTTCGAGCTGACGTGATCGCAACCGGAACTTCACACGTGACTCTCCACTACACCTCCGCCTGTGGGAGACGGTAGACCTGTCAGGCTGTCACCTGTGACCTGCCAGTGCGAAAGAGACTAATTTTATGGAATTAGTCATGACTCATAATTTCCGTCCTCGCAAATTGATTCACCTGGGAATTTACTACGGATCGGGTTTAGATCTTGGTGACATTATGAGTAGTTATATCTTGCTTCTGAACAATTGGAGTATTGAGATCTTGTAAGTTCTAATGGACTTTAGCCGTTCATTGTTTCGGTGTAAGGATAATATAGAATGACTAGTTTTAGTATTACCTGGCTACGGATGGCCCGAATTCGAGCTAGGTATTGCTGTCTTTGAGTTTAAAGTAACCATCGAGTTGGAAGTATGACTTTAAGTGGACAAAGCCGGACTCTGAATCTTACAGGCTACTACCTGGAATTCAAATATATTGAAATATTGGTTTAATTTAGGCGGTTTATTCAAGTGGGCTGTATTTTCTGAGACAGCTAACTATCTTATATTTTGATGAGGAGTTCCTGCAAAGAGAGCGGTCTTCTCAATCACTCGCCAGGGCCAAATCCACCGCAGCTTCCGCGTGCGCATAACTAGTATCGATAATTGGAACAACACTATCCTCCTCCTTGACCAGCATGCCAAATTCGGTACAGCCCAGAATCACGGCCTCGGCACCCCTCGCAACCAAATCTGCAATGGCCGCCTTGAACTTCTGTCTCGTGTCAGGGAGAAAAATGTTCTTTGCAAGCTCTTGGTAGAGCGCATTGTGGACATTACTTTCGTGTTCACCCTGAGCCACTAATACATTGAAGCTGTATTTGTCCTGCAAACGTCCAACAAAGTATGTTCCAGTCATAGTGTACCGGCTCCCGAGCAGACCAACTGTTTTGAAGCCACGCTGAACAGCTTTTTTGGCCGCAGCATCAACAATGTGCAACATTGGAATATCAGTGTTGTTGAGAATGTATGCGTCGGCTGTATGAACAGTATTGCAAGCGAGAAGGAAGAAGTCAGCGCCAGCCGCCTTGAGCTTTCTCGCTTCGCCAGCTAGCAGTCTGCCCACTTCATCCCAGTTTCCATCTGCCTGAGCCTTTTCAATAAGGGCAAAGTCGGTTTGAGTGAGAACGAGGCTTGGAGTGTGCAGTCCATTACTGCCAGTTCTCTCTTTGAAGTATTCATGAATAGCCTTGTAGTAAACAAGAGAGCTAGGCCAAGCGATGCCTCCAACAATGCCAATGGTCTTCATGGTAATCAGAATCTGTATTCATCAGCAACTGTCAACTGCATCAAATTGTCCAACTCACGACTCAAGTTGCAATGGCAGGGTATATCAAGCACTGTAGGTCAAGAAGAGAAGATTCATGAACAAGTCCAAGCCGCAGGAACTTCAAGACTCGAGAAGATCACCGGTTTTGACTCAGGCGTTTCGGCAAATACATATCCGCACAACGGGAACACGGGGTTACGCCGGAGGTCTACTGCCGAACATCCGAATGGTCTTTCTTTCGTTTGGTATGAACAAGAGAAAACGAGTTTTTTATTGTGGGATCGCTGCGAGCGAGGAAGTGAAATCCCTAGTGAAGGAACACTGCGTTCATACATCAGGCATTTTGCCATCGTCATCCCCGATGTAGCAAACTTAGCCCGACATCTTGCGGGCGTTACGGATTGGCTTATAAATCATCCACATATTTCTGCAGATGTTTGGTACGCCAAGGCTGGTAAAGGATGAAAAAAGAAGCTCTGTCACTGGAACGTTCGCAGTATCTCGCCTCGATGCAGGTCCGCCCGGGTTTTTTAGACTACCTTCGATCTAAGACCTACCGGGTGAACCCTCCAGAGAGCATCCAAGTGAAAGGAGTCATAATTCAATCTATCCTCGCCCCAAAAGGAATGTGATATCGAGCTTCTCTTATTTGGCAGTGATATGTTTTCTTCTTATTTGTTTCTCCCCCTTTCTTCTGGGGCATATTAACAGTAGAATTCCTGTAATATATGACAGCAAATTCAGCATCATCACTCCATGGAAAACCAGCTCTTGTGCAGCGTCGCATTTCTATTTGCATTCGTCTAAAGCGCAAGAAATAGAAGATAGATTTGGCCGTGCTATTTTGAGAGGCTGCGAGGCCTGTGATAAAACAGCCAAAGGAGGGGGTGACTGTGTTGAAACGAATGCCTTTGTCGGCATAGTCCAGCGCCATGTTCTTGGTTGCCAAAGACACAGCGGCCTTGCTGGCATTATACCATACTAACCCTGGCAGCGGACGCGTGCCAGCAGCAGAGCCGATTGTGATGAAAGTTCCTTTCAATCCATTTTTGATGAGGTAGGGTACTATTACTGAGCTCCTTCGCTGGATCGAAACCACCCTTTTGCCGAGTCTGACTAATTCGGTTACCAAACCTCCGCTAAAGTCTTTTCCGTAAAAGCGGAGAACTTTGACGGACTTCTTTTGTCCGGGGCAGCTGACTAATAGAAATCCCTGGTTTCCTGGGGGGTTCTAATCCGAATTATGCCCGTGCGAAATGATTGGCTATCCGAATGTTATATCTGGATGTTTTCGTTTAGCGCCCTTACTCTCAGGCAAACAAAAACAGATTTCCGCAACGTCTGCACACTCTGCACCCAACACGTCACTCCTGATGTGGAAAAAGGAAAAGAAAAATGTAAGAACGCGGGCCGTTGTCGTCAATTGTCGTCGGGCGACCTCGCCAGGCCTTCGAAAATCCACATTACAGAAATTCGGTAGTGCGGAACAGATTTCCGCTCCTTCCAACCTGCACACCTGGCTATTGGGTTCATATCTTTACGGCTCTAGCCTCGTCCTTGTGGATGTCTCTGGACAGACCCAAGACGAAAATCAAGCAACCTCATTCGAGCTTGAGTATCCTACGCAGATTCGGAATCGCCGTTTCGAGGGTGGAGGAAGGGCTCCAGGGAGTACGATGAGAGAAATCTCAGGTGTAAAGGCAGTCAATGATCTACCCGATCCGGACTAGTCGCACGCTGACCATTGAGGCATGTCCGAGATCCATGTGAGCGGATGTGGGGTAATGTACCTCACACCCTGGGAAGCCACATCATACATGTCCTAAAAGTACCTCAATTCGATCGATCATCATGCTTGTTTGGACATTCGAAAGCTCCTCGGAAAACCAGATGTCCGAATATCTCAGTTTGTCCGAATTTCAATTGAGGGATTACTAAGGGATCTCAGAACGATTCGGTAATTTCCACCTGTGGACCAATCAGTCCACACGGGTCGGTGGTTATTCATCCCCGGGAAATAAACGAGGCGTATTTCCGTCCGGCAAATGATGGAAGAGATTGATATAAGGCATCTCACCCACAAAACACCGCATTTTGATGAAGCTTGAATATTTTGGACTCTCTTTTACCTTTACTTCTATCCGCTGCCACTCTGAAAATGTCAATTGGAGATGAGCTTACTGCCGCCAGTGTTCGGGTTACTCGTTCCGAATACCTGGCAGCTGTTCCAGAGCCAGGCTCTAACGAGTACCTTCAACTCGCCCATACTGACCATATGCTAGTCGCTAAATGGTCAGCACAGGGTGGGTGGGACAGTCCTTGCATAAAGCCCTATGGGGAGCTGGGGATTTTACCAACAGCGTCCAGTTTGCACTATGCCACAGAGTGCTTTGAGGGCCTGAAGGCTTACCGTGGCGAGGATAGCAGATTAAGGCTATTTCGCCCCGATGAGAACGGGGAACGTCTCCAAATGAGTGCTAAAAGAGCTTCTCTTCCCACCGTTCAACCTGACCAGTTGAAGTATCTTATCGAAAAGCTTCTAGAGATAGAGGGTCCACGTATGCTCTCTTTTTTCTGCTTACCTATAGTTGCACCGTTAACATACTATCTAGGATGGTTGCCAAAAGATCAGCCTCGCCAGTTCTTATATATCCGACCCGCTATCATCGGAACAGGACACCAGCTTAGCTTTGGTATCCCCCAAGAAGCCTTGTTCTTCATTGTTGCTGCGCCCTATCCTGACATGTCGAAAGTTGTCAGATCCAGAGGCACTTCTAACGCCGGTCTGAAGCTTGTGGCTTCTCCACCTGGGTATACCAGATCTTGGCCTGGAGGTGTTGGCTATGCCAAATTAGGAGCGAACTATAACCCATCGCTCGAAGCCCATAGCGCTGCCAAGGCAAGTGGGTTTGATCAAGTTCTTTGGACTTTCGGAGAAAGCCAGTTAGTCACAGAAGCTGGGGCTAGTAACTTTTTCGTCATTTGGAGAAATAAACAAACCCAGGCGCTAGAGCTCGTTACTGCGACCTTGGAAGGAGATCTGATCCTCGGGGGTATAACGCGGAAAAGTGTACTGGAAGTTGCAAAGACGCGATTTTCCAGGCGAGTAGGGAAATTCTCTTCTCTGACGGTCATTGAGCGTGAATTTTCGATTACCGAGATTGAAGGGGCCTGGAAAGAAGACCGTCTGATCGAAGCCTTTGTTTCGGGCACTGCTGTAAGATTGCATTGTTCCAGATACCCACAGTTGAGTCAACGTTCTAACAACTCGCAGTACTTTATCACCGCCGTGTCTTTGATCAGAACAGCGACCTGCGATATTGAGTTTCCTTTACTGGGTGAAGACAAGCGGTATAGCGCGGCAATCAGAGGCTGGATTGAATCCATCACTTATGGTATAGAAAGCCATGAATGGAGCCATATAATCAGCGATAAGGCATAGAGATAGACATTCCACGCGGCTGTACCCATGTAAAATTTCTTTTCTTCTACTTCTGAAAGCAGGGTTCTACATCGAGGTCAAGCACGGGCAGGCAACTAGGTAAGTCTGGATTTCAACGAGAGATTTGTATAGAGTAGCTCATTGAATTTTTTCACACAAAATATGAAGTGCAATATTGGCATATAGATTGTAAAGTTGAATTTCCATTCTGTACAGCCAACACGTGTCCTCCTCATGATCCCAATATCTTGAAACCGAGATTCATGCAATCTTAGTGCCCCAGAACACGAACGTGTTGAGATATAGAGCGCAAACACGAGACCTTAGTGAGAAATCATTCGAAATTTCATTTCTCGAAAACATAATGACGATTGATTAAATCTCCAAATTCAACCGACATCTTTTTTTTTCAATATTCCAGAGGGAAAAAGATTGATCTAACTTTTTCTTGGCCAGTAATACTCAACATTTCGTGAGACGGCACTAATTTGTCCGCAGCCTTCGGAGAAGCAAAATATTGTGCCGGTATTGGGTGAGATCTCGGCGATTCAATTACCGGCTATGACAAGCTGAAATGCTAGCGCCGGCGTATCAAGACCGACAACCCGAACAAAATGCCATGATTGGCTAGGTGCAATTTGACGCGAGCAGGCCAATGAGATTCCATTGTCATGTCTTGGCATCGCGGTCTGGTAATTGGGTTCTTCCATACCAGCCAATCACCAAGCTCAAGATCTTTAGGTGGATCCTCTTTAGGTGGATCCCCTGTTACCCTGTTCACAGAATCACAGTTACGGATCAGTCAACGCCACTTAAATGCAAGTAGCTTTTTCATTCTCTCCTCTATGCTCGAGTCTCTTACCCACTGCAGCATCCTGCCAACCTGACACACTACAGATTCTGAGAAGTGATCAATCGACGCACACTCTCATCAAGAGAAGGCCAACATCGCGAAACCCGAGCTTTGCCTACCGAATCGAACATCTTTTGCAGCACCGAAGAGTCTCCGCAGTGAGAGTTTAAAATACATCATGCGCCAGTCTGCCGTTCCAGAGACTCGTATGCCACTTCGTCAACATATTTCCGACAAAAGAAATGAGTCCGATCTTCCTGTGGAATCCCAGGAGGGAGATGATAAAGATGAATTTCCAGAGGATAGCTGGGCTGCGTGGTCATGCTTACTTGGCTCATTCCTTATGATGTTTCCATCGTTTGGCTTTCAAACTGCCAGTAAGAATACTTGCGTACTACTCTTGCGCCATCATAACTAATTCCCTATAGTCGGAACAGTCCAGGACTACATCAGCACCCATCAACTAGCGGAGTATAGTGTCAGCGATGTTGGGTGGATAACAGCCGTGCTCGTCTTCTTGACATTATTCCTAGGAGTTCAAGTCGGGCCGCTCTTTGATCGCTATGGGCCACGAGTCCTCATAATATGTGGCAGTCTTGCCAATTTCGCGTGTTACATCCTTCTGGCACAGTGTACACAGTACTGGCATTTTATGCTCTGCCTTGGCGTTCTAGGAGGTATTTCCTCTGCTGTCATTACTACAGTTTCAATCTCGGTTCTTAGTCACTGGTTCTTTCGACGTCGTGGCTTGGCATCTGGCATTTGCATGGCAGGGTCATCGGCTGGTGGAGTTACTATTCCTTTGATGCTCAGAGCACTTTTCCAGAAGTACAGCTGGCTGTGGTCCATTAGAATCGTTGCTTTTCAGGCTCTGGGATGTTACTTGCTTGGCATGCTCCTAGTGAAAGCACGGCTTCCCAGGAGCAGCAATAGTAGGGCGACTATCGATATCCGAGCTTTGGCATCGCCTCGGCTTTGCTTCCTTGCTGTGGCTGTCTTTTCATTCGAATTCATTATCTTTGGATGCGCGGCCCTACTTCCTACTTATGTGCGTTATGCAGGACTTGATGAGAATGTTCAGTACTATTCCCTGGCGGTCTTGAATGGCATGAGTTTTTTTGGCAGAGTATTACCGGGATTCGCAGCTGATCAAGTGGGAAGGTTCAATATTCTATTATCCATGGTTTGTGTGACGTTGATAATCATGGCAGGTGTTTGGGTACCGTATGGATCCCACGATGAAGTGACTCTCTATGTTGTTGTCGCTATCTTTGGCTTTGGATCTGGCGGGTGGCTTTCTCTGGCCCCGGTGTGTGCTGGCCAGCTTTGCAGAACGGAAGAGTATGGTCGCTTTTATGGAACCGTCTACAGTGTTGCGGCTTTCGGAGTTCTACTCACTGTGCCTGTCGGGGGCAAGTTAATTCAATCAACAACTCCTCGTGTCCTGATTGGATTCTACTCTGCAGTATTGCTGATTGGACTGGTCAATGTGGTATTATCCCGTTGGGCAGTGTTGGACTGGCGCTGGAAATGGAAGGTCAAAGTTTGATCTTGTCTTTTTTTTTATATGGCTGGTGAGCCCTTATTCGCAATTAGAAACGACGAAGTCTTCAAATGTTGGATATGTATACAATAATGATTTCAAAATACACATTCAAGTGGACTCGGAGGTGGCGGGCCAATTTGTTCCTTATCTACATAATAGGCTATTTGATGATAGCCTAAAGAGGACCAAGGACCAGCTAATACATGGAGAGCACGATGATAAGTTTGAACCAATACGAAAAGCCAATCTATGTTATGGACTCTTCCTTGAAGAGTGACACACTCAATGAGATTAACTACATTATCGCAGATTTGGGGAAGCGTAAAGCTGCGTAATCAACAAAAATTTTGTTCCCGTTTTACGGCCACAGTTTTTTTTTAGGGTTTGCCGCAAATACCCGCCTTATAACAGGTGCACCGTGCGTGTTCACCGCATCAACCATCCACAGTGACATCTTGACGGAATTCATCTCACAAGTCCGGAGCCAAAATGAACGGAACTGGCTCAAGGGCCCCGTCGGCCCGCAAGACAAGTAGTGGTTGCTCCACCTGCGAGTGAGTTCTTCTGCATTGAGTTTTCGAATCCGCCACTAATCATGTGCTTTCTAGGTTTCGGTGGGTGCGCAACTTCCAGCGGCTAACGTCACCCACTCATGATCTACTTTAGGCGCATCAATTGCGATGAGATTAAATCATGTTGTCTGCGCTGTGTTGAGACGAGGAGAATTTGCGAAGGCTATCCAGCCCCTCTTCAACCGGCATTTCCCCTTGATATATTGAAAGACGAGGAACGCCGAGCCTTTCTCTTCTCTCGAAGTCGGACTGCTCACCTTATCTTTGGCCATCGAGATTCAAGCAGGTGGCTCTCTATTCTTCTCCAAATTGGCTACAGTGAAGTGCCAATCAAACCTGCTATCACGGCACTGGCATCGCTGCATGAAAGCCTAAATCCAGTAGACGCTTATGTATCTATCGGCGACCAGAAAAACAAGCTTCAATCACAGCGCAGATGCTGGCTCTGAAACATTATACTGCAGCTATCTAATGCGTGCAAATCGAATCTCCCGACATGTCTTCAAGACCGGATATTACCATGGCACTGGTTGTTCTTTTTATCTGCTTCGAGCAATTCCGAAGCGGTGATACTGCCTGCCTCCTTCACCTGACGACCGGTCTAACGTTGCTATATTGGTGGAGATGCCATACTCACACATATAGCTAATTGCAACGATATTCTTGTCCAACATTGAATATCATCAATAGTCAAATAACGCCAGTCTTGCAACGATTGCGTGTACAATTCTCGCTGGTTGCAGAAACAGAGCAGAGGCCCTACTTCTGGGAAATGGCGGCGATGAAACACGCGTTGAGTAGGCTGTTGGGGTAGAAACAGTGCCGGGACACGCTGCTCACGAGCAACAAAGCGGCGGCACTCACACTAAGTAACCCCGGCAACAGTCAGGCCGAGAGCATATCTACCTGATGTACGAACTGATTAGAAGACTGCGGAGACACGGAAACCAAATCAATATCCTTTGGGTTCCTGTCAGCGGCGACAACTGACTACTGGGCCTGGCGAACGAGCAGGCCAGCCAATTGATATGTCTCACATGCCGAGCTGGCTCTATCACAGCGGATTTGAGAACCGAATACGCAGTCAGAACCTTGTACAAGAGCTCAATATGCAGGTGGGTCGATTTTGTAATATCTTTGGTTATTTTCGGTATGGTTGTTCCGCAATTTTTAAAAGATAAAATATTAGCCCTTGGAAGGTTCCGATTCCGCTTCCGAGCAGATTTCCGAATGTTAATTCCGCTTTTACTTATAAGCCCAATCTATGATTCCGCCTGATTATCGCTCGCCTTAAAAATTATCTTGATAAGTTTTTCGCACGAGCCGCTATCATCTCCTCGCTAGTGATGGCTGTCAGAAATGCGAATGCGGCTCTGCGAATCGCAGTCTTGGAATGTGATCACAAGCTGACGACTGAATTTGGAAGCTATGGAGAAATTCTCGAAAAATGGCTCTATCGAGCTAGCCATGCAGTCCAACACCCGCTGGAGGTATCACGCTGGGATATTGAAATATTGAATTTTACCCACATTTAGACCAGATAGATGCTGTTCTCATATCGGGAGCCCGTACGTTCCCTGCTGGCATTCTCAATCAATTTGCTAATTTGGAATTAGCAACCTCTGTGGAGAGTGACCTTCCGTGGATCAGAAAGCTTTTGGAGTTTACCTCCTCTGTTGTTTCACATGCACGAATCATGCTTGTCGGTATCTGCTTTGGACACCAGTTAGTTGCAAAAGCGATTGGTGGTGAGGTCAGGCAACGAGAAGGCGGTTTTAAATTAGGCCTTGTACCGACCCAATTATCAGAATTCGGGAAGCAACTCTTTGAGCAGTCGGGTCTGGTATGTTTTTCATTTAACTCAGTAGTTTTATGTCTTATTTGCAATTAGGATATTTTTGAATAATAACTGGAATATTTTTGAATAATAACTGGAATATTTGCAGACTATATACCAAATGCTCACGATGTTGTCGCTCGCCCTCCTACCGTGGTAGAGTCTACCAATGTAGAAATGCTCGGTCGAAGTCAGGATGGTGACAACCACGGGTTTTATGCTCCGAAGAAACTCATTACATTACAGGGGCATCCGGAATTCAACAGGGCGATCATGGGAAGTGTTCTGGAAATCAGCCGAGGGGATTTAGGAGATGCTGCATATAACGAAGCGAAGACACAGCTGCATGCCGATGGAGACGGGGATCATGCAGCACGCATCCTTTCGAAAGTCCTGATAAAGGACCTCATGTGATATGTGCTATATACCAAATGAATGGCGATTTATCGAATCATTTCTTGCATTATCTCCCATACTATGTAACTCGTGGAAGTGATACGCCCGATATCATCCAACCCTACTCCTTAAATGGCAATTATGGGACACCAGATCTTAACTGCACTATATTATTCCAATGTCTAGTGGCAAAAATGTTAGAGCATGTGGTTTCCCAGAGTGCGAGGTACATTACCCCGCCACACTGGTCACAGGACATGCCTCAGATATCAGCGTGCGACTAGTCCGGATCGGGTAGATAGTCAGATCGTGTCAGGATTGAGGCCAGGGGGTAAGTGAGAGCTTCTCTCTCCTTTCCCTTCTCTCCTTCCCTTTTCCTCTCCATCCCGTACTACACTAAGAAATACATTACTGTTTCTCCGTGTCTTTTCGTTCTTTCTCGAACCGTGGTAGTCTTGGGTAGACGTAAACCACTATGGTTTGAACAAAAAAGGTGCAGGTCTTTATGTGGACGGCGTTGGCCGAAATAATATTCGTAGATACTGGGCGCATGTGAATTCCAGTATCTGATTTAGCCACATCAATGATATTACTAGGGCAGAGATACAGGTCAGTCATGCTAGAGAGAATATGCGGATAATGCGACAATTAAATTGATCTATCGCCTTTGTATCCAAAAACAGAATTGTCATGATATTACTTGAATATTGAGAATTGAGATTGTGAGCGGAGATTTCTCATAATCTCCGAGTCGGAAATCAGAAAGCAGGCTAGTTCTGCGGAAGTCTTCCGAGCCTCGGGCAACCCCAGAAACAAGGGGTATATTACCGCAATAGATATTGGGGCAGGGCGGATCCATAACGCGCATGATATGGAGGAAAGATGCAGGTTGATCGAAAAGCTGGGAGGTGTCTGCTACCAGTTGACGCTGACCCTAAGGACTGCCCCCATCTTGATATTCCTTAACTTTTTCTTCTCTAAGAACCATTGAGTTCAGCCAACGGCTAGCTAAATGCAGCCATTTCAATGACTGGAGAAGACCCAGGTATATTGCTCTGTCCACCCCAAGTCCATGTTGAGACTTCAGATTTAAGATTTAAAAAAAGCCCGGGACCCAGTGAGCCGTAGCAATCCTGAATCTCTTGCCCCAAAGCCATACCGGTACAGTGAAAATGGTAAAGACTCCCATTATACCCCCAAAAACTCCAAACGGAACCGCTGGCCCGGCACTTGTGACCCATTCACCGGCAAAAAAAGTCCAAGAAAAGCTGATAATGGCTCTCATGCAAGTAACCACCACAAAGCAGTCCGCTGCAAGTGGGCCATAGGCGTCAATAAGCTGCCGAGAAGCGTAAAATTAGCATCTGCCAGACTTGGAAAACCTGTTAGGGGATACAAACATAATTGAATCCGATCGATGGCGCTTGCATCAAGCCGAAGGAAAGCATTCCAATCCCAAACTGCATCCCAAGCCACATATGTGTCGGGCCTGGATTTTGAGCAGAAAATCCAAATGCCCATAGTCCTGTAGTGGCTAGAATCAAGCCGGGAATAGCAACAGGCAAGCGGGTTTCCGGCTCGACTAATGACTTTCCCTGCAACACGCTTTTGGTGACCACGATGCGATCAGCGGTCAACCCTGTCACAACGAACCCTAGCACGCCACCAACAACACCCCCGACCATGATCAGGCCGGCGTTGTTTCCCCAAAGATATGGAGGGGAAGCAATGATACTTGGTCCGACAGTAGTGATCGTGACCACGCCCCCCACAAGACCGGCATACCAAAACATCACAAGCCAAACCCCAGGCAGGCGCAACGTTTTCCAGGGAGCAATGAACTTTTGAAGTATGTTCCCATCATACTTTCGGGCTTTCAGCATGGTGGCAGACAAACTTTGGTGATTCGAGTGATCACTGAAAGATGCAGAGGCCATATTTTCCACGATCTCAGCCTCAGGCTTAGCATCGGTCTCCTTAGAATGCGCAATTCGAGAGGAAGAGGGCTCCTGGTCTCTTTTGAACAATGTCTCCGGTACGAGTGTGGCACAGGCAACTAGCAAAATAGCAGACAGGATCACGTTGACCCAATGAATCCATGCAAGACCTTTGTTGCCGGCGATGTATCCACCTGAAATGCCTCCAATTAGAGGCCCGATGCAGAGGCAAACAGTATAGAATCCCTTTAAGAGATAATCAGATATGATGGCATACTACTTCAACCCAGGATTTGACCTACCATAGCACGACCTCTTTGATGAGTGAAAAATATCTCCCCGACCACACTTGGAGCGACTTGAACGAACCATTTCAGTTAGTGACCATGTCGCACACAAGGGAGTAAAGAATGTCTTCATACTTGTATCCGCAGGCGCAACTGCGATACCCATAAATATACGGGCAACCAACAGACTTTCAAAGCTTTTAGCAAGCCCAGACCACATTGAGCAGAGTACTAGCAACAGAACATTGCCGACAATAATGGGCCTCCGGCCGAACGTGTTGGCCAACGGAACCCACCAAATATTTGCGGCGCCCATCATGAGGACATTTACCTGGCTATCGTTAGAAAAAAATAACATTCATATTTGAAGCCCGTGATGTTTCTCACCGCAATAAGATGAGTCAGGGATCCGAGAGAAACGGGCGGATCAAAGGCAAGTGGTGTCTCATAGAGGGGGAAGGCGCTTGCGATTGATGCAGAAGCAAAGTTGCCAATGGCCGCGTAGAGCGACATACAAACTAACACAGCCGCTTTCCGCCATGTGGGCCAATTCAACGGATCTAGTGGGCTTGAGGTGGGCTGAGGATGAAGTACCAGCTCACTCCCTTGAGCCGATTCTCCGTGTTCGATTACGCCGGATCCATGTGCTGTCAAATCATAATGTCAAACCCTGCAGTAAACGGATAAAGGGCCCAATTCACGACGTACAACTTAGCGAAATTGTGCCAGGAGGAGTTTCGTCTCGAACCTGATCGGATGACAAGGAAAACGCGTATCTAAAGCCCGACATGCTGGATCTTTCGCAGTTGACGACTTTCTCACTTTCCCTGGAATAAACGCAGAACCTCCAAATTTCGGAAGACTTCTCAGCTCGGAAGTATGCATGTGATCAGAAATCTAATATCAGAGAGGAATGTCGCAGATTATATATGGTCGTTTTATCCTGCAGCAAATATTAGCGGGGAAACCGACCCCACACTCCAAGTTCCCAGATCCAAATGGGAAGTCGAGCGGGGATAGCTACAAACCACTCATAGAGCTTATAGAGCGCGGATTCGTGGGGTAAATGGATTTCGGGAGGTGGAGAACCCCTTGGACCCTTGAATTGTGAGCGTCAGTTAGTGGCTGACACGAGGCCAGAAATTGAATTCCTGTGCCGGGAGTTCTCTCAAACCGGGTCCGAGATAGGCTTGCATTAGTTGACTTGGCAAGGGCTCGGCCTCTTTCCCTGTAGTTTATGTCGCGTTGAATCACAGGTTCGTCATGGACAACCCCGAGTAAAAGAGCCTCTAAGAATTTATAGCGAAAGAGCACAGAACATCTACTTCAATGATAGACCAGGAAGATTTTCATACATTACTCTCGGACTTAAAAGCGAGTTCCAGTCCTCGGAGTACTTCCTAAATAGAATCAATCTGATGTGGTGACTTCCTTCACGGCATTATATCCATTGGCCAAGTAATAGCCTTGGCTTAATAGTAATTTCAATTGTCTTATTCCAAATTCGAACTAATCCCAAAGTGCTAATCCCCGAAATATAAGAGTTCACCGCAAGGTTATGGACATTATCTAGAGCGGCTAGACCGAAAGGATGTGCTCGTCCTCCTCCATATAGTGCTACTCCACCCCCACCCCCACCCCCGTATTCTCCGCCGATTTATCGTATTTCTCAGCGCCACCAGTGTAGGCAAATCTAGAAGCTATGAAGATGTGTAAGTCCTCGCTTATTGAATTAGAACTGTGGTTTTTTACTCGAATTATCCCAATTCTGTTTGCTGATGTTTTCAAGAACACGATGTAGGCCTCGAGACCTCTGGAAATCATCGAAACATATTTGCAACCTCGGAGAGACACAATCGAGCATACATTAACAAAATGTTTAGATGCAGATGGGCTCCAGGGTTTGAGTTTCGGGATGTGGACTTCAGCAGAATAGATTGACAGTTCAGGGGTACTTGATAATTGACGGCTGCGTGCGTATTACGAGAACCTTCCAAGCACTGTTGGAGCCTAATGTCATGTACCTAGTGAGCTCATATCTCCAATAATACATATGGTTGTGTGTCGACTACTCAATGATATAAGCCGACTCCATAATTCCATGTCAAATAATGCAGCGCATGCGTAAGGGGAGATCTACTCATGGTAGGATTATGCGACAACATTTGAAGATAGAAATACATGTATGCTCACTATACTAATAATCATGCTTGGCATTTTTAAATTTAATGTTCTGATCAAGAAACGATAGCTCGGGACATCATACTCGGTTGACGGCGGATTAAGATGTTTGAGCTACATATAACCTGGAAGACAGGCCCTACTATACCATTCGATGTTTGAATCTGATTTGAATATCACCTGGATATTTTAAATTAAATCTCGACTGATGTGGCAGAAATGCCATGAATAATTATTTCCATAATGGCCAGACCTTGGCTGATATCGTAAATCGAATGTCATCAATTACGTTGTCCGTGCAGAGGGACAGTAAAGGCTGTCCTGCATTTACTCCGCATGTTCAACTTCAGCACCGACCTTTTCAGCAGCAGAAAGCGGTACCTCATTGTCACCAAACAGCACATCCATCTGTTCCAAAGTCTTGCCCTTAGTCTCAGGGAAGAAGAGCATGTAGCAAACCATAGCGATCAAGTTGAACACGAAGAAAACATAGAAATAACGGAATCCAATATTGGACAAGGCCGTTGGCGAGAACTGAGCAAAGACCAGATTGATGGTCCAGTTCGTGAAGGTGGTAACCGAGTTACCCTGGTTACGAATATCCACAGGGAAGATTTCAGCAGGGTAGACCCATGAGATGATGCCGATGAAAGTGTAGAAGAAGCTGAAGACGAAGTTCATAGCGACCATAGCACGGAGCTGGTTGGTGTTGCTTTCATCATAGTGTTGCGACATGGCAGCATTGCAAACCAGAGCCAGCGCCATACCAAGGGATCCGATGATGAGAGGCTTGATGCGGCCGACTCTCTCCAGAGCCCAGAGACCACCAGTGCAGTATACGATCGAGAGAGCTCCGGAGATTCCAATGATCATGAGAGAAGTGTGGGTATCGATTCCCAGCGATGCGTAGATACGAGTACCGTAGTAGTTGATAACGTTGATACCGGACAGGGGACCGAAGGCCTGCACAGCACATCCAAGGATAAGGCGACGGCGCCAAGAGGGCTTGGTGAGGATGGAGGTCCAGGTGATCTTGGTTGATGCGCGCTCGGCCTCGATCGCTTCGCGAATCTCCTGGAATTCCAGCTCAATGTATTGTTCCTTCTCCTGGGTGCCATCACCGTGCAGTCTTTGCAGGGTGGCAAGAGCCTCGTCATGGCGATCCTTCTCCATCAACCACCGGGGAGACTCGTTCAAGAACCACACGCCGCCGGCAAGAATCAGACCAGGAATACATTGGAAAGCGAGAGGGAAACGCCCTATAAGGTCGGAGTTAGTCATCGTCAAGTTCGAATTTGAAATGCTGCATCCAGGGCTTACATTGAACAGAGGTTTCCACAAATGAAAGTCCATACCCGAGCCACTGGGCGACCAAATAACCCCAGCTCAACATCCATTGTAAGAGACCAGACATCATACCACGAGTGGCAGCCTCGGCCATCTCACCGGCGTACATTGGTACGATCGAGGTGAGAATACCGACTGCGGCACCGGCGATAAATCGACCAATGATGAGCATGGTCATGTTGACAGAGCCGGCTTGCAAAGCACATCCGAAGCATGAGATGCAAGCACCGGTGAATACGGACATCTTACGGCCTAGGCGATCGCCGATGAACATGTTGATTATCGTACCCAAGATGGCACCACCCTGGAATGCGGAAACGATACCACCAGTAACAGTGTCATTGGGGTTGTTGAAGTACTTGATGAATTCAGTCTGGCCGATCGTAGAGGTGACAATACCGCTGTCATATCCGAAGAGGAAACCTGGAAGACCAACTTATTAGAATGATGAGTAGTACAGAAGAACTTTTCCATTCATACCTCCAATGGACAGCAACACAGCCGACAGATAAGTTGTGATTTTCGCCATTTTGTGTCTCGGATGATTTTCAAGACTCACAACTGGAGACGATGATAGACAAATTTTCCCCAGATGTCCCCGTGGGGAGATTATATACAAATGCAAGCCGAAGGAAGCCAAGTGGAGCCCAACCCCAACAAAGGCACGACCTCGCGTCGCATGGTTTCAAAACCTTTCAAAACCTTCCCTCCTCTGCCTTAGCGAAGCAGGCGTATTGTGGGGCGATAGCCCAAAAAAAACGGCATTCCCGAGTCCCGACCAAAAGCACCCAAGCTAACCTGCAAGCTCCAGTGCTGTGATTCGACATGGGCCGATAAAAATGCAATCGGTATCGAAAACCCCGAATGCCCGGGCCCATGGACGTATTTATGTCTCAATTTGGGGGGCGCCGAATGCCGCAAACACGGGGCTAGAATCCACGCATACCCCCATGGGGTTAAGTAGATCGAATTCTCGCGAAACCCAATTTTCTCAGCCAATCGTTGGCGGTGTTAAGTTTTGCCTCGTGACTAGCGAAAAAAAGTGGCTTCAGCCTGACCCACTTTGCAGAAGGACCGGCTTGGGAGAACGGGACCTGGGAGCGGATGAGGGCCGAGAATGGCGGCGGGAGAAGCCCATAATTCACGGGTGACGATAAGTAATAGGTTGAAATCTGACCACTTCATGCCGAAAAATGGCTCCAGTGCCGGGTTACCACGGGAATCCGGGGTAGATTGATGCGTTGGGGTTTGTCATCGCTGGAATATGTACTCCGCACCACATTGAAAATCGCGTTTAACCAAAATGAATCATTCAATTGAGCTCTGTCCAGGTCAATATACTTTCGTTTTAACGGGCAAGTCGGGAATTTGCGGGGATAATCCTTGTATCTTCCAAGGTTCCAAGGTTGCAACTTGCTGCTGGGTACTATATTTCTCCTCTTGATCGTAACGCCGTTCGGCTTTCCCCTCTGTTGTTTCGCATCTTTCGCCCTGTTTATTGAAATACGAAAGGCTGTCGTTTGAGGACAGAGATAATTAAATGACCGCGAGACAGGACACTCTCAAAATCGTTGAACCGACTGACGCGTGAAAATATTCGCAGGAAACTGCCTCCTGAGCGGGTCGGAAATCCCGGCTCCAACTGACTAAAAGTGGGGCTTTCTCGGGATACTTCATACCGAGCTCGGCTTCCCTTGTCAATGGCAGGAAAAGCTTTCCCCAACATGATATTGCTCAAGGTTCAAGGGGAACAAGTTGCCCTGGACGTGATTTGAAACCGAAGACTCTAAATCTATCTCATTCAGCCGAGACGAGGAACTGCCCATTCATGACCTTCTGAAGACACTTTGGCGATAAACTTTATACCGGTCGCGGCACTGATTCCCCGAAGATTTACCGTCGACTCGCCTTTTCGGCTGTTTACATTCCCCGCGCATATTTCCTATTCCCCGCATTCCCAGTTATACAGTGAGCGGGTTCCTACAGGTTACTACAGTCTACCAACCAGGAACTTGCGGGTGCATGGCACTTGGAGGCCATCACGTTTTACGTGAAACCAAGATCTCAAAACTGGAAATACAGAAACCTTCCACAATTTGTTATCTCGATATATGCAGGTATAAAAGCCTGGGGTGCGACACATACGAACATCGTCACGCATCCATCAGATGTTACAGCTATGTTATACGGGGTCTGCCTTACTTCAGAGATTCCACATCCAGACGATCCAAAATATCAAAGATCATCTTCACGTATTCAGCCGTTCTTGCATTGCCCAGCGTGCCCTCGCCCATCTTATTCATCACGTAAGCGATAGAGACCTTGCGATCCATATCCATGATGAGCATAGAGCCTCCCCAGCCTCCCCAGAAAGCAATACGCCCTGTGTCAGGTATCCACGGAACAGCCTGGCTCGACAGGCCCACGCCTAACCCGAACCGCACTCGGAATCCTAGAACCAAATCAATACTATCCGACTGCTCCTCGAGCATCTTGTTAATAGTAGTCTCAGACAAAAACCTCTTTCCCTCCACTTCTCCCCCATTAGCCACCATCGATCCGATCCGGGCTACGGCATGTGCATTCGAAAAGCCATTTACAGCTCCTAGCTGGACATTGCGGAACTCAGCCGTCGAAGATATCTCGGCTGGCATCATCACACTCATGAATGTCTTCGCCATCACGCTGGTCGGGTCAAGTTCCTTGGGGAAGGAAATAGGCGGCGGGGGAGCGACATCAGCCACGCGACTCCAGTCCGGCTCCTCCTTCAAGCCCAATTGAAAATCCGCCTGGAGGGGTCTTGCAAGCTCATCACGAATGAAATCACCCACTGGCTTTCCTGTGATCCGGTATACGATCTCCCCTATCATGTGCCCCTGATTTGTTATGTGATAGCCAGACTGAATTCCTGGAGGGGACCACCAAGGTTCCTGCGTTGCGAGCTTGGCGGTTGACTTTTCGACGTCGAAAATATCTGCCGGGGTATTGGGGAGATCCCAGGAGGATACACCGGAGGTGTGGCTGAGGATGTGTTTGACGAGAATGTTCTCCTTCCCGCTCGCGGCGAACTCGGGCCAGTAGGTGGCTACGGGAGCGGAGGGATCTAGCAATCCGCGATCGATGAGAAGTAGTGCGGCGATGTTGGTGACGATTTTGGTGATGGACCAGATGACGGTTATGGTATCCTTGGTCCAGGGTTTGGTTCGTGCAGGGTCGCTGTGCCCGCCCCATAGATCCACGATGTTCTTTTCTCCGACGTTTATGCTGATTGAAAGACCAACCTCTTCCTCTGACTCCAACTTCTTGGAAATAAGATCTTGGAGAGGCTGGAATTGTGGGGCACAATGGCCCTGGACTGAAGACATTGAGTAGACTGAGTGGACGATGTAGAGAAGTCAAGGATTGAAATTTCCGATGGTTAATTCAAATCTGGGACTATACAGGCTTTTAATATGCGTAGTTGTAATCGAGAGAGAGGGGTGACTATGCCACATGTGTTTATTCGGGGGATTTGAGACGGCGATCAATTTGGGGGCCAGTTTCGACAGCACAGAGCAAGGAAAAAAGTTTCTGCCCGGTCGGTAAATGGGAGTCAATAAGTATCGTTGGATTGGCACATATGCAGAGTCCTCCTACCTAACTTTCCGATCTTGGTGAGGTACTGAGGTCTTAAATAACATTGAGCATGGAGACTCCAAATATTTTCTTCTGGGCACGTTTTATCCCACCCTTGGAGTTTTGTCACGACGCAATAAGCATGCGCAAGCGGCTGAATCACTCACACGCATAACACGCTCTATAACGTTTCCTTGCTTACTGCCAACACATACAGAACTCGAGGGATTTAAATCTATTTCCAAAGTTTATGTTCTCTGACATCTCTATTATATTTTTCCCTCTCGCTTCCAGATGTCTTTATCTTACTCCATAAACAATACTGACCCTTGAACTTTGCGATCTATTTCTAGGAAGCAATGGCGCCACCCACAGAGATACCAGATGGGTTTTTTGAGATCATTCCTCTTGACGGAAAAGACCAAATCGAGCCCCTGGATATCATACGCTCACTTGTCTTTTTTTCTGTTGGCTCCCCTCTTGACGATGGCAAGATGCGTGATGCCCTTGACCAACTCATCAAAAAACATCTACCTATACTTGGCGCTCGGATCAAATCAACAGGCAAGGTGAACAAACTTGCCTACCATTGTCCAACTCGGTTTCCAGACGACTATATACTCTTTGAATGGACCAGTGCCTGTGTCGACTCCAATTTGGACGACGCCCAGCTTCTACCCGAGAAACCCGCCGGCAGTGCTGCCCCATTCTTTGGCCCATGTAATATCCCTGAACTCGAACTCAAATGGACGCCGAAAGATTGGCCTCGGGATCGAAGAGATCCCAACACGCCTCTTCTTCTGGTTCACAACACATATTATCGCGATGCGACCGTCGTGGCATTGAGCATACCGCATTGTGTTTCAGACCAGATGGGAATCGCCAGCCTGGTCAAGGCCTGGCTACAAGTCATGCAAGGCCTTGAGCCTGATACATTCATTGAACTGAGTTCAAAAGATCTCATTGGGAAAAACAAACCCTCCCCGCAAGAGCTACCACCAGGCAATCGCCAACGAATTATGACAGGCCTAGAGAAAAATACGAGCTTGGTGTGTCCTATTTCTGAGCTGATTCGTCATCCCAAAGAAATGCGACGACTGTTGGTCTTACCAGAATCCCTAATCCACAATTTGCGAAAAAGGATTTCACATGATTTAAAGGCTAAATACGGGGAAGATTCACAGTCTCCGAGCAACGGAGATGTTGTAATTGCTATTGCCACCAAGCTCTCTCACTACGGTCGCAAATCCAAAAAAGAAATCATTCTAACAGGGGCTATCAATGGGCGAGGCCGGTTGGCTTTTCTACCACTAGGACAGCCCTACCTGCACAACTGTATTGGCTTCTCTTATGCTAGGGTTGCGGCAAGTCGCGATACGCCTATCGCGGAAATCGCCTACCGGCATTGCCTCGCTGTGAAAGAGGGGATCCAGGAGCAATCTATTCAACATGATATTTCCGTTATCGAGGAACTGTCTCGAAGAAGACTTACTTTGAGTCTCACTGAGCCATATCGACACTTTTATACTACATCGAACTGGAGTTCTGCATGGCATGGTATTGATTTTGGACCGGCCAGGAAAATTGATCCGGGATCAGATTCTCAAATCGCAGTCAATCTATTTCCGCGCGTGATCGGACATTCTCTCGTTCGGGGTTTTCCAACGAGGTTTATCTGCAAGGTTATGTCCAAGGCAGATGGTGGGTATTGGTGTGACTTTACTACCAGTTCCAAGAGAATGAGGTTGGTTGAGAAGCTGTTCAAGCTGGATCCACAACTCTCGACATTATAATTTTCAAGAAAGGTTAAAATTCGTGCAATTATCAACAGCAGGGGTCATATATTTTACTAGCCTTGGGTGGCACATGCTCGAGCTACGATTAATGAATTTCATTCAGTGCCTATTCGATACTTCCTGTATGTACGGACTGAAGTCTGAGCGGGAGCTTGGGATTTGGGGAAAGTGGTCCCCCCAGCAAAGATAATCAACAATATAATGACAGAAAAAAGTAATGAGTAGATGGCGATATGGAGTTAGATGTCGTTCGAGATCTTCAAATTTTGTCTGTCACCTCATAAATGAGTTGAAATTTTCAATCACATTCACAACATAAGCGGTAATGATATTTCCTGATCACCTCACAGTGCATTGCATAGACGAGACGCAGCTACTAATTTGCTAAGCTTTATTGGTGAGAATAGTGGGGATGGCCCGTGATCACTTCATCCACCTACAGGGGTCCTGCTGTTTATTTCAAATGATGTGATACGTCAACTGGTGGTAGGGTTCAATGCAAGTGAGAACGCCCTGTGTTACTGGTTTGAGAAACTGCTGGAAGCGGGGTACACAGAACCTGAGAAGATGTGGTGGGATTTGACAATCACGTTCTTCCAGAAATAACTGAAAGTTTCTTCTTCCGTTTGGCATCGACACGAGTAAATAATCATGGATATGATATTCCTGGCTCGGAATGGGGCTATGGAATTAATGGAAGATTTCAGAGAGCTGAGTGAACAGATTTTGCCTCGTGGCTTCCTCTGGGCAGCCATCTTGTCGACTTTGGTAAACATCCCATCCAGGTGTTTTGCCAAGATTTCCCCACAGCACTAACCAACTGACAGATCCTGGTTTATACATCATGCAAAGTATGCTACAATTTGATGTTTTCTCCATTCAGATGCTTTCCCGGCCCGAAACTGTGGGCCATCTCCAAGATACCGTCGGCGCTCTGCATTCTGGGCGGACGAAGTCACATTAAAATGCTGGATCTGCACAACAAATATGGTCCAGTAGTCCGCATTGGTCCAACCGATCTATCTTTCAATACTCCACAGGCTTTCCAGGACATCTATGGAAGTCGTCCAGGCAAAGGGCTTTTCTCTAAAGATCCCAAGATTTGGGCCTCCAAGTTAAATGCTCTTCGCGACAGTATCGTCGGGCAGGTAGATCATGATGCCCATGCAAGACACCGTCGCCTGTTGTCACATGCGTTCTCAGATCGATATCTACGTGAACAGGAAGGCATTGTTCTTTCATTTGTGGATTTGCTCATCTCACGACTGCGAGAACGGATAAGTGAAGATGGTCTTTCTAAGGAAGACATCAAGAATTGGATGAATTTTGTCACGTTTGACATCACTGGCGATTTAATGTTTGCTGAAACATTCGACTGCTTAAAGAATAGCCAGCTGCATCCTTGGATCTCGTTCCTGTTTACAACAATCAAAGGAGCCTTGTTTCTTTCCGTGATGAATCGATTCGCCCTTTTTTCGAGGATGAATCAACTGCTTCTCCCAGAATATCTCAGAGAGCAGATGATGAAAAACACGAGCCTCAGTAGAGAGAAAGCCGATCGGCGACTTAAGAAGGAAACCAGCCGCCCCGATTTCATGGCTGCATTACTGAAGCACGGCCTGGGTGATGAGAAGGGTCAATTCACAGAAAATCAGTCAATTATGAGCCTCACTGAGATACATGCTAACTCTATGCTGTAAGTTGCGAATGAAATTCTGACCTAGTCAAGTATTTTCACTGGGTTGACAGTCATACGCAGAATCACCTTGGCCGGAAGTGAAACCTCCGCTTCACTTCTCTCCGGCTGCATTTTCCTGCTTTGCAAAAATGCCACTGCTATGGCCGATCTACGCAGTGAGGTACGTACAGCCTTCTCGGAAGACAAGGAGATTACGCCACGCCAATGCGCCCGCCTAAAATATCTCAACGCCGTGATTGAGGAATCTCTTCGGGTGTACCCTCCACTTGTCACAAGTTTACTACGAATTGCGCCTACGGGTGGCGAATTCGTGGACGGGCACTTCGTCCCAGAACATGTAAGCTACAATGCTCATAAAGTCAGAGCATCTGGAAAACAGTATGAGTACATACTATTTCCACTGAGAGGGTTCATACCGTCGCTGTACCCATGGACACTGAGCAATATATATGCAAGCACTCAAGCGCTGACTTCAAATTACTACCCATAATATAGGCCAATGTATCGACACACCACTACGCATCTTATCACTCCCCAGCCAACTTTGCACTTCCAGATGAATTTATTCCCGAACGCTGGTTGGGAGTTGATGGGAGGTTCAAAAATGATAAAAGGGACGTGTTGCAGCCCTTCAGTCTGGGGCCGAGAAGCTGTATAGGCAAAAGGTATCCGTCAGCCTCTTATTTATTTACTCCGTTTATTGCTGACTGAAACACAAGCCTCGCTTATATGGAGATACGCCTGGTTCTCGCTAAACTCATGTACAATTTCGATATCGAGCTATGCGAAGAGAGTGCAAATTGGATTGATCAGGACGTGTTTGCCCTGTGGCATAAGCCAGCGCTGATGGTCGAATTACAGGATAGATTGTGCTGATAAATAATTGCTCCAGCTATTTAAGAAGCTTCGTGTCCTTTGAAATTGGTTCATTGATATCCTAACGTGACAAGGCTTTTGTCGAAAAAATGTATGATGGTCCCTGAAGGCGGTGGATCTTGGCGTTGAAACAGGCGCCAAGCCCCCCTGAACTAGCCCGAACCAGGCTTAACCCACAGGTACTCCGTACGCCCCTTAAATATACTAAGCGAAAGCGGGGCCATTCGGTGGAGATCGTTTTACAGGGCACATTTCGATGTTTATTTACATTTAAGGGTTGAAATACATGCCACTTGCTTGGATTTGTCTTACATGCAGGTACAGATTCACACTGGTCGCCATCATCAGGTATTCTTAACAATAACCCAACCATGGCTTCAAGTGCCAACATTCCCATTCTCCCCTTGGAGCTATGGCGTGAAATTTCATCACACCTACCAAATCGCGATATCAAATCTATGCGCCTTGCTTCAAAGCGATTCCCCGTGGAACTACGGCTTCAACGAGTGTTTTTGTCACCCAATCCCTTGAACATCAAAGTTTTCGCGCGATTGCAGATCACAAGAAATTCCGCCTGGGTATCACCGAAATCATTTGGGATGATGCTCGACTTTCCAGGGGCCCTCGCAAACACAACGGTTTCCCCGGTGGAGAATCAGATATTAGTGATGAAGAGACTGAAGAGTCTTTTCTAGCTAAACATCGTGCGGGACAAGATTGGGCTCCAGACTGGAGAGTAGAATGGAATTTCCACGACTCTGATTCCGAATCTGATGATGATGACAATGAGAATGATGATGAGGATACGGACGATGATGACGACGATCTGGATGTTGTGCGGAAAAGCGAGAATTTCAGGAAACAGAATTGTCCTTTGTGGTTTAAAGCAGCATGTCTTGAGAGTTTGGACGACCACTTTTGGCGACAGGGCCCCCGTGATTTCGTGGACTATGGGGACCCATGCGTGAAGTCATATAAAGACCTGAGTCGCCTTGGACTTCCACTAGGCAAGTGTTGGGATTTTTATCGAAAGTTGGTTCGACAGCAAGACGACGTTCTTACTGGAAAATACGATGAAGAGGCATTCCTCTACGGCCTCGAGAGATTTCCTGCTCTGAAGAAAGTGACTGTTACTCCTGCAGCCCATGGGGTTCTTTTTCGACCACTTTACCAGACCCCAATGATTCGACAATTCCCACCCGGGTTTTATTATCCCGTTCCTCGTGGATGGCCACTCCCATGCCGTGAGCAACCAGAGGAAGTGTATTGCCACCCATGGCAAAGCCTCAGTGAAAAATACAAAGAGAAATACCACGGGTTTCGCATTGTGACACGCACGCTTGCTCATCAAAAGCACAGTGTAACCGATCTAAATCTGGATGCGTGTGAGCTTCGCACAGGAATCAATTGTATGATCTTTGATGATCCCTGCGAGGAGTATGATAACTTAAGTACGATACTTAAGCGCCCAGGTTTCCGCCAACTTAAGCTTGCTCTTGCTATTAGGGGAATCGAGGAGCCTGGACAGAACTGGCGATCCTTGAGTAACGAAAGGCTTCACCAAGCTCTGGGTGAAGCATCCAGCCTGGAGAAGATCAGTCTCTGCACAGCGGGAATAGTTTCTTATGGAGAGGCTAAAGAGGCACCAGATTATGCCCCAGTTGTTCCCTTAGAAAGCATATTTCCTTTCGACAAATGGCCCAAACTCCGTCACTTCGAACTGTCCCGTTTCTTTGTCAAACAGTCCGATATCTTATCATGCCTATCAAGACTACCGGACACACTCGAGTCAGTGAAGCTCAGCTTTTTGGTTTTTGTTGACAACGGCAAAAACGGCGATGACTGGCATCCTTTCCTCACTGAGATGCGTAAGCAAATTCGTGAGAAGGTTCTCTGGCCTGGCCGACAGCCAAATGTTACTATCGGCTGTATGAGAAGTGAACGCATTCCAGGACGCGCCCGGTGGCTCGGTAAGGAGATAAATGCTTTTCTGTATGGAGAGGGAGAAAATCCATTTCTTGAGCCTCCTAAAGGTCTTTCCAGGATGGGTTTTGGTCAGGATCAAGATTCACTCGATCCTAATGATAAATGCGAGAGACTGTGATATCTTTTGGGTTGGCGAATTCCTAAGGAACATGTGGGGGATCCGAAGTTGGACCATTCAAAAGATCGAAGAGCATGCCAAACGGAAATATTCGAGATCGTCGTTCAAATGATCAGCTATGATCAGTGAAATGAGCTCAACTGGGAGGTTGAGAGCCTCAAGGATTCGTCATTTCCAAGCGATGTATCTGCGGAGCAAGAATTAGATCTAAATTGTGAACAAAAGTATAAAGAAGGAAGAAAGGGAAACTGCATGTGATCAATTTCCTGTGAATACTCTCTAGACTTGAGTTTGTTACTAATCCAATCCTTCCAGGGTTTCGGACGATATCAACACTGTGTTTATACTTTAAATCTTATCCCATATTAGTGCCATCATAATTTAGATTGCTGAATGTAGAATCGGAGAACAGATTAGGCGTCGGAATTCTTGGAGAGTCTAAGAAGGAAACTTACATGTAAATGTTTTATGTTCTTTTAAATCCTTCCATTCCAAGATTCTTTTCCCTAACTCCATTCTCCCAATAAACTGCCAGCGATCAATATCAGGACCACTCAAATATGACGCTTTTCAAATCCAGCTGCAAGCTACGTTTCGATTCCTGCAGGTTGTACTGGAACGAGACTGATTGGCTTTCGTGCGGTTTTGCTGCTGATATTATTTTTTACCATTACAAGCTTCGTGCAGCCGTGCAGCGAGTGGAATACCTTGAGGGAAGGGAAAAACATGAAATTCGAAACTACAGTGAAGAGCTAGAGAATGCGCGTCAAGAAATCGGCCTCAACGAGAGGGAACTTTACTGGTGTGAAACACGTATGCGCTCTACTGGGATTGGGGTTCCATACGCGCTTTTGAGGCAAAACCCAGGGTGGTATCTCCGCAGTGAACTCATCGAGGACTGCAAGGGATCTGGTGGATGCTGTGGCCGAAGCTGTGGATGCTGCAAAAAAAGACAAAGCTCGAAATGGAAAAAGGCAGCCGGGCACTGCACAGCCGACTGCTCGTGTTGCGCTACTCATCGACAGGCGGCTTTTAACCAATGGCAGAAGGACAGAATCTTGAATCGATTCAGAGAGATGCTGCAAGCAAGCGAGCACAGCAATGAGTATTTATGCAAGATGACGATCGGATATTTCGCGGAATTTGATATCCCACGGCTCCAACCAAAAACCGGTGAACCAACCAAGCAAGAGCAATCTGATGATGAAACATTCTGTGATAACGAAACACTCTGTGGGGAATCTGAGAATGGAAGTGACTGTAAAGAAGAGACTAGCTCGATTCCAGAATCCAATGCATCAAGCACTGGCTGGAGAAGGCTTTTAAGACGGAAAGGCTGAAATGATACCTTCAAAATTTGCTTTTTTTAATGGGATTGAAGTGTACTATATAGGACTGTGGATTCGTGGAAATCGTTTTCATGTTATTGCTACTAACAGGGCTGAGAAGTCAAACCCCAAGTGATGTTCAGTCTTAACGCGAATTTGGTTTTTACAAATTGAAGTTTACGTTGCGTAGCTCAAGGTTGGCGGGGAAAGCACCGAATGTTATTTATTTGCTAGGAAGCAACTTTCCTTTCCTCTCACCAAAACCTTTAGAACAAGAATCATCAGCTAGCACTACACCCCAAACCTCAAAAACAGTCATCTCTCATCCGTCAAAACGCCGCACCTTACCAAACTCAAGAAAATTCCGCAGACACAAGAGGCTGAACCCTGACCCACAATGAAGTGGGGCACGTCAACTCCAGGCTCCAACAGCCCCCAAAAAAAGAAAAACAGAATACTCCTTTCGCGTCCCTTCAAGACCCCAAAAACTCAATCAATCACCATGGCAGATCCTACATCGTCACTCGGCTCCAAGGTCTTCAAGGGAATATCCGCGACACTCCTAACCTCATGGACGATAACAAGTCTGGGCTTCTCCGCACTCAACATCCTGAATGCCAATCGCAGCCTTATCGGGACAGCCGCATCAATCAGCCTCCTCACCTACCTAGCCTGCCGACTGCTGGTGCTCACACAGCCCAACATCCCCAATGATTCGATCGCGCGCCTCCTGACAACCGCGCATCGCGGATCACGGCGGCATGCGCTCGCCACTTTCGCGTTCACGTGCGCCTGGCTGTACGAGCTTCTCTCGCAGGCCTTGATCATGGTGTTCATGACGATTTTCGGAGGCGCGATCGCGGCGGCTATTTACAATGAGTCTGTTGAGGAGCCGGTGGGTCCGGTCAATCGAAGCGTTTCGGATATGCAGAATACTTCGCTTGTGGAGATTGGCGAGTTCAAGGACAAGGTTGGGGTGGATCCGGTCGCTCTTTTCAAGTTGATTCCGCCCAAGGCCTTGATTTATTTTGCTGTGCTTGTGTGGGCTAATTTTGCTACTTTGGGCCTTTATGTGCTAAGGCTTTGGTGGAGGTCCGCGATGCTTGTTCTGGGTTCTTCGCCTGTTGGCATTGCTGGGGGCAGCCAGATCGGGCGGTGAATTCACTAGAGTCCTGGCGATACTTGGGATTGACTGAATTGAACTGGTTGTTTCCAGGGGTTTTAGTATAGACCTTTTTGGGTTTATGTTATTAGCATTTTTTTCTTGGGGAATCAGCTTGGATACATCGTCATACCGGAACATCAAGCACTACCTATGGTGTATATATATGCATGATCTCTATTCATTGCTTTATCATGTAGAAACAAAAATAAGTCTATATGCGAAGATGTTGAATACTACAGGACTTAAAACAAACCATCACGGGCTTTCTCGTCCACTTCCTTTTCATTGCGGTACGCGGGATCCTACGCTTTGCCAGAACTTGCAGCGCTCTCCACGCCCGCCTTCCCAGCTGGATGCATTTGCCAGGGTAAAATGATTCGAAACGCCCGGCCCCTCTCGAAGCCAGTACGAGAGATGATCAGTAACCCGATCGAGTACCGTGGTTCCGCCCGTAGTGTTCAGGTTCATGAGTACAGGCGAAGACTCATTCCACGTTGGCCAAGAAATCATCCCGCATGCACCTTCCGGCACGCTGGAGTTCTCTGCATCACCCTTGGCATCTGCGATAGAAATCACTGGTGTATCATTGATAATGAAATTTCCCCAGATTTTCTGGAATGCGTGCATTAAGCCACAGGTTGGTGTCCTCGCGCCAACGGAAAAATAAGCGGTCAGATCTGCTCCATGGTACCCAGGCGTGACCGAGTATTGATATTTCCAACTCTCTTGTGTGGATTTCCCCGAGAAGGCGTCTGCAAGCCAGTATGAGGGGCAGTCGAATGTTGTTTCGGCAAAGATATTGAAAACTGCTTGCTGAAGTCCTGTTGCCATCTCCGACTGGTTCAAAGCGGTTGGGCCACGATCACCTAGAGTGTCGTAGCGAAGACCAGTGTTTTTGGGGGAGCTATGCCAGAATCCGTAGAGATCCTCTAATCGAGAAAGGTCAAGGGGGGTGAATAGAGAGAAAGTGGACTGGATGTAACTCAAGAACCCATTCGTGGTGTTGATGCAAGGTGGACTTAGAGGTACGCCATCATTGGCATTATTCTTAAAAAAGTTAGAATTCAAGGCCCAGCGTCATATTCCAACGCAAGTCTTCAGGAATCAAATACATACCCCCGACAAGATACGCTTGCCGCTCACTTTCTTTTCAAGCAGCTGCTTAGAGGGTAATTCAAGAATGAACTCGCCATCAGTCACAGGCTGAAAGGCCCATGTACCCCATGCCCCAGAGGTAGAGACATTTGCACTAGCATATTGCAAGGTTTCCGTATCTGTCTTGAGTAGACAATCGAAGATAATTGGCTCCGATGTGATTTTTCCATTGTAACATCCCGCCCGAGCTGCAAAGTTAAGATAATGGCTTGTCGGGATTTCATCATTATAGTGGTACATAGCCGGGGTGTACGGACTAGCGGCGATAATCTGCAAATGTCAGCCGCAACACCCAACTCATCTTACAATGTACATACGTTGTTGAATAATTTGTCTTCGCGGCCTCCGTAGGCCATCGCCTGCAACATCGCCGAGCCAGCACCGGAGGATTCACCACCAACAGTGACGCGAGATGCATTGCCACCGAATATCTCAATATGCTCTTGGACCCATTCAAGGGCAAATCGTATGTCCAAGAGACCTGCATTCGTTTGGCCATACCTGTAAACATCCTCTGAGGAAAGGAAGCCAAATGCACCCAGTCTGTACTGGATCATAACAGCAATGAAGCCGTTCTCGTTGGTATTCATCCACTCACTGGGGTCATAAATAGCCCCAAAGAGTCCATACCCGCCACCATCTGTGAATTATTTAGCTTCCGTGACTTCAAAATTGACTGGGCATTTTAATTAATCTGGATGAACATACGGATCCAAAGAAGAACGGGAAGATCTTTTGCCCCAGGGGGCGCGTACACATTAAGAAATAAACAGTCTTCATCGCCAAGAGCGGAGTTAAAGCCATAGATTTTTGGAATTTTTGCACCGCCAGATTGAGGACAGCGAGGAGGCTGCTCAGTAGCGGATGTGGTAAAAGTGCGGTTCACAAGGGGAGCTTGTGGAGCTTGCCATCGCAGGTTTCCAATCGGAGGGGCTGCATAACGAATTCTGGACCAGGGTCAGCAGGTAACACAAGATGAAGTCAAACCATTCAGATTCCGCAAAAACTTACCCTTTGAAAACGTTCAAGTCGTAGGTACTATTATAGTACCCCCGGTAGGTAGCGTAGCCTAGGTCAACCACTGGGCTATGGGAATTATCCAGACCCACCGACGTTGTTATGAGTGCCAGAAGAACAAGGCCGCATATCCTGACCATAAAACGCATCCTGGCCAGCAATGCTCCTTGGAGCGAGTAAGCTTTTGTCGGAGCTGAAAAGAAAGGCAAGGAACAGCGGTGACTTAATTGGAGCTGAGGGGTGATTGGCGAGCGTGCCGATCCCAGCCCCTTATGTGCTGTTTATGCAAGGTCGGCATCTGCTTGCTTACTCACAGCAAGCGCTTGGCCCATGGTTTCACAAACAACGCGTGAAAGGAGGATAACGGCCATAATAAGAAATGATTATGTGGACCGTGGCGCCACAGTCTAAATTTGCATTAAAGTTGGTGATCTTTGTTACTCTTGGTCTGGGAAAATGGATCTCAGCCGAGAGAAGTGGAGCAGGGTGGAGGGCATGGTGGTGGGGAAGGTGCGTTGTTGTCGATCATTTCTGATCAACCTATCAAAGAGGAAGGTCACATTATCCGCCCCCTCTTGATCGTGGTAACATTGGGGCCAAGGCCCAGGGCGCGTCGAGGTCACCTATACTTGGCATCCCTTGGAGATAGACTTGGGGGTGTGCAGATGCCCAAGATAGCGCGATGAACGCCCGATTTCCCCTCGATCCCCAAGCGTGCAATCAAATCAAAATCCGGGAAGAATTTGGAGAAAAAAAAATATTACATCTTTTGAAGCCCTAGCAATGGGTTACACGCGTGCAACCAGAAGCTACCGAATACGCGATCGCCGACCATTTTGACAAAAGCATACGAGAAATACAATCAGGACTCCCCGGCCATGTGATCTTCTTGAAACATTTCAAGTATTCAGGCAAATATCAGGTGCCATCTCGCTGCTGTTTTCTTGATTATATGATTATTCTCCAGCTCCCTGCATTCCTTTCCTGCCTCATGGACTTTTATCCCTTTAGTCGACTTATACATTTCCCATGTGCCTCCGTGCTCACGATTTTCATGTGTATCTTTAGCTGTGACAACTCAGACCTCGGAGCACAACGATGGGTGAAATCGATTTGAACGCATCCCGGGTTACGACAGTGACCGTGTGTTATTCCATTCCGATTCCGATCATGATAATATGTACCGGGCTACGACTTTTCGTAAAACTACGACCCTCGTCTAAAAATGTTATCGCTTTTGATGATATGATGATCATCTTCGCTACAGTCAGTGACATGGTTTATTTGAGGCACTTTCACCCTCCAAAATTTGACAAGCAACCGGTATTCTAACATCAATACATTACAGTCAATATCCGTTGGTCTGTGCATAAGTGGCTTAGTATATGGTAAGCCATCATTGTCTGACAACTTGCAAGACCAGGCGGCTGACCATGATTTTTGTAATTGCAATAGGTCCACCTTATGGCTTTGGTCGGCACGCAGCTGCGCTCTCTACCCAAGACATTGAAGATTTTTTACGGGTACGATAAATCATCGCTTTCAACATTCGCTTTCGAAACTAAACAATATCTTTTTGTTTAGGGTGATTATGTTTTTAGTCATTTCTACGACTGGGCTATCGCAAGCATCAAGCTAGCGATCCTTTCTCTATACTATCGCATCTTTAGCACTGTCGTCTTCCGCCGAGTGGTGATTGGCACCGCTATCTTCGTCGTGCTTTGGCTCGCGGCCATGGAAATTGGTCTCGGACTACAATGCATCCCCGTTCAAAAGGCCTGGGATGCAAGTATAAAGGGTACTTGTCTCAATCTGGTGGCTTTTTCATACTTCACCAATATCACCAATTTGATCACCGACATATGGGTATTCTTGCTCCCACTACCGATCATATTCAAACTACATGTTACGCGACGGCGGAAGTTCGAGCTTGCAGGAGTTTTTGCCATCGGTCTATTGTATGTCTCCCATCCAGATTTTCGAACTTTGTGCTGATTTTAGTAGCACATGTGGTGTAACTCTTGCCCGTTTAACAGTCGTCGTCTCCCAAGGATCGGCAGATTTTATGTGTAAGCCGCAATCGCTATAGCCCTCGAGGGCCACAAGATAAATACTAACAGTCTCTCAGGGTCCGGAGTTCCTCTTGGAATTCTGTCGATATACGAGCCTCTTTGTGGCATAATTTGTGCAAACATTCCTTTCCTCTACAAGCTGGGAACTACGGCCGTCAAGAGAGTTCTTTCCTATAGATCATCCCAGGCAGGCGATTCCAATGCCACCCCACATGACTCGGAAAGGAAAAGACGGACTGGAAGCATGCAGAGCGAATGGCTCGCGCTGTCCAAGGCAGCCAAAACCTATTCAGCGACTGTCAGTGAGAGTCGGTCGTATGCCAACCCGGAATCAAGATTGTCGGCGGAACGATCGTGGTCAATATCGCATCCGGAGGCACAAGAGATAGAGGATTGTTGAGGCAGAGAGATAATATGTAATGATAATGATTAATTGATACCTGGTAAATTCTACCTGAGCACACTCAGAAACTTGCAAGACTACCTGGAGTTGAACACTAGTACCCAAAAATCCATGGAAGTAATTCGAATCTTGGACAGATCCGAGGTCGAAGGACCGGGAAAGGGGAAAATTCAAATTACCCTGGACATCTGGAACCTTGGAATGTTTGAATGTTAATTAACTGCTTAAAGTCCACCTTACAAACTACAAGTACTGTTATCACAAGATCTTTTCAAAGTGTTTAGCCTTTTTTCTTCTTCTCTTTTCTTCTCTTCTCTCTTTCTTTGTCGCGTTCCGAATGAAAGATTATTTTCTCTTGCTTCCCCCTGGCTCCTCTTTCCTATTGAACGCAATCCCTCCAGAATAATGCGTGTTTATTTTCTATACAACCAAGTCAAAACCTATACCTACTACTTTGTCCCCTCCTCTACCCGTTGCTAACATAAAATGGAGATCTACACGAGATGCAAAAACCATGCGAATGAATGGAAGCAGATGGGGAAAATCTGGGCTGAGTGCGGTGTCGCTGACGGAAGACTTAATGGCGAATCAACCAGTACTTGCAAATCTTGACTGGTTGGCTGCTAGTACAAAGGATCTAGACGCCCGACATGTTGCTGATGCGGTCAAATCTCCGAGAACCAGCACAAAAAATACAGCCAGCCTCCAACCAATCTACGTCAATTCAACTTGCCACAATGACCAGGTATTATTCTTCTATCCATGCAAAGAAGGCGGGAAAAAACTCCTCGTGTATGGTGAATGTGCCTACTATTATGGAGAGGGCCCACGAACTGATGACCGATAGTTGCGGCAAAATCGAGCATTCCCAGTGGATCCTTTAGCCCCACTCATAGCGGCAGCTTTTCCCGACCGTTTATACAAGACGGCCGGCTGGCCCAATGGCAAGGCGCTTGACTACGAATCAAGAGATTGCAGGTTCGATCCCTGCGTCGGTCAATCTTTCCTCCTTCATGAGGAAGACCATTACAATCAATCGTCTTCAACAGGATGAGGATGTTTTTTTTTTTTTCATGCTTTTGAAATTGCTTTCAGGTAAGCACGCAACAGTGCCAAGACGGATGAGGCTTCCCTAGTACATGAGAACCTCACTTGAGCTTGGAGAATACCAACATTGGAGCCAGTGCTTACTTAGCTGCGGAGCTCCAGGACACTGCCTCGGATATATACAATCATCAAAATACGGGGGAAATGCCTTTGAACATTGAAGTGGACTGGAACTAAGCCATTGCGTTGACCTTGGGAAATATACCGATTTTCTCACTCAAGTTGATTAATACATGCTGCCTACCAAAATTATGGGACTCAACATATACGAATGACCATGCTTCAAATATGAGACCACTGAAGATGGTCAAGGTGGGATGCTGACTGCGGTCCCGAGAAGCGGCAAATTCCGCCGAAGTCCGACATTTTCGTTTTAGCGCCGGCGCTACCTCTAGCTTACCAGTAAGCAGCATAGCCCCCATTCATCACGATGAGAAAATTAATTAAGCAAATTCTTTTTCTTCTTTTTCTTGGCTAATGCTTGTTTCCTTTAAAATTTCAAGTTTAATTTTCAATGTCGGCCTCCTTCCCGACACCGTGCGCCCAACCGGTACAACAGATCGAAGCCATCCGACTGATAATCGAGCATTTCTCTGACTCACCCTCCGAATCGACAGGTTGTGTGTCAGAGACGCGGAATGAGCTGACTTTGCTTCTGAAAGTCCTTGGCGACATTGAGGCACAGCTATCAAAATGTCAAGATCATGGAAGCTCAAAGCTGGCGAGCAAACTCGAAGAGTGTCACTCTTGTCTATTGGGTTTGAAAAAGCTCCAAGAATCCGGCGAGGAATATGCATCACAAGGTCCTTTGATCGAAATTCAAGGTCAATTGTCGGAATTGATATTTGAGTTCAGTGTGATAAATGCGGACCTAGCGATGTATGTTGGCCCTTGTTTTGTTCATGGCAGATATTCTCAACAATTTTGACACCTTTTTCAGATCTTACCATGCTGAAATTGACCGCCTACTGCAAAAATATATTGAAGAGCGGATTGACGAAAAGCGTGCCGATGGAGTTATTTCTCCAGAGTTAAATGGTGAAACAAACTTGGTTGACGTGCACGGCAGATGGCAAGTGTTGCAAAGCGAGCTGCAAGAGTTCGGTATCACAACTCAGCAGTCTGCCCAAGAACGCGATTATATTACCAAAGCCATTCAAAAAGCCGTGGACGAGAAAAAGAACCCGGCTGCAAGTTTTCCACCGCCCTCCGTGGAACCTCTTTCCAGTTCATCGAGTCTAGCTCAAAGAAACACAGATCAAGCCCATGGGGCTTCCTTCCAGTCACTGCCCGAAGGCATTTCAGAGAACAATTCAACGCCTGGAGAAATCACAAATATTACTCCGTCGGCGACAGAACCATTTACTCGAGGCAAAAGACCCAGTTTGTTTAAACGGATGACGTTCAAAATGGCAGGCGACCAAGACGAGCTTTTCTCCTTAGTCAAAACGGGCGACCTGGAACCGATCAAAAAAGCGCTCAGCAAAGGTGCGAATGTCAACAAGAAAGACTTAGATGGACTTACAGCACTGGCCATAGCCAGCTCCTGCGGCTACCAACAAGTCGTATCCATGCTCCTTGAGCACAAAGCCAAGACCGAGATCAAGGGGAAGAACTCAGAAACAGCCCTCTTCCTAGCGGCCCAGAAAGATCACGAAGGCATTGTCAAGCTACTGCTACTGAATGGGGCTAATCCAGATGGTCCAAATGTCCAAGGGAAAACGGCCCTCTCTCAAGCCGTGACAAATGGAAACTTGAGCATCGCCCGTCTGTTACTGGAAAAGGGGGCTACCCCCGGTATACTATGTGCAAATGGCGACACGGCTATTACCAGTGCTGTTGTGAACGATCACATAGAGATCACACAACTCTTGCTCAATCATGGCGTTCCAGCAGATCAGATTGGGCTTTCTACTAGGACGCCGCTTTTCAAGGCTGTGATGAATGGGAATGTTAGGATGGTCAGGCTTTTGATGGATCACGGAGCGAATCCGAACTTTCTGGATAAAAAGGGCTGGTCGGCTATAAGAGTGGCAGTGGAGACTGGGAAAGATGATATCGTGGAGATTTTCCATCAGTACGGCCATGTGTATGAGCCTCAGAGATTGGGTATTGTAAGGATGGCTGGCGCAGAGGGGGCAGTGAGTCTCCTTACTGGTATTGGTCAAATGATTTGAATTTTGGAGACTCGAGATCGGTGGATTCAAAATATTGTTGACGCTATTGCTACCATTCATGCATATGGTATCGTCCACTACGATACATAATCAGTCCAATCTGATCATTTGCCGCCCCGAGCTTGACGTCAGTCGTACAATCATGTCTAGCTACCACGAAATATTGTGTAATATAAAGCGCTCCATTCAAAAAAGTATATTGTATTGTACCCTGTATTTCACTCTATATTGTACCCTGTATTGTACTCTGTATCATACCCTGTATAATACCTTAAATCCCTACACTTCCTAATATATTGAATTCCTCAACTACAATATACGTTGAATTCCCGAACTTTATTATACACAGCGCTGCATTATATGTAGAATCCTCGTAAGTCTTACATATTAAATCCTTCAAAGACCTCTATCATATATTGAATCGCTGTACTTCTTTATGCTACTTCTCTTTCTTGAGACAATTTAACATTCAAATGTTCCCAATTCCAGTCGACTACTCAAACTTCGGGACGTTTGTCCATCAACCTATTTTCCGGTGCCACGCGCGATCGCGCGATAGATGTACCCACCGTTTGGTCATGTGTCCAGTTTACTCTCACTTTATCGCCCTGTAGATACCAGTTCTTCCTCTTTCTCTTCTTCTTTCTTCCTTGCAGCACCCAATACCACAGCATCGCGTTCTCGCCCTCGTTCCTCGCAGACTCGTTCTTCGTGTTCTTTCACTCACCAACTGCCTACTCATTTACGACCTGTCGCAATCATCCATGTCTGAGCCATTGGATTTGCAGGTATCCGGATCAAATCATTCAGATGTTAGTATTCCAAGCCCGCCGGTATCATCTTTGGGGTTATCGACATTTGCAGAAGCGAAGTCATTATTAGATTCGAGACTGTCATCATACCAGCATCTCGGTCTCAATAACACCACGGCTACATTGATCGAAGCTTGTTTTTGATACCTTCCGCTAGATGGACAAGTCAATCTGTCAGAAGGTGTGTGCGCTTGCAATAACGACGCTGAGAGTCGCCAAATCGTCCGCTGCCCAGCGCTTCGAACTTACAACTACATGCTGCGATTGGCAATATATTACATGCAACCGGCCGAGGAGAAGTTATAGAAAAACTCATTCGAGACTTGGGAGACAATGACGGCGGGTTATGCGAGGACGGAAGCACAAACATCGGTGATCTACTTTCGGTCCCGCTGTCTGCCGATGCTTGCGTCTACAATGGTCACTCCTGCCAAAAGGGCACCCGCGTCGGTTCCACCGAGTGAAAAGCTGGTGACTGCATCAATTCCTCGTTACTATAGACCAAGAGATCAAGAAGATCGGAGCGCCCTTTGATGGATTCGAGAGAGAATCAGTTGTATTGTTTCTTTTTCTCCCTTTCTGATTTCTTTTTTGCCTCATTGATAGATTTCATGTTAAATGAGTTTCCCTTTCATCTGACGGAGCCATAGTTTGCGATCGAATCGCTATTCCAGCAAGGCCTTTGCATCCCCAGCATAGACGAATGTCTTTCCACGCGCCTCGGCTGGCTCTTCATTGTTATCAAGATGGATCAAGCAGGGCGCTTCCATATAAGGATTCGTCTCGTAATACGCCAGCTTTTGGGCTTCTTCTTCAGTTTGCACGAAATACGCATATCCGTCAATCTCCTGGCCCGATTCTCCATCTATTAACGCAGGATAATCGCCCCACTTGGCAATCGCGTATCCGATGACTTTCGCTTTCCGCAGTCTTGGCTTTTCGGGCAGGTCGATGATTCGTTGAAGGGTTGCCGGTGCTGTTAACGTCCGGTAGAAAAAGTAATAAACCGGGTATTCGGGGGGTAGTTCAAGTTGTTCGGCCTCAAAGTTTGTGAGATAGTCAGGTGGTGCGGACCGCAACATAACCTCGTATGGTGTTAATCCCTCATCCCGCATCCATGTGTCCGGAGAATCAGTATCTGCTTGCTCCTCGGGATTCTGCGACATATTCATTGACGCGACACTTGGAGGCAGAATTTTGGTGAGTTCAATGAGTTGAGAAGGGCAAGACGGCCAAGAAGGCACCGAAATTGGCAAGATAAAAAAGCTCCCTTGGTGACGAAAGCCTGCACATGTGGTGGTTCGCAGCTCGATATGGGCAGTTTCGGTCTTCTTTTTCAGAAGTCGGAAGCTTCCAGATATTGGAATTATTGATCTTGGACTTTGGTATTTCGTAAGAAGTGAAGAGGTTGGTGACTTTCTGAGTGTGGGATTCTCTGGGAAAGGAAAGTCGTTTGTGTTATTTAACTATTCCGGATGTTTGATTGCGTCTCCATCTCGAGTCCTGCCGCCTACGCACGCACCTTCCCTTACGCAGTGCACATTTGAGCAAATCAAATGATAAGCGCCTACCCCCACCCACTAACCATATGTAGCTAGCGCCGGGCCAGAATTGTACTAGTAGTAGATCATGATTCATGGCGGCCATAGGCTAGAGCCTAGCATTCAAATGTTGTTGACTATGATATCGGTCTCGCCAAGAAGGCCACAGCTTTAATTTATAGGCAAATAAATATCTAAATCTTCATCTACAGGAAATTTTTTATACTCTTCCTCCGCTGATCACGGCCCACGGGAGCAGACCTGAATGGTTTCAACAGTGGTTTTCACAAAATTCCACAAAATTCCGCCCAAAGCAGTCGACTGGAGAGTGAAAGGACCGCGGCGGAATTTCGGAACAGCCAAAACGTAAGGCACCCCCCTGAGAGCTAAGGGGTGACCATTGCAGCTGCTGGTTCACACTTTCACAAAGAGCTTGAATCCTACTTTCATAGTGCGCACGGTAAGGAGAATGGCGGCGGAAGTGAAGAACATGACTCCGCACCACACGATCAGACCGCTCCAGTTCCCGTTACTGCTGTCTCCGAGAATGGCACCCGCGACGGGGCTGCCAATGAGTGCGCCGAGGCCAATGATGGCAAAGCTCATTCCCAGTCGTGTAGCCCAGACACTCTTATCGGGAGATAGGCTCGTCACGATCGGGATCGGAAGAGAGACGTAAGGGGCGGAGACGAAGCCATAGACGACGGCAAACGCAATGACCCCACCGGGGGTCTTGATGCCCAAGAGAGCAAAAGCCAAGCCAGCAGAAATCACCCCAAAGATAATCTGCACATTCATGAGTCCATAGCGTCCGGCGAGCCAGTTGGGAATTAGACGGCCTAAAAATGATCCGGCGTTCAGAATGGGCAGCATGTAATTGGCGAGATTCTCGTTGGCACCGGCCACTTCGGTCGCGTAGAGGGAAATAAAGTAGTAGAAGACGTAGAGTCCCAGGAAACTGACGAAGAAGCTCAGACAAGCAACAAGGTAGAGCTTGTCCTTGAAATGTCTGAGATCGATTACTTTCCTCTTTCGCGCATTCTTTTCAACTCGGACTCGCATCACAGCAATGGCGAAGAACATGGTACCGAGCACGATGAAGCCCATGATTCGTACCGTCCATGGAAATCCAATCTGTGCCGTAAGCCGTTGAAGCATAATGGGGTAAATGACGGCACCTGAAGAAAGAGTTAATTGCGTGTCAATTTCACAGAGCAAACCTTCAACCTACCAATACTTGATCCGGTGACGGAGATTCCAATTGCAAGAGGAGTGCGAGTAGAAAACCACTGCGACACGACCGACGAAGCTGGCAAGAATGTAAGACCAAAGCCAATGCCAGTCACGATGGTCTGGGCCAAAAAGAACTGGTAGAATGAATGACACAAGCTGACCATCATTAAACCGAAGACAGTGACGACGGTCCCAATACCGAGCAGGAGATGAAGGTGTCCCGTATCCAGAAGCGGGCCGGTGAAAATGCAGACGGAGTAACAAACGAGGAACTGGGCGGAACCAATCCATGCGATTGTCGAGGCAGATTCGGTCTTGAGAAGGTCGGTCTCGTAGATGGTTTGAAACTGGCCATACGTGTTGAGCAGGCCAAGAACGTTGAACATGATCGTCCAGGCGCCAGCAACCTGTAGCCAAGCCATGGAACCCCCATTTGGCGGAGGAGGGAGCTGCGACCCATCTTGCCCTTGCTCTGAAGACAATGCGCCCGGCGAGGCGTGTAGCCTATTGCTGTCTTCGCGGAGTGTCAAAAAATCTGGATCGTGCTGTTGTTCCTTAGAATCCATTTTCGACGAACTTTGATGGGGAGCATACCTCGGGAGTGGGGAGGAGAGCGCGAAAAGATAAAGGGAGCGATCAGTCTCGTGGATTGGTAAGCTCGCTCTTTGTTTCGGCTCTGAAATTACGTACAGGAAGGAATGATGTCACGGGAGGATCTTGCAGGGATCATATTCAAATACCCAAATGTTGGAACTGTCTGAAAGCGGCATAATTGGCAAATTATCGGGGGCTGAAATTGTGATTCAAACGCATGAAGTTATGCGGGGGCAGTGGGGTCCACCATCGGGCAACCTACAAGAGCTAAATCCAGGGGTCCAAAGGATCGCATCATCTTCGCAATTTTTCGGCCCGCTGATAAGGAGTACCTCGACGTACCTCCAATTAATCATGTCGTATCAATGTTACGAACCGGGCCTGTCGTACAGGTTCGAAGGCATTACCCCGTATATCTGTGTTGATCGCTCGTCAATACCGGATCGTTTGCCCTGTTGGGTACCGGTCTGGTTACTAACACAAATGTTTGTGGCCTTGTTCGGGTATGCGCCATGGTAACGCACACAATAAGATGCGAAGAGATTTTCAATATTTCGCGTTTCTATTAAGTAACATTGGAAGTTGAAAATTATCAATACAAAATTTCTCATGCCACATTCCCTACGCTAAATTTGCTATCTGCATGAAGAGTGATCTATTTACGAGTAATAACACTAAGCGTGAAGTTTCCCGTAAAGGACCAGGGCAGCAGTACCGGTAGAACATTGAATTTAAATGCATACTAAGGTAAAGTAAATATGACAGATCTCACTACCACCCCAACCACCAGGCAATGACCAGACCGCTCTAAACAATAGAGTAAATCTGACTATTCTCATCGTCGAAGCCCATAGATTGAACTATCCAGGCCATGTCTGGAGTCATGTCCACTTCCTCCTTGGCCTCTGGGCTGATCTCTGCCTCGGTGTTCGACAGATCCGAAGTATCATCTACAACGGTGGCACTAGAGCTGATGTTCTGGGCTTGAGCAGCATTGCTATTCTCATCACCACTCACTGATCTAGGGCTTCCACCGCCCCAGCCGTTCAACTCCATGGCCTTGGTGATGGTGTAGGGGAATTGGGTCTTTTCGTCTTTGTTGGCGGCGAGAGCCTTCTCTGCGGCACTACTGTATTCATGGACATCGGATATACAGAGTGCGACATGGTGGTAAAGTTGACCGGTTCGCATGGACTCGTATACTTTGGCAATAATCCCGCCCATAGTCACACCTCTCTTGGAGTCATGACTAGGCTCGCCCCAAGTAAAGTCGTCTTCACCATCGATTGGGTCAGAGATGAATTTATTGCTCATGAATGGCACACCAAGTTCATGGCGGACAAACTTATACATACGACTGGATGCACTACCAATGTATGGTGTGGCATCTGGGTTGGCATAGTATTCTTCTCGGTTCATTTGGAAGATGTCGAGTGCAGTGGCACAGCATTTGTCTGTCCATATCCGCAGAGCCCCTATCGTTTCCGTGGTGGTCTTGATGTGTTTGAGGACAAGTGGCTGGAGAGATTCGAAAGTAACCGCAAATCGCCTTGGCGAGTCAAAGTGAGTGTACGTGTCGAGTGTCTTTTGAAAGGCAACCCAAATTGCAGATAGGAATACCTCCGCATTCTCAGGCAGAATCAGTTCTTTTGAGAAGGCCTCGCCGGTCATATCCTTGAAGATCGGAGCCAACGTTCTCAAGTACTTGCAGGACATTGCGCGAAGATCCAAGGCCTGGCAGCAGGCAACGAGGTGCGCCGAGGATAACTGTGAAAGCGTCTCGATGGCCTCCAACGTATATCGGCCGGAGATGAGGGCCAGAGAATTGATGGATTGATTGCCCATTTCTGCGGTCTGAACGTGGCTGCCAACCGGATTGGCCAAAAACCCAAGTTCAGCCTGAAGGGCAGCGATCATAATATCGGTACCTTTCCAGATGAAGGATTGACTTGGTTCCTCAGCGACGAGATTCGGTGGAAGTCCACGATTGGTTGCCGGGTTAATGAGTTCTGCACACTGGGAGAATAGCATTCGTCCGATGGTCTGAAGTGACTGGCGGGTCTTCTCCATCGCACTGGTGACGGCACGAGCCTGGAAGTTCCCCCCGTGCATCATCCTACCGCCATGGGCGGGGTTAACGAGAGGGTTGTCAGTCACCGAATTCATCTCAATACTGATCTGCTGGTGGGCCAAATGCAAATCCTCCATGACGGGACCAATCCATTGCGATGCCGTTCGAACCGAGTATCGGTCTTGGCGTAGCTCTCCCTCTTCCGTGTCGCTGTGCTGGACAAGCGACGACTTTGAAAGAAAACCGTGGATATTCTGCGCCGTTTCAACCTGACCTGGATGAGACCGGATCTCTCCGAAAAATGAGTCGAAGCTCTCGTCGGTGCCGAGAAGGGCTTCGACACTCATGGCAGTCAAAATCTGAGAAAGAGTGGCTTGTCCCATGGCATCGTGCAATGCCAGTGATCCGACTGCACAAGAGACGGCAGTACCGTTGACAAGCGCAAGACCCTCCTTGGCGCCCAGAGTGACAGGCTTGATACCTTTCTCCGCGAGTGCAACGTCAGCCCTCTTGAGGCAGCGCTCGCCATTGGCATTGCGGGTCCAAACGTCCAAGCCCGGCTTACCCTGAAGCACACCAGCGATGTAGGACAGAGGGCTAAGATCCCCAGACGCGGATATGCTTCCCTTAATGGGAACCAATGGCGTGATGCCTTCTTCTAGGATCTGGTGCAAAGTGCGAATTGTTGTTTCTTTAATGCCAGAGAAACCAGAAGCGAGAGAGTTTAGCCGAATCAATACGGCTGCTCTGACCCAGGACTCTGGCATCGATGTTGCGGCTACTGGGTGATCAAGAGAGAGGGCTGACTGGCTGATGATATCGTTTATATCTGTGTCATATCGCGACTCCGGAGCCTTGACTGGTCGCTCTTCTGCGATGATGCCGTATTGAAGCATGCGAATAAGGTTCGACTGGAGCTCTTCAACTTCATTCGTTCGTGTGTTGGCACTCCCACCGAAACCAGTGTTGACGCCTGGGATAATGTAAGCTTCAAAAATTGAAAGTCGGAATTGATAAAGACGGGTCTCACCATATACGACCTCTCCTCTGTCGATACTCTGTGAGACCATCTCGGCACTCTTGACGATAGCATCGATGCTGTGATCCGACAACTGGGACGGTATTCCATATCTGGATTGAAGTCAACATATTGGCGTCAATGGTATGACCTCGGGGGCAAGGATGCCGTACCTCGCAATTGCGATTACACTGGCCAAGTCAAGGCTCTTTCCGTCAATTTGCTCATGAGTGGAGGGCCCTTTTAGCTTGGTGGCAATGGCGTCCCAATGCGCCAGGTATAGATCGTTTATCGCTCCCAAAAACATCTTCTTGAGACTAGGCTTATGTCGGTGGATTTCGGTTCAAAGATTGAATTGGAGGATGAAAGCAAAAGCTGATTGAGAAGATAAGAATGGCTGCAAGGCGATTGAGTTGAAGAGGAACTTTTCTATCCAGAAACCAAGACGAGGACGCCATATATGAACAATGTAGAGAAATTCGGCCTGTAGCTATACTGCTGGCGGCCTGGGTTTTGGGAAATACATCAATCAGCCCGATTCCAGAGATTTGCCACATAAGCGTGTGAATCTTACGGAAAGTATTGTATGTGTATTCTGGCCCCAGGATAACCTCTTCAACGTGTTAATGGGATCAAGAACTCGCATAAGCCGATAATCCTTTCAATGTGGTGAACCTTTGGTATGAGGTATTTATTTTGATTGGCTCAAAATGAAGCTGAAACATAGTATCGCAGCATTTGGGCGCATCAATCCTTTGGACCCCCCAATCCTTTGGACCCCTTCAATCCTTCGGCGAACACGAGTTCGTCATCCAGAAAACAGTCACCCGCCAAGGATGGGAAAGTCCGCATTTCACCTGTCTGACACACGTAGGTAAAGTTTTCCACAAAGTGCTGCCGCCATGAGCCTCCGTGCGATCTTTGTAGTCTTAAATGCACGGAGAAAAATGAGGAGAGCTATCTTTGAAGCCAACTTTCGGAATTCTTCGAGCTCCAATGCAGCATGATTGGATGTTGGGACTAACTTGGTTGCCTAGTGACGGGAAAAAATAGCCCAGAACGAGAAGGCAACCATGACGTCTACAGGTAGTATTCCCTATGTGCGTGGCGAAATAAAGAGAGGATGACTCGGAGAGAGGTGATCAGTCTGCAGGTGGGATCGATCCTTCATGCATGTGGTGGCGCGTTGATAACGGGAAGGCGGCTTGGGGTGAGAAGATCGGCGTTTAGTGTGTAAGCGACGCAGCCGATTGGACGATGCGTGTGTGCGGCGGGCGGCCCGAGGCGGGGCCCGAGGCGGCTGACAAGGCTGTAAGAACACTGAGAGATATCATCTCAGTGGCCATGGATGTTTCCGACTTTGTAAATAGTAGGCAAACATGAGATTTGTTTTGTTGAATCCTGATAGACCATCGAAATCTTGATTACGGTATTGACGATATAACCATCATCAGCACTTACTCCACACCATACGACGATACAATATACTGAACGCGTCATCTTGGGGCCTGCTCACTGCGAATTTTGCGTGATCTTTCCCCGCAGGATTCAACTGGCACAAAATGGTGAGGATCGACAGATCTGAAGTAATCAACGACCAACTGGACCGGTTTGGTCGAACTACAGCCGTAACACATCATCCACGCCATCAACTACATTCATTCTTCGGGGCCCCGGGGCCACGGGAGCACCTTGAACTTACACTTTTCTACTCAGCCCCCACCCTATGACAAATTGATGTGGTTCATGGGAATATCATGGGTTATATATTAAAACCCGAACGTGCTCGGATATGCGACCTGTATCATTCCATCATTCCACACTTCTATCAATTGTGTTGTTTCTACCAATTCAAGCACCAGTGCTTTTTACTCCTTGACTCTCGCCATGGGTGAAAACTTGATCTCTACCGTGCTTCAAGCCGACAGGGAGAACATTCTTCGATATGCCCCGTTTATGGGGATTGCCCTTTTGTCACTTCTGGATATTCAATATTTTCGAAATCCCCTGAGGAACGTCCCTGGTCCATTCTGGGCGAAATTCTCCAACCTCTGGCTTGTTTATCATACTCGCCAGGGCTCAATGCACCGCAAGATTATCGAAGTCCACGAGAAGTACGGACCGCTGGTTCGACTCGGACCGCACGAAATCAGCACTGCGGACATAAATTCTCTCGGAACCGTTTATGGTTCGTATCCGGGCTCAATTTCAACTCCATAGTTCTATGGCACTAACCATCTTAAAGGTGCGGGCAACGACTTCCGCAAAAGCGACTGGTATATGCCATGGCAAGGCAACCGGAAATGGGACCTGTTTTCAGAACGTAACGAAAGTATTCATCGATCACAACGGCGATTGGTCAGCCATATATATTCGCTATCGAATATGAAGAAACTGGAGCCTTACGTCGACAGCGCTATCTTATTCTTGCTCAAAAAGTTGGCTTCCATGGAAGGTGAAAAGATTGACGTGGGAAGATGGACTAGGCTGTTCGCCTACGGTGGGTTAATTCCCCTCACTGACATTGTGTGACATAAATCTAACTTCTACATACAGACGTCATTGGTGAAGTCACATTCTCCAAGCGATTCGGTTTCATGGACGATGGCATAGATGATGGTGCCTTTACCATGATCGATAATATCCTGCAGTGCGCTAATTGGGTGGGGCACATCCCTTGGTTCTACTCTATCAGCATATGGCTGGCTCCTATAATCGGCAATCGCCTCGCGATCACCCAACGCCAGGGCAAGCTTCTGCAAATATCTCAACAGAATATCAAGGACCGCAAGGAACGAGGAACTGATCGCAATGACATGCTTGAACAGCTCTTTAAAGTTCAACGGGAAAAGCCAGACAAGTTAGACGACATTTGCGTTACTTCGATGGCTGCCAGTAACATCTTTGCTGGAAGTGACTCAACATCTGTGTCTATCTCAGCCTTCCTCTACCACACCCTTCGGAACCCCAGGGTCAAGAAGAAGCTCATAGACGAGATTAATGAACATGCAGAGAAGCACAATATTCCGCACGGCACTGTCTTTGATCTGGAAATTATCAACAACATACCTTTCCTGCAAGCGTGTATGTATGAGGCTCTTCGTTGCCATCCAGCTGTAGGAGTCTCCCTGGGCCGAGTGGTGCCCCCGTCTGGAATGGAGATTGGGGAACAATTCATCCCTGGAGGGGTAAGCCCAATTTCTCTCAATCGTTGCTACGGACGCTAATATTGCGCAGTCTGGCATTAGCGCAAATGCCTGGGTTATCCATCGAAACAAGGACGTATTTGGCGAAGATGCAGATCAGTTCCGTCCAGAGAGGTGGATGGAGGACCCCAGCCGTCTTCCCACCATGAGTACGCAATTCAATTATTTTGACTTCCGCTATCCCCTACGACTGCTTTCTGACATGGAGATAGAGCGCAACTTCCTTAGTTTTGGTGCTGGATCCCGATATTGTATTGGACGAAGTAAGTGTCTCCAAGCCTTCCCATGACACTGAATTCGACTGATACCTGTGGTAGATGTGGGCTGGCTTGAGATGTCCAAGGCAAGTTAAAACAAACCTTTCCATTTCCGGAGCAAGACTAACAACCAATAGCTCATGCCAACTTTGTTCCATGATTATGATGTTGAGTTCTGCGATCCTAGCAAAAAAACTAGAGAAGTCGCATGGTAATTTGGACATTCAGACCCTGCCACTTTGAAGTGCAAGTATGGCTAAAATGTCGCAGGGTTTTCATTAAAATCGAGGACCTCTTTGTGTACGTGAAACCGAGACCCGGCAGTCTGCCAAAGTAGGGTACCTTTGATCGTGGGTCTTGAAACTGGAAAGGGCAGGGGCTGAAATTCGTTTTGAGAGATTCCAGCGACGCAGGCATGTTTTTCGACACATAAACTTTCTCGCCCGCCCCTATTAGAGAGAGAGAGGGGAATGGCTGTTAACTCGCCTTGTATTAATTACATGGAAAGAAATACAGAGCCCAGGTGGTCGATCAATAGAGATGTACTGAAACCTGAACCTGAAAGTATTCTCGCACTTCCGGAGTTGGCCCTCAAACACAACCAGGCCCCTCTCTAGCCTTCAATAATCTGCTTATTCCTAGGATCTGGTGGAATTTGCTTGAAAATTGCCTAGGCATAAACAAACACCAGGGCATAATATTCTAGTAGCATCGAAATGCCAGCGCAAGGGCTGGACTTGGTTCAGACTAGATACTAGAGACAGTGACCAGCTGACTTTGATTACCTATCCATGGTTTCTATCTAGCATCGAATGGCCACATCTTGTCCGTCTTTGCTACTGTCATGTCCTCTCCACGGGACTCGGCTTCTTTGGCAGTCTGTATCCATTCATCATACGCTGCGCGATGAGCAACCTTCGCAGCGTCCCATGCATCGTTCGGAATCCACCCGTCAGAATTCGTATCAAGGCTATCTCTTAGCCATGACTTGAGGGCCTGAACAGCCTCAAAATTTTCATAGTCTCGAGCATGCTGTTTCAATTCCGCTTCTGTGGGGAAATATGGACATGGACCCTCTAGCCCCAGTTCTGCCCAGCGACCCGAGAGCTCAATTAACTCTTGGCGGACAGCGACAGCGGAGTCTCTCCAACTTCTGTGACAGTAGTGGAAGAGTCGAAAAAGAGTCGGATCAAGTAATCTTGCAGGACGAAGCTTAGGAACAAGGGCCGTCATAACCACATCATATGTTTGATAACAGATAGATGCATCTCTTAATTCTCGTTTCTTTTGTCCAGATATTTCAGTTTCGTTTTTTCGTTTTTTTCGTTTTTTTCGTTCTCGAGTAGATCTTCGTCGGGGACCCTCGGGGGTGTAGCGAAATCAGGTGTCTCGTTGGCATAAATAAATGCGGGTTCAATGCTAGTTGATTGCCAATCTATCAGGCCAGTAATAACGGCTGGGTCTTCGGCAGAGACATAGATATTCCTCTTGTGAAAGTCTGGGTGAAGCAGAGCTGGTGTAGCAGCGTCTTCAATGCGTCTATCTTCAATCAACTTTTGCATCACCTCTCGACTTGCTTTCAATAGACGGATATGATCTTGAATTGATCCTTGTTATGGCAGAAGCTTGTGATTATTGGTGTCTGCTTTGGGCAAACGAGATAAACCGGTATCTTTTAAACCCTGACAATAACTTGTGAGATCTCTCCAAGGTCCGCAATTAGGGCTCGGGCCACGGTAGAGTTCGTGCTGTCCCGGATTTCGGTTCCAGAAAACCGGACTGCAATGCGGTCCCACACAGAAGCCCTGTTCAAAGGGAATCTTTGATTCCGAGTCTAGAGGCGCATCTGCGAAGTATAGACTGCCTTATGCCGGGAAGTCTAAAGAAGCCATTTTTTTCATTGTCAGTGAAAGCGCTTTGGTGCAAAGCATATGTTGTTCCGGGTTCATTTTGTGCCACTCTTGATGTAGTTGAACACCCGCTACATGTTCTTGGATAATGTATTCAGTTCCAGTAGGATTGGAAGGATTGTCATTCCAGTCGAGAATTTTCGGTATCGGGAGCGAGATCTTGGATTGTACTATACAGACATAGTAGATGAGTGAGCATGTCAGCCATACTCTTCAGAACAAGGGATGCGGCTTGGTCTTACAATAAGTCATCGTTGCAACTTCAGAGTTGGTCGTCAACCTTGGCGGGCCGGCAATACCCGTAGGTACCCTTGCCACAACACAAGGTCCATTGTCCATTGTTAAAAGGAAGACTCTGTTAAATCCACCTTCTCGCTTCTCATATTTGACAACACTGGTCGCTCCTGGACATGTGGAGATGGCCCGCTCACACAGCGCTGAGAAGTCAAACTTAACGTGGCGAGAGTTTCGCTCGAGCTCGTCCCGATTGAGCCATCTTCCACCGGTATACGAATGCGGATCATTTCCTACAATGTAAAGGCAGTGACATATTAACTCTTTGATCAATTGCGGTGAGTGTATGCGACTAACGGCGTGTCAGTTCTTGCCAATATGTTCCAGAGGATGTGCTGGCGAGCCGAGTACGTGGTGAAGGTGCGCTATTCTTGTTTCCCACGTCGGATAATGTTCGAGATGGACAACGAAATCGACAATGCTGAATTATTGACGAAGGGGCTCCCAACCGCCGCCAGACATGGAGCATATTGGAATGGTGATCTCCTTTTTCCTGATTGTCAGCTGCAGGGGAGCTCGACATTGGAGGTCTGAAACGCCCCCTTGGACCTTCATCCGGCCGATTGTTTTGCCGTCTTGGCATTCACCCATTATCTGCTACGGCGGCCGATACCCGCCACCCTACTGCCATAACCCAATTTGGATTTCTAGCTTTACCGCCCTGTTTCTTGCCTGTATTATATTTATTATAGAATGGAATATCTTGAGGAATTTGATCTAAACATGGGTTACTTTTAGAATAGACTTGAGAAGAGACTTGAGAAGAGACTTGAGAAGGGACTTGAGAATGGATTGTTTACATATGGAGTTCAAGGATTCAAAATAGAAGGAAGTACAGGGAGTCAACGTATAATGGAGTTTAAAAATTCCGTATATAATGCAGCGCTGTATATAATGGACTCGGAGTTCAAAACCAAATATGAATTTGGAATTACTTACTCGTAATTTACTTTCTGCCGGTCGGAAAGTTGAAACTGGGTTATGGCAGTAGGGTGGCGGGTATCGGCCGCCGCAATCTGCATTGCCGCCCACATCTTACCGCTTTTCATTTGGAACCCTTCGAAGAAATTTCAGGATCCCTACAGGAATTTGTTACCAGACAACAAATTTACCCATAGCTACCTCCACCAAGGGAACATCGTGATCTCTTCTGATAAGCCAGCTCGGATCCTTGCTATTGTGGATTGGGGACAATCGGGGTGTTACCCAGACTACTGGGAGTATTTTAAAGCACTCTACACTTGCTGGTGCTAAGATGAGTGGCGAAGTGGCTGGATCGATAAGTTTCTAACTCCACGCCTGCTAGAGTTCGATGTCTTCTCAGGGTACACAATGTCAATGGGCTCGGTGTAGATTACTTCCACGTGACCTTGGAACCGATGTCTCGTGTTGATAGGCGGAATAAGCATGCTTCGCAGAAATTTCCGATTCAACGGGAACAAACAAGGTGGAATATTTTAGACATCAATTTGTCCATGAAGGCTCTGCCATTAAATAGTCACGACGTCGAACTTGAAAAAAGTGGACCAAAAATGTAGATGTCCTATGACTCCTATCCCTTGGTAGGGAAATAAACATCCGGAAGGGCGGGGTTGACCCGCTCGGGCGGACATTAACCGAATTGGAGCCGCAAAGAATTGTGGATGATCGACCCTTGGACCCACTTTGCAACGTCAATCGATTTGAACCAACCTTTCATCGTCGATGGCAAAATGGGCTGAGTGATTATTTTGAAGTAGTTGGGAAAGCAACAGGGGGTAAATTCCTACTTCACCGCCCTTTGGGTACTTCACCGCCCTTTGGGTGTGGTCACTTCGCTCCTATCAATTGTGCGCTGGGATTCCCGAACGTAACTGATCCGCTGATTCATTTCCCTCTCCGAGACAAATTTGCTTCAAGGATGGATATTCGAGAGCACTGCTCCTAGCCGAATACGTCACAGACCTTTACTATGCTTTTGCATTCTACAAGCTCTACGTCTTAAGTACTACAAACCCTGAAAGGAATTCCAACGTGGCCTGTCCATTCACTGATGAAGTCTTCAATTAGTTCGATCCTGTACTATGTTTCGCAGTGCTTTTCGGCCCATACCTCCCTTACGCTACACTAAAACGCCTTGTTTCGCGCGAAACTTTTATTGGGTGACAACGGATTTCATTGCCCATGATGAGAGAGGAAACCCTGTTACGAGGAAGGTGCCTATTATCATTGGCGACCCGGAGCAAAATTATGTTTTGATTGAGCAAGAGGTTGGGAGTGCGCTCCGTGCTGCCAGTTCCCTCATGTCAGCTTCTGCAGCTATTTCTGGAGATAGTTGCAAACTTACGTTTTTCCACGACTCACAACACTTTGGATTTGGTATGTTGTCGCTGTGTGAGATTCTGTTTAGATTGAGGCTAACATATTGTCTCATTGCTAGAATCACCTAGTTATCCCCGCCTCCATGTCCCAAGGCAAATGCATCGCCAGACAGAGTCGAATACAAGCCCAGCAACTTTGCTCATGGCCGGAAAGATGCACGAGTTAGTTATAGACGGCACGCCTGATGGTATAATCCAGCCATACGTCCTTCCTATCTGGCGCATACTGATTCATAATGCCTATCTAGCAATCTTTGCACAGCATACAAATAATTCTGCACGAAGCCTTGGAACTGTACTCGAACAGCTGAAAGATATGTGATGTCAAGCTTGGTTTCTTTCGCAACGGTCATAGAATCATTCCTTTTCATCAAATACACCACCTGGCCTAGATTTCATTCAACTTCGAGAGATTTGGCACATCATATGAGGCTGATAGTCAGTATCAGAGCTTCTGTGGCGATGGTTGGCTTTATTTCTGACTGATATATCACTACATGACAACTGTTAAGACCTAATACACGGGCTTCTAAACACCATAATTTGCTCATTCATCGGACGGAGGGGCTTTGGAACCGAGTGTGTTAAAATTTCTCATTTGTTCATTGAACGGTTAACTGGCCAGTAACGAGGGCAACGTGAGCGTTTGATAGCGCCTGGTTGTGTGTATCCTCTAACCATTGATTTCAAGACCATATCCGCGGCCAGTAGGCCGGTACGTTTGTTACCGTCCTGAAAGGCATGATTTTTCATTGAATTGAGGAGAATTCACCCATATAGATAATGACCAGGTCATTTGTCTTTGAGCTTGGAAACTATATATGCACATGTGCAGGATGCAGTGTGGGATTTCAAGGATGCGAGCCTGATCAAATCCATGTGCATGTGGACAGAGAGCGTACAGCGTTTCGATACTGCATACTACATTCGTGTCCAATTCGAGGGTCCCGAAACCCATGCTCCGAATTCTAATATGCACATGTGCATATTAGAATTCTCTAAATCTGGTCTATGAAGCTGACTACATATACCAAACCTCTTGTTAATTCATTCTATTTGCATGCAAATAGCCTCGACCCTTGGCTCATATTTTCCCACATAGAATGCATTTTCTTTACATGGTTTGGTCAACTCCACTATGTACGCATTAGTAGATTCAAAGTTCTTGTGCCGGGATTATATTCGCACGCGCCTTCCTCCACGGGACCACAATGGATCCACCTGCCTTCTTAATAGCCCGCACAGCGAGGTTACAAAAACATTCTGTCGAATTGAATCATCTCTTCTTCTTTTTTCCCTCTCCCGCTGTTCCCCCGCAAAATTCAGGCAAGTTATATACCCCACCCCATTATGAATATATCCAGTATCACGCTGATGGTTAGTGGTTTCGCTCTCGGAGTGTCGATAGCACAGTTCCCGTCCCTGTTCCCTGTCAAGGAATGGTTGCTCTACCGGTTTCCCCAATTGCGGCCACTCAGCGGCAGCGGCATTCCAGCTGCCTAAGGCACTTCACCCGCTTCAAGCCCCATTCATGGTCAGCTAGCTGTCCAGCAGTCACAGTAATGGTCAAACAGATATCCTGGAGGGCCTTCCCTTTCCGGATGGCCAATGGTATTGGAAAAAAGAACTGCATGGATGCGCCCTTCCTCCGACATCCAGGCCCGCTAAACAGGTACTGCAAAATCCAGAGCGTCAACTAAGCCCGTACTGCCTGCAAGTAAGGTCAATTCACCAGTGAATCTGATGATTGTCAACTGGATCCCTGTCCAGGTGGATTTTCGTGCCAATCAAGCGCCTGTTTCGAAAAACAACCACAGCGACGGGAGCAGGGAGTACCGGAATAAAAAAATCGGGGCCCAAAGCTTTTATCACTGGGGCTGCCAGGCTGGCATCAAGTGAAGAGTGCAGCACAGCCTCCTATAAGGGAAAATATGACAAACAGTTCACAGAGGAACGCAAAACAGGAAAGACCACTATTTCAAGCACCAGGCAACGATGATCCCAGTCCTAAAAAAGCCCGGCAAACCCTAGAACCCAGTCGGATCGAAAGACCCGTGGCTCGTAAGCCAGGTACATATGAGAGCTTCAATTATCAGAGCGACTACATCGATCTATCTAGATTCTACCTTCAGGGATAATACTCAGACTGTATGTACTGGAACCCAGATGCCGAAGACCGGGCACTTGCTGCAATGTTGCGATCCATTGAAATTAGTCGTCTTTGATTTAGCAAAAAAGCATTCAATTAGCTTTCATGCATTTGCTTCTCCATTAAAGCCATATAAAAAGGTGCATTAAACTGCAACCAGTGCCGAGCAGACCAAATGTTCTTCACGTATGGAATTCCTGGGTCTGTGCGTAGATCCTGAATCCATTTTCTCATCTGTTCCTCGCAGTAATCTCCTTTCCACTGAGCGTAGACACCTTGCATATCTCTAAGCAAGTTCTTCGACGAATCCCTATAGAATAACTTCAGTAAAAGGGCTTATTGTTGGCAAAATCTCCGATAACTCACCAATAACTGTCATTGTATGTAAATCCTGGCCCGGTAGGACGAGACTGTTTAAACCAGGAAGCGTCTACAGGGGATTTAGAGCTCCCCATATTTCGAACCACCCAGAAAACAGCCTTTTTCATGTCTTCAGACACTTCCAGTTTCTTTATCAAAGTCGGACAAGCAGTACAGGATTTGGAGAACTCTCGGTCGGGAACACTAGACAGGAGCTCCTGATGAGGTTTTGACAAAAACGAATTTTGGGTCGTTTGAAGATATTTAAGATCGATCGGATCACTTGAGACGAGAGGGAGGAGATCCTGATGAGGACATGCAAAATAAGGCTCAGCCGTGGAATGCGCCACGGAGGACGAGAAATTTATAGTATACCGAGCCAAAACACATAATTGGCCAGTTTCGTTGATGAATAAAACTATAGTGTTGTGCACCTCGTAGCCAGATCTCGTGGCAAATAGACAGGTGTGACCGAGACTGCGGAAATATCCATGCCTAATGTCGTACATAAACGGGTCACAGTTCGTTTTGGCTGGCTTCATGGGTAATTTTAGGATCTCAACAAACTTATTTCGATCTCGAATTGTCAGGGAAATACAGGGACATATGTCAACTATACCAGCAAAGTGTATGCAGGACCTTTCCAGAGGTTTCTCCCTTCGTGAAAGTCTTGTAAACTCTTTCCGCGGATGTAGCTTTAAGCATCTTCCACAGTAGATCCAGCGGCGATTTTCGAGTTGAAGAAGTAATTGATTTCGTGGTACATCGCAACTGTTCACGCACAGTATTGGAATTCTGATACGCAGCAGTTTTGGGAATCTAAATTTCTTGTGCTTCACTACCGCGCCGAAAAGCTTGAAGAATTTCTTGCAGCTGAGCGATAGACAAACTTGATCGATCGGTGAAAGGTGTTGGCAGATATTCTGTAAAATGCAGTCTTGCAAACAAAGTATAGTGGAGTGTCTTGGTATTTCCTTCCAGAAAAGGTGCCACGGCCTGAGTCGTTTCTTTGGAAAACGCGACGTCTCCGACTCTTCAAGGTCCATTATGATGTGAGGTCGAGCTCGATGCGGGAGAGCGGATTTTTATTTTTTTCAAAATAGAAGCGGATAGGCTGAGAGAGGGTCCATGTAGGAGGAAATCTGTAAATTTGTCAAAGAAAAGAGTACTAAGTACTGGTTTTCAAACATGACATTGTGACGTATTAATTGCAAGTTACGATGCCAAAATCATCGAACCTTGTTGTCTACCATAGATTTGCATGTGGAAACTAAGCCTAAAAGAGTAAATAAGAAGGAGATTGTCAGAGAGGCGTCAGTTTCCGTCTGGCATATTGCTACTTTGGATATCGGACAAGATTTCCTAAAAGAGTTCGAAATTTGTGCATACTAGTAGTAGTATGGTTTTATTCAACTTGCCCGGCCCAACCGATAGATGGCGCGCCGTCCACGGTTGAGGGAACACTTCATCAAATATGATAAATAGGCCTGAGCAAGGCGGGTATAGTTGTTGATGTCTGTTCTATTGTTTTCAAGAAACATCAATTAGCAAAGCTATTAATCAACATTAGAAGTCTATTTCGATCTCGCATCGTTAGCTTCCTTATTCCCTAATTTTTGCCTTGCAGATTAGTGTAATGTTGAAATGTAGTGCGTGCGTGGAAAAGATGTCATGTTCAAATGTACGTATTGTGCCACGGTGCTAGAAGGTCGATATATCTTGCCCCTGACTTTCTCTTCCTGGCCGGGCTATCATATATCCGTCCCCCCGAATTAACGGTCCGAAGTTTACCCGAGTTTCCCCCGTCACCTGATCTATCAGTCACGTGGAGGAAATAACAGTTGCCTTGGAGTTGCCTGAAGTGACCTCTTTCGACAATTAATAATTTAACACAGTACACTACCCAGTACTCGAGGTGGTAACTCAGTACTTATGATATGCACGAATATCTACTGTTCGAACCACACTATGTGTCTACCCTGGACCATGTGGATCGAGAAAGAAAAGGCACGGAGAAATAGTAATGAATTCTCTGTGTAAAGCGGGATGGAGAGGAAAGGAAGGAGAGAAGGAGAAGGGAGAGAGAAGCTCTCACTTATCCCCTTCAAACCTGACTATCTAACTATCTATCTAGCTACTCAATCGGGACTAGTCGCACGCTGAAAACTCAGGCATGTCCATGTGACCAATGGCGGGGTATTGTACCTCGTACCTTGGGAAGCCACATGCTCCAACATCTACATATGTAGATCCTACTTCTATATCCTACTTTTGAATTAAAAACTGCACAGAGGAAATATCTGACCAAAATTTGCCTAAGTAGCCGAGTTTTTAGAGGCGGAATGTACTAATGCCATAACACTAGTAGACCGCTCAAACAGAGACCTTTCTCTCCTGATATGTATCTCCAGCCACCGCTCGTTTCCGGTATATATAGTACTGAGCACAGAGCATCAGCGCCAGAACCCATGACGCACCAGCCAAAGAACAGATAGCCGTGAGGCCATGCAGGTACTTGGGTGCATCTGATGTGCGAAAGATTTGGGAACCGGAGATACCAGAGCAGTTGGCGGCCATGACAATCAACGCCATGGCAACACTACGCTCTTGGGGCGTCCGGCAATAAACCGAGAGCCAACCAACGTTGAGAATGTGAATATTGGCGGCCGAGACATTGGCTACGGCAATGATTCCATACCGGTGCCATTTTGACGCATGGGAATTGCTGGTGCGTAGACAGGCGTAAGAGATAACGTTCCAGGTTATAGACAAGAGAACAGAGGGTCCACGGTGGCCGGTTTTGTCACTGTAAGGTGTCAGTATTTTGCGAATCTTAATGAAGGAGGGAGGTACTTACGCTGTATACGCCAATATGGTCAGGAAGACGAGACTGCAGTACACGGGAACTGACGTCAAGACGTTGGCCTTGATGGAACTGAATCCCAACGACTTGATCATGGTGGGTGTATACTGGGCCAAGCCCTGATAACCAGACATGCCCACCAGTGTCAGCAAGGCATGCTGAAGAATTCTCGGTTGCTTCACAGTTTTCCAGATATCCGACTTGGTAATCTGGATATGGCCCTTCGCCTTGAGTGGATCATCAAGAAGAACCCGGTTGCGAATAATGTGCGATTCTCGCTCGGTGAAATAGCTCCAACGCCCCATGGAGATCAGGGGACGACCATCCCCGGCAGATGGGGGGACGAGAAGCGTGAAGACAATTGCAATGAAAATAGTCATCAAACCCTCGACAAGGAAAATCCACCTCCACCCCTCAAATCCATGCACACCCTCTAGCTTGAGCAGACCAGCTGAGATCAAACTAGAAGTCGCAGATGCGAACAACTGCCCATAGAATATGAAACTGATCCGCACACTGCTTTCGTCTCTCTTGTACCAAGTAGACAAGTAGTACAGGGCACCGGGAATAAAGCCACCCTCGCAGAATCCCAACAAGATTCGAGTGACCAGAAACGCTGGATATGACTGGACAAATGCCTGGAAGGTCGCGACGAGTCCCCAGGCAAACAATTGACCGCTCAGCCAAACGCGTGGCCCAATGCGCTGCATAATAATATTTGAAGGGATTTCTGAGAGCACAATGCCAGCCGAGAGCAGCTGGGTGCCAACATTGATTTGATTGGTTGTGATGTGGAGGTCCTTGGTGATTGTAGATGTCATAACAGCGCTGATGTTACCGCGGTCCATCTGGAGAGCGAAAAATGCGAGAGCGATAATTGGGATGAGGGTAAAGTCAATCCTGTCGTATAGCAAGCCATGTTTAGTGAAAGTATTGTAAAGTTTAGTACTTTTCCACTCACTTCCGGCGAACGGAGTCTTCCTCTCCATCCCAGTCTTTGACTATACCATGATCAAGTTCCGAAGACTCAGACACCACTTGAGTCGTTATGTTTTTCTCATCTGAAATATCCTTTGCGGACATTTTGTGATCGAGATGGATCGTTTGCAAAAACCAGAACCCAAAGGAAATGTAGAAGCTTGGTCTACAGATTCCAAATTTTGTGCGGATGGGACGACATTCTTATAGAAAAAAAAGGAGAGCCATAAAAGAACATTTTGGCTGTTGGGGCGTACGTACTATTTTCTCGGCTACGAGAGCATGCGTACTAAGAAGCTAAAGCCAATGTGCCGCGATGTTGTCACCACCATAGCTGGGTATGGCGCAATCCCCGCCAAATGCTCACAACAACATTTCCAATTTCGTTTGTCCTTAACGTTTTCCGTCGGGCTTCGTTCGTATTGAGTCTCTTGGCTCTTGGCCTTGACTTTCTCGCTTTTTTACTCTGGATTTGATCAATGTCGGTTTATCCGAAAGCAAATCATGCACGTCTGGTTGCAAAATGCAGCTCAATTTCTTATATCCTCGCCTGAAAGTACTCGCCCTGAAGTATTCTAGGCAGTACTTTCTAGATACACAAGATATAATGCTATTTATTTCAACCTTTGTACCTTTTTATCAACGATTCCGGCCTCAGAATGATGAATACATACATTTATTCAACCCAACGGTCTTATATTCCCATTCAAAATTATTAATCAAATGAACAAGACTCTTAGCCCATAATAGGCTTCATGCTCTGATCGAGTAGTTGGAGCTCTAACAGTTACGTGAAGTTGTTCTTAATGGCCGAACAAGTTACAGGTCTCTCTATACACACGTGGCTCTCATATAGCCTCGTCAATTAATTGCGGGGCTTGAACCTACGAGTCAGGAACATTGAAGAATGTATTAAAATAGGTAGATCTTTTCTTTATTTTGCTCTCGATGACATCTCAACTCTATTCAATGGATCGCTCAAGCTTGCGGATCTCGGGACCTACTAGCAGCACTCCACACTCAGAATCCACTACGAGGAGATGCTCTGTATGTATTTAAGATCTAGACATCTGGATGTAACCTCCACGGACGGCTCATGCTGCTTCATTCATTTGCCCTTTTTCGCGCCGAACGCTCCGCCGCCGAACATGGGAGTCTGCACCATCCCCGTCTCTGCAAAGTATTTCTCCCAGTGCTCAGTCAAGCGATTGAGAACATCCGGCTGGGCCTCAGCAAGATCATTTGACTCGGCAGGGTCAGACTCGACATCAAAAAGTTCCCACGCCTCCTTTCCGTTCGGCTTCGGCATCCAGACAGCTTTCCAGTTTCCTTCACGGATAGCCCGCTGTCCGAACAGCTCCCATCCATGGATGTGCACATCTTTTTCATGGACACTGGTATTCTGGTAGTCCCCAGAAGCCAAATGCGAGACCCATGACTGGCCTCGTGGGATCACAACTTCCCGCCCGCGGAACTGCGAGCCGGGGTGTGCGACTCCAGCCAGTTCTAGAATTGTCGGCAGGATATCCATGACAGTTGTGAATGATGGCGTGATGGCCCCGGGGTTAGCATGAAAGGGTGGGTACCGGATAACGCAAGGACAGCGGATGCCACCTTCAGTGATCCAGCATTTGAATCCTCGTGAGGGGGCAGTCGCAGCACATGCCCAGCGAGAACCTATTTATTTTGCAATTAGAAGGTTGAAATAGATGCGGATCTTTTGAATAGTAGTTACATACCGTACCACACAAATGAGTTGGGCTCGCCGATGTTTTCTAGCGTGTTGTCGTAATATTTGGCGATGATGTCTCCCATCATCTTTGTTCCTCCCATTAGCTGTAGGATGTTAGTAAGATTTCAAATAGGGCCTGGCTCGAATTTACTTACCGGAAGAGCTTCCAATGCCGCACCCTCTGCTCCGTTGTCTGACATGAACAGAACAAAAGTGTTATCTAGCTCGCCTGTAGACTCAAGGTGCTCAATAACCCGACCAATATTGGCATCCAGCTGATCAACCATCGCTGCAAAGACTTCCATCTTCCGCGAAGAGATTTTTCTTTCTTCGGGTGACAATTCCTCCCATGCCTTTCCGAGAGCTCCGACGGGAGGGTGGTGGTCTACATTTTCATCGACTAGACCCAGCTCCTTAAGACGCTGTAGCCGCTTCTGTGTTAGGGCATCAGGGCCGTCATCGTACTTGCCCGCTAATTTCTATTAGTAAGTGAATAGCGATAGCTAATCATGCAGAGGTACTGACCATATTTCTCGATGATCTCCCGAGGTGCCTGGAGAGGCCAATGCGGTGCCGTGTATGGCAAGTAAGCAAAGAATGGCTTTTGAGATTCCTCCTCTGTCCGGCCTTTGAGGAATCCGATCATTTTATCGGTGAAGGCCTGAGTCGAATAGAAATCCTTGGGCAGATCCGACCGATCAAGATATTCGCTGCCTTCAGTCCAAAAGCCGTCTGTAGTAAGACAGGGACCATCGCATTCGCCATCCTCCAACTGAGGCTCGAAGTTGTAATGGTTTCCAGCTCCTGGAAGCAATGAGAAGTTTTTGTCGAAGCCTCGCGAGTGTGGAGCGAGATCCTTTGTCATTCCCAGATGCCTTTTTCTGATCAACAAGAGCTCTCTGATCACTCGCATTTTTTGTGACTCACCATTTTCCAGACATGAGTGTATTGTAACCGTTATCTTGCAGGATCTCCGATAATGCGGCGACTCGCCAATTCAAGTATCCCTCGTAGCCGGGCTTGTTCTTGAAATAATCGCCAAAGTTGTTCATGAATTCGGCCATTTGTCCTGCAAGTTGTGAGCAAGGATTTTTTTAACGTTCAATATTGGCAGTGATCGATACCGAGTCCCGCGATGTGGTTGTCGGTTCCAGAAAACAGCATTGATCTGGTTGGAGAGCATGCGGACGCGGTATGGAAATTGGTCATTCGGATACCCTCTTCAGCCAATTTGGCGAGATTGGGAGTCTCAATTTCTCCTCCATAGGGTGCGATGTCGCTGAACCCCAGATCATCGGCAACGATGACCAGGAAATTCGGTCGCTTGTTTGTGTTATCCATTTTTCGTGTTGTTCAGAGTTATGGGGGGAAACCAAAATCGCGACAGAGTGAAGCGGAGTCTACGACAGTGGTCCTTATATATCTCTACAATGTTCGAATTCTCAATTTTTAACGTAAATTAATTAGTGACTTAAAACATTGCTTTAAGTATCCGGAATACCCGAGCTTGGCTTTTAGCGTACATTTATTATGTTAACATCTGATATCTTGGAGGCGATGTGGAGATCGGCTAACTCCACGTTTGAGCTAAACCAACTGCCGAGGCATTCATCATCACCGGGCTTGATGGCGCCATTTTGATGTCGCGTCCTTTCAATGTTCAATGTTGTCCACGAGTGCCAGGTGCAAAATTTACCTGTCCTTTCAAATGTTTCTTTTCCTTAATTTTTGCTGGTTACTTTAAAAACAAAATGGAATGCAAGAGGTGTTCGAAGCTTTTTACGCTCCATGGAAGTGCTCTTCTACATTGAAGCTTACGCTCGCTCGTACTACCCAAATGTTGTCTACTGTCTTTTCTGCACATGTGGCAACCTCTTCGGTTCGCAAGCAAATTTCTTAAGTCTACTTAGAATGGTATAACCTCTAGATGAGACTTGGGAGATTGATGGAATATTGCAGCATTTCCTGGGGTTTTTGACAGCACATATCTGGGCAGATGAACTTCGATATTGATCCTGAATTGCTCCCGACTCCTGAATGAGGTGATCCGAAACCTTGGAAGTTCGAAGTTAGGATCACAAAATACGAGATGGAATTTCAACCTGTAGCACTTGAGGCCCACTGAGGTTGGGACTTCCAACGGGACATTAAGAGCCATTGTTCCTGTCAATGGAATTCCCCGGGGCCGATAGTGGTCCCGGTCGGGATCCATGATGCACGGTTGATTTTGAAATGGACAAGCCGGCCCGTCTATCAACTAGTACTAGTTAGTCCATCATGTGACCATCGACGCGGGTAAATATATAACCGAATGCTTCCCCAAGAACTCTGGAATTTGATTAGTTCAATGTTAGATAGAATAGTTATTCTCCTATGTAGTCAATCATACGGGGGCACTATATTCCATATCTGCTTTCTCTACTCTACATATATATTCACTCCAATATGCGATCCTGAGGTCCAGGACCTCGAGATACTGGAACATTTCAACGTTAGAATATTCTACGTACCATTAGGTCAGAAATTGAATGGAAGCACTTGAGTAATTGTGCATTTCGAATCCACATTTCTTCCATGAGTATATCTCAGAAAAATATTCCCAGTGCCTTGCCCTAATGTCCAATCTTGGAAGTGATGAATGGCGGAACATTGAAATGTTTCCCTTGAGGTTGCCGTGCCCATTTTTTGAAACCTAACATTGAATGTTGAAGGGCATTTATATATAGTAGGGTGCAAGTATGTTTTGGACACTACTTAGCCCTCAACTTTGAAAACCGACGCCGGAATGGGACATAAATGTAGTGATTCCGACATTGGAAAGTTCATAACACAGAAACATGATATTAAATATCTGGATATTCAAATTGCGAGGTACTCAATTTGAGTGACTCTTTGAGAGCATAAAAACATTTGAATGCAGCTAGATTTATGGACCACACGTGCAGTATAACCATACAGCAACCATGAAAATGGTCTTCACATTAGCTACAGGGGCGTATAACAGCATACGGTGAAAGAAATTTCAATCTATCAAATCAGTTGAGCAAATCTTTTGTCCAGTCTCCTAGCTCGCAAATGACGATAAAAAACTACAGAATTCGAATGACTGGCGGGTACTTATTCAAACCAGTCAAAATCCGAATGCTTTGTTTCACTCTCAAATCAGCACCGATACTACCTGCATCTTTCTGTACCATTTCAGTGCTAGCGAGCAGCGGGGGAAGCCATTATAAAGCGGGGTGAGCCCCTCGCTTCTCTTTGTTTTCAAAATAATCATATTCCTTCATTTCCCCTAGATTCATCATCAATTCACCGTGAGATGTCTCAGTCAGCCCACCCAAAAGATACGATCTATAATCTCTCCCACCGCTCAAAACAGGCAGTAGAGCATGAACGGCTCAATCGACAACACAATATCACCCAGCAGACTTTCCTCAATAATCAGCTCACACATCCCACTATCCCAATATCCTCTCTAAAGGGTTGAATTTCTTGATGTCGCCTTTGGAACAGGAATCTGGCTTGAGGAGATAACTCACGCGCTCTCCCAAGCTCAGAGTGAAGCGAGTTCTAAAAATAGCGAAGAGGAGAGTTTATCCCACGGGAACTCCGCGCCACAGTTCATCGACTTTGACATGAATGCAGCTGCATTCACCGAAATACCGGCCGCGGGAATTCGACTTGTGCAGCGTGATTGCGGTAACCCCTTTGATGCTCGCTTCATTGGACAATTTGAGCTGGTAAATACCAGAGGTATTGCCTACGCCTTTACGTGGGAGAAGCTTGCTTGAGTCCTTGAGAACGTATCCTGTCTACTGAGTACTAAGATCCCCACCTTCTTTCTTCCCCGAGATTTATTTTGTGCCCCAAAATTAAGATTTTTTGGACTTTCTTCTTCGCTTCAATTCAGACCCGGGAGGATACCTACAATGGACAGACAGTGAGTTTAGCCTGTTCAAGTTCTTCCCAGAAACACCAAGTTTGTTGGAGTCAAGAAAAGTCACTGAAAGCAAAAGACGAGCTCGAGAGGGAGTACGATAGTGAGTGATCCGGCCATGATCTATTTATTTCAGACTCTACAACATTTCGTTTCGGGTCCTTTCTCGTTCTGTTTACTAATTATTCTTGCCAACAGTCTATTTGAATGTATGCTAGCCCTTCCATCGATACCAGAATAATCTCCATCATGTTCATATTGGCTGACAATGTCTCGCTTCCAATCCAGCGCCCTTCATCTATAACATCATCTGGGCACTTATCGAGCCGCCTATCTTCATCATCGTGGGCTCCATGCTTATAATAGGACCCTTACTACGGAACATGCGAGGACCCAAAGAATGGCTTCGGCTTATCAGCGCCAGATATGGACAGAATTCGAAGACCTATGACACCTACAAGGGGTCTGATTCACATAGCCGGTCGGAACCTCTTAATTCCAATAAACCCAAGATTGTTACATTGCTTATTTCTGTCGACTCCAAAGCCTGTCTGTTTGAAAGAATTGCTCACTGCTGGCTATTTTTAACCAAATATAATTTCCAGCACAAGATCTTGAATGTTGGAATACGTTCTTTTTCCTGGTTGATGCTTCAAACACGAAAGGGGATGACCTGGACTTCCAAAGTTGCATTTTTCCCATATGATTGAATTACTCAAGGTCGAGGAAGAGCATTCAATGTCAGCAATTTATAGATCATGACCTTGAAGTGGGGTTCGCGATAGGGTGGGCTGATGCATCGTCCCCACATCTTTTTGGGGGCCTACGCCCGCATCCAATGCATGGTCACATTTGGGGGCCGGAGATTAGGAGCCTATGATCCACAGCCCTAGCACGTTCTGGGAGAGATCAACATATTCCGTAGACTTCCAGACTTTGCTTTCCGGGTATAACTAGATCATTGGAAAAAGGCGCACGTCCAAACATCCCTGCTGGTCAGAGGTGTGAGAAAAAGCCGCGGTCACTATACAGGGGTTCCCCTCTTTCGCCATAAATACTCTATCACCTTGGAACCCCCCTCTTGCTTGATAATTACTTTTATCCCTCAACTAATTGATCAAAAATATTCCGTCGCTTCAATCTATGTACAGATCCGAAATGTCCTCAGAAAAACAGCCAGTCTTCGTCTTGGTCCCCGGTGCCTCTCAGAACCCAGCACAATATGGCTACTTACTCCACCTTATCCAATCGGCCGGCTATGGAGCGAGTACAGGCTTGCTCCCCAGTATCGGTGCCCGAGAACAAGTGACCGCCGCCGATGATGCTGAGTATATTCGCGAAAGGCTTATTTTGCCCGTGCTGGATGTCGGAAACCATGATGTGATCTTGATCAGTCATTCATACAGCGGGATGCCCGCAAGCGCGGCAGCCCGGGGCCTTGGTCCCGCCGACCGGGCCGCCGAGGGCAAAACCACCTCAGTTTTGGGCCAGATCTTCATTGCAACTCTTTTGCCCCGAGGTGGAGACAATTTGAGCGTTATCGATGGATTTGGCGGCAATTTACCTCCACACATGTACAAAGATGTATGTACATCGACCAGCCTTTCCTTTTTCTTTCCTTTTCCTTTTCCGGTCTTTCCAGTGTATAGAACGAGAAGGTAACCAGCCCGACACCACCACAGGAAAAAGAAAACCTTCTTAAATGCGACGAACCCAAGCCTCCTCTCTTCTACGACGTTGAACCTCTCCTCGCCGAAGGCGCCACCCAAGGCTCCCTCAGCCAGGGACTCACTTCCTTCTCAAGTCCCTGCCCCGAGGCTAGCTGGTACACGGATGCCTTCAAGAACCGCGTCGCTTACATTTACACCGTCAATGACCACGCTGTTCCATACGAGGCGCAGAAGATGATGGTTGGGGCTACTGGGGTAGAGTTCATCACCCGCGAGATCGCCAGTGGTCATAGCGCGCAGCTATCGAAACCCGAGGAGCTGACCAAGATCATTCTGGAGTTGGCTGCGCAGTGGTAGTTAAAGTCAGATAGAGCCTAGATCATTTAGCCAATCATCGTGTAGACAAATGAAAAAAATTGTTTCCATTGAATTATGCCAATGTCAATGAGTCTCGACAAACGTTTCTTTCCCCGTTTGCGCGGATAAGTAAACGGAGCCAACTTTTGAACACTACTGACTGAAAAACAGGATACTCGCACCGTCGCACGAGTGCGGAGGGGGAAAGAAATACGAATAAGCACTAGCACTAGCCGAGATTAATCTGAGCCTACGGCTGAGATTGGGGGCCGATTTGTCTGGCTAATTATCGTTTACGTACCCGAGGGGAGGTCATTGCTTGGGAAGTGGGCGGAAATAAGCACCATAATTGGACATGAGCGTCAAGCAAACGAATTTCAATTCATTAAGTGGACGCGTACTATTTGCAACTTTTTGAAGCCTTTGGCCCGTTCCCTTCATCTTTCTTCTTACTCTTCAAGATTTACTATGCATATGTCCCTGGCAGCTCTTCCCTCCCCAATCATTTTTTTCTCATGCTTATTCCTCCGAATAACCTTACCGTGTGATGGTGTATGTGCTGTGTGGATTAGTAGATTGTTGCTTGCGGTTCTATCTGCACCTCTACTTTTGCCGGTGCTACCGTTTATGACTTCTGTCGACCTAATAGTGGTGGGTGCTATATGGTTGACCATTGTCTTGACGATTGCGCTAATGCTGTGATTACCCCTGATGTTCCTGTCTCACTAACCATTGGAATATAGGTCGCGTATAATGCCGTTGCTGTTTTTCGAAAAAAAAAAACCAAATGTCCTTTGCGGTGAGGTTCACCCTGTTCCACGTCCCGCGCCGCCTTTGCTTGCTCTGGATCCCTTGCCTTCGATTTATACTTTCGCTGGGCTCCAGGCCCACTTGATACGACTCGCCGTGCTGAGTCCTCGGGCTATCTTGGACACGCCGCAGAATGGATGAGGGTGGAGGCAAGACGAGCCCGAGAGAAAAATGAAGAGGTCTCAGCGTACAGAAGATCTCAGCCAGGGTGTCCCAGAAATTTGGGAAGAGATCCGGTTTTCTTCCGGAACCTCTGGAAAATACTTGATGAGATCTTCTATACGCTTCAACCCCTTGATTTTTCTCTCGGGTTGCCTGTGTTCCCACCGAAGGCTTCTCTATTTTGCAGCGTGTCCAAGATGACGCTAAGAAAGGAAATGCAGATACTCAAAGAGAGGACGCGCATAAAGGAGCAGTCGTCTTGCCTGAGTTTTGTTCGCTTAGTTCCTTCTCGTGGCCCCCAGCAAACCTATGCACCCATGACACGAGATCGTCTCAAAATATTGGATGAGAGGTATGTAGATGAGGTTACAGATTTTGCAAGGCGTGTACCTTCCTCCACACAATCTGCTCAAATGGCAGATGACAGCGAGCTATTTACAAAGGCCTACGAAGTATCTACTCAATTTCTCACCCCAAAGCTCGCTCGCTCTAGGTTGATGGATGAAGGCATATTTCGACTTTTTCAGTACTGCTGCAGAACCTTGAAAGATGGTGCCGTTGCTTTTCGAGATGAGCTTATCGAGACTCCTAAAGACTGGGAGGCTCACGGATTTTTCCGCTCGTGTCAATTTGACTTACTGACACCAGACGGGATTCCTCTGCATGTAAAAACTGATGATAGAAATTATGTTACTGATATTAAAAAAGAAATATTCAAGACTAGTACAAAAGAAGCTCAATCAAAGTCGAACAAAGTTATATACGCAAAATTGCCTCTGTTGTGCTGGACATTCCCCACACCCAAAAAGATTCAAGGGCAGTGATATAGTACAATCAATATGGAAAGAGAAAAGAGAGAATCTCTTGACCCACATCCAATCAGAGTTCAAGCTGGAACCGGGGGTGGGTCCGGATAATGCCTCCGTATCTCCAAAATAAGAAAGGGACCGAGCACATCGCTAGTGCAATGAAAGCTAGCAGCGAAGTTCCCCATCCCAATCCCAATGCATCATACATCGAAGGGCCAGCCAATGGTAAAAGAGCGCCCACCAAGGACCGCAGGGCAGTGTTGGCGGCGGTGACTGATGCCGCGTAGCGCAGATAGGAGTCAACAAGATAAGTGCTGACAGACATAAACACGCTGATCAAACCGACCGCAAAGATGGCAGTTCCTATGATAGGCATAATCCAGTGAATGTCCTCCTGGGCTGACCATCCATACCAGAACAGGCCTACGGGCATGAACCAACAGCCAATCACCATAGGCAGTAGGCGTGATTCCGGGGTGAAGCAGTCCATTTGTATATGCTTTTGAGCGATACGGTCAGCAGAGATGCCTGTGGCTGCCAGTCCAATGAGACTGCCAACTCCAAAGCCCAAATATGTCAACCCGGAGATTCCCGAAGAGAAGCCATATTGACCCTCAAATATTGATGTCATGGTGGTGAACATGAGATAAAGATAACCATATACGGTTGCAGAGAGTAGCGCCATCAGGAGTACAATAGGGGAGAGTATAAGTAGCTTCAATGGGCGCGAGAGTGCCGTTAAGAATAGCTGTGAGGTTAAATTCCCCTTGTCGTAAACTGATCGCAGTGCAGGATTCCCGCTTTCTTTGCGTAGGCGAGCAGCTTTGCGCTCCAATATCACAGGAGCATAGGATTCTTGGTAGAATATAAGTGTGAATATAATCATAATAGCAGTCTAATTTGTTAGAAGCAGATCTCAAATTCAACCAGTATTGCATAGCCTACTTACTGTGATGGTAAGAACCCAAAAAACCCAGCGCCAGCCCTCTGCTTCAGATAGAAAGCCGCCTGCAACAGGACCGACGACCGGACCGAGAATCGGCCCCATCGCCCAGACAGCCAATATTCCAGCTCGCCGCTCCTTAGGAATCATGTCGGCTACAGTGCCTGAGCCAATAGTCAGAGGACAGACACCTGCCATGCCTGCCAGTAAGCGGAACACAATAAGCTGCGGCATGGACTGTGACACGGCACAGGCCACCGTGAAAATGAGAAACAGAAAGTTGCAGGTATGATATAGAGGAACTCGACCAAAGATCTCTGAGAGTGGCGCAATGAAAAAGGGGCCGAAGCAGTACCCCAACAGGAAGACGGATACGACAAAAGAGCCGAGCATGCTACTCGAGGTGTTGAATTCTGCCATCACCTCGCTGACTCCAGGAGTAAACATCGATGATGCCAGAGGCCTGCGTCAGTTAGCTTCATTCCGGGATCCGAGGATCATTATGCAAGGGTAATTGGTCTACTGACGTGATGAAGGTATTGAAAGCCATTAGAAAAAGCTGTCTCCCTTTCCTCCAAGTGGACCAATTGAAAGGAGATTCAGGATCGTCTGGTCCCTCAAAATCAACCACATTAGGGTCTTCGTTGTCGACTGCAGGAGAGGGTCCTTTCTTTTCCAAGTCTATCATGGCTTCAATTGATTGCGTATCAATGAATTGAGACACACAGTGATATTTTTTACTAGAATCCGCGTAGAAATACGCAACGGTATTTAAAGTACTGGTAGTAACCCCTTTTGAAAGGCTTGACCAACCAATGTCAGACTTTTCCGGTATATTGATTGTTGCAACTCATAGGATCCACATTTACAACTCGGCTTACCTCCGCTCAACTGCTTGCAATGCTAGATCTTAAATGCGAGATACGCTGCATTTGTTTCTTTCATTCAACAACATGACTTCATAGATTAAAATAATAACGGAGCCTATGCCACAGGGCTGTGTGAGAAAGACCTTTCATACTTGAAACCATGTAACAAATGGCAAAATTTGATTCACAAACTAAGTGATCTTAATATTTACGCAGTCACAAAGTCAAGGTACTGAATAAGTGGGGTCGGAGTGGGTACGGAGGGGATCGCGGTGGGTACGGGGGAATCGCGGTGGGGTCGGTGTTTTTGAATAGCCGGGGATTTTACTATGGCACCGTACAAATTTGTCCGTTGTAGTTGCGGCAAAACCTGCGTGGATAGCTTATTACGGTGTGTTAGCCGGTGAATGTGTAGATCATCGTCTCATTCTACATACTACACCCTCGGTCTGTACCAAATCGAAGTATGGGATATGTACTCCGTAGCGCAGACAGTTTGCTGATCAAATTATCATTCAATCAATAATGCATAAATTAATACCGTACCCTCTCCGACCCCATAAAGATCAGCATCATTTATTCCAGTTTTGACATGAGGAGATTCATATATTAAGCCATTAAGAGGAGAGAAATATAAGTACGTATGTTTTCGTGACTGGGTCTCTGCTTTAGTATTTCTTCAATCATCAACTTGAACTCTTCTCAAATATCCCAATCAGACAAAGTTCTTCGGGCTGAGCTTCATCATGCTTGGCCTTATATTTACCCTCGGATTAGCTCTGGTGGCCAACGCGATTTCCGTACAACCCCAGCATTCTGTTAGGGAATACGATTTCAAGCCCGAGACTGCCACAGAGTACTGGAAGGTTGGTGATTAGCTTGACCTCCCCGTGAATATGTTTTTCAACTCCTCTAACCTGTACATATATTAGCCGGAAATTCCCATTCTGTTCAACTTCAGCAGCTCGCAATTCTCGAACAAACTGGGGGGCAAATCTGCCACTAGCTCCTACTATACCACCTCTTTCCTTACAGATACCGATCGCAATCAACATGTCATCCTCTCTCACATTTTGATCACTGCCGACAATACCACATCTTTCAGTGCCTCAAGTCTCAATTTGACTGATCTCAGCTATACATCTTTCATGGTCAACTCAAATGAGACTGGCTTGCAAGCTGGTTCCCTCCTAAATGTGACCACGGATGGCAATGGATTCGAGAGTCTGACAGAGGATAACGTGTCCCAAATGCGCACCTACAGCAACGATGATAAACTTGCGTTTGACATCACCTACAATGCTACGACCATGGCACTTGTGGACGCTGGCGCGGGCCTGTTCACATTTGGTGATGGGGTATCTTACGAATGGGGACTTCCTGGTTGTTACACAGCAGGGACTCTGACCGTCGGCGGCCAGGTGGTCACAATAGATCCCGAGAATTCCTTCACTTGGTATGATCGGCAGTGGAATGATGGCCTCCCCTCAAATGGAAACTGGACCTGGTTTGAGTTGCATATTCCTGCTACCGGTTACAAAATGAGTATTTGGGCCATTAACGACGAAGAACCACAGCAGCGTTATTGCTTTGCTACGATTAGAACTGGAGATGGGTCACAAAATGTTGTCCCAATCACATTCAATGCGGACTATACTCGGCACTGGTATTCTAATGCCTCTGATTACTCATACCCGCTGGATTGGACATTGACTATTGGAGACTACGGAAATTTCAAAATTTCTAGTATCACCAACGATCAAGAGATTGTGGGTCCTACTTTTTCCACCTCTGGATATGAAGGCTTTATTACCTTTGATGGGACATTTGAAGGGAAAGAGGTGGAGGGCTTTGGAGTGGTGGAGGTGTTTCATGCTGTGCAGTAAGCCTTGAAACGCAAGTCACATACATTCGTTTCAGAGCCGTGGTCTAGTAACATTGAACACGTTTGATTCAAAGGGTCAAGCACATCTATGATGAGTGATCCTGGGGGAGGTTTATCTATTTGGACTTTCAATACAGCCCTTCCACATGTCAACTGAGTCATTAATGTTTTGAACATTGAATGAACTGCAGGGATAATTCAACCACATGCTCAATATGGCACTCTTCAATGCTGAATCTCCTCACATGTCAACTTATCATTTACATATGTACACAAACTGATTGGAGCTCCACTGCAGATGAATAAATGTATACTTCGATATAGCACAGCTGCACAAGGGTACCAGTTGCCATTAATTCCCGAAGCTTTCAATTGATAGTAGTTGGATATCATGTAAAATGAATTGTATTATACCATACATATATTAAACGCTCTACATAACTAGGCTGTTAGGATACTAAGTTGTAATTTATCGCATTTACCATGTGTTTGGGCGTGATCCGCCGGCCCGTGTGATCCCCTCGTGAAATACGTGAGTGTGGCGTCTGGAGTAGCTTACTAATAAATTGATCGGGATCTCGGTAATATATTTGAAGCTGCGGAAACTTGCAACGGGGCCATTCCCTCCCCATCTTTATCTTTAATTACGAACATTTATTGAATATGCCACCCGCAATGGTCAAGAGAGCCTGTGTAGCGTGTAAACGGTGAGCCACTGAATTTGTTCCTTACCATGAAGTTCTGAACTGTCTTATCCTTCCAATCGGAACTCACTGACGATAATTTCAATAGCAAAAAAATACGATGTGCGAACTTTGAATGTAATACGTGTTTACTGAGTATGTTCTAATACCAGTTCTATCATCAGGTGATATGATCCAGCCTTCATGCGGGCTCTGCACTCGTACAAAAAATCAATGCATCTACCCCGATCTTCAGGGGCCACCGGCTGGCACACCGCGAGCACCAAGTAAGCCAGACTGGTCTTTTGCCTCCATTCTACATGAAATCTATCGAGACAACAGAACAGGATCGGACTTGTTCTAACGCATCTTGAGGATCGGATGGAGAAGACGCGCCAAATATGAGGTCCGCATTCACGTGTCCACAAAACGCGCGACCATCAATCAATGATATGGAAATCCACGAGTTCAATAACTCGGGATTGAATGAATCAAATCTGTGTCATTCAATATCTACCCAACTGAATGTCCCTGGTGAGGACATCGTCATCCTGGTCGACTTGTTCTTCACGCATGTGCAACCTTGGTTGCCGATCTTCCACAAACCATCCTTTTACCAAAATTATATGAGAGGACATGAAGAAGCCGCATCTGTTAGAAATCTTTCCATAGGGGAAAGATTGATTTTTCTGAGCATGTTCGCTCTCGCTGCGCGCTTCTCTGATTTGACCTATCTCAAAGATCTTGCACCAACAGAGCGAGGAAAGCCGTATGCCGCGGAAGCAGTGAAGGTGTATGACTCATCCAGACAAGCACCAGAAGAGCCAAACATGAACCACCTGCAAGGCTCAATACTTCTTGCTTTTTTCTTTTACACCACTGGACCTTCATCGAAGGCCTGGGTATTGACGGGTATTTTGATACGCCTGGCGTATGATTTGGAAGTCGACCAGACCGACAAGATAGGCAGGAATGTGTTCCCTTCAAAAGACTGGATAGAGCTAGAGGAAATTCGAAGAGCTTGGTGGCTAGTGTGGGAACTTGATACGTTCGCATCCATCACTTGCAACCGTCCATTTGCTATACCGCGAGAAGAAGTTCCAGTGTTCCTCCCTGTTTCGGATGAGGCCTGGTTCTCGGGCACATCTACTGCCTCTACTACTCTCAAAACGACACCTGAAGATGCTTGGAAGTCTTTGCAGGGATCTGAAAACCAAAACCCTCGAGCTTGGTTTCTGGTCGCCAATTATCTCAGTTCAGTTGCCCTTGCACCTCAGTCGAGGAGTTATGAAGATATATTATCGATGGACCTTTCAGTCAACTGTTTCCGCTTTGCTCTACCGAAGGCTTTCCATCCGCCTTTCCAGAGGCATCTGAGCTGCGATCAAATGGCTGAAAGAAACTGGGTCATCTGTACGTTCCTAACACTATCTGCATACAAGGCCTTGCAAGTCCCGAACAACCTGCTGGCAACGGCGACGGCGGACTATGACCCTCGTATAAACTCTCTTCGGGCCTTTAATGCAGAACTAGCATACATCGTGGATGCTTGGCCAACTGATGCGCTTACTGTGTGTCAGCCCCTGATAGCATGCACTCTAATTGCTTCTCATCATCTTTCGCGGGGATTATCGGACTCGCTGGAGGATTCTTCAATCAGACTTGGTCGTGCACTCATCGAGGAGCTCCTCAAGAGATTTGCTGCTACCTGGGAGATTGGTATGAATTTACTAAGTTAGTATCTTTAAAACAGAAACTTAATCGGTATCGGCTAACTAATTATTAACTCAATAGAAGCTATCGAAGCCAGTGAAAAAAGAAGTCCACTAGCACCTGAAGAGCTAAATCTGTTGAAACGCTTTTCTAAATATATACCGATACCCGCATCATCTGAAGCCAAGTCATTCACTCCTAATTCAGGTAATGGGTCGAATATTCTACCAAATCTTGACTCTGGTCTTGAAAACCCGCCTGAAAATACCAACTTGCCACTCAACTATGTCGGAGCTACTGAGACTTCCGACTTGAATCGAACCTACCAGATGAACTCTTCGCTGGATACATTTTGCTTTTTGCAAAGTCCCCCCAATAACGAATTTCTGGAATTTGATGAAAGCGATCTTGATTTTTCTATCCTTGCACCTTGATTTACTCCTCCACGCCATAGTGCATGGTCATTGGCTTCTACCTAGGATATGAATTATTTCTCTTCGCCTTTTCTATAAATTGAATCTATTTGATAGTAGCCACTTGTCTGCTGGTAGGGAATCTCCGAATCAGTGATATAGTCATTGATCAAAAAAGAAAAGTCCAATTAAGTAACGATTTTTCAAAAACCTACGTAGGTTCAAACAACTCCGCTGCGTTTAGCACAGCTCGGTTTCCCCGAAAGCCAACTGTGCCTCCATTGTTTTAATCACAGCCAGTATAACCCTTTGAATTTTCTTGTTTTGGCCCATCACAGTACCCTTCTTGTCGAGACAACAGGAAGCATGAGATATCAGGACGTCGTTTATCACAGATGTATTGAGTATTTGGCATTCAATTACACATTGTTACTTGAAATCTACATTTCTAGCTTCACACTTGTTTCGTACTTGAGAGAATCTCCCTACTCAAGTGCTAGAAGATGTATACTTCAAAAGTCTTTTTTCACTTGACGCAGATCCTAAGTACATATAGATTCTCTAGGCAATACTATCTGGCACTGTCCAACAAGAGTCTTTGTATTCCACAGATCCGTATCCGTTTAAGGCATAACAGAAACTGTACAACTGCGACTGAGTGTTGAGGACGACCCTCAACGTACATATAAAGGATCATACGAGCAATACTCACGACAACCAGTTAGCGCCACATAATAGTTAAGTTCGGGTTAGGTTTTAACCCGGGTTCTTCGGCCTAATTTATATTTTACGGAAGTCTACGCCCGTCAAAGTGCGGGTTCGTGGGCGGCCCTTGGAGGCTGCCTCGCGGGGGGTTCGAAGGTCCAACAAGTCGGGATTAATTACATTAGCTAGGAATTTCTTTCTGACCTATATAAGCCTGCTATCACAACATGAAGACATTGAAGATTCTGCCAATAATACAAATTTTAGATCTTATAGAGACCCCAGGTAACCTTATGGCTATCCTCGCCATAACCCAAACAGTGAACCACTCCCTTTGCGCCAACCTTCTCCTCCCACTTGTACTTTTCGATGGACGTGTCAATCAACTCAATGATTTTGGCAGCACCGATTTGGGTCCACTCATCAGAGGGGGAGGTGACACCAAAGGCACAGTCGCCATATTGGACAAGTCGGTGCTGGACGCCCCAGCCTTCAAAGGTCCAGGTGCCTCCGCTGGCAATGTTGGTCGCGATCTTCTTGCAGTTGGCCGCTTTGGGTGAGCCAGACGAGGACTCATCGACGAAGGTGGAAGTACCGCAGAGAGTGGTACGCTTTTCCAGGACAGAAGCTGGGTTTTCGCTGACAGGCGCGGCTTGGACGCCAGCGAGGAGGAGGGTTGCAGCGGCGAAGATGGAGAACTTCATCGTGGAGAGGTGGAGGAGGATAGTGAGAAATGTGAAGCCTTAAAAGTTTTTTGATGATGGGGTTTTGAACAGCACTCGTGGCTCCTTATATACCCATGAGATTGATGTTAGCGCGGGTGCTAATGCTAGTGCAGGTGGTAGTTGAATTCTCTGTACTGTTGTCTCTGTACGGGTAACTGCGGCTTCAGATATTCAGCTCCACTGCGGTTTGAATGTCCAAGTGATCCTAGAATCTTGAGTGGGGTCCTTGAGGCGGAAGGCAGGTAAGAAATTGATAGGGGCCAATTACCTCTGGATCACATCCACCGTGATGTTCTTTCCCCTTGTAAATAATACCTCCTAGCGTACTTTGTACTCCTACTAGAACTGGCCATCCCAGAAGGATCAAGCTACGGCCAAATGCAGTATAGCTATAATGGACAAATTTTGAGAATTCACCTGGGAAGGTTTCTGCAGTCGTGACCTGTATATTTGGATATCTAGATAGGCAAAAAGGAAACCGGAAAAGAGACCCAATAGGCAGTAGATCAGGGTGCCTGCTTCACAATGAAGAACCTCCGATCAAAAGCTCCTAGGATCGTACACTGGCGAGATACGGAGGCCCTGGAAATTTGAAATGAACCACCTCTAGGGCTCCACATGCGTATACTGGACTTAGGGCGGATACCGTGACATGGCAAGTGGAAAAGAATTTAAATCATTGAGTATAAATTGTCTCCACCACGTTTGCTCTAGCTACTCCGTACAGATGAACTCATGCGACGTACGGAGAAGAGGCATTCCGCGGATTTCATACTCTGTATTTGTTCCATGTCCATTGGTGTACTGTCTGAACTTTTCATCGGCCACCTTTGCTAGAATTATAGCCAGGATATGGGAGAGATTAAGTGGTTCCTCAAGCGCGCCATAATGCGCAGGAGTGATATTGTTGAGACAACTAGTGCAAACTAGGAGCACTGACTAGTAAGTCAAACACCTCGGCAGCTAGAGCCTGCATGGCACTTCCCTTCCATATCTTTGGCGGTTTGAAGCTCAAAGGGCCTTTCCATTTCTACCTTTTTTTGGTTTGTCTGTTGTATTTTCGGGGGACTGAGAATGGCCCAATTCCCATTTCTCATAACCTTAACTATATAATCCTTCAATACAAGTCTCTCAGGATATTCGATTGCCTTACTATATGCACGGAGAGTCTGGTTATCTCATTCTCTCTATATCGGTGATCTCAGATCGCAGCCTCGATATCAGTCGGAAAAGAGAAAAAAAGTGGATCATGCCCCCATAACGAATCACCGCGGATGTACAGAGTCCACGCGTACGGCATACATACATGTATCAGTCTGATTCTAGCTCGGTCGTAGCTCAAGTCTGCTGTGGAGACTATCCATTAAGCTTACGCGGCGTCGCGGCCCGCTCGATGCCCTCAAAGGTGGACCCTCGTTAGCGAACAAACCACGGCAACGCCGCGTGAACTCAACATGAACGATGGCCTATCTAACCATTATTGGTCTGGCTCAAGCGGTCAGGACCAATTGAGTCTGGCCCACAAGAGATTCAGGAGGTCAGTCGGTCGAGAGCCGAGTCAATCCATACCAATGTCCTGTCGAACGAATGTGAAATTAATCTACAGGGCGTCGGCCTCCCTAATGTTCTCAATGAACAACCCTTTCTCTTTCCGCTTCTTGGGTAAAGATGCGTTTCATTCGACTTTTTCAAAGTCTTTGGCCTGAAAAATGCCATTCCACCCTGCAAACTCTTTCCTTCGTTCTCTTGCCATATCTCTTCTTGGTCCTCTACATCCGATCGCAGTCCTCTCGCGACCCAGGATCGTTCTTCTTCAGAACATCCTCAGCCTACGATCTATCATACTCTGCCGTCAGACTTGAGCAAGCAGATGCCTACATCAAAGCCGCAGAAACAAGTGATACGAAATTCAATGACCTAAAAGCCTCCAAAAATCCTGAATTTTGTCTTGGGATTGCGACGATCGCGCGAAGTGGCGTGCGATACTTTAAAAGTACGGTTGGTACCGTACTTGAAGGCCTCAGTGACTCGGAGAGAGCCAACATACATTTGATTTTTTTTATTGCGCATACAGATCCCTCGCAACATCCGGCATATGCGGAGCCTTGGCTGCACAAATTGGCGGACCAGGTGCTACTGTACAACTCCTCTGACGTCGATATTGACCATATCAAGTCCTTGGAAACAGACGAGGCAAAGCTTGCAGGCCGTGAGAAGGCCCTTTTTGACTATTCATATCTTTTACAAGCTTGTGAGGCAGTCGGTGCTCCATATACTATTATTCTTGAGGATGATGTTGTCGCTCAAGATGGGTGGTATCATCGTACGCGTGATGCATTAGTCTCTGTCGAAACACAAATGCAGGAGATAGGGGCACCGAAATGTGAGTTTTTTTTTTTTTTTTTTTTTTTTTTTTCCAAAAAAGAAATTTTCGGCACCATCTTCCCTTACCTAACTTTTGACTATTATTACAGGGCTCTACCTCCGCCTATTCTATACTGAAGAATTTTTCGGTTGGAATGCCGAGGAGTGGCCTATATATCTGTTCTACTCTATCCTAATAGTCTGCTTTGTTGGGTGCAGTCTTCTAGGCATCCGGCAGTACCGACCTTCCATACGCCCCCACCTTCCAAATAAGATAATCGCCATCGTCAGTGTTGTTGGCTCGTTCTTGCTGATTGGGCTATTTTTTGCTGCCGGGCGAGTAACAATGATGCCGATTCCAGAGGGTGTACACCAAATGCCGAAATTTGGATGTTGCTCGCAGGCCTTGGTCTTCCCCCATTCTCGTCTCAATGATCTCGTCGATCTCTTCACTTCTAAAAGGATCGGATATGTTGATATGCTCACGGAGGAGTTTGCAAATGCAAACCAAGAGATCCGCTGGGCATTAACACCTAGTGTCATGCAGCATGTTGGGAGGAAGAGTTCCAAAGGTGATCAGGCTGCTATTGTACAGTCCAAACCAAAATCGAAGGCGGAGTTGAGTAATGTGGAAATGCTCTGGAATTTTAGATTCGAGCTGAATGTTGCCGATGCATTGCACTTAGAGCACATGCGTGATGTTAGAGAGCATGAGTAGCGTGCATGCACGATTGTGAAAATCTACATGTAATAGAAAATTATGTAATATTTTATAGCAGACTCATCGAGGTCGAACCCGATGGCAATTCAATATTTTCTATTAGTCACCCCTTCGCTGCTCGGACAGTTGAATTCCGCTATCTGTAGGCATGACCAGCACTACTTCCATATAGCGCCTTTTCTACGCCTTGCCTCTAGGCAGGCTAAATACTGCTCTCTCACACTGAACATTGAGCGGAAAAATCGTTAGACACATCCACGGAATGCTAAGTTGGGACTGGCAGCAATTTATTGGACCTCAGCTCTACAGCACAACATGCCAGATTAATGGTTATCGGTCAAAAAATGAATGAGGAGTAACTGGAATTGAGTGTAACACGCTCGCTCAGCCTTGCTGGCATTCAGCTGAACATTATTGTGAATTTTCACAGCCGGCACTTGCAGTGCCCTACTGTGGATACCCAGTGGGTCCTGAACAAATGAGCCGGTTTTTGTCTTCCGCTTTTGGCCTAGTATGTTTTAAGCTTTTAATTATTATGATTTCTTTTTTTTTTTCGAAATCTTTAATCCTATATAGATTGGTAATTCGTGATGGGGAGGTTCCAAAGTCACATGATCTTGTGTTCAGCACAGCATTACAGTAAGGACGGAAGGCTCGGATGTCCCCCCTTTCCTACAGGACATAGAATCCTATACTTCTTACTAGGATTTTGTTATAGTATTTTAGGATAATAAAGCATTTTACTTCTTGGAGCAAATGAATTTTCAAAAATATTACGTTTTCTATAAGAAAAAGGGTCATTAACATTCAAAGCTATACATATATTACTTAGAGCTATATTTACAGTGTTGATCGTCAGGTTTCAATGTTTACTGTATGGGACAAAAAATAGGAGAAAAGAAGTCCCAACAACTTTGAGCCTGAGCAGGCTCAATTTTGTTGTGACAAATCAACGATCCACAGAGACCCGTTAGTCAATTACCCGACTTTCTTTTTCAGTACGCCAAGCCTGTTACAGTAAACATCCACCCCTCGGTGGAACCGAATCTTGCTGGGGGGGGGGGGGAGGCAACACGCTATTGAAGCAAGCCTTGAAGTGGAGATCTAGGCGTTCGAGCACAACCGTGAATGGTCGCGCCGCGAAGCTGAAGCCTAGTACAATTTTCCTGTATCTGTCCCCACCTATTAAGATTTATTGATATAGCGCACTCGAGACGTCCCGGAACTTCCGCGAGCTGTTTGCGCAGCTTCGCGAAACTAAAAGTGTGCGCTGCGACAGTGCCCGCGAATTTGTCCATCGGGTGCGGTCGCTTGTATATTGATTAAATGCTATCGTGCCCGGATTAATGGGTGATCGAACACACACATGTGCACATGTGCACATTGCGATCTTACTGACATAGATCGGACCGGAATACATCTCATATAGTTGTGGATGCCATTTATGTAGAATAGTAAGGACCTAGTGAGTCTGAGCACGATCAAAAATCCTTTATCCAATACTGACATGTAGGCAGTTTGGAGAAAGAAGTCTTAATACCCTAATAGGCGCTAGTGTCTGGATTGTCTGTTTAAATGTTAGTATGGTGTAACATTGAATGGACTCAAGTGCTATTAAGAAATATAACTATTATAAGAAGTATACATGTGTAGTGTAGTGCTGTAGAATTTGAATATGTAGTAAGAAAGATAGTTATTGATCTCAAGATGTACACATGGGGGAGCATTTGAAGTTCAACCAATCCTTCAAGCACTTGAGTTGTATTGGAAAATGCGTACTTTACGTTATATATATTAGGATGGATATGCCGAAGCTACAGCGTGACTGCTACTCGGTAGTGGTGCAGCCGCAGAATATCTTTATTTAATACTGAGGACGAACGGTCGGGACTGCCTAGCATGCGAAGGAGGACTTGTTGATCCTGTGGTGTTATATGAGCAAGATATCCCAACAGCGAGTCTAACTGGCGAGGGGTGCCGGCGACCCATGACTACGCAGATTCTCTGGATCCGCAGGTGGTGGTCATGGATGTTTATGATCTTCGGGAGTTAAGGGACGTAGAATGTATAGCGTTAACCTCTGAGCTTAATGGTGAAGCTGGAATGTTTGAGTCCTCATTCGAATTGATGTTTGAGGCAGCGGGGATATCATTCGATTCCGTGGTAGTATGAGGGATGAAAATGAAAAAAATATAGATAAAGATATAAATGATGCTTTTTTGCCGCTGACGTCGAGCTTTAGTGGTGCGTTGTTCTTCCAGAGGTCTACTGGTAAGTACCTTGGCATGCTCCTTCATTAATAAAGCATCATCAAGGTCCGCTTCAGTATCGCTCAGATCTGCGTACACACCATCAAACTCCTGCGTGCTAGGGGCCTGTTCGAGTTCTTGTTCCAAGTTCTGCGTCTTCCCATTAAGACATAGCAGCGCGTTGCTTTGCCTAACGAAGGTTGTGTAGGCATTATCAGTATCGTCGTTGAACAACTTAAGGAAGTTCGCGGCTGTTCGTTGGTGAGCTGCAATTGGAGTCTTGGGAGTATTGAGGGGTCCGGCCGAGCTCGAGAATCGCAAACGCGAAAAGGACGAGGGGATGCGAGGGGTTTTCGTGTTCTTCGGCTCGGAAAGTCCTGCATCAGTATCAGGAGGGTGATGAATCACTAATACATGGCGTCGAGATCGTGATAGTTGGGAGTTGCCAGGCTCGGCCTGGTCCTGTTACGATGACATGTCGCACGTTCGAGGTTGTTCGTTTCGTTCATTTTCCGCTGTTTGCTCTAAGAGCGGGGGAAGGATGTTGTGTTGTAAATAAGTTTAAATTTTGTGATCAGCACTGTACATTCCTGACGAAGGAACGTTTGTTTGTCGGTGGCATCTTCATGTACGTACGCCAAGCCTGAAGATGTATGTGTGTGGCGGTGAGCTAAGCGATTCTGGTTTTGGTCCGTCACTCGATCGAAAAGCTGGGACAAAAAGTTCAGTTTCAACTTCATCAGTGTTGCTATACTTTCAGTATGGCCTTAAAGCACCTGCTGGCATTTTCCAGTCCCCACATCCCAGACTTGCAATTTCAAGTTGGCAGAGACCAACATTGGTTTTTTTAAAGTCGTATGAGAACTATAATAGATGTGGCGGTCCGTAGCTTTGGAACACTTGCTGGCACTTCCCCGTTTCATATCCATGTGAGAATAGGGCCAATCGAAGCCATTCCTTCTAGTATCCTCGTACATTTCTTGGACTGTGTATTTCAAATATATTAACATTCAACAAGTCGATTCCTAGTTGAGTATTTCGACGGGATGGAGCAGCCCAGCGGGCTTTGAATAATTTCGAAAACAACGCGTCCTTGAGTGGATCACCGCGCTCGACCTGCATAACCTGCATAGCGCTCAGCAATCACTGGATATGCGTGGATAACTAAACTGTGCCAATTGATTGGATAGTTAAGGTTCGATAAGCCTGATAAGCACCGATAAGAAATTTGCTCTGTTTGTTGTTTGTCCCCGCCATTTTCTGCTAGAATGGCTTCCCGCGCTTCCCGCTCTTCGTTTGACATCTCCATCTCCCCCATAATGTCGTGCATGGCATTTTTCCAAACTTGGGCCTCACTGAAACTTTTTCCATTCCTCATGGCCCAAGGTACCATCGAATGAAAGGCAAATGAATTCGCCGATTTCACGCAGCGTTTCAAGTCCATTTCTACGAGTTTGAGGAATTCCAAAATGGGCAGATTTGGCCGCAATCAAATTCATGGTGTTGCTGATACTCCCAGCTACATCGAATGCCATCTCACATTACTTCAATCTTCTCATGGAACTGTACTCTATATTGACCTGTCTCCATATGTCGTCGAACCCTTTACAATACGGGTACTTGGGCAAAATTTTGTAAATGATATCCCAGGTTGATAGTTGAAAAGTATTTACTTGGGATAAGTCTTGTACTGACTACCCAGTCCCTAATTGGAATTTCAAGTTTTTAGTCTCTCCCGGTACCGAGCAGATACTTGTCTCCAGTGCTCAGCGGGTAAAAGCCTCAAGGAGTGAGTAGGAAGTCATATTTAGTGCCGAGTACTAGTATGTATGCATCTCAGGGTGCCTGTGACCTTATGTACTATGGATAGTATATCTATATGTCGTGAACTAAAATCTTGAACCTAAGGCCGAGGCCTGAGGCAAAGGCGACGTTGGATGACATGCTTCAACCCTCATCTCTCTTTTCCGATCTTCTTCTCCTCTTATTCAAATGTTCTTCTTCTTCTCAAATTCTTTCTCTCTTCTCTCTTCTCTCTCTAGCCATCCTCACTTACGTCGTCGATTGGACTTTTTCCTCTTGGTTCAAAATAACTCATGACGCACGCAACTCACGACCCGGAGATCACCTCCCTTTATATTTATACATGATTTCATCATCAATCAATGATTTCGCCAGCTTATCGGACACAGTGCCCACCCCATCTTAGGTGTACTGCCAGTGGTGGGTCGGTGTTCTGGTTCTACGAAACCCCGTTTGAGAAGAAAATCAATATTCAACAACGCTGAGCCATGTTGTGTGGCGACCTTCATTACGCGCTATGATATGGCGCGCAGTCGAACTTCGAAACAAATATCGTGGTTGTTGGGGCAAAGACTGAAGAAAAGCCATGCAGGGTGGAGGGGCGGCTATTATACATGACCAATGTCCCCTTCTCCTTTTTCATACCTCTTTAAAGAGGCAATTTACGCTTCAGTAAACTAGACTACACACTTGGATATGTCGACCTGGCACATGCAGACTCAACCAAGTGCGAAGCACGAGTGCGCGCGCGTCACGATGTCATACTCGGTGGTATTGGGCTTCGTCAAGGAAGACGGACGTATTGCACGTGGCCATCGGTCACTGTCCTTGGGTGAAGAAGCGCATTTCTGGAAGGAAATATGGGTCGGCAACTAATCGAAGATGCTTAACGGACGTCCAGATTATGGGCTATGGTACGGCGTACAGTCAAACCTGGAGTTTGTGGAAGCAAAGAACAAAGGAGAGTCTGGTTGGGTGGAGAAACAGCTCTTGGCCTGAACTGGTAAGTTAGCACTATCTGTCCAATATACTATGGAGTATAACTAATTGATGTTCTAGGGGTGGTTCACGGTGGCTGGAGGTGAGGGAGAAAGATGATATTGCTGTTTATGGCATCAGCACAGACAGTGTCACTGTTCTTCCACTGCCCGAGCCAAGGGAAGTAGGTAAGCTAGGAAATTATTTAGTATAGTTAGATTGGAAATTTCGTTATAGATCAGAGTTGATGAGTCATGTGTTATATTGGCAACTGCATCCCGATGGTTCCATGAGTCACGGCTAAAAGCCACAAGCCGCTTATAACCGCGAGAAAAAACATCAGTTTTCCCCGCGGCCAATTCTCTTTCCCAGTCTCAACGCTCCAGTGCTGGCATCAAAATGGCTCAAGAAATTGACTATCACTTTGTTGGAACCTACACCCGCTATTCCAGTAAGTCCCGCCAAACGCGAATTGCACATGTGCCGACCCTAGTTAACCATATGTTTCAGGCTGGACAGCGCGGGTGGAGGCAGTCCTAGAGTATTTCCAGATACCCCACACGGCTCAGATTATTAAACTCTCCGATGTACCTACACCTTTTGAGCCAATTGACACTTCCAAACGTGCAGACTAACGTGGATACGTAGGTGAAAACAGTTTCTCCCTCTGGCCTCGTGCCCTACCTCCAATGCCGCTCAATGGGATCCACAACTATCAGCGATTCACTAGCCATCTGTGAATTCCTCGCTGAATCGAACCCCGAGCTCTCTTTGTGGCCTCGAGATCGTCAACTCAGAGCGCTCGCACGTAGCGCTGCTGCTCAGATGCACTCCGGCTTTTCGACTTTGCGAACTCTGTACGGCACCAACTTCGTCGGCCGATACACTGGCAATGTACCGATTCCAGAAGAGGCTGTGAAGGATGTCCGGCGCATGTTGGCTTTGTGGGATGAGGCTCGCAAGGCTACCAAAGAGCGCCTTGCGATTCTTGGCGCAGCTGACGAGGGATTCCTGTTTGGAGGATTCAGTATTGCCGATGCCTTCTTCTGGCCGGTTCTTTGGGTATGATTTTCGTAGCGGGCGGGGATTGATAGAACTTGCTGACATTTTTCATATTAGCGATTCCGGACTTATGGACTTCCCTTGACGTCTGCCAGTGAGGATGCCCTAGCGTGGATGGGTACTATGTGGAACGATCCTGCATTCCAGTCTCTGTCTACAAAGTACTACGTGCAGCTCAAGGACCCGGAAACGCGCATTGAGCAATATGATGATGTGTATCAGGGCCAGGCGGATATTCAGTATGGCCACTTCCCCGAGGACTGGAAATTCTCCACGTCTCAGTGAGCGGGCTGCTACAGCAAACCACACATAGACGGTAATTATTCAAATGACGGCAGCGACAGTCAAATTCCGATTATATTTCGGCAACGATATCTCAGTATTGAAGACCCAAAAGATCCTGAAGGTCCAAATATAAATCTTAAAAGTATCAAACGAAGACGAAACGGTCGATTACAGTCTCCACCACATTTGACGATCTATTCAGCTTCGCCAAGATGTTTCTTCAAAAACGGCAGAACCTTATCAAGCGCAGCCTTCACAGCCTTTGGCTCATCGTAAAGCTGATAGTGCGAGACGCCAGGAAGCACTAGAAGCTCTTTCTCCTTAGACGCAGCGCGAGCATGAATTTCGTGACCATCCCGGTACGCGCCAAACCCACCAGGAATGCCACCAATAACAGCAATGAAGGGACGAGTCATGATGACTTCCGCATAGTTGAACGCATCCCACGTAAGCGCGGCGCTATTAAACGAGAAAAGGGCGCTGGTGGCACCACAAGGCTTTTGACCACGGTCGGTCTTGTAGTACTCGGTAGCCTCGATAAGATCCGGATCCGAGGTCATCTTCTTCGCCTCCTCGACTGTCGGAGGGAGGAAGGGGAGGATGTAACGATCACCGCCCTGGGCTTCGAGTGTGCGCTGTTTGGCCATTTTTTCAAGGGAGCCAACAGGATCAAAGCCGCCGAAGGATTCCCGCACCAGCCGACCGAAGTTTGCGGGCGTGATTCCGATACAGCATTTGAGACGGTAGTCGGTCATGGTCGCGTTGAAGGCATAGCCACCACCTCCGCAGATACCCAGCACACCGATGCGCTCGGGGTCAACATACGGGAGCGTCTGAATGTAATCGACCACGTAGCGGAAGTCGGAGACGCGCAGCTCGGGGTTCTCCACGAACCGGGGTAGGCCGCCTGAGGCACCCTGGAACGAGGCGTCAAACGCGACAACCACGAAGCCGGCCTCGGCCATCGCCTTGCCGTATATGTTTCCTGAGGTCTGTTCTTTGCATGAGCCGATTGGATGGGCGGATAGCACGGCGGGATATTTGCTCTTCTCGTTGAAGGTGGGGGGGAAATGTATGTCGGCGGCAATATCCCACGCAATCCCGGGGATTTTGACAGGCTTGATGGTTTCTGGCATGATGGCAATGTTGTGGCTTCAAAGCGATAGTCTGGATGTTGAGAGATTAAGTTAGCAGGTTTGCCCAGACTGTGGTGCTTTTTTTCTTTTTATAAGTTGCAGGGAGTTGGCAATGGGGGCTTTAAGTTGAGCGGCGATATGTCGCTGACACAGATACTCCGAAAGTACGGATCAGCTTGAACTTCTCCGGGTGAAGCTTTTGGTTACCAGAGGATCTTGGCCAATCAAAATGCCAAGTTTAAATCAGGCTAGCCGGCTTTCTTCTAGATTATCTTTTTCAGCAAATAATTCAATGCCGATCCCCGGATTTTGGATTGCTGATCCCGGATTTAAACATGTGGGGTTCCCGAGCTGACAGTCGTTCGTTGGACCCTTCAGATTGGCGACCTGGGTCTCAACTTGCAATGTTATTAAAGTTATTTTGTCGTGCTGGCAAATTTTCTTGAAAATCAAACCCCAAGTCCCATTCGCTAACTTTCTAAGCTTGTAACTGCTAGAATGTCAGATCATGAATTTCAGCACCGGTGACGTCATTCTTTTGCTTATCTCCGATGGGGTTAAGACAGAACTGTCATCTAATCCCTGTGGACGCTTAATTCCAGCATAGTTAACTTTGCCTAACCATTAGAACATTGAATATTCGAACCGCTTTGTTTGCCCTTCCTACTAATTGACTGTCCCTTCACACAAATTCGTATTTAACATCAAGCTTCTAGGATATCCGCGAGTTTCGTTGTAATGTTTAGAGCGTTGTGAAGCTATCCTCTATACTTCTATAAATTTGGTTGCAAGGGAAAAAGACCAAGGGGTTTTATTCTCTCTCTTGACTCCCTAGGTAATATCAGGCATACTCATAGAAACACCTCCAAAGACCCACTGATGTTTAGTCCCATCAACTAACAGGCCTGTGAAGTCTCGATTCTCGTTTAAGATAAATGAACCGGAATCGCCATCGTTTGCCAAACCCCATACCCATGATCCGACGCAAAAAGCTTGTTGTTGTGGAGTAAGTATTTCAGGCTCGGCTTGTTCTTCATTGCAACTTCCTTACCCTCGTGATTGAACCGCAACGTGGGATTCTCCCACTCACAACTTGCTCTAGCACCTGGCTTATTCCGGATGTAATTCGGGTGATCTTAGCGACCGGCCCACAATTCTCCCCTGATACTAAGCAACCAAAAGCTTCAAGCGGTAAGCAGATGATATTGGGGTTCGTATTTGTATCTCGTTGGAAAGATTGAGGTGGATCTTGGTCGGTTAGGATGTCCAACATTTCGTTGCGGTGGAAATATTGGTGCTCAATCTTTCGTAAACCCCAACAAACGCCTAGTCTCCTTCTGCAAACGCCATCTGAAGACAGATGGATTGCGCAAGAGGCAATACCGTGTCTTTTGTGATCGTATTTGGTGCAGTCGGGAGCATTTCTCGTGCTCTGGGCGGAGGACGCGAGTTTCGTGTATTGGGATCCCGTTATTCATGCAGTGATGTGCTCTCGGTTGCAGCTGCTTGATACTTAGATATCTTGCTTCCTGGTTGCTTCAGTATTCTCCGCTCACGTGTGCCTATGGATGGCATCCTGAATGGTGACGTGCACTTGCATTGCGGCCCTTGACACCGCGGTTTTAGCGGCTATATATCGTGCCGCTTCTCAAGGTAAAACGAAGAGAGAAGTGTGTGTATTGACTATTAACTCTCTTTGGGGGATGGAGAGAAGAAGAAGAAGAAGAAGAAGAAGAACAAGAAGAAGAAGAAGGGAAGATGGAGGAAGCAAGTACTGGATATCTCGAGGGGGTGATATCTGACCCATCTCTGACAAGAAGTAAGGCTGGAGTGAGAAGATGACGAGGGAATGGTGAGATAAAATTGAAGTAAAACCTGTTAACGTGGCTCGTGAGGAAATTTCCGGTGAACTGGAATAGCAAAGAGGACTCAGAGAGAATTGAATTTGTGATATTCTTAAAAAGTTCGAGATTCAACATCCACACCGGCTGTTCCCTGTGTTTGTGCTTCTCATTCTTACTATAGCACCAGTGTCTGCTCGTCCCTTTACACCTACACCTACTACCTTTTCAACTTCATATGACACAATCTATTCCCAGCTTATAAATACTTCTGCCAGGCCCGGTTCCTCTTTCTTCATTCTCTCGTGCAATCTTCACCTCTCATATCATCCCTAAAGGAGAATTCTCTTGAATTGCTCCCATCTCCATATGCCTCAATCATCGTTCCAAGGTTGATCCAGTGTCACGAATCCAACTGCAAGGTTTCAGAATTTTTACCTTTCAGGCTTGCCCACTGGTTGATCGTTCTTTTTCAGAAATCCTGCAATCTTCGGCTATTCCAGCAATGTACGAGGGGATCTGGAATATCGTCACATGGAACTCGAATTCTCTTTGGTTTCCATAAAATAGCTGCAGACACAACATTGTATACTCAGAGACTGTGGTAGTCACCCAGGTATCACAAGACCTTTCCCAGTATGCAATCATACTGGGCCACCCATACCATGGCCGCCCCTGGTATTAAAGGTCGGTTTATCGGAGTCCATTAATCAGCTAAGGCCAAATGCAGGCTGGCGACTTTCTAATTCAGATCACCAAACCCAGCCTTTGGTCCTAATCTTCACTCCCAAGATGCAGACACCGAGAAATGGACGGCAGTCTTCAACCGAAGAGTTGTTGTTACCACCAGGGGCCGGGAAACTAACACGCTGGCGTGTACCAAGTCTGCCCAGGCTCAGGAATGGAGTGGTATCTGGCGACATGATGGGAATTGATTTGTATTGTTTGATGGGGCAGCCAGTAGTTCCGTTCCTACTGCCCCATATTTGTGTCCGATCTGCAAGGGCTAGAATTCGACATGATGCCTCACAGTGCGGCCCTTCGAGCACCATCATCGAAAATAACCGTTACTGGCCTTATAGCCTATGGATCCATGTTTGTTTGTCTTCCTACTAGTACCTTATAGATTTCACAGATGCTCTTGTCTAGAAACTTGGAATAGGTTAAATAGATGCCACTGCAACTTCTACCGTCGATTCATCAGACATCACAGCACACCGGCTCCGGCAGTCTAACGTGAAGTTTATGGCTAATTCATATTTGAGCTGACCAAGGCTAAGCGACAGTGGATTAACAAGAATAGAGGATTCATTGCGGCAAGAGAAAAACATTTGGCTCTTCTCCCATATAAGGAATATCCCCCAAGCACTCAAATAGTATACCGGAATGAGGGTTCGCCTTCAATGACTCGCTTGCCCCGATCTGCTTGGCGATTGCAGAACCGGAACCACACGCTCAACGTACAGACAATCAGAATAATCAAGATGTTACACCTAAAAGGAGCAGTTAGCAAAATTTCAAGAAGCTTCAAAGCTACAACAAATCAAGTGAAACTTACGCGAGAGCCGCATACATTCCAGGTCGATACTCGGGCGCATCTTTATCGCGGAAAACCAAACTGCTGGCAATTCCACCCAGCCCACCAAAGCCGACTAGTGTGGCACTGGAGAAGGCTCGCGTCCATTGTCCTCGTACATTGTTCGCCTGGTACGCCATGCACGATGGAATGTTTGCATTCGCCCCAGCGACCGTCAGAAAGACTCCAGCATAGCGCGTGGCGTTACCTTTGGCGAAGCCCATCATCGGCAGTCCAATGATGCACAAGAGGGCGTTGGCGATCAGAATCACTCCGCGCATGTGGTACTTGTCGCCGATCCATGCACCGGTGTACATGACGATACCAGCGAAGACGTACGGGGGTGCGACGAGACATTGCGACTGACCGATATCGAAGCTCATGCCGGATCGGAGAATTATGGGGAGGAAGTAGGCGATGGCATAGGTGACGGTTGTAAGGGAGCTGAAGATGAGAGTGATTAGGTAAATTCCAATCAAATGAAGCGCAAAACTTACAAAAAAATCATTGCAAACGCCCAGATCTTTGGATCCAACGCCGGCCTGAGGAACTTCTTGATGGAAAATGCCTCCAGGTGGCCATCTTTACGATCATTATCAATGCGACGGACAATGAAGGCACATTCGGCCTCGTTCAAGAACCTCCAGGACTTGGATGCACGGTCGGGGAAGTCCACGAGGAAAATAAAGCACAGTATGCCAATCGCACCGCTGATCTGAAGATTGTTAGTGATGCCCCGGAGCGTGGTGGACTGTATGAGACACATACGACTCCTTCTAGAATGAAGATCCATCGCCAACCTGACAAGCCATGTTGCCCATTCAGCTGCATCAGGCCAAAGGCCAAAATTCCCGAAAGTGCAGATGCAACACAACCAATCAGATAAAAAATGGAGAATCGCTTCTGTACATCATCTGGTTTTTCCCACAAGTCAGTGCAGGATCCCAAATATTCAATGCGTAGGTGCGGCACTTACATCGAGTGTACCAGCAAGACAGGAGGTAGACACATCCTGGAAAGTATCCTGCCTCCAAAACGCCTAGCAAAACTCGCAATCCGACCAATTGTCCGAAGTTCTTGGCGAAACCGGTTCCCTTCAGGAAGGGTCAGCGCATGTATATTTTCCAAAGTTAGTGGCACAGATGATGCGGAAATACCACCATCGGCAGTTTTGACATACGATCATAACAACAGCCCAAGTCATGATTATTGTGGATAGGAAGATTGTAGGGCCAATCTTTCGAATGAGAATTGTCATCGGCGGCTGGAAAATGATGTATGGCACGAAGAACATCAACACGGCAATGGACTGGCCGGAAAAAGCGAGTCAGCTTCTTGCGTGCTCGCAATTGGAATGAAGGGATTACAAACATATCGATTGTCATATCCCAATTCCAATTCCTTTGTCAACCTGTTGAGATTGCGGGGATTTAGCCTCAGTGTGCTTTAACGGCTAAGAGTTAGGTGTATCAGCTCACCCTGCAACGGCAGCCATACTCAAATTCGTCCGATCCATCAGAGAAACACAATAGGCCAGCCCGGTCATCGTGACAAGACGAAGGTCCACTCGTCGAATTATTCTTTTCTGTTCCTCGGGCGTGAATTCTTCCTCCTCCTGCGTTGGAGTCTTTTGCACCGAGAGGTTCTCGATCTCGACGCCATGTGGTTTATCCTCGATGGGAGTCGTGGCGCTCATGGTGTCACGCGAGAGTAGAAATACTGAGAGAGGTTTAGTGGAGTGGAAGCAGCAGAGGGAAATCAAAGAAATGAATAAGTAGAGTGATGGTAAGGAGGTGAAGAAGGAGTGAAGGAGTGAAGAGAATATTCAGAAGCAAAAGGCAAGGATGGCCTCGCCTTATATATCAGGGGTGAGATAAACTCCACAGCAGCTACGCTGTAGATAAGTGTACTAGTCTAAATAATGTGAGACCTTTAGATCCTGTTGTACACCAAAGAAGCCGATAACACTCAAAACCCTAAATTGGCCCCACATGACGACGTAAGTAATTCGGAGCATATCTTTGAACATGGCTCAGTACGAGATCATGAATATCAAGCGCCAAATCTGATTCAGAGCTGACGCATTTTCCAATCGGAAATCCGCGCTGCATCAACTCTCTCGCCTAAATCAACCCTGTCTTCACAATGCCCAGACATGCCCAGCACTGCGCCATGGCAAGATTCCGATCCAGACCACAGTAGCCGATTTTCAATAGCCAGATGCCTCGGATGATTTTTAACATGCAGGACTTTGGAGCTAGAATGCATCATAGTTCCCCGAGAAACAAGTGAGGGGAAAGAGAGGGGCAGGTCGAAGTGGAACTCTTGATAGAATGGGAGTCCAATTGGAAAATCTGGGGAAATACGGGGAAGCCTGGGGAGGACATGACGATGGCAGGTAAAAGTTACTGCATAGATTCTCGTGTTTGAGGCGCATGATTGGGCTTGGAATGGTGGGGGGATGCGGGGAAAGGGATGGAGTTGACCCTTGGCAGCTTGGCAAGCTTGGAGTGTGTGACCACTCTATTGATAGTAGTTTCAGCTGTCAACGAGCAATGTCGTGTTCGCTTTTTGGATCTGCTAGTACGCACTCCACTCTTTCGTCTTCGTTCCACCTACAAGAAGCCAAGCAAGCCACGCGCATGAAACCCTCGAGCGCCAATGTATGCATCACAGGAAGTCCATAGGCCGCAAACCAAAAGTCGGGGTCTTAGAACAACTATAGAAATACTCCCAAGTCTGGAGAAAGCGCGTTAATAGTTTCCAACGCAAATTCATGCTGAGCGGACTCGGGGTTCGTCGAAAGCAATTGCTTATGATGAACATGGACGTTTTGATGGTGTCGCAGGGGAGAATGGGCTGTACCTGATGGGTATTGCAAGGTTGCTTTGAAGCCCGTCACACCTTCTCATAGAGTAGCCTCAGCAATATCGGCGGCTGTATAGTGGCAGGTGAGATGAATGAAAACAGCACTCGAGCATTCAGAATAGAAAGCTTGAGTGCTTGTGCAGATACTAGTATCAGCAGTCAGTGCCATTCTAGTTGGGCCCATGCCTAGCGTGGTTAGCGCATGTTGCTTATGATATTGCATGTATAGAAGAGCATTTTTTGTCAACAGAGAGATAGCTGACGACCAAGTTTTAGAGCATTTACCTATCGGGTGTTGGAGAAGAGTAGTTAGCCAGATAGTGCAAAAGTGGTATGAAAATGACAAAGTCACCCAACTTCAGAATCTATATGAGCGGATCAAGCACATGAAGAAACAGACAAATGTGGCACAGTGAAAGAGGGACAGAGGGACAGAGGAATATTCAACATATGCTGGCTTGGCTCGGCCGAGCGCCTACCGGACCGATCTTTCTTTTTGGCGGACGATCAGGAGAACAGACCCGAAAGGAACGCAGTGGATTTAGAAGAAGGGAAAAGACGAAGTGAGGGAACGCTGAAAGGTCCTACGCGCATACAAGATCCTGTGATCCTTGTCACGAAAGGAAATTTGGCATTGTTCTTGATTAGAAAAAGAGACAGTTCTGGAGGAGGGAGGTGGGTTGTGTGCCCGTGCTGTTCAACATAAGAGGTTCAAATTGCATATACTAGTAGTAAATAGTAGTAAGAATTATAGTGGATAGTATGATATATCCATGTTCTTAAGTGCTTTGATCAACTCCCCGATCCAGTTGATCCCAGTCCCATATTCTATCTTCCATGTCCCTAGCGCTGAAATTTACTCAAAAAAACTTTGGAACCCTCTGAACCGCCTGCAGTGAGCACTTGAGTTGTCTTAATTTTTGGCTCTGGACTCTTCAGGCTAGAGCTAGTCCCGCCGCCCGCAACCCGCCCTTGTTTCCTATCAATTCTTTTCTTTCCAAGGTAGTAGTCAGCCCCAAGCAAAGCACCATCCACCAACAGCCCGTTCAATCTTTTTTTTGGAGATTCCCCAATGACTCTTGTAGGAACTTGAAACTCAGCAGAGCTTCTTTCAATTATAAAGGTTCTGGAATCGGTGGACTTTTTTTTGGAAAAAGGTGGATTTTGATCTGTGCCTGGAGATGACTAAGCGGCGCTCGCGATCAGAAAAAAAAACTTCATAATTAACGATCCCCCACGATGAACATTCCTCGATTGATCAGCGGGAAATCCGATAAGCTTGAAAATTTTGATGTCTTCAAATCGCCCCCTCCCGATAGCTGAGGTGTGGGAGTGTCCCGATGCCTACATTGAGGCGCTCCTCTCGTTCTCCACCACGTCTGTGCTCTTCATGAATTTATGCGGGGGTGTGCATATGGTCGATTTTTTGACGCGCGAGCCCGATGTCTATAAATCAATCTTGCCTGAAGATTGGAGAGACTTTTTCGACCAGCATGATGTTCAAGATATTATCCATCTCCTCTTACGAGAGGACATTCAGCTTCTACAAGCGTCTAGAGAGCTGGGCACAGATAAAAGCAGCAGTACCTGGAATGGAGGAGCATTTCCCCCACAAACTCTCCTAGACTACATTTCCAAAGTCCGCCAATTGGCACTCGCACGAGACTTCTCCGCCTCTTCTGCGGATGGGATTGAATTACCGAAGCAAGTTGCTATGCGTATGAACCGCAAGAAAGTGCACGAGGTCAAATGCCTTTCTCAATACGTGGCATCGCTATCGGACACCGTTCAAGAGCACCGGGGTGAGCCAGTCTCTCATATTGTGGATTTTGGGTCTGGTCAGAACTACCTTGGGCGGACGCTGGCTAGCTCGCCTTACCACAAACATATCATTGCAATTGAACGGAAGCATGAATATATCAGCGGTGCCAGAGACATGGATGTTCGAGCCAAGTTGGCAAAAAATCCCAAGGCTTTTTATAATAAAACTGAAAAGGAATCTTGTGTTGACTGCAACAGAACTCCAGAGACGGCCGTCTCTGTATTGACAGAAAAGTCCCAGGCAGCAGGCTCAGAGGTCCATGAAGATGGCAGTGACTTCAAGATGCTAGGGCAGATCAGTCTTGAGCCCGACGAGTTACTCGGATCTCTTACTAAAAACCCGCAACGAGAAAAGCTAGTCAAACCGGACATTCCGGATGCTCGCGGTACTCTCAGTTATGTTGAGCATGACATTCAAGATGGCTACTTAGAGCCCATTGTCGACCATATCGTTAATCCCACACCCTTGGCAAATACAGATGAGAAGGCAGAAGAAACAGTTGACCCTAAACTAATGGTTGTTTCGCTTCACTCTTGCGGGAATCTTGTTCACCATGGCATAAGATCCTTGATTTTGAACCCCTCGATTGTGGCGGTCGCTATGATCGGTTGTTGTTACAACTTGTTGACCGAACGCCTCGGTCCAGCCAAAACCGAGCTTCCTATCCTCCAATCTCTGCACCCTCGACTGAAAGAGACTGGGACATCATACGATCCACATGGTTTCCCAATGTCCAAATATTACGAAAATTATCGAAGTCCCGGGGCAACAACAGGCATGAAGCTTAACATCACAGCTCGTGCACTGGCCGTTCAGGCTCCGTACAACTGGGGTCCCAAGGACAGTGAAGTTTCCTTCACACGTCATTCATTCCGTGCTCTTTTGCAGCGTATTCTTGTCGATCGAATTCCGGCCAAGTCGTCTGGCACATCATCAGAGCAACCTGACCCAGAATCTGGGATTGGTTCTATTATCATTGGAGCAATCCCAAAATCCGCTTATAAATCATTTAATGCCTATCTTCGTGCTGCTACGGTCAAGATGAGCCGAGATGCGGTATATGGCTCTCGTGTGCAGGAGCATATTGCTACTCTGACTGATGAAGATATCCAGTCCTATGAGACTCAATACTCCAGCGCAAGGAAACATATTAGTGTTGTGTGGAGCTTGATGGCTTTCAGTGCCCAGCTTGTGGAATCCATCATCGTCGTAGATCGATGGCAATTTCTCCGCGAACAAGATTCAGTCAAAGAATGCTGGGTTGAGCCGGTGTTCGACTACGGCGAGAGTCCGCGTAACCTGGCAGTCATTGGACTGAAAAAGTGACGCATCTTTGAAATAATTTTAACATGAATGCAAAACCGGATCCATGATCTGAAACTTGGATTTCAACCAGCCCTTTGCCTCACTTTCCATCATCGCCTTCATCAATTTCTTTCATATCGCCCCTTTTGATGGTAATGTAGGTCGATACCATAGTATTTCCAAGTATACTTCGCAGTACTATATGTCGTCAAGAGCAGCAAGACTTTCATCCAAAGTCCGGGGCATCGTTTCTTTGATGCCAACCGCAAGCCTTTGATCTTTGAAGATGCTTGAAGGCGGTTCAATGCAATCTCCAGCAAAGAGAACTCTTTTCGTCAGCAACTCATCAAGTCCAGTTGCCAAACGCACACAAAGAGCCAGCCAGGGATTTGCAAGGCCGTCCATCGAGTTAATCTCGAATCAATTACCGACATGCGCCGCAGAATGGTTTCACGATTATCTCAACCCCAAGCAACAAATAGACCACTGGTAAAGATGTCATGTGAAAGGCCGAAGCAGCAATTGCGGGAAATTGTTCAGGTATCCGAGAAAAGAAGGGCTCTTTCTTGTCTCTGTGCAAGCTCCGCGTGGAATTGCTCGATTCCAATCCCGATTTTCTTCCGTGCTTGTGCAATTTCCTCTAGCACAGGAAGAAGTGCTTGATGATCCGGTGTCATACTCGACCACGAATGATCCGCATTCGTGGGCTCAAAATCATCCAGACCGCTCTTTGTCACACACCGCAAGAAAATAAATCCCACTTTGAATCCCAGCGGTACGGAAAATCTTGTTCTCTGGTGTACTTGATCGGTCAGGCATTGAAGTTTTGACCGGGCACACTCTTCAATTGGAGAACCCTCTTTGTCTACCCACGTTGGTGCAACCACAGCTCTCAGGCCGGTAAAATCCGCTCGATAATAGACGGATGATAGGTCTGGTTCAAGATATCTGGACCCGGTCAGCGTACCTTAATCTGCAACTCTTTCGTGCGGAAGGACATGCAGAATAACTCGTGGCAGGCGTGAAAATCCACCATGTTTCACTATCTTAGAAAATTTGGAGACAGCACTTGAGGAATCATTCGTTCAAGATTTTTTCCAATGTATGTTGTAAACTGAATTCACACAAACTTAATTCTCCATTTTGGGCAGGGAATACCTCCCAGTGATCCAGCGCTAAGGAATAACTTGTGGTCGCCGCAGAAAACTGCTTTCCACATCTAAGCACGCTGATGAGACTGCACTTTGATCCAAACAATTTCCTATACCGCAAATGGAAGTTTTCTTTTCACTCATGCTTTGTTGATTCATACCATTTTCAGACCTTGGGCAGAGGGGAGCGCTCTTTCAGGGCTGATTGTTGCATCCGATACCTTTCACAATGCATGGATCAATCACGATGTCCCAATCCATGATGAGGGGGAACTTTATACAGTTGGGAATGAGCTTCAAAGGCTTGTCTGGGCGGTTAGTCGGAAATCTTTGTGACCCTGTTATGAGAGCCATTGCCCCGTTGGAACTTGAAGGTATGGAAGGAATTCGATTTGCAGACTTCCAGGCTCTGTCGACACCGGAAATGGCTATCCCAGATGTGTGCCTAGGACTTGTTTCCGACCCCACCCCTGAAAATGTATATTTGGTGGGAGAGTTCAAAACGCCATGGACTGTCCCTGAAACACATCTCTACCAGTTGACTTGAATCGACCCAATACCTCCTATCATCTCAAGCCACTTATAGGTTTATTTGCCTTAGCCCTGGCTTTCTTCAAGTTAACCCTTCTCAAAACTCTTTTCTCGAAACTAACTTACTCTTAAACCTGGGTTTAGGGCAGCTAGTTGGTCAAATGCGGACCTGCTCACTTCGCTTCGGTTTTCTCTCCACATATGATGCCACAGTGTTTGTGAAGAGAGTATCAGACCTTTCCTTTCTACTTTCAACCCCAATCAAACATAGTGCTACTCAGCCATCCCTGCGCCAGATATTCGCTGGTTTTTGTCTAATGGCATCATCGAAGCCGAGGTACTTTGAGAGTCCATCCATGATAGATAGTTATTATAAGCCCTGGTAATTTCGGGTTGATGACGGTATGTAATTACCTGCATATGCATAGTAGATCGGCACTGGGGATGAGAACATACTAGGCACTACTCAAGCCCTGGAGGACAGAACATAATGTTCCACATACCTGGGATCTATATATACTATGTTAAGCACTCAGCAACAGCGTACCTACCCAAGACTGAAGCCGAGCACATACTCAGTATCTTCATTTTCCTCTTCTTCTTCCTCCTTCAGCGGACAAGGGCTTCGACTCTGACTGGTCAACCACTTTATGGCCTCTAGGGCGTTTGATTGCTCAGGCAGATCGGGAACAATGACGATCTTTCCGGTATCCATATAGCGGTCAATGCTTGTGGATATCAATAGCCCGTTCCGCGGCGAGAAGAGTTCAGGTATCTTTGTCTCGCTAAAAATGGCATCCATCGTAACTTGGCCATATATGTAAGCGAAGAGATGGGCAGCAACTATATGATTGCTTTCTTGCCAGTCTGCAAGAATAGGGCACCAATATGTAGGCCCTCCTCGCCCTCCTGTTGTGCGTTGTACTTTGAGATCATATCTGCCCAGAATGCTGATTGCTTGTTTGTAGGCCGGCTTCCTGCGCCGGTAGAAGTAATCCCAAGCCCCATTTTACTCGTTGTAAAGAGTTTCATGAAGGATATCTGCTCTGATTCGGTTTCCGTGGCCGCTAATAGTGAGCTGCTTCACTCGTTGTCTGCAGATATCCCTTTTCTTCTCTCGTCCTTTGATCATCGATATAATGCTTTTTCCCTCATCGGAGGCCTTCCATTCATCCTCGGGGCCATTGTATCCTTGTAGGGAGATTTTTCGGTGTATTTTTGTTTTTCCAAGCGTCAATCTATCAATCTCTTCGGCAGCTGTCCAGAATTCCAAATCGAATGACCCATGGCCCTTGAGGCGCTTTCGCGCCCGTTTCAGGCTATCGTTCAGAACACGCTTCCGGTTGTGGACTTCGGGGACCTCGATATCAGGGGAGCTGCTGCGTATTGTGTCATTCACATGGATTGTAGTTGTGAGCATGAATAGGCTTTCTTCATCAACTCACATAAATACCGAAAGCTTGCTCGTATTGATTATGCCGGATTTTGTCGATGCGATCGGAAAACTAGGCAAACATTAGAATTTTCTAATCAAAGAAATGTTATGATGAGTATAAATTTGCATAAACGAACCTGCGAATCGTTGTTGATCTTGATGTGATAAGTTGAGGGTGGAAGACTGCGGAGGTAGAGATCGCGTCGCTCGGTCGGTACTGGCTGGAAAACAGCTCCATCTTAGTGGATAGCATTTCAGCCTTCCTACTATCTGCGCACAATAATAGTATCAAGGATGAGCTCTCAAGTACTAGAACTCTGAATCTATACCTCCGACCTGTGAATCAAGTGGTACATACTGTAAGGGGAAACGTAGCGCTGGTAGTCTGAGTAGTATAATTGTAGACCTCCTAGTACGAGACTTAGCCGAAGACATGCTAGTAGTTACTAGTAGTTGGTTAATACTAGTTAGTTACTAAGTGTGCTTACTATATGCTTCTGCGTACTTCGTAACCTTTTAAGGTGTTTGTTTCGGTTTTGTTTTCTACCACACCTCTTTCTAGTAACACCACAACCGAATTTCGGATTTATAAGTGGTGCGCGCGGTTTAAAGCGCGCATACCTCTTTTGACCAATTGAATCCCACTAAATGTCGTGGAAATAACAATATCCGCGTGGCATCTAATTAGTACCCATTTTCCACCCAGCCATTCACTTATACAATCTTTTCAGCCTTCCTTTGCTGGCACCTAGAGGGCGAATGTTCTACTACAATACTCATCCCAGACATTTATTATGTACCCTTCTCAAGTACTCAGTATGTACCCTTCTCAGGTACTTAGTATATACCCTTGTTCAATATTACTCATGGTACCTATCGTCCTCCTACATACTTTTCTCCTGGCGAATTTTGGTAACCCTTTCCGGATTAGTGCTCAGTGACTCGCCGCTTTTGCTCACTGATCGGCTCACTGAGCCTTATGTAAGCTCAGGCACAGGCTTAGTGATCGGATCAGTCAGCTCACTGAGCCTGCTCCCCTGTGGTTCGCCCACCAATCAGACCATAGAGGGCTATCACCTCCCTTTTTCAGCCCCGCATAACCTCCCCACCAAATCATTGCAATGCCTGAGGTACTCAGCAATTCCCCATACGAGCTGGTATTCAAAAATTTTCACGACTGCAATGCCCAACGCCCATCGCACACTCTGATATTTCGTCATAATGGGTTATCTTGGCGGATTAAAGTCTCTGTGGAAGGGTCTCTTCCAACAGCAATAACGGACCTGGGCTATATGCTTCGCCGCTCTACTTTTCGGGCATTTCTTGAAGCGATTGATTTTGGTCGATTTCAGCTATTAGACAACACCGTGTCAGGCATTACTTTGACCTTGACCGAGGAGAGCCATCATTCTCTACCAATCCAGGCTATGTCTCACGATGCTGGAAATTTTTATCTCGCTGTGTCTGATCGAATGCGATATAAAGTTGAGGAAGATCCAAACCGAGTTATCTATCCTCATGTTAGCCAGATCCAATACTGTCTCCGGACATTTGATATAAGTTGTCTGCACTCGGGCGATTTTATCGCTCCCGCCGTATCTGCAGTCATTGTTGAGGAGAAAAAGTATGCCTACAAGATCATCGACCGGCCTTTATACGAGCCTAGAGATACACAAGATATATTGGATGAGATCTATGCACTTGCGCAGTTCCATGGACAGCCTAACATTGCGCAAATTGTCGGTCTTGTGGTTTCAGGAAATCCGTATCAAACAAATCCATCGAACAATATGCCTCGGGTAATCAAAGGTTTTCTCCTTGAATACTATCCCGGAGGGTCTCTAGAACAGGTCATCTGTGAGGGGACAGGCACAAATGACCTCTCGCCATTGAGATGGGCTATATAGGTGGGGAGAGCATTGAGACAACTACACGAGAAGAAAAGAAGTCATCTTGATGTGAAGCCTTCAAACATTGTTCTAGATGCTGAAGGAAATGCTTTTCTAATCGATATTGGAGGGGCCGGCTCTTATACGTGGGACTGGCTCTCACCAGAAATGAGACTATTCCTTGAACAGAATTATGATCAAACACCTGTCAACGCCGACTTTTGTGTGCAAATCGCTACAGACTCTTGGGCTTATGGCAAAGTACTATCCGTCATTGCGAAGGAAAGCGGCCCTGACCTTGTGCATGAGAAACTGCGGGAAGTTGGTTATGATCTGACAAAGGCGGCATTGGAATCTCGCATTGATATAGGCGCTGCGCTAGAATATCTAGAAACGATCGGGGAGAAAGCGTCGCTGTAGACAGATCATGGCCTGTTTATCGATTACTCACTGCAATAACAACTGCCGCGTATATCCAACTTACCGAGAGAGATTCACCCAGTCGCTCATCGAACAGCTGAATCCCCGAGTGTGCTTCGTTGCGGGACAACAGCCTGTGAGGGTTCGATAAGCGCGTGAGCTATCTACCTACTAATTCATTTCTGGATAGGTCTGGTCTGGTAATAAAAGCTGCATAGGGGCTGATTATGCGTACTAGAGTCCTACACAGCTCTCATTCGCTAGCGGAAGGGAGCCACTCGCTTCTAGTCGTCCCGCGTTTCTACACAAGCTCCGCTCCTTGATTTGCCCTTGAAATACAATTCCTCCCATTGTACGGACTGGCCCACCGCTGCTTCGTAGCATTTGACGAACTCGTCCAGGTTCGGTGACCGAAGACCTGTATGGCAGACGTGTGCAGTGCGCTCAATGCCACGCCTGTGCCGGCGAGATATACAATCCGTTTTGTCCTCGGGAGAAATCTGAGGCGAGGTCTTTCCACAGATTGTCATCATAACATTAAAACCTCCAGACTATCTACCGCGCTATTAGCATCCAGTTAAATTTATATGTGTTTAGATGAAACTCCTTCAATCCATTTTACCATATACCCCGCAGGTTTGCAACAATATGTATCATCATTGACAACATTGGTCATAAGTACTAACTCCATAGCTGCGTCAGCAAGGCTACCTGCTGCCTACATAGTGCTGTAGACTCCGATCGCCTACAGCGAAGGCACGGTCAATTTATAAACATTCGTAGGATCAAACTTCGCCTTCAAATCACGGAGGACCCCAGCCTTCTCGCCATACACCTTCTCCACCCATCTAACAGCATTCTCTGACCGCGTCGAATTATAAAGAGACACATAAGGAGTCTCCAACAGGCTTCCTTCAGCAGCTTGTTCTACCTCCTGAGCCATCTGTCTCGCCCATGCCTCCGACCTGTCTTGATTCTCCGGCGTAGCTGCATATCCCAGAATCTCAAGCATATAATGCGGCTCCCTCGGCAAAAACAACGATCCATGCGCTTGCGGTGCGGCAGAAGGACCCCGAAGCTGATGCATGCTGAACATCGCACCCGGGTCATTTGGCAGGACGCTAAGGTTGCGGGCAATCGTTTCCGCCAGGGCGGGTGTAATCCGAGATACATTGAACGTCCAGCTGGATCCATATACCCTGTCTGGAACGTTTGCGCCTGCGCCACTGATCCATTCCGGGATTGTGGTTGGCTTTACAGCGTTCATTTTGACGGGGCCTAGGGCGGCGATCTTTTCGATCCATGGCTTTCCTTCTTCGAGGTCCGGACCACTCCAGGCGAAGAGCATGGCAAAGGCGAGACCGTGAGGGGAGGCAAAGCAGACGGGTTGGAGAGTAAGATATGGAGGCAACTCGTCTGTTTCTTCGAGGTTGGTAAAGGCCGCGTTGAATTTTGTGAAGGATGTGACGATGTCGCTTGAATCGAAGACGATGGGACCGGCAAGAATCTGAGAAGAGAAGGATAGTCAGTAGTGAGATTCAACATTTGATGAGCGGACTTTGAAGATAGTAGTCGCTGTGTAGCTTACGCCAGTGAGAGGGTAGACTTTGATGGTCACGTCAACTATAACACCAAAGACTCCACCGGCGCCACGAATGCCCTCAAGCAGATCTTCGTCAGCCTCGATAATCTCCCCGTCGGGATTGATGACACTCGCGCCAATAATCTGATCCACTCCGAGGCCCCAGTGAGATGAAAATGGCCCGTAGCCACCATAGGATGCCCATCCGAAGTATCCCACCGAGGGGATGGTACCAGTGGAAGTAGCGAGACCCTGGTCCCAGAGTTTGCTGACCAGCTCGCCTTGCAAGATCCCACCACCCACGGTGGCCGACTTTCGGTCCTCTGCAACGGTGACCGAGCTCAAAGCTCGCAGGTCGATCAGCAGGGCATCCTGGACCAACGCTAGACCCTCCAGATTATGTCCACCAGAGCGCAGGGTGAAGGGAATAGCGTTGGACTGGGCGAATTTGATCACAGTCGCGACTTCCTTTGCTGATTGCGGCTGAAAAACGGCCAATGGGGTAGCGTTTCGTGACGCGTTCCATACTCCACTTGAGGATGCAAAGTCGGGGGAGGAAGGGGAAATATATTTGATAGTGGAATGGTCCTGGGAGAAGGCATCGAGCGCGTTCAGGTGTTCACTCGTGTCAGTCATTGTCAACACAATTGATGTGACGGAAATAAGTACAGTCAGAACAAGGGCTACTCTGGAATGATCCTGAATCTGATCAATTCAGGTTTGAAAATCTGTCCAAGGTTGAAACGAAGGTTGCGCTCCTTATATCACATTTAGAGGTGCTATGTGGAGGGAATTTTTACTGGGAGAAGCGGCAGAAACTAAGACCAGTAGGGTAATCGAGATGCTGATGGCCTTGGTTACTGTGGATGAGGGGACTTTGCACCGCAATTACTATGTGCAGAAGGACTTGCGGAGTAGAAGTCATTGGCTGTAGGTGGAGTCGGGAGCTTACTTCCCCCTCATTTGGGGGCCAAGTTGTCAGCCTTGCAATTTTTGTAGACCTTTGCATACTACTGGGAGGCGCTCTAGTAGATCTCAGAACATGTTCCAAGTTTAGCAAAAAAACGAAAAGCCTCTGGCACCGCACATGAGCGCGTTTCAATTGGAATATATGGTTTACAATTCGTAACCTAGTAATGTTCAGGTGCTTGTTTCGGTTTTGTTTCCTACCACACCGCTTTCTGGTAACGCCACAACCGAACTTCGGATTTATGAGTGGTGCGCGCGCTTTAAACTGCGCATACCTCTTTTGACCAATCGAATCCCACTAAATTTCGTGGAAATAGCAGAGTTCGCGTGGCACCTAATTACTCATGCACTGGTTAATGTTATGACGGCTATTGCAATGCCATACTAATGTGAATTGTTGGTAACTAGTAAGAAATTCCCTTTTAATAAGTAAAACCAGTTTAGATAGCACTTATGAACCTGCTCTCTGAAGATATGCATGATTATCTATACCAAATCCAAAATCCATTTCAAGTCTCAACTTCTCAAAAACCTTAAATTCGGTGCCGAAGAAGTGGGAATTGCATACTATTAATTCTGGATCCCACTCACTATCATTCAAACCTAGGTTTAGAGGCCGAAAACATTATGACACGCCCCACAACCCTTGTCTCAACCCTCTCGTAGTCCTTGCACAAATATTCCCGAATTTCCTCCTCCCCATCCTCCCAATTACTGAAAACTCCCAGCTGGTTATACACATACATCAAGATATTCCCAAAAACATTATGCTTCACATTCTTTCCCAGCACAGTGGTACCATATATAGTCCCGTTCTCAGCAAGGTGCGGCTTCAAATTCGTGAAGAGTGCCATTTTGCGATCTAACGGACCGGGCAAACAATGAATCAAGAAGAATGTAGATATGGAATCGTAAACGCCGCTCAGAGGGAGCGGCTGCGTCACATCTGCCTGGACGGTCTGGGTTGATGGTCTGCCCAGTCGATGCTTCGCGGTGGCAAGGGAATGGGGGCTCAAATCCATCAGCGTCACTTCCGTCTTCTCTGATATGGCCGCATTGGCTGGATAGTAGCCTGAGCCACAGCCGATGTCCAAATGACGGTGACCCACGGATTGTTTGAAGAAGGGAAGTTGGACGCTCTTGGTGGGGCAGTTCCAAGCGAAGGAGTTGGAAAGACCGAGGACCCAGGCGTCGTATACAGGCAATGTCAAGGGTGTGTAGGAGGCGGCCCCGGCTGTGGCTGTTGGCCTGGTGTCAATTTTCTGATACACCATTGCAACGTTGGTGCTATGAGCAAGAGTTAGGTAGCTGGGATCTATATTATTTCGTTTGCAAAGAATCTCAGTTGGGAACTGTTTGAACTTATAGAGTTGCTTATCTAGTAACTTTTTATGGCCCCCTCTTGCACAAGATTCTTCACATCCCAACTAGGCCATGGCGGCCAAAAAAAGGAAATTGGGGGCCCGGCCCATGACACGATTGCAGAAATTGTTGAATCCACATATCGGGTGAAGTGACGAGGGCAAGGCTTTTTCTTCGCGAATCAGTCTTTTGGATGGTAGGTCATATGGCCCATTGGGCAAGCGGAAAGTTATCACGTCCACAAAAATAAGCGAATAGCACAGGCAGGAGACCACCAGTCCTGGGTGACGATATCATCAAGGAACGATATCAAGTCGAAACATCAGCCACCAAAAAGTTCATCAAGTGTGATAACTGACGAAAAATGTTATCGAATCAGCCGACACCAGAAAGTCGCCACAATGCTCAGTTGGATCGGAGAAGCGGCTACTCCATCTCCGATAATACAGCAAACTATACCCTGCAAGTCAATAATAGCGAGGTGATGTGATTGGCTGCTGCTTTTTTAGGGTTGTGGATTCAATTCTCCGAACGCCTGTTGCATCGGCGGTCTTATTGCGATTTGAGCTCGCTAAGTTCGAGATCCGATTGGATAAAGCTCTACATGGTAGTAGTAGATGCTTGCTTATTGCTACTACTGCACACCTATACTTATCGTTTTATAGCTGGAAATATATGGGTTACTTGTGATGCTTGCTTGATAAAGAATACAATTAACTCTATACGGTTGCATTCCAGGGTGTCATCTAGAGGAAGATTGATCTTACGGCAGACGCATCGTCAATGAGGCGGAATTGGATTCCTGCCCGAGTGGCCCCGGGGCCAAGGTACGCCAAAATCTTTATCTTGGTACTTGGGTTACATGAGACCTTTAATTCGGACAAATACCTTCAGCATCCCAATCCTCACTGCCAACACCAGTCCGAACTATGAAAAGGTTTTCGGGGTCCCACTTCTGCTTAAGCTTATAGAGACGTGCATAGTTCGAGCCCCAGAAGCTATCCTGGAAACCCTCCTCAAATCCATCGGCCTCATTGAGATAACAACCACCTGCAGGCGCAGGATCCAGGGCCTTTAGAATCGGGACCTCAACCTGCGTCAAGTTCAGCTGGATCGCCTCTTGCTCGGCAAGCGATGCATCGATGTCCCAGCCTCGAGCGAGAATGACGTGAACCAACGCATCGCGCCAGACAGGATGCAACGCACTGTCCACAACATCGGCATTCGCCCACACAGCCGGACCAGCTACGACAAGACCCTGGATCGCATTTTGGCCCAGGGTGGTGTTTCCTGGATACACGCGCAGGCTGCGAAGAGCATCTGTGATCTTTTTGGGTCCTGCGGTCGAGTTCATAAATTCGCGAGTGACAAGACGCGAGCCGAGGATTACGGGGGTGCCGACTTCGTCGGAGGCTGCAAATTCTGCGAGGTACAGGGTTGATGCTTTTGGCAGCAGGGTTGATGAGTAGGTGAAGGCTGCACCGGTGAGATTGCCAAGTGCGTAGACAAATGGCGTCATCAGCGCGTCTACACTGGCCTTGCTTGTTGCGTTGCCAAAGGCGCCTTCGGCACTGATGGCGGAGATATGGCCAAGCGTGGCATCAGGGTAGTCTGGGATCAGCCAGTAGTACACGCTCCCGCCTGCCTCGTTGAATGTGGGTAGGAATGCGTGGAAGTACTCGACGGCGTTCCAGTACTCATCTGACTCGAACTCGGCGCCTCCGGAAATGGAGAATGTCACGAGCGGAGCATCATCGAAGGCCCGTACGGTCACGGAGGTGACAACTCCCCATGTACCGCCGCCACCTCCACGGAGAGCCCAAAAGAGGTCAGAGTTCTGGTAAGCGTTTGCAGTCAAATGTCTCCCCTAAATGGTCGGTTAGCGCTGGTTGGCAGCTGAAATATGGATGGATATTTTACTTACATCCGCAACAACCACAGTGAATTGCAGGGCGTTATCAGAAGCCATGCCGTGGATTCCAGCGAGCAAGGAATGACCCCCTCCTTGGATGTATCCACCAGTGACACCCACGCCGTGCGCCGAGCCCCCAACAACCATAATATCATTCTCATCCAGCCACTCATACATATCGTACAGCTGAACGCCAGCATCAAGAGTCACCGCCATACCCACGCCCCCATCCGCGCCATCATAGCCAACGGGGGTAAAGTTTTCATGCAGAGTCTTATTGGTCATCAAATGCGTGAAAATCTGCAACGACTCTGGCGCGACAGATCGACCTGCGTGATTATGACCGGTGTTCCGAATAGCCACTCTCAAATTATACTTGCTAGCAAAACGCACACCTGCCTGTATATCTGCTGCCGACCCGGCCTCAAGTGTGTACAGCGATATCCGGCCCTGTCCACATGGGATTGACTCCGCAGAGTCGATATAGCATGACTCATTCTTAGCAGGCCATGCTTCCCAGTTTGGCCACTCCACAGCACCTGTGAATCATCTATCAGCTGTGTTTCAATTACATTTTTCTCGCGCGTGCGTTTCGCGTCGCGGTAACATACCTGGTTGATTAGATCTCCACTCAGAGTCATACTCATTTGCCTGCAGGACACTGCACGCGGCAGCATCATACGTGGAACCATGGCAGAGCGATGCAATAGGTCTCAAAGCATGAACATTCCCGTTGACAGTTCTGTTCAAAGTCTGCCATTCTGCCTTAGAAGGCCAACACGACTCGGAAGGACGGCACCGACAAGTCTTCGCGGACACCGCCACGCCGACAAAGGCAAACACTGAATATAAAAGAACGCGAGAACGCATCTTGACCCAATTAAGCATCACACATGAAAGCCACGAGCAACCAACTCACAGCGCGAGCCAGTCTTTATATGATGCAAATACCCAAGCTGCCATGCATCGTCGCGCGAGAATACGGCTTTCATATTGGTCGCAAATACGACCAGATGCGGGTAAGCCTTCGCGCCAACATAATGCAACCTTTCAAACTAGTCACAGCATCGAGGCCAATCGCTTCCCCTGTTGCTCCACACTTTGATCAGACTCCCATCCAGATGGCAAGGGTCTCGGGTGTCCCGTGCGGCCGCGCCGGCGCGGCTTGCTGCACTAGACTGCCAAGACCTCGCTAATGTGAGCCTTCTACTTTTTTTGGCCAGTCATCGGGCCACATCTTTGGAGGTTTTGCCAAGGTGGGTTGGGAATCTCCGGTCAAGAGATTCGAGGCTGGGGCTGGGGCCGCCCCGGGGGGCTCAGGGGTTTGCGGCCAGGGTACCAACTGCCTTTATAAGCGATCTTTGGGATCAAAGGGTTTTCAGTGAATCAGCCTTGGACGCTTTCCAAGGATTGAATATAAGAAGGCTATGAGTAGCTTAAAGACATGAGCATTGAAAATCGATGATTCACAGTGAACCAGCGCAATATGCTATTTTAGAATTCTTCGAGTCAAACACTTGAGAACGACAACCTGGGCAATAATACATGTGCATATTCAATGTTTGTTCCGAGCATGATTTTTTCTCAAGTTTGGAGGGAAAATAAAAGAAAATGTGATATCTATGAATCGTAAGGCATGTTCTCATCAGCCCTAACCGCTTTCGAATCCTCATATGGAATAAATGATCGCTCTGTCACCAAGATTACTATACAGGTATTCAGCTCCGCGCTGCAGCCATATCAAAACAATTGGGAAAATCCCAAAGCAACCAGGTTCAACTTGCCCCATATCCCAATTCCAGGGACTCCAAAACTCCAAGATGCAAAAAGAAAAGGAAAATCGTTTGTCAATGCGGCCATGATTTTGTGTACGTCAAGGCTATGAGCCCAGTTGCATAAGCTCTCCGAACGATTCACCAGAGCCACGTGCGAAGACATCTTCCAAGAAGTCGGCCGTGTCATCGCGGAAGGATTCATTGAGCGAGCCAGCAAATGAAGCCAGGGGGCTTGTACCATTCTTTGGGTGTGGTTGAATAATCGGTGGCTGCAATAATGTATTGTTAATCATAGGGGGCTGCATTGCAGGACGATTTGCTCGTGTGGCAGCGGCCGCTTCGACGCCTTTTATGATATCCTCATCGTCGAACGCTGAGCAATCAGAAAATTCATCATCATCCCTGGTCTTGCCTATGGGCTCTTGGCTCACATGTAGAGGAAGATTATGTGAAATGATATCATTCGATGCACCCGCATCTTCGAGCCCATATAGTTCTTTTTCCATGTCCTCGTCTAGGTCATCAAAGTAGTCCGAATCTGGCTCAGTATCTCCGGCTTGGCTGTCCATGTCCATGTATCCAAAATCATTTTGGTATTCAGGCAAAGCCAAGGCGGGAATTACAGAGCCGAGTGGAGGGTTGTGGTTTGTAGGTTCATTGACAAGCCCGGGTGTAGTCTCCTTGTATGTGCTTCCATCAAAAGGCCCTGGTGAGGGCTCGTCGTATGCCGGTGCGTGAGAAGGGACGGTTGGGGACTCGTCGCTTTTGAGTTCATTGACAGGCTCGGGTGAAGGTTCTCCGTGTACAGGTTCATGGGAAGGCCCGGTTGAAGGTTCCTCGTGTACAGGTTCATCGAGGGGGTCAGGTGGAGGCTCGTCGCATACATGTTCATCGACCGGCTCGGGTGAGGAATCCTCATGTGCAGATTCCTCCGGGGCAGTCTTGGGATCAGGCCCGGGTACTAAACTCTTAGCTGACTCTTCAGACCGAGAAGGTTTACCAAAGCACAAGAACTTCGAGAGCAAAGGCTGACTAGCCGGGATCTTGCCCGCGTTCGGATCAGGCACACCCAGTCGTCTAGCCTCTTCACGGGCCTTCGCATCAGCCTCCGCTTTCTTTTTCTTATTGGCGATTCGTCTCGCATCCTTTTCGCGGATCTCTTTGGCCCTTTTCGCTTGTTGTTCCTCGCGTTCCATGCGCCTCAGTTGCTCAGCGGTGAATCTGAAGACCTTGTTGCTGCGCTGGTACCGGCGTCGCACGGTGCTGGATTTCTCGAGGATGATGCGGGGTTTATTTTCTGTCATTTTGTTTTGGAGGCAAATGTCGCGTGCGACTGCCTGTCGTGATTTCGCTCATGGGGAACGGGTGTGAGTTGTTGAAAGCTGCGTCATGAATGTTGGTCGATTTTAGGAGGCTCTTTGTTTGACGGCGATACGTTGTACCGGTGATCAACAGATTTCCTAATTGGGTATGTTACGCCGCATATTGTCCTACCTCCATGACAACGAATCATCTTTTGATTTGATTTCATCGAAGATAGAAGATCTTTGGTGAACAAAACAAAAGATATTATCAATGAGTAGACTAAAAATTATCAAGTGACCAGGCTCTGGAATGAATTGGCTTCTATACTGCGTATGCAAATACTTAACGATGACGTAGCCTGGCCAAGAATGATATCTACAAGAAACGAATCAAAACCCTTAATCAACAAATGCTCTAGATACTCCAATCCCATTTCTTGCGATTTACAGCATCCAAATTTACTAAACTTGTCACTTTTTCAGGCAATCCCGACAGAACCTTGAAAACATATCATTATCAAATTGCTTGAGCTGATTGGCTCATTCAGCGGTACCCAGTGGCAGTATTTCGCGGGGCAGCAGAGCGCGATTCAAGATATCAATCCTTGACCCTTGACACATTTCCGACCATATAACGCGCAAGCGAACGTCTATTCAGAAAAATGCGTCTTGTGAAGAACAAGATTGAGCATGATGGCTCAGGCACCGTCACATTGTTCCCGGAGGAGCCTGAAGACATGGTACCCCACATCCAATCAACAATCACTACAATCCACCAGACTCTAAGCTCATACATCCAATCTAGTGGCACGCATATAACCTCGTTCGACCGGGCGACCTCCTGCGCGCAAGCGCTATACGTCGAGTTACCACAACACAAGAGACAGGATCCACCTCATCCGCACGAGTACATTTGAATCTCGAAATCCGCGTGAAGAGCCTCGATTTCGATCCCCAAAGCTCGCAGCTCCATGTTTCTGGCCAAATCGTCAATGAGACTTCGCACACCAAAATCGGACAATTTCACACCCTAGATTTGGAGTTGAATCGCAATTTCACTTTAGAAAAAGATGTTGGCTCGGACGGTCAGGGTGTTGGATGGGATAGCATTGCGGTGGAGATGCTCAAGGATGCTGTTGATGAGGGCGGGAAACGTCGCGCGGAGGCTGTCGCCGTTGTAATGCAGGAAGGTTTGGCTCATATCTGCTTCATTGGCCAGTTCCAAACAATATTGAAGCAGAAAGTGGAGATGTCTGTGCCGAGGAAACGGCAAGGCGGTGGTGATCACGATAAGGTGAGGGATATCTATATGGCTATCATTAAGGGATGGAAGCTAACAAAGTCTCTCTCGCAGGGCATGGGCAAGTTCTACCGTGTTACACTGGATACTCTTCTCCGACAGATGGAGTTTAATACCAGCCTAACGTCGGGCTCGAACAATGAGGCCGTCAAGCCTGTTCTACTAGCTTCGCCCGGTTTCGTCGCTGCAGGCTTCCACAAATTTATTCAGACGGAAGCATCAACAACAACGCCTGCTTTGAGACGATTACTTTCCAGCGTCGTGGTTGTGCATTCCGCATCAGGTTATATGAACTCTCTGTCAGAAGTCCTCCAATCCCCCGCAGTGAAGACACTCTTGGCCGATACCAAGTACGCGCGTGAGACCAGATTGATGGACGAGTTCTTGGACCAGCTGCGCAAGGAGACAAACAAGGCTACCTATGGTCCTCGCGAGGTCGAGGCAGCGGTCGACCAGGGTGCCGTGGGTCGTGGCGGTGGTGTCTTGATCATGTCCAACCGATTATTCAGATCACAAGATGTCGCGGTACGGAAACGATGGGTCGGGCTTGTTGACCGGGTCCGAGATGTAGAGGGCGGCGAGGTGCGAATCCTCAGTTCAGACCACGAGAGTGGAAAGCGTCTTGAAGGACTGGGTGGCATCGCGGCGCTGTTGACATTCCCTGTCATTGATCAAGATTTTGATTCAGACGACGATGCAGCCAACTGAGTGGCTTTAAAAAAATTAAAATTTCATGAATCTTATGACAATAGAATGTCTTGAATTTCGGTCACCAGGGCTATCTGGTGGATACCTTGCACATTTCCATCCGGATAATTTTTCCGCTCCTTGTAGATAGTATACAACCAGTAAAGAGGGAGATATTCACAGCATATGAGTACTAAGCTTTACGTGTGACACATGTGCACCTGTTACATGCATTTGAGTCTATCAACCAAGTCAACTTCCGACATCCATCGTACCCCTCTCCTTCCATCATTCTGAAATTTCGAAGCAGGTATTTGACTAGGATCGCCTAAGCCATGGCCAAAACTCACGTAGCCGAAATGCCACGAAACATCCGAGTCCTACCCCCCAAGCACTGGTGAATAAATGACATGCATACGAACAACGCATCGTTCAAGAAATATTCCACCCTCGATAAAGCATGTACTCACGCTACATCCATGATCCAAACATAGATTTCTGCAGCCTTACACGGGCCCCAGGTACATATGTCATAGCCAGACTAGCAGCCTCGCCGCCCCAACCCAACCCCCGATTTGAATACAACAGCAAAAAGACCACAACAGCCGACCCTCCTCAAATGCAAGGAGATTCTAAATGAAGAAACAGGCACAGCCTTACTAGCTGAACTAGTTTATTCTGCACGGCCCCGACCTAAATAGATGAAACACGGCTCCGACCTTAAATATACTTCGCCACAAATTGCAGCGATTTAATTCGCCGAGCCCCGGGGGCCAAATATTATTTCCCTGCCGGGTCTCATTGGTCGTTGAGTTGCTTAAGCTATGTACCTCACTAATGCAAGTGGGTCCTTTGTCGGCCGATCTTTATGCATGATGTCGGGTATTTGTGGGCTAGTGGTGGGCTAGTAGGTAATTTGTAACTAAGTATAGATTGGAACTGAAATATCTTGGGTTCAAAAATGGAATACATGGATGCATGTGGGTGGATAGTTTCAAGTCCATGTTCAACGAATGAGGTTTTTGGATGAGATGGGGTTCATTATATAGTAGTATTGTGCACGCTAATGCTAGTTTGATGCAATGCTGAAGTTGCAGTGGAAAGTTCATGTTTGATTTGCGGGTGCCAAAACATGAAATGGTGGGGTGTGGAAATGCTTTATAGTAGGCAAAATATGCAGGAAATGGACGAAACGCTGAAAAGGTCGCAGATATAGAATGCCGGGATATGTTTCATTCAGGCTCCAGTGATTGGGGCCGTGCTCGCTTTCGTGATGTCGGTATCGCTGCGGGTGGTGGAGGTGGAGGTGGAGGCGGTGGTGGTTGGGGTTGTTGTGGGGAATTAGGAGGATCAGACATAGCTGAAGGTGAAGAAGCCGCACTATCCACGTTTTCACGGTGTTGCCCCGTCTCAATAAGTCGCAGTTGAAGCTTGCATTGGTTCGGGGTGTATGCTTTTGTAGCGCCGAGCTCTTTGACCTAAGGAAGTCGTTAGCAGCAAATCCAAGTTCCATCTGATGCGAATCAAGATTCCGTCGCAGCAAGAACAAGACAAGAAGAGAAGAAACAATCAATCAAAACTCACCTTCTCCGCAATAAACCGATACTTCTCCTTCTCCCACATCTCACTAGCCCTAATAAGAAGCTGGACCTGTAACAGCATCAGCACCCACAACCCCATTTTGCATGTGTGTTCCGGGGAAGTAAAAAGTAATAAAAAAGCGCCGCCCATCATACCTCAGGGCAAAAGTAGATCCATCCATTATCAAAGGCAAGATCCCTCCCTCCCACAACACTCGTAACAATTCAGGCTATCTCTGTCAGGTTCACGTACTCACATCGTGATCTTCCCACTTCGTATTCTGTTTTTCCCGTCTGCGCGTCAACCGCATCTGCAGCCTCGCCTCCGTCGCATCCTTATCAAAGCGGCCGCGAAACAGCTCGCGCACAACCCTCCACGCAACCCCCTGCTCCCGCAGCTCCTGCACAAACGCATCCTCCTCCTCAGCCTGTGGGTCCCTGCGGCCCCGGCCGGGGGCCCGGGGCCGCGGATGCACCAGCGGTGGGGGCCGCGGGTTGAGCCGCTCGCGCTTCATGCGTTCCATGCCCTCCGGGTGCGGGAGGATGGTGACGGGGGTTTCGCGGGAGGGCGTGTGGGATTTTGATTTTTGCTGGGACGGGGCGCGTTTCATGCGCTTGGGCGCTGGTGCTAGTGCTTGTGCGGTGATTGGTGCGGGTCCTGGGGACGTGCAGGGTGTGGATCTGGTGGTGGGCGGATTGCCGAGGCCGTATTCGAGCTGGTAGTCTAGGTCGTTGAGCTCGTCGGGGGCGTAGACGTAGCTGGTTGATTGGGCGGAGGAGACGGGGAAGTCTGGGGGGAAGTTTGCGGAGATTCCGAGGCCGTGAGGGGCCATGGAGGTCGGGAGCCCGTATTGGTATTCGGAGCCATATTCTTGGGAGTGGTGGCTCACGGCGGGAGATGGGCGGAAGGAGCTGTCTGGGAGGCTGACTGGGGTTGGGATGCTGGGTTGGCCTATTGGTTCTGTGCAGTAGGAGGCATTTGCACCCAGAAATGCGGCTTGGAATTCAGGCTAAAGATAGTACATTGTTGTTAGTCTCTCTTTTTTTTTGAGTAATATAGTAGAGCCATGGGTCTTGGGTTTTTGATGGAGGCTTGGCCCCCGGGGCCAATGATAGGCGGGCAGTGTGGAAGTGGGTGTGGCGTACTGTTAGGGCCCCGGTCCAGTCAGGTCCAATGCCATCGTAGTATGATGGCATCTCCTCTGGTGAGCAACTGCTGTCTTCATGGTACGACATGATGCTCGCACGGTATCCGGGTAGAACCATGTATCAAAATTTTCTTTTTTTGCTTCTAGAAGGAACACGAATGTGGAGAGTAGTCTGCGGTTGATTGGAAGCAAAAGGGATGGTGGCAACGATATGAAACACGGATCAGGGTCTTCAGGGTCTTCGTGCAGCAAGATTGGGTCGCGCGGCGGTTGATGGAGAATGATGGTTGGAAGCGGCTAGTAGATGAAACCAACAGTAAACTGACATGCGGCAGCTTGACAGTCTGAGGTTGAAGGATGAACAGATCGTCAGGAAGCTGAAGGAGCTAAAGAAATGATTCTTTATAGATGAACAAGTGTGCTCAGGTACAGGTGGGGGTCGAAGGAATAAGATATAGATGCAAAGGCAGTTTTTTTCCTTCTTCTCTACTGCATTGGAGAAAGCGATATCACAGCCCACGCTGGAGTGCCTTGCAAGGCAGGAAGAACAAACGTTCTGGCGTCATGAACTATAGGCTCAGAGTGCACCAGAAAGCAAGGACTGGGCCGCCGATGACCGCTGTGCTGCATTGGAACCGCTCGGGGAAGAAATGTGTAGACACGTCGAGGGCCTATATTTAAGCGCCTACGGGATCTTTGTTGATATACATCAATTTCCGGCCCCCATCCTTCAACCCACAAGCCCCGGGGAAAAAGTAGGTAATGGAATTCTGCTGAAGAGTTAGATCATAGGGCCAGAATGGGGATCTTTGAAATGGGTCGAAATAGTCATGTTGGAAAGCAATTAAAAAAAGATCATGGATTTTCAAAATAGAACAGTAGAAGAAAAAAAAAACAGTAAAATGGGTACGAAATTGGCTTTTCACTAAGGTAAAGGGCCGAAAAACTACGGGATTTGCATTACATGATTAGAGGGGCCGGGGAGAAAGGAGTGGGATTAGTAATTCCAGTAGAATAATTTTTGTTTATTTTATTTTATATACAAGTAAATGAGCACTAGTCAATTATTGTAGACTGTAGTCTATCTCCATGTGTCTTGCAGGGATCCAGATCATGTCAGATGTCATCTGCACTTAAAACTTCCTCTAACATTTGCATTAGATTTATTCTTGAATTTGGAATAATCATTCTAATCACTTTCTTACAATCTGCCTTGTGAGGGGGTTGCAGTCAATGTTGGAGGTGATGCAGTCCTAACGATAAAAGAAAACGCTCTCTCTGGTCCTATCAATGTTTAATCTCCCACAATAAAAAGCAAAGGGAAAAAGAAAAAAAAATAGAAATCATAGACCTGGAGCGTGTCATAAAGCATAACAAACACAATTGGGGTCCAAGAAGTAGAACCGAGTAAACCACGCAAGTAAGTGGAAAGGGAGTTTATCACCGGCGGCTCTTGACTGGACGGGGATCCGTGAGGCTGGAAAATGCTCTTCTGCTACCCGCCGCAGCAAATGGGCGTTTTGCTCCGGAGAATTCTTGACCGATCGTTAAGCGCCGACCACGCTCCCTTCATCTTTCTCTTTCTCTTCCCGAATCTTCTTTTTCAATAGTTCAAGCGGTACTCTACTCTTAGTCCACTTAGTCTAGTCCTATATAACCACGAGGCAGACTCTATTACTTTAATCTCATTTTCGGCCCCAGAATGTTGTTGATCCTGATTTCTTTTGGCCATTTTCTCCATTTTCGTGGGGCCGTGTGGTCTAAGCCTTGGCGTAAAGGGAACCCCACATCGCATCCACGGTCCTACGTGCTTGGGGTATTAAGCGCCGAGATCTATCCGAGATGTCATGATGAGGTTTAATTCCACAATGAGGAGAACTTTGCTTGATAGAAGCACTAGAAATTTTTTTCAGAGTTACAATGTAAGATTTCGCTCAAATTCTCTTTTCTATTTCCTTTTTTTTTTCTTTTCAAATATTAGCTAGATTGGGTAGATCTAGCCCCGACCTGATATGTAGATTAACGGATTATTTCTCGGTCTTGATGCGAGGACCATCATGATCTCGAGGATCATTAAAAAGTGTGAAATATTCACAAATTTCGAGGTGTTCATCACGGCAGCAGACTAGAGCTCAAAGTTAGTAACTGATCCAGAGCGAGTTGATAAAAATTGAAGTTATACCATTCTTCTTTCCAGTGACCCTACAGGCCTCACACGGAATTGAAAATCCCATTCCACGTACTTTCCCCATCATAATGCTTACTGACACCTATAAAATGAGTTAGATTATTGAATTTTATTAACCAGTTCAAGTTTGTAGACTTACTGCATCTCCTTTCTTTTGCAATGGGAGCGCTGGGAGTTTGGAATCAATGATAGCTTTCTTAGCATCAAGGTTTGCTATAATCTGGCGATACCAAATTATTGCAACAGCCTCTTCTTTACCAGTTGGCCCGCCACCTTTTCCCATATCAGGTAACATGATATCATCATGTGTAGCTGCATAGTGCTTACGTAAGGTATTTGTGGTCGTATACTAACCAATCCAATACTAGTTAGTAACTAATCTAAGTAGCAAACTTGAAGGGATAACATGCAGTCTTTGAGCAACCAGGGGCCCGGCAATGTATCTCGCCACGGTAAATCACGGCGGTGTTATCGCTTTCCTATGTCAATTATCAATATTAGCTTATGAGCAGTTAAGAACTAATCCACGTTCCAACTTACTCGAAATGACAGACCAGGAAGCTGAAGGTCTCGACGGGGGGTTTCAGTATAGCGCTTGAAGGCATCCTAAGAAACAAGATTCTCTTATTAGCTGGATTCTATGCTGATTATGGATCTTACTTACTTCACCACGATAGGTACTTGGCATACTCTTGGTAGGTAAATCTGTGAGATAAACTCAAAGGGAACTGGTTCAGTCTGAACTCTGGTGGGTTGCCAAGAAAGGTCATGTGATTTGTTGGTTCATAAGAGGTGTTCCCTATTTTTAAGAGAGGTGGGCCGCGCTGATCTCTTTGTTCCCTCGAGTTTAAAGAGGTGTTCCGAACTAATCTCTGCGGGCTCACCGCTTGTACATAATGCTGCAGGCACATTAGCATGGCTGAACGGGGCTCTTGCCTGCTCATCGCTGAACCTCTCAATACGCGAGTTTCTCGACTTTTGCCCGCTGTTTGGAAAGCTCCGAGCGCCCAGTACCCTAAGAATTCTCACTAAAATCTTGATAGCCGCGCAATGCAACCCTCCGCGTCCACTACTAGCTTGCCAGGCAGACCTGATTTTGAGGCCTTGTGTCATGGCCTAATTGCTACGCATGTTGTGCCTTGGAAATTGTTGCCTTGTGAACCTGCGCGGGTAGATTCCATCGCGCCCGAAATAAGAATAAATAAATTTGATTAACAAAATGCTCGCTCGTTATAACTTTGACACAAAAGTAAACTGGTACCAAAGACTTTCTTGGCACATTCATAGCACCTGAGAATGATCTTCATATCCTGCAGTCGATCAAGCGAATATCGTCCATGCCCATGACTATCAAGCGGTGGTCTGGTGACGTGGATTAGCAATATCATGATCATCGTCATCTGAATCATCCCCTAATACCGCATCAAAGTCGTCATGATCATCACTCTCCACGTGCGCCTGCTGATGATGATCCAACGTATCGTCCGCGGTGATAGAGATACCCCGCGCACCCCACCGGTTGTTGCTGGGTCGGTTATCCTCTTCCTCCCCATCATCTCGGAGAGCCTGTTCCTCATCACTAGAGGTGCGCACTCCTCGAATGTTGAGAACACGGTTAACCAGCCAACTCTTGCGGAGATCCTCTGAATCGACCACACCGCCATTGCGAAGCTTGACTCGTTGGCGCGAATAATACACCCACGCAAAGTCAACATAGAATGCAGTCTGTACAATACCGAATACAAACGCAATCGGATCCCACTTATGTTCGCTACCGAACCCGCGGACAAGCCAGTTCAGGATATAAAAGGCCCGGTAAGAGCCTAGTGCACCAAGGTAGTAGGAGTCAATCACGGTCGGGACGGTGGTCTGGCGTAGGAGTAGTAGCTGTGGCAGCACACAGACGGATTCGAGGATAATGGAGAAGGCCCAGCAAACCTGTTCTTGAGTATTAGCGCTTGTGTACAAAATTCCAAAGATCGGGGGGGATGTCTCACCTCCAAGAGCTGGGTGAAGGGGTTCAAGCCCTCCAAAACCGCGATCGCAATCGGTGCCAGCACCAGCGATCCGGTCATCGAGTAGATCCCAAGCTTCCATGCTCTCTCTCTCTCACGTGTCCGAGGGAAGACCTTCATCATGATGAACACGAGGTAGAAAGAAGAGGTCAGATAAAATAGTTTGAACATGATGTTCCATAGCGACGCCCCGGAGTTGAATGCCCATGATGATGGCCTGAGTATGTCCAGATAGCGGGTCATAAACACGAGCCCATAGAGCAGCTGGGTAAGGAGTGAAACACCTAACGAGGAGCCAGGTGTCAGCAAAGCCAGTCACGAAACAGAAAACCTCTATCTGGATTTCCAGAACACATACCCTCTGCACTTTTGTTCCTATGAATGGCCCAGATCAGGATACATATCGAAGCCAGGTGGGATATGTCGGCTAAATAGCGAAACACGTTCCACCCCATCGTTGGCGTAATGGTTTGTTTGCGGGGTGAACAGTGGAGATGATCTGACGCGTGGGTCCACAGATATGGATGAATGAACTATGTCACACTTCAAGGTGACCAGTATAGAAAGGTCTTGCAGCTGGTTTAGGAGAGCAAAGTTCACAAAGGCTACACTTCCCAATGCCTGCACTGGAGACTGAATGGGGAAGCTCGACTGCCTTATCAGCGATCCGAGCTCGGGCCGCGTGTCCTCACGTGATATATGACGTCATGAGGCTAGGGGAATACTTACATTGGAGTATACTAGTAACTATTGGCATCAAGACTCAGAGTACACTCTCTTTACAACGAATTATCTTCTCGGTCATTCAGATCTCAAAAGTTTCATATGAATGTGGTTTGAAACGTCGGGCCTTTAAAAGAGACGGCATATTTGTACAATATAAAGCAGGAATCAGGGACCTTTAGTACATAGATGTACTACATTATAATAATTGCTACCAGTTGACTAGCAGGTACATGCTACTACTTGAATAAGAAGTCTAGTATGGATCCACGTGCATACTATCAATTGATATATTTGATTAATTACCTACTCTGAGGCAATTAATCTTGGAATAAAAAAGGTTTTTTGTTCTTTCAAGGTCGCAAATTAATTTCTTTCATCTTCATCCGTACTACTCATACATGTATTTTCCCCATGTCAATTTCAATAATAATCCACCGTGTCCAACTTCCCCATAAAAATTGAATCTCCTGGAAAAATCAAATGAACAAAGAAAACTTTAGAAACAAATTCGTCTTCCTCACAACTTCCCAAGGTTCTATTTTTCCCAAGTCTTGGTGCCCTTTTCTTCCTTGACGTACTGTGGAAACCTGTAGACCCCTCCGGAAGCACTGTCGTCTTTCTTCTTTGAAGGCTTTGGATCTTCCGTAGGATCATCATCGAGATCCTTCTTCAAGAATCTGTGATCTTTTTCTTCTTGCATTTCGTGCTTTAGGAACTTGCAATCTCTTGGGTGGTCATAATCTTTTCGAATCTTTTGAAGATTGGAACTCTTTGTCACCTCCTGCCTCGAAAGGTTGCCGAGCTGTTCATCATCTTGGATCTTCCTCTTCCTATCAGTACGCTTCTCGTGATCGTACTTACATTTAAGGACATCAGAAGCTGTAATAACACTGTTTCGATCCCTTAGTTGCATCTTTGAAACAATTCCAAGGACGGAAATCCCCAAAGATAATTGCAAACAGATATATTCTTCGTTCTTCTTGCGTTTCACTGCGTGATGACCATAGTAGACTGCGGGTGGAAGAGGTCCATGGTTATGCCATGAAATTTTAGCGGTCTGGGCCAAGTTCCAGCCATCTTGGACTTTTAAAAGTAAGACAGAGAAATGGCAGCACTTCATATCCAAAATTTCCTCCAGGCTGCGGTGTCTCCCTATTTGTTTTCGTCCGTCCAATTCACATTTTAAAATTCCAGAGGCTTCGAAATTTCTTGATTTGGGGGCAGTCTTTAAGCAATATCCATAACTTTTGAGAAAGGTATTGATGTAGTCGACGGCTTCTTCCCAAGATTTCCAAGTTTGATCAATTGGGAGAGGATGAGTGTAGTGGCCGTCGTCAAGCGATTCTGTGTAAAGACCATTCCTATTAGCATTCAACGTGTTTCTGGAGAGCGAAAACCCCTTGAACCTTACCAACTATGCTGACCTGGTCTTTCACCTCTTCTTCAATCACCCCTTTGATTCTTTTTTCCGGTTTTTTTCCAATGGGAGAGCCACAAACAGGTGCTCTGTCGGCAAGTGTCCTCGAAGTGGGAGTGATTGTATCCTCTTTGACAATATCGTCGGTTATTTTTATGGGAGCCCCACAGTCAGAGCCTTTTGGAGCGCTAGCAAAACAATCATCCTTGTGTTCTGGGAGTGGAATCGCAGACGATTTTTGGGTGGAGGTCCATTCTTTGATGACGGCTTCTGTATCTTCTCTCAAAGTTCGAAGATTAGCACTGTCATCGGTAGTGCCGAGCTCTATCAGGCCTGGCAGCTTCATCTCAGGTGATGGGGACCTGAGATTCGGAAACGTCAAAACCTCCTGTTTGATAGCCACTGGTGTTTCTTCTTTCAAAGATTGACAGTCGGACTCGCCATCGGTAGTGATATCAAGACAGAGATCTATCAGATCTGGCAGCTTCCTTTCAAGTGATGGTGACCTGAGATTCGGAGACGTCGAAACCTTCTTTTTGGTCCGTTTTTCTTCTTTCAAATATTGACAAGCAGACTGGCCATCGGCAGTGGTATCAAGGCAGAGATCTATCAGATCTGGCATCTTCCTTTCAAGTGATGGTGACCTGAGATTCGGAAACGTCGAAACCTCATTTTTGATAGCGACTGGTGTTTCCTCTTTCAAAGATTGACAAGCAGACTCGCCATCGGCAGTGGTATCAAGGCAGAGATCTATCAGATCTGGCAGCTTCCTCTCAAGTGATGGTGACCTGAGATTCGGAAACGTCGAAACCTCATTTTTGATAGCGACTGGTGTTTCCTCTTTCAAAGATTGACAAGCAGACTCGCCATCGGCAGTGGTATCAAGGCAGAGATCTATCAGATTTGGCACCTTTCTCTCAGGCGATGGCGACCTGAGATTCGGAAACGTAGAAATCTCCTCTTTGATAGCAACTGGTGCTTCCTCTTTCAAAGCCCTCGGATTAGCATTGTCCTCGGGGCTATCGATGTCGGGGTCTTTCGTGTCCGGAAGTGACATTTTAGGCGACTGGATTGGAAGATAGTATGTAGGATACAAATATGAAGATGCAGTGAAGATGAAGATGAAGATGAAGATGAAGATGGAGGTGATGAGGAAGATGACAAGAAGAATCGAGAACCCTGCAGGCTTTTAAAATACCAAACAACTCCAATCCGTCAGGTGATCTGCACGGGTGGTTGTTTGCTGGTTGTCAATGCCGTCAAACGACCTTTGGAGCCTTGATTCTCCACTACCTTCGAACATTTCAAGGAGCAAACCCACCTTTGAATTCATAGCTCTAGCAGTTGAGCATGTACTGTCTGGATGAACGCCATTGTTAATCTTGGAATCTAACATTTTGCCTCCAAGGCTGAGTGTGCTTACCCTGGCCTAGAAATCAATTGACACGAACGGTAACACTAGTTGACCTGGGCATATATACCGGAGGCAGTCTGGCCACCTCAGCACTTGAGTGCTGTCAGTAACCTCAAGTGCTTGGAGAACTTTCAAAATGATTTCCAAGGTGATCTCTCAAGTCTCGATCAGAATCATGGTTGGATCTAAGAACATTCGAACATTGAAGCTCCAGATGTCTTCTTGAGGTCCGAGGTTGCTGTCCAGATTCCATACATATGGTACACATTGATTTTAATAAGCGTCAACGGCACAGGATATGAATTGGGCTGCACACATGTGCATGCACATGGTATTAAACTGTGAGAGATCCAAATTCTTCATTGTAAAGATTCCCAGTGCCAGCTGCATACCTGGCACTTCAAAAGTGTGGGTCTTGAAGATCCAATGCTTAAGTACAGTTGGGATATACTACTTATCGGTTCGATAAATTAATAGATTTACTTATATACATTATGCCTGCATGTCCGCCGTGCTCAATAAAAGCAACCGGCATGTCAATCCAGGCACAAAAGGAGTCTGTATCACGGCGGAAATTCTGTGAACTATACGGGGGATCGTCTTCTGTGGCAAGGGGTATTAGGGTCCTTCTCCCATTTAATCCATACATACCATAATCCTTGGCTTGACGCATAAAAAGCTTCCCAAAGATCTCTGGAAGGCTCCCCAGCTTCAAAGCGGTTGGCGGTTTTCATTAGTCAGAGCTAAAATATAACCCCATGCGGCTTAACATCTTAGCTCTACCAGCTAAATTTCTTCCAAGCTTCTTCCAGTCACTCAATCCCTCACAGTTACAATATCAGGCACTTCAGGCACTTTGGAACAATTTTCCAAAATAGCACCGATAGCGGTTCGACCAAATTTGACGCCGGGACCACAATACGCCATGAGCGGAGATCCGGGGAATGATACTGACGGAAGTCCAGGGGATCCCGGGCTCTGGCATTTCTATGGCATGATCGATCGGGTTTGGTGGATCTGGGAGAGTCTAGATTTGGCGAATCGATAGTATGCGATTGCAGGTCATTCCAATGACGTACCTAAATGCGGCTGCTTCTTCAATGTCACGCTGGAAACCACCATGATCAATGTCGGCTAAGTGAATGTAGCAAGGTCGTTGTGAGAACAGTGTTATGAGTAAGACGTAGGAGCATTTCGTTATGTCTACTTTATTCGTGATTTTTGACGTGAACGCAATGATCGATTATCAATGTTCCAAGGTAGACAAGTTGAGGAGTTTGATATTCCTTTTGAAGACTGTGACTGTGTCAACGTCTGTTGAAAGTCCACTTTGATAAAGTATCATATCGATTACGTGTCCCATCTACTAATTCAGTCCTGCTTATAGACCAAAGTCTTATCATGAACCAGTCTCAAACATGGTGTCTGTGAAATCCGAAAGACATAGATGTCACACGATGGAGCCAAAGAAATCAACCTCGATTCAACCAATCACTGGCCAGGAAAAAGGATGACCTATCAAAGTATTCTAATTCGTCTCATTTCCACCTCGACGACGCCAGCCCGGCTATATCAGAATTGATTGATAAGATGTCCTGTATTGCCGATTGAGGCAGCAACCCCATGGGTGGGCGGGGGGGAGGATGAGGGGAGGGGAAATCCATCCCGGTGGCGTCATCATCCATAGCTCTCTCTTTGCAGATGACAAGCCACATTGTTTCGAGCTGATGCAGGATCCTGGACAGCATCCCCGATGCCTGCAGCGTGGACCCCCCAGGCCACGGACCGTTGATTGGCACAAGGGGTGAAAGTGCATTGCATCCTGCCGGGCACTCCAATGGTGGATCGGGGCATTGCGTACGGGACCATGTATCCTGTGCCCTAGAAATAGGAACTGTTATCTGTCTAAAGTATACCTACCCGAACCTTGTTCTTTGTTGATTGATTTTATTATAGATGCTTGAAGTTCTTGCATCTCAAAGGGAAAGAAAAAAAAGGGGGATCTCAAGGTTTGACTCAACAGATCTCTATCTATCACATCTCCCATACAGTAGTCTACTGTTAGGTCGTATGCAAGTCAGAGGCAGAAAAAGAAAAGAGGGGGAAGAGAGCGATTACGCTGCACCTTCTAACCGTCTAACCCTCTTGTGGCTTGAGCTAGGCCGCCAAGGATCGGATTAAACGGAGTGAACAAGAAGTTGAAACGAGAGGTATTGTTTTTCTTTGGTTGTTTGATTGTTTTGTGTTTTTTGTGTGGGGTTCTTTTTTTTCTTTTTTTCCCTTCATTTTTGTTTTTTTTTGGGTTTATTTTGGATCTGGATCTGTGATCTGCATCTGGTTCAGTAAGTAGTTGAGAGGGATAAGAACCTTAGGCCCGCTCTAGCTCTAGGTCAGGGCATGTCATCCTCGCACGGGTGTGAGCGTTCGCCGGGTCACCGGATTCTGGAATAGACCACTCGCAGGTCTCTTCGGCCCAAATGTCTCATGGGGGAGCTGCCCGGGACGTATCGATTCCTGCTTTCTGCAGAGTGCTTGGCCGAATTGGAGGGCTGCACGAGCCATTTGTGACAGGGTCTCCGGGGCATCGGTTCCTCGAACGGTGGGAATGCACCGGATGTCTTTTTTTTTGGATTATTTTGATTCAGGTGTGTATATAGACAAGAAGATGCAGAGACATTGGAGAAACATTGAAGGGGATGGAAGGGAAGAGAAGAAGAGATTGAGGAGTAACAAAGAACAAACCAAGTACGTTTTATCTGTTTACTCAAGTCACGCTTTTAACTTGGGATCCATTTCCCCATAGTAAATTCCAATGACATCAAAACAACCTATTTACAAAGGATAATTAGAACTTTATGAAAGAAATAGTAAAAAAAAAAGAGATGTAATTATGCTCAATAATAAATACATTCTGAATAGTCCTTTTTTAAAATACTATCAGATTCTAAGAGAAAAGTGAAATCTAAAGTGAAATCCAATGCTTGTTTTTTCAGCTGTTATGATTGCCGTTTATGAGGGTGACTCCATCCCCGCTCACTTTCTTTCTCTCATCTCCTCTTCCTCCATCTTGTATTCTCCCTTTCTCCCTCTTCATCCCACTACATATCCACTACTCCTTACTCTTCACAACCAAAAACTCCACCCCCACTTCCAGCCTCATGTTCTCCCCATATTCCGAAGAATTCGACGTTCCCGATTCAGCGTTAAGGGCTTGCGACTTTGACCTGTGAGCTCTTCCCCTTTGTCGCGACTCCGCTCTCAACCCTTAAACCCCCCTCCCCCAATCTCCCCATCCCATCTTTTACCCCACGACATATTTTCTTCCCCCCACAAGAAGAAAGGATCGCTTGGGGTTCCTTTCCTTCCCTCCCGGTTCCCTTCTTGTCCCGATCTAGTTCTGCCTAGGATGCGCCTGTGTCATCGTCTTTGGTGTAACAAGAAGCCCACTTCCGATTTCCTAGAAGTTGACCATGGCGCGCCTGTAGCTGTTCTGCTAAACCCCCGATGCCGCTTTGTTGCATGTACAGATGATTTGGCCTGTGGTTGAGATCGCGTGCGCTTCACCATGTCGTAAGTCCTCCGTCTATGATCTCCGTTCACGCGGCTGAGAGACTTTGGATTGTTCGCGTCGTGACTGTTGACTGTCTGATTGAGGACTCTGTTCTTTTACTCTCTTACTCTCTCACTCTCTTACTCTCTTACTCTCTTGCTTCTTCTTCTTCTTCTTCGTCCTCTCTTAACTTTCTTTTTTCTTTCTTCCCTTCCACATCTGTCGCGACTAACTTCTCTTGACAATCAGTTCACCTCCAACGTCCAAGCGAATCAAAACGTCGGCAACAACTAGTGCTCCATCACATCTTCTCGCTCAACAACAAATTCACCCTTTCCATCGAGTCCCCGGTTTCGAAGGAATACCAATTCCAACCGCTCCGATTCCTCAACATACTCCCTCTCGCAAACACCCACAATCTCCGACCGCAAGTTCGTCCGCCATGATGACAGGGCAAATGAATCCACAGGCACTTGAGGACCCTGGCTCCCTACCCCCGGCCGAGCCCGCCCCAAAGAAGAAAGGTCGCACAAACACGCCATGGACAGCCGAAGAAGAGCAACGCCTGAAGACAATGCGCGATGCTGGTCGCAGCTGGTCGGAGATCGCAAAGGTGGGGGAAGCCGATGACGTTTGTCGCAAGCAGACTCGATTTTCTAACCGGATTCGATCAATAGACATTTCCTACTCGGACAGAAGGAAGCGTGAAGAAGCACTGGTACAAAGTATGTGGATTCATGCGCGCGCGATAAGATGGTAGCTTTGGGATACTAATGTCTATGGGAATAGGACATGCATTATGCCGAGTTCGCTGAAGACGAGGTATATGATCCCCCGGCCCTTTTCTCTTTTACCAGCTATCTAAACTTTCATAGTCCGTGAAACTCCGTGACGCGATCAAAGAATACGAGGCGAACAAGTGGAAAGTTATCGGTCAGAAAGTTGGCAAGCCTGCCAAGGTTCGTTGACATTATATCTTCCCGGTTGGATATACACTAAGTCATCTTATAGGCATGCGAACAATACGCAAAGGAACATTTCAAGAACCTCTAGGCCAACGTTTAAGCCAATGTCTTCCGTTTGTTTGACGACCCCCTTATGAGTGATGAACGAGCATTATCTTTAATCCTGTGATTTTTCTGCATTTGATGAATTTTGGCATTCCCTCCCCTTCCCCTCTCACAATATGGAATTCCATAGCGATGCAAAGTGTTCTCAAAATGACCATCGGGGCATTTTGTTTACAAGGCAAGATGGAGTTCGTTTTCCAGCCTAGTCTCTTTCCCAGTCTTATTTTGTCTTTCCATCTTTTCTCCGTTATCTTTCTTATGGCTTCCCTTTGTCTCATTTCCAGTCTGGTTTCCCAATTGCTCGGCGGCGTTTACCAGTGGTGCTAGGGTGGTTCTCCCATTGGTTTTTTTTTATGGATATTACATGAAACCCAAGCACATTTGAGATGATAATCTCAATACACATTTCTTATGGGTATACTTGTTTACTATAAAGTATTGTCTACTATCATATTATACCAGTATACTTACCGTATACCCGAATTAGCGATCTGCGGGCGGAGAACGGGAAAATGCGCCGAGACCGCGGCCGATCTTACTTTTCCCCGCGACAGAAAAAAAAAAAGGTACTTTCACTTGTACCAACTACCCTCTGCTTGTTTTTTGGCATTTTGCATTTCTGCATTCTGCAGATTAAACTCGGTTCTTCATCACTATTGGACTAATTCAATTCTAAACCAATCGGCCACCATTAATCCAGGTACAATCCCTTATCGAAGCCACCCCCGCCCCACGGCTAACTCTTTGCTTCATAGTGACTCATATGGGAAGGTGACACCAACGCCTCTCCGTTGTTAAATGCCCGAGTACATCCCCCACCCCCAATCTCTACTCAGGGATCTCCGGATATCATGAGGACAAGTAATCTGGTTCTGTCTCCCGATCAAGGTACACAGTGGTAATCCCGCTTGCATGCAGACCGGTGTTCGGGCGCGCCACAATCTCCACATTGTTATCGCGCCCGTTCTGAGATTATACGGTTCAACTTGATCTGGATAACGCCAGCGAAAGGACTCATGCGCATACAACTTCTTCCCCCGCTTCTCTATTCCAACGGGTACTAACATAATCTCCCTTAATCAGTATGGCTCCCGAAAACGAAATCGCCACCGTAGAGGTGCGCGACGAGAAAGATGAGACTTCTCAGCTTCCTCCGCAGACTCTTGCCTTGGATGCGGGCAAGAATGTCCATGATTCGCCTTTTCCCGTCGATACCTCGGCTGGTCGGAGGAACCCCGTCGGTTCACGCTTGGGCTCGCTGCTGAGAGCCTTTGAGCAGCAGCTTGTCGAGTATAATCTTGAGGCTCGTGGTATTGAGCGTGTTGCGCCGGAGGAGCGCATGAAGAAGCTGACGTGGATGTCGTATCTGCAAGCTTTCTTGCTGTGGGTCTCTATCAATTTGGCCGCCAACAATATTACGCTGGGAATGCTAGGACCTGCGGTATATGGCCTAAGCTTCACGGATTCGGCGCTGTGTGCTGTGTTTGGTTCATTTACCGGGTCTTTGGTGGCCTCGTGGATGGCGACGTGGGGTCCTATCTCTGGCATTCGCACTATGGTATGCTGGGCTCTGCTATTATTTTGGAAACAGTGGATCATTGAAGCTAACTCTTGAACTAGGCATTTGGCCGATACTCAATGGGCTGGTGGCCTAGTAAGATCATTGTACTTTTGAACTTGATTCAGATGATTGGATACTGCTTGATCGACTGTGTCGTCGGAGGGCAGATTCTATCTGCTGTTTCGCCGGGTGGCATGTCCGTTGCTGTCGGTATGATAAACACGCTCTTGGTATAATATTGCTTTCCGGCAGCCGCTGACTGTCTTGAATTAGGTATTGTCATCATCGCGATTATCAGCTGGGTCGTGGCGACTTTTGGAATTCAAGTCTTCCACTACTATGAACGGTTAGTGAAAAGATCTCAATCACCTTCATACTGGAGCCGCCAAGCTAATATAAAAACAACAGATTTGCTTTCCTCCCACAGCTCATCGTTTTCTGCATCCTTTTCGGCGTCTCGTCAACCAAATTCGACTTGTCAACCGTCACAGTCGGTGACCCTGGAACCATAGCCGCGAACAGGTAAGCCACCAAGACACAGCCCTCAATCCCCCAATCAATGAAACCTAATCTAACATCCCAAGACTCTCCTTCTTCTCCATCTGCCTAAGCGCCGGAATAACCTACGCCCCCCTGGCAGCCGACTTCTTCGTCTACTACCCAGAACACACATCCAGCCTCACAATCTTCGCCCTAACCCTAACAGGCCTCACATTCTCCTTCTCCTTCGCCCTAATCTCCGGAATCGGCCTTGGGTCCGGCATAACTGCTCACGCCGAATACGCCGCCGCCTACGCGCAAGGCCAAGGCGCCCTGATAGTCGAAGGCTTCGGCCCCCTACACGGCTTCGGCAAATTCTGCTCCGTGATCGTGGCCCTCGGCCTCATCGCAAACACCGTCGCGCCAACCTACTCCGCCGGCGTCGATTTCCAGATCCTCGGCCGCTACGCCGAGCGCGTACCCCGCGTCATCTGGAACACCGTCGGCGTCATCATTTACACTGTCTGCGCACTTGCCGGCCGCAGCAATCTGTCTGAGATCTTTACCAATTTCCTCTCCCTGATGGGCTACTGGGTTGCGATCTGGTTTGCGGTCCTGCTGGAGGAGTTCGCGATTTTCCGACGCAAGAGTGGGTATCATTGGGCTGCGTGGCGGGATCCGAAGAAGCTGCCCATTGGGCTGGCGGCTTTTACGGCTTTCGTTGTGGGTTGGGTTGGGGCTGTGTTGTGTATGGCGGAGGTTTGGTATGTTGGGCCGATTGCGAAGCTGGTTGGGGATGCTGGTGCTGATGTGAGTTTTATCTATTTCCTGCCTTGGTTGTTATTCTTTCCCCCCTTCAACCCTGAACATATTTTGAGATTGTTCGGAGTTCGTCTATGTGGACTTGAAGATGATGCTAATTTGGTATTCTTTAGATGGGCAACTATGTCGGCTTTACCTGGGCTTTGCTCGTTTATCCACCTTTGCGATACCTGGAGCTGCGCTTCGTGGGTCGTTGAATGATTTGTTAGAATCTTATGATTTTTATATGGGATTTGGATCAACTCCTCATGTCTTCATGTCGGTATGTTTATATGTTAGCTTCAACACTTCTTTTATCTTGTTTTGTATACATACGAGACTTGTCAAAATAATTATACATTGAGTCTTCTTGCATCATTCGTTCGGTTTCGATTTCTTTGAATATTTCCAGCATGCCGGCCTGGTCATATAGATGCACATTAATACTAGGTACTACTATGTAGTATGTTTACGCGTAGTCCATTGGAAAGATAAATAGAAAAATTTAGAAATTAGTCACACATCTCCACGGACCACTCTCATTTTCATCCACTAGAGAACTATTCTACAAAACAGACAAGATGCGCAAGCCACGGGGACAGAAACAGAAACAGACACAGAGACACGAGAATATAAAACTTGCATGCTACAAAACGACCGTTCACGAATATATCGGATGGGTTTTAATGAGCTGCAAATTTACCGGTACCAGTACTCGGGCTTGACGTAGTCGGCGAAAGTCTTGGGCTCAACGTGAGGGGGGTGGTGGTGGCCGTGGTCGTGGTCGTGATCGTCTGATAAGAAGCGTGTTAGCAGATAAAAGAACCACCGAGGATTGGGATATGGTAGGATAAATAGCACATACGGGAGTGGTCGGTCTCGGGTCCGATGTAGTTCAGCTTAACGACGTTACCGCACTCGTTGCAGCGCTCAATAGGACGCTCGCGGGAGACCTGTTGAAATATTATGTTAGTGCTTGAGGTCTGGGGCTTGGTGATATAGGGCACGTCGTACGGTAAGCCAGTTAACCTGGTGGGAGTCGACGGGGTAACCAGTGCAACCAGCGTACTGCTCCTCACCGGCACCGGGGACCATGATGGGGTCCTCGAGCGTTCCTATACACATTCAGAAATTAGTCTTCCATTTAATTCTAGAAACCTTGGCTCCATTGTAGATGCACGGCTGACAGCTGAGCTGGGCTGGGCCGAGCCGAGATCACGCGGGCCCTCAATTCCGAGTAGCTAGCTGGTGGCAACATACCCTTGCGGGAAGCGTCAAGGGGACGCATGTCGAAGATGTCGATGCCCTGCATCTTTCCGATGAGCTCGAGACGCTCGAGACCGGTAGCCTGGACGAAGTCGGTAGGGATGGTACCGGGCTTGGCACCGGGGGGAGGAGGTCACTCTCGTCCTTGATCTCTATAATGATTAAGAGCACGGGTCAGTTTCGTCATCCGGATGTCGCTGGTATGGGCGATCGCGCCAGGCATGATGTGGTATGACATTGAACGCGGAGGGGTCCACAATCCATGTTCCCGATATCTCCCGCAGCCCAATTGCGCAGAAACATCAAAACAATGGAATGGTGATCCACCGCCCGACAATTCAAGGTCCCATGTATACAATGCACCGGTCGCGTGTCGAGTGTGGCGGGTTGAGGGAAGGGGTGGGGTTGCAACTAACCATCGAAGGAAAGGATCTTGCCCTCGTCCTTAACGGCCCACTTCTTGTCGTTGTCTATATGGGAGCAAAAAAGCTGCGTTAGCTAATGATTGTAGCAAGTCGAATGAACAATATCGGTTTTAAAATGTTTGTCGGAGGTCAATTGCGCTGGGAAGGGGCCATTGGCCGAGGTCGAGGTAGGCGAGCTTGCATCAGGCCACTGGGGGGTGTGAAGGAGTCACGTACTGCGGACGATGGACGAAGAGAATGGGCGCTGAGCGAGAGTGATAGCGCGGGCGGGCGAGCGCCGCGCGAGGGCGGTAGCGGTACGCTGGAGGAACATTGTCCGGCGAAGGTGGTGGGATGGGGGGGGGTGGAGGTGTGGAATTTGAGGATTGGGGAGAGTTTGGAGGTCTGAGGTTGGAGCGAGTTTGAAGTCCGCTACGGCCCGTGGGCTTCTGATTGGCTAGATTAGCAAGGCAATGGGCGAGACGTTGATTGGTTGATTTTGTACGGGTGAGGGTTCAGACCATCTGTGCACAAACTGACCGCTTTTGGTAATTCTAGGGCTTAGGGTTTGGGATCCTGCATGTATGGGGCGACCTTTTGATATTACAGTTGGTTTATGATATAACCCCTGATTTAACGTTGACTTGGTGGTCTTAGTGCGTCGTTGAATGCATAAGCGCGCTCTATCCGAAGATAGAGTAGGTTTCCATAGCGATCGTACATATGCATGGAGGCAACCTAACATTTAAAGTTAGCGATCTAGAATGTATATTATATGCAGTGTAATCAACGTCAACTAACATTTGAATCATTTGTAACCAGTTGTCATCACCAGTCAAATGCCAACTGGCTGTCCACATGTCTCAAGGTCAACCAATTGAGCATAATCTTCAATCCGAATGTCACCAGTTGACCCGGCAGTGCATGGTTAGGCCAACTGACAGGTTTTACCTTCGCAAGATCTATGAATCTGTCAACTGGTGCAGGAATACTCCAGGAATCCACTGTACCTGGCAGGTACATCCATGGATGCTACTAGCTCAAGTGCTGGTATCCATTGATACATATGTACCTACAAACATTTGAATCAAAATTACAATGTGGGAAGTTGATACTCGAAGAATTCATAATCCGATTGTCAAATTGTTAAACTGTCCGAAATAACCTTACTGCTCGCGCTCCAAGAAAACCCGGATATCCGTACATAGTACTAGTACATCACTCTGAATCCTCCTCACTGTCACTTTCTGGCTCTGGTGGGAATTCCTTCGCCCGTTCCTCACATGCCAACGCATTATATCCAGGACCAAGCTTAGTTGAAATTATTCTCCACCGATCACGCGAATAGGCCCGCACTGCAAGGCGAAGCTTCTCCACCTGTTAGGCATTACTCATTAGTATACTTGCCGCATAGGCCACTTCTGTCTATAGTGACCAGTCTGATATAATACGAACCATTTCATCAGTCCAGTTCGCTTCTTTCGCCCTCAACTTCGTGCAGTATCGAACCTGCAAGGTTCCACTGCTGCGCCCGGGGAAGAAATCCGCGACTTGCTTCCAAGTCAAGTTCTTTTCCTCCTTCAACTCCACCAAAAGATAGTCCTCCTTGGGAGTAAACTTGAGCTTTGGTCCCTTGGGTCTCGGAGCCGGAGGGGGCATCCCAGGCTGACCAACCATATTCGGAGGTCCAGGCTGGGGGCCTTTCTCCCTCAGGTTTGCCTGAGCTGGCAGTCGGTGATGGTGATGCTGCTGCGGGATGGGAAGGGGAAGCGAAAGCGACATCGGGGATGCATAGCTGTGGTTCGAGGAAAGATGGGAACCAGAGTGGTCACTCTGCATGGGGAACAATATGTCAGACTCAGGGGGTGGGCCCGAGAGATCCATAGGCCCGAGGTGAATGGGTTGTGAGGGAGGCATGGTGTGATCTAATCTGCGATGGTGGTGTTGGTGTTGATGTTGGTTTCCTGTGCCACTGTTTGATCGAGTTCGTTTTCTGCTGCTCTCAGGTGAGTATGATATGTCGTAGTTATATGGCGGCGGGTGAAGCAGTTGGTGTACTGAGGCGAAAGCTGGATGGTGCGCCTCGTGGTGGCCGCCTGTCTGGGGATCTGGCAAAGGCAGCACTGCCTGCATGTGTGTTGTGCCAAAGTGGGATGCGTTGGCGTCTTCAGAGTGGTAGGGAAGGCCGCTTAGGAGCCTTTCCCGCGGCTGCTGAGAATTCGCCCCATCGTAGGTGATCAAATCATGATCGTTGGGCTTCTCCGCGTTGGAATAGGGAACAGAAAAGCCTCGATATGGGTCTGCCAATTTGCCGGGCTGCATCAATGATGCCAGGAAGGACCCGGCTTGGGTGGCTGAGTTGTTAACACAACAGTCGAACCGGAATAGGGCACGTCTGGTGCTGATTCCAGGCACGAGTAATTGATGGGAGAAATCGGAGTGATGGGTCCCGTTTGGGTCCTTAAGACGTCAGATATATGAGGACACGTTCAATGTCTTTGTCGCAAGCGAGAAACAAATTTTCATTTGCACCAGTAAGAAAGGATGCCAGGCCCTTGATTGGGGAGAGGTGGCGAAGTTTCTCAAGCGTCGGAGTATATGCATCAAAGAAGTACAACGACTTCAAAGCCCAATGAATGAAGCGTACTTGGGATTGTATAGGGAGGCAAAAAGTATGTTTGATGACTTGTAGAAAGAAAAGAAGAAAAACCCAAGAATCAATCGCGGCGACGGCCTGTTTATGTCCTTCGCCAAACCAACCCTCTACCCCCTAGTCCTCATTTACCTTGATCCGGAGCATTGCAGCCACCTGGGAAAGAAAAGAAAAAAAAATGGGAGTCTGTGTGTCGGTAAGCCCCTCATCTGCTTGCTTCCAGGGTGAGTTTCGTCGGGCTTGAAGACTCAGTGATAAAAATAAAAAAAATTACGAAAAGATATACAGCAATGGGACTCAGTCCAATAGATCGCCTAAAGACATCCCCAAGCGAGAATCTCAAAGGTTTAAAAAAAAAGCGCGCGCTTTTCTGAAGCACAAGTTCTATATAATATTTTCCTATTCCTCCGGGATGTTCTCATCCTCATACTCATTGTACTATAAGGAGGGATAATCGCAAAAGGGAAAAGAAAACCTCAAACAAAGGGAAGAGAGATGCAAGGCGGATATGCGGAAGGAAAGAAATCGGGAGTCGAATGCAATCCAATCCGGCAAGAGGAGAAACGCCTCTGTCAGCCTTGAAGGGGAGGATTAGCAGAGCATGGGGACAATCAAGACCAGGGGGGTCTAGGGTATCATTCGATGGGCGGAACTTCCAATCAATAGACTCGCGTCGCGTCGGGACGAAGGTGGAATTGATTCAGTTGGTCAAGATTTGTATCGGGACAAGACTACAACCTGACTCCAAAACAGGGGCATGATTTGCTTCAATACCAGGCTAAAGTGCGCCATCTGCACAGCAAAGGACGCTAAAAAGATACCGAATGTGCCGGGACGGGTTGGAGCACAATGGATCTGACAGTGTGAGATTAGGCGCTCAGACTTTATGGGTTTGGAAGATTGTTTTTTTGACAGCATCGTTCGTTATGAGTGGATATTGGGGTGGATGTATTTCCCAAGGTTTTTTTCCCCTTATGTTTTCTTTTTTTTTAAATTGATCGACAGTCGGGATATCGGAGAAATGGCGATGGTGTTAAAATCCTGCTTTCAAAGTTGGAAAATGGAACTTCTGCTTGTCACAAACCCCGCTTGTCGAATCGTATGTTTTTACGAAGGATCGATAGCAAATAAAGACAAGAGGGGGGGCAGAGAGGTAGAGCTCAGAGGGATCCGAGTGGGCTGCTTGGCCTGATTGGCTGCAGGAGAGTCGACCTCTAGCATGCTTGCAATCATTTCCCCATGGATCTCCACGGAGGTATCAGCCTAAGTACTTTTGGTGGATTTCAAATCGGTTATTGATGTGCACGGTGTGCAAGTGGTTGATTTCTTGGAAGACAATCCCTGCCTCATGTCTGGATGTGACTGATTTATGCGAAGATCGCATTGGAGCTCAAGCCTCGGTGACTTTGGCCGATGGCGCGTTGCCTGATGACCTTTTTCCCTCAGTAAGCGCGATACGGTGCGATTACCGGAGTTGATGGAACTCTCTTTTCTTCTTTTCTTTTCTTTTCTTCTTGTCTTCTTTGAGTTCTTTGAGTTGTGAGAAAGCGGAGTTGGAGAAAACGGATAGACGGGAATGGATACGTACCGTGATACACCCTCGTTTAATTCCGTTGTCATTGGCGATCTCATTGCAATGTCGCCCGAATCTATTCTCATTCGACGCTAAGAGTGGCTTTGATCAATCAGAAACGCCGCTGAACAAAATTCACGTTGGTAAGCAGAGATAGGGTAATCCACGTACGGGGAAAATATCTTTATTTCAAACTTGCGTCCAATACAGGTAGAATTAAGATTCAAATGGGGTCATGATACAGCAGCTACGTACTTGACAAAAAAATAGAAAAGAAAAATAAAAGACACAAAAAAAGATACAATAAGAATACAGACGCCCCCCAGATGACACAAAAACAGGGGTCATGGCTTTTTATCGTTAACGCCCACCAATAAAAATCCATTTACTCAAAGTTGTCGGACCTATCAACCCAGATATCTTCCAACTCGGCGAAGTTCTGGAAATGCAAAGGACGGTGTTGGTCATCGTAGAATCGCAACGGGGTGTCAATCTTGACATAAATCGGCCTCTTCTCAACACTGCCGAAGGAGCTACCCATGAAACTGTAGTTCCAAAGGTTGTCTTCGGGCACCAAGAAGTAGCCGCGCACTCGGTCACTGAGCAATAGCTGACACTTGGTTCCCATATCAGTGGAAAAGCCTTGCGGTTGATCAGAGGTCATATCCTTGTTCTCAGCACCCCATTTATAACCTTGGGGTGTGAGGCCCCAAGCGGCAAGTGAGACCGATCCAGGAGTGAAAGAGACGGTCATCGTCACAGTTCGCTTGTCCCACGATGGGTGAGAATTCATGAGACGAGCGTGTTGTGTGACATCAGCCGCGGACATGTAAGGTGGTTCGTTGCCAGACACTGTGTGGATGATACCCAGCGGCTCCAGGCTGTTGAGGTAGTCATGCTGAGGGAGTTCGTGTGGCAACTGAACGTCCCGAGTGTTTCCAACCTGAGGAACCATGACAATAGTACGGACCTCCTTGACCTGATCATTATCTGCCGGGGAGCTACCATATAGGTATCCCGTGACTTGGACCCGAAGATCCGCGATAGTGATGAATCGCTTGAGAATGTTCTTCGGCATAATGTATGTGAATCCCTCATCACGAACATCATCTGACGAGACGTAGATGTTGTTCGATCGAGTCCGCAAGTTGGAGGTCGCAATAGCGCGAGTTCGCCACTCGGTCTTCGAGGCAAATGACTGTTGCTCATACTGAGAAGTGGTGGTGACAATGATGTCTTCGCCACGAGCATTCTGAGTCTTGGTGGTGACAGCAGTAAGTTGTTTCGCCTCCTCCTGTTGCTTCTCGATCTCGGCTGCTTGCTGTCGTTGCAAAGACGGCGCACTAATCTCCATACCCAGGATAATATCTCGCACTTCACTACTGGTCAGACTCTGCACATTCACGTTGTTCTTCTTTCCGTAATCGTTCAGGATCAGATCACGCAGTTGCACTTCGACCTTGATCCAGTCCTCATCGGAGAGAGACGGCCAGATGTGGTGCTCTTGAGTGATCACGCTCTTGTCGGGTCGAAGGATGATCTTCGCCTTGTCGATGTTGACGTGGAGGGCACGAAGGATCAGGATCAATCGAGAGAAGGCAGTGTATGGCGAGATGGACTTCAACCATTCATCATACAGGTTGAAGAGGACCATCTGGGGCTCGGTGGCCCGGAGGATCATATCGGCAAGTTTCTCAACCTTCATAGCAGCCTGGAAGGGCAGCTGAAGCTCGGAGGCACGGATGGAAATGTTGGGGAAGTCAAGCAGATGAACCTCGAGAGGATCGAGCAGACCCTTGCGAGTAACAATGAGCTGCTTAGGTTGCTCTTCCACGGGAAGAGAACGGATAAGAGCTGCAACTTCTTCGGCGGTCTTCCACTTGGCCAATTGTCCCAAACGCTTCTGACCGGCCCAGACACTGGTATGAATAATCTTCAAGAACAGTTGTCCAGTTCGAGGGTTGAAGATGAAAATGGCACCATTGATAGGCTTCGTGGTCAAGTTACCTTCGAAGGTCTTGTGAATGGTGACACGGTAGACATTAGTGTCATCAATGAACAGCTGGATCTGGGGACTGAAAAGCTCTGAGTAGTTCTGAGAGTTCAGGAATTCCTGGTTGCTCTCCGAGGCGTAAAGTTGCAAACCCTTGCGAATACGCTCACGCAGGACATACAGGGCAGGGTTGGCCTTCATGACCTTAGCCATGGCCTGTTGAATCAAAGTCTTGAGACCCGGGAAGTATGAACCAAAGGCAGAGTAGAGGTTGTAGGCAAGATCGATACCAACCATGAGACCAGTCGCGGATGGGTAGATACTCATGCTGTCGGTCGTGTAATCGAGGTACTTGGCACGAGTGTAACGTTCAATGTCGTGAGAATCGTAGTCACCGTATCTCAGCTGGACGTCAAGCCAGAACTTGTTGGTGGTCGTGGGCTCATAGACATCCTTGGTGTCAAATAGAACAGAGGGCCGGGTAACATTCCATTTGTTTGTGGCAAACAGAAGAATATCGGCGCAAGAACTGTTCATCTTGTACGATTTACGAGGGTGAATCGTTTCCTTCTGAACAGCCTCGATACCAAGTTGCTCCAACTCTTGATCAAACACCTGACACAAATCCATGACCACGGACTCGTGAATCTTTTGCCACAAATGGGCACGGAAGATTTGGATCAAGGAGATCTTCAGAGTTGGAATTTTACCATGCAAGAAAATACCAGTCAGATCCAGTTGGACCTGGAAACCAACATAGACATTGGCACGGTTGATGGTGGGGGACCACCAGAGGGTGAATCGACGGTTGGGAATTTGGTTCAAACCGGAACGTTGAGCGTTGGTCAGCTTCTTGAATTTCATCGACTGTAGAAAAACATATTAATTAGCTGACTGTTCAAACATGTGGGGAATGAAGTTCGTCACATGACACAGATTATATAATATGTCATGTGATGTGCACGTGGCGGAGTATGGGAATGGGGTCATGAACAAGACTGTGAATGGGAACGTGAATAGGAACGTGAATGAGAACGTGAAAAATAGGAATGTGAATGATTTGAACCAACCTCTTCGAATCCGGATGCTCTCTCCCAGAATAG